CATGCATGAATGGGAACATCAGCATCATCACACCAACATGCATGAATGGGAACATCACCATCATCACACCGACATGCATGAATGGGAACATCAGCATCATCACACCGACATGCATGAATGGGAACATCAGCATCATCACACCAACATGCATGAATGGGAACATCAGCATCATCACACCGACATGCATGAATGGGAACATCAGCATCATCACACCGACATGCATGAATGGGAACATCAGCATCATCACACCGACATGCATGAATGGGAACATCAGCATCATCACACCGACATGCATGAATGGGAACATCAGCATCATCACACCGACATGCATGAATGGGAACATCAGCATCATCACACCGACATGCATGAATGGGAACATCAGCATCATCACACCGACATGCATGAATGGGAACATCAGCATCATCACACCGACATGCATGAATGGGAACATCAGCATCATCACACCGACATGCATGAATGGGAACATCAGCATCATCACACCGACATGCATGAATGGGAACATCAGCATCATCACACCGACATGCATGAATGGGAACATCAGCATCATCACACCAACATGCATGAATGGGAACATCAACATCATCACACCAACATGCATGAATGAGAAAATCAGCATCATCACACCAAATCTGCATGAATGGGAACATCAGCATCATCACACCGACATGCATGAATGGGAACATCAGCATCATCACACCGACATGCATGAATGGGAACATCAGCATCATCACACCAACATGCATGAATGGGAACATCAACATCATCACATCGACATGCATGAATGGGAACATCAGCATCATCACACCAACATGCATGAATGAGAACATCAGCATCATCACACCGACATGCATGAATGGGACATCAACATCATCACACCCCAACATGATTGAATTGGAACATCAGCATCATTACACCGACATGCATGAATGGGAACATCAGCATCATCACACCGACATGCATGAATGGGAACATCAGCATCATCACACCGACATGCATGAATGGGAACATCAGCATCATCACACCAACATGCATGAATGAGAACATCAGCATCATCACACCGACAAGCATGAATGGGAACATCAGCATCATCACACCGACAAGCATGAATGGGAACATCAGCATCATCACACCGACATGCATGAATGGGAACATCACCATCATCACACCGACATGCATGAATGGGAACATCACCATCATCACACCGACATGCATGAATGGGAACATCACCATCATCACACCGACATGCATGAATGGGAACATCAGCATCATCACACCCCAACATGATTGAATGGCAACATCAGCATCATCACACCAACATGCATGAATGGGAACATCAGCATCATCACACCAACATGCATGAATGGGAACATCAGCATCATCACACCGACATGCATGAATGGGAACATCACCATCATCACACCGACATGCATGAATGGGAACATCAGCATCATCACACCCCAACATGATTGAATGGCAACATCAGCATCATCACACCGACATGCATGAATGGCAACATCAGCATCATCACACCAACATGCATGAATGGGAACATCAGCATCATCACACCAACATGCATGAATGGGAACATCAGCATCATCACACCGACATGCATGAATGGGAACATCAGCATCATCACACCAACATGCATGAATGGGAACATCAGCATCATCACACCAACATACATGAATGGGAACATCAGCATCATCACACCGACATGCATGAATGGGAACATCAGCATCATCACACCAACATGCATGAATGGGAACATCAGCATCATCACACCGACATGCATGAATGGGAACATCAGCATCATCACACCGACATGCATGAATGGGAACATCAACATCATCACACCGACATGCATGAATGGGAACATCAGCATCATCACACCGACATGCATGAATGGGAACATCAACATCATCACACCGACATGCATGAATGGGAACATCAGCATCATCACACCGACATGCATGAATGGGAACATCAGCATCATCACACCGACATGCATGAATGGGAAACCCTTTTCTACGTTGCTTTATTTTAGTCGGTATGGTATGAGCTTTTAACTCAAAAGGCATAGAGAAGAAAAATGAGAGAATGGGCAATATATAAACAAATGAATTTTTTTTTTACTCACGGAGGTGTAAAAAGTCGAGATTTATTAAAATCTTGAATTTCGATTTTTTTTTTAAACTATTAGAATATTTTTCCCTATAACTCCGTATACAAGAAAATAAAACAAAACTCAAGACAAAAACGTGACATCTTCTGTTAACAACTTATCGATCCCTTGGTTCCCTTCATCATTATTTTTGCTCTTAATTATATTTCATTAATTCGTGTCATTTAGCAAGCATAACCGCCGCTCGTCATCCGTGCAAAATGCGACGAGTGCACGTTGCCATAGAAACGCGCCACGCAAAATAAAAAAATATTTAAAAAAATAAACAATGACGTCATCGGTAATTGCCCATGTAATCAATCTATCCGTTTGACGGCTTTGGGTGAAAGGTGGATCAAATCCTTTAATCCACGACATTTGGATGTCACTATGGGCGCATGACTGAACTAATCGAGGTCTCTCTTTTTTTTTTCTCTCTCTCTCTCTCTCTCTTTCTCTCCATCTATCTCTCTATCTGTACAGCGCTGATCTTTTATCATTTACGACATATAAAACTGTTTGCTCCGTTAACTTCTATATCTCCAGTTAGCACAACGCCATTGAAGTCAGAGAGCCCCCCCCCCCCTCTTACCCCCAACTACCTCCCCCCCCCCCCCCCCCCCCACACACACACACATTAGTTTGTCACATCCAGGTAACACATTTTGTAGTTTTGATCTAATTAATGTTTAATTCTCACCTTCATATCCTGACATCCCCCCCACTCCTTCCCCCCCCCCCCCCTTTAATAATATGCAATCCCCCACCATCATTTATTGACCCCCTTACCCCTTATCGCCCTTAAACCCGGACAAGCTTTCTGTTGTCACGGTTTGTTCAAAGCTGAGTTTCGCAACCCAAAACTTTTTGTTTTAAAAAATCTGATTAAATTATTTATTCAGTCTGGTCTGTAACATCGTAACACGATCCTCACGGCGGTTAAAACTCTAAAACCAAAGTTTGTTTTCACCAGAAATGATAGAAGTTTGTACAAAGACTGGTGGTATCACAAGGACTTCAAGTCAAACATTCTTTGTTGATATTTATACAACAATGGTGTGTAAAACAAATGAAGTTAGATTGTTGAACCTGGATATCAACGTAGCAGAGTTCGTATGTACCCAGAATAATATGTTTAGACGAGATCAGAGTTGCGCTAGGCTGTGTTGTGAGTAAAAACTCCAAGCGAATCAAAAAGTTGGATTAAACACGTGAAACAAATCAAAGATTCCGCGAGAGAATCGAGGAAATAAATAAATCGTCTGTATCGGGCGCTCTTCCGTCTTGGGAATAGAATTAACGCTAGGCGTAAATCAAATAAGACAGAAGGCAGGTGAAATATTGGTCTTCTGGAACCCGCGGTCGTTCACTGGGTGACCAGAGTTTCTTCCGGGCATCTCTTCGGGGGGAAGTCTACCGCCCCCCCCCCCCCGAACGAGATGGATTTTATGTAGTAAACATACACTTTTACTAGTGTTCGCCCCCCCCCCCCAAAAAATGTTGACCGCCCCCCCCCCCCCCGAAAATTTCAAGTGCCCCCCCCCCCCCCCCGGAGAAAAAAGTCTGGAAGAAACACTGTGGGTGACTGGAACAACATGTTTTTAATCGTAGACATGACGTGATGTATCCCACGCTAAGGGGTCGTCACATTCGTGGGGGGAGGGGGGGTCCGTTATTTTGTGACGGTGTGTGATGAGGGAGAGGGGGGGTTCAGATGGTGTGACGTCACACTTTTGCATTATAAAAGAGCCATGTTAGAAAACGAGTTTTAGCCGTTACAAAACGGTTTTAATAAATTGTAATAGGAATTGATTAAAAGACCCCATGAAGACTTAGTTCTGACAAGATTTCGACAAAATATCGATGTTTTAAGAAAAATTCAACTATCTTTTTGAGGGGGGGTTGTAGACTGAGGTGTGACGTCATTTTAGGGGAGCTGGCTTTTTGTGGCGATGTGTGACGCAGGGGACGGGGGGAGGTAAAAATCGTCCAAAAAAAGCGTGACGTCATTTATGGATGACCCCTAAATAGTCAGGTAGAATCTGATAAATGTTAGATATCCATAACGCCGACAGGACAATGGGCCGACAGACCATAAGACCGACAGATCATAGGGCACTTAAACAATACGGCCGACAAACCATTTGGTGCCAATAATACTCAGTGGCGGGAAAAGAAAAATAAAGGAGGGCGAGTGGGGCAACCGACCCATGCGACGCCTCTTGGGGGCGCCAAACGGGGTAGAAAAAAATATTTAAAGTTCATTCTGAGCTGCATTACTGAATGTCGAAGTTAAGAAAATAGACTGCTGACTGTTCTTGGCATTACGGATGTGTTTAACTGTTTTCTTTATCGATTGTGACGACACAAAAAAAAAACTGATATAGGCAAAACAGTGGCATCATGTAAAATGCACCCCAGCTCTTTTCAAATTGGTGGAGTCGCTTTTTTGCCAAGTTCGGCCCGAGCGCCGGAATCGGTCGCTTCTGTTGTTGTGCATTACAAAGTAGTACATACCCCTAACATGTTAGCTTTTGCCAACGTATACATCTCTAAACTTTGGAAATGCTAGGTATGGAAGAATTTTTTTTTTGGTGGGATAGATAACTACTTATTGTGGTACACTTTTATAGCTTGAAATGATTACAATAAATTTTTCTTTGATGTTTTTCAGCATGTAAAAATTATTAAATATTATTTATTATTATTAGTAGTATGCTTTTTTTTACTCGTCGTGAAAAGGATTGTTTACACTTTTTTATGAAGGAAATTTTTGTACTGTCAGAAACTGCTTAGGCTAACTATTTACTAAGCGGCTAATCTTGGCCACTGCTAGATCTAGATCTAGATGAGTAGTAGTTCTAGATCTATTCAACTTAAATAACTTAATTAATAATTAACATAGAACTTGGAAGAAGACGGACGCACTGTCGGAAGCAGCTTACTTTAAAATATAGATCTAAATTCTAATTAAATAACTAGATCTAAATTTAAGGGTAGGGCCTAATTTATTAAATTTATCATTTTAGTTTTGGCCCAGATCTAACTAAGTGATAGATCTACTAACTAATAAGTGTTTTAAAAGAAATAGGCCTGCCCTAACTGTTTTAAAAGACCTATCTAAGTCCTAAATCATTATAAATCTACTTCTTAGCCAACAGATACTTAATTAGTATAATTACTTATTAACAAGTTATGACTAGACTTTCGTGAAGTAAGTAGGGCCTATTAGATCTAGTATTACTATTTGTTCCATTACAACTACATTCGATCTAAGGCATTCTAAGGGGTCGTCCATAAATAATGTCACAGTCAAAGGGGGGAGGGGGAGCTGTAATTTTGTGATACTATGTGATGAAGAGGAGTGGGGGGTTCAGATGGTGTGATGTCACACTTTTGCATTATAAAAAAACAATGTTAGAAAATGTATTTTAGACATTATTTCCCATTTTAGAAAAATGTTTAAATAAATTGTAATAGAAATTGATTAAAATACTCTATGTCGACAGAGTTCAGACAAGATTTTGGAAAAATATTGATGTTTTAAGAAAAATTCAACTGCAATTTTGAGGGGGGGGGGGAGGTTGTAGGCTGAGGTGTGATGTCATTTGGGGCGGGGGGGGGGGGGTCTGGCCTTTGACTATTTATTTTCAGCATTTGAAATTCAAGTAAAAATTTTCATTTTCAGATGGTACATGCAATTTTTTAAGACAATGGAGAAAGCAAAACGCACAAGAGGCCAATTAAATGACAAGAAGTCTAAAGATCTGTCAACTGCAGAGCCACCTAGAGCCAAAAGAAAATATTCTCATAATAAAGGCAATAATTCTTTATTTCTAAAAGTTCACCACAAAATCCAATTACTGGCTGCAAAGTAAATGATTTTATCAGAAATTCAGAAATAAACCTGATAACTGGAGTTTCTGGCCCCACTACCTGTTTTTTTTCAAAAGTTGTAAACACTTTCTACTTTTAAAGTTGACTTAAGGATTAGCTCTCTACCACTTGACCATGCTATTCCACACAAAAAACACTGTTATATTTCTGATATTTCTTTTACATTTTCATGTATTTTCTTGCTTCTAGTCCAAGGAGATCCATCTACTTTAAAGCTTGCTGCAAAGACATTGGATTTACCAGTTCAGGATGGCAATGCTGATGCATTAAAGTTATCCATTGGCGAACGATTACCATATGAGTTCTTCAACTGCCCATGTACCCAGTTGGCACGTCGACTTCTTGGACAGACTTTGCTGCGTCGCATTGGCACAGAGCTTCTCCTGGGTAGGATAGTAGAAACTGAGGCTTATCTGGGTAAATATTGTAAACCGTTGTCTACTTTTTAAGTTTGTTTTATGTGTTTAGCTCTAGTGTAAACTTTTGATTATTGTCAACTTCCGTTTATAATTTATAATTTCAAAATATGTAAAAAAGTCCAGTAGAGTAATGCAGTACTGTACTGAATTTTTTTTCTAGTATTGCCATCTAGTCTGTTGTAGGATTAGGGTCAGAATTAAGGTAAAGGTTTGCAAGTTTTGCAAAATTATATTTTTGATATAGGCCTACTCTACCACCATTCTTACAAATACCAAATTTGTTCCTTGTAATTATTTACCTATATCGTTTAACAAGATGATGTTTTGTTTTATAAAGGAGCTGAGGACAAAGCAGCCCATTCTTTTAATGGGAAGAAAACAGAGCGTAATCAAGCCATGTTTATGTCCCCTGGAACCGCCTATGTTTATAACATCTATGGAATGTACTGCTGTTTCAATATCTCCAGTCAAGGTGAGGACAAATTTTAATTATGTGCTACGTTGGTCACAGCTAGGTTACTATGTCAACTTGACCAGGGCTATCCATTTTTTATTGCTAAAAATTATTTTGCTAACCTTACTTTTGAATAACACAGATTATTATATTTTTATCCTGCTAACTTAAATTTTACTGGTTACTTTGTGATAAATGATGGATGTGCATATTTACTTCCCTTAGCTAAGTAAAGATATTTTAAGAAAATAGCAATAATGCCTACATTTATTCAATTAAGGGACAAAGCACTACCCTTTAGCTTTATGTAGCTGATGACTGATGAACTAGACTTATCATATCACACCATGATATCAGCTAGATTAATATGAATAATCAACTTTAATAAGAATCATATCAACAAGATTACTTGTATCTTAATCTATTTACTTTGTCAAGTATCAAATCAGAATAAATTTTTCTCTAATTAGTTTGATTCTATTAATTCACTACACACATCAAACACCAATTCTTGTTTAAGTCTATGACACATTGTGAACATCTAACAGGTGATGGCTGTGCTGTATTGCTTCGAGCTTTGGAGCCTATCAGCGGCATCCAAGTCATGAGGGACAATCGGAAATCAAAAGCAACCGTGAAAGAGAAACATTTAACTAATGGCCCTTCTAAATTATGCCAGGCTTTCAGTATAACAAAAGCTGGCTTCAACCAAACCGATTTGACCACCTCAGATGAAATGTGGCTGGAGTATGGTGGCGAGGTCTCAGATAACCTGGTTGTGTCGTGTGAGAGAGTAAACATTGGCTATGCCGGGGACTGGGTGGATAAGCCCCTGCGCTTTTATCTGTTAAACAACTATTGTGTTAGTGTAAGGAATAAAGAGGCGGAAAACAAAATTACTAAAAAGTTAGAATTCTAAAAGTTTATGAAACTAAAATGTAACTACAAATAGCATTAGACCACAAGTCTTTCAGAAAAACACATTGTAAACAGTGAACTCCGTCATATAGCATCAGGATGGTAATAAAAATAAACTTTATCTGCTACACTGTGGTTTTTAATTGTGTATGTGTGTTTCTACTTGCCTACCTAACATGATGTACAGTGTTACTTATGCAAAGAAAAAATCCACACTACAGAAGGAAAATATAAAATGGTGTTCGCATTTGTGTAAACAATGGCATAACGTACCTACTAGCAGAAGCTTGAGCCTAATGTAGCCATACAGGCTAATGAAAAGTTCAGGATTATTAGTTTACATGCTGGAAAAGTCATTGTATATCTGAATGTTTGGTATAAACTTTTTTTACGAATAAAACAAATAATGATTAAACTGAATATATAGCTCATTTTTATTCTGACATACTGCACCTACAGTATTGTATATGTTCAATGAAAACATTGATTATTGCATTAAAAAATGAACGTTTCTGCAGAGGCGTAGCGACCCTTCCCGGCGCCCGGGGACAAACTTTCAATTTGGCGCCCCCATCGGAAACAAATTTTCAATTTTAGCACCCCCTCCTCAAACTTTCGATTTGCACCCCCCCCCCCCCTCAAACTTTTGATTTGAAAAACTATTTATAATGCAAAAATGCATCTAAAACTAAAATGACATTTTAATTTGTTTTACAACCCATTTTGGCGCCCCCTAAGGTCGGCGCCCGGGGACATATGTACCCCCCTCCCCCCATCGCTACGCTTCTGTGTTGCTAATTACAATTTTTGTTTTTGTTGTTGTTAAACGATTGTCTATTATAAAAAAAAGTGATGTTTGTGAGGAGTTAACAAAGTACAGTGCAGTCCCACTGTACCTTGGCATATAAGCTTAACTCATGTTTCGTGGTTTTCTTCCTTAAGATTTATTCCAGACATTTTTCTCGGGAGTGGTGGGAAGGGGCACTTAAAATTTCCTAGCTCAAATATGTAGGCCTATTTTCAATTTAATTGTTTTTTTTTTCATTTCATCTGGGGGGGGGGGGGGGGCAGAACTGTTTTTTAATTAGCAATACTGTAATGAACATAAATACATTATGTAACGTAAAATATAAACACATCTGTCTGGCATTGATATACGTGTATACCAGCAAGTCAATATATAGAATCATCGCAACAACTAATTTTTTTTGTTAGTTGGTGCCAAAATTTGACTTTCAAGGGAGATAATTCTAAACGCCAGTTGTGCATACATGTTAAGTCAACATCTTTTCTTTTTTTAAGTCTGCCTAATAAACAAAGAAAAAGCTTTAATTACGTGTAAATGTATGAGTATTAAACATATTATGATAATTGTTTTTAAACAGGGTCTGTGGGGGCCTTCGCATACGTTTTATTAAGAAACTGCATCTGAAACATTAACAATTAAATCCGTTTTTTTTTTTCTTATACCTTAACAAGTTTTGGTCATATCCGTGTTTTAGCAGGAAGATTAAAGTAGTTAAAAGTGTACGGTGTCCACTGATGCTTAAAACACACTTCCCATAATGCACAAAAATAGAAACGTTACATTCGCTTGTTACAACACTTCAGGGGGGTGGAGTTTTTAGATAAAGTTGCATGATTGAAGTACGTTAGGCCGGTGACGATCACCGTGAATCATTCAGGACCAGGGTTCGCGGCACGGCTTCGCTGATAGCCCGTATATAAACCGGAGTGTGTTGACAACATCAAAGCATTGGCTCCGCAGCTTGGAGAGTATGGCGGGAATAGAGAAAACAAACATGGGGTGAGTGACAATGGGTGATGTATGTGACGCGACGTATGTGTGTGTGTGTTCTCTATCTATACTATAATTTCATGAGCGTCGTTGGGACGCCACTGTTGATTTTTTTCATAAGACTTAGACGTCAGTCAGGGTCATCTGCTGCTTCTAGTAACACTGCAACTGTGGTTTAGAGGATGGTGTAATTGTAATTTGCTGTTGTGCTGTAGTAGATAGCGTGATTTATAATGAGCTATGTAAGCGTTTGGGTTTAGAGGATTATTGAGCTATGTACAGGGGCGGAACTACAGTGCCGCCAGACCCCGCAATGCGGGGGGGGGCCCATGCCGTTTGGGGGCCCAAAAATCCTGGCTAAATTATAATTTCTTTTTTTAAATTTAAATAAAAAAAATTAGGTGGATGTCGAGTTATCTTTCTTCTACAGTTACAAACAAACACGATAGTCGGCAAACGTCTTTGAGAAAAATGCACAGACTATAGCTCGAGAGACCGCCAGACATATAGACAACTTCAAAGACGCAACCTACCGTTCTTTTTTAGTGGCGTCGATTAGGAGAACAAAAAAGCTTTGAAAATCGGGCTGGGGAAATGTTGCGGCGACTATCCTGGTCTTCTAGAATCTAGACGACCGGAAAAAGTCGGCGCTATTGATGTAGATGTTCATCGGCGCTTTCTTGTCCCCTTCCCTTGAACCTTCCCAACTCTCTACCCTCCCCCCCCCCCCCTCCCCCTAACCTCTACCCCTCACCACACCCTTACTTTTACAATAAGATGTAATGCATAGATTAACGAACCGTTTATGAACTACTGAACTGTAAACTGACCACTTCTGCACATTTTGTTAAAGACACTAGTCGGTAGTTGTTCATTTACCTTATGAAGTATTTCGTTGACGAATCTAATTCACACAACAAGGAAGGTAAGACTCGTCTTTATAATATTAATCGTTTTATAATTAGTACACGTATTAATGGAACATTAGTTATTAACACTAAATACATTAAAGTTAAAAATTTTTAGGATACAATGATCTAGCTTTTAAGCCTAAAAATAACCAAAAGATCTATACAGGGGCGGAACTACAGTGCCGCCAGACCCCGCAATGCGGGTGGGGGGGGGGCAGGCCGTTTAGGGGCCCACTGCTGACCATAATTAGTATTTTTTAAAATTTTGAATTTAATTTTCGTGCATTTTTGCCTTGATATTTAGTTTGTAAAAGAAAAACACTGTAGCTGCGGTACGATTATCTTTATTTTACAGTCACTATACCACGCTCTTCAGCAAAAAAATAAAATCCATTACACAAAATACAGTGTAAAATATAGGCAACGCTTCAAATTTGAATGACACATTTGACTCGTTGCCCCCCTTTGATAGCTAAATAGAGGGCACGTAACTGTTTGACCGATCCTCCAAAGTGTACTGTGGCGGATGGGGCAGGGGATGGGGATCAAATTTCTTTTTATTTATAGTTGTATTTTTTAACCATCGTCAAGAGTTCTATTTCCCCACAATCAAACACACGCTGTCGCCGGCAAAATTCTTTTTAAAAAAAACAACAAAGACCATAGCACGAGAAGCCGCTACATATGAAGTGGCTTTCATGATGCGCGGTTCTTTGCGGCATAAGTTAGGGACCCGCCGAAATCCATTGTACATTTTTCAATGTTAATATGTGTTTGTGATAGTGGTTGAATTTGTATTCTGTACTATCTTGAATCCTACAAATAATAAAAAAGAATATAATACTAGAAACTTCGTTTTTATATACATTTACTTTTTTTTTTTTACTTTTACAAGAAATATCATAGTAAACTTTTAAGGCCTATACTTGGAATTATCTCCACTGAGTAAGTTTTTTAATGGGCGGTGGTACATAGGCGCTTTGTTGTCTCTTTCAAGATTTTTCCCTAGCCGACCCCCATCCCATCCCTCTTTTTAGCCTCGCAAGTATCGAGTAGACCAATGTATCGTTTATGAACTACTTCCTAACCGTACGATTCACCACTTTAGCACATTTTGTCTGACATTAGACAGCACTAGTCAACAGATATTGATTTATTTGCATAGTATTAGTATTAGGCACATCTAATTCACAAAACAGGGAAGGTAAGATTATTTTTTATATAATTATGTAGAAATTAATTAGAACGTTTAAAATTAATTGAACATTATTATATAATTAATAGTCAATTACTATTTATAAATGACGTTATTGAGGTGGGGGTGTGTGAGGGTCTGGCTTTTTGTTAGTCGTTAAAAAATGTGACGTCATTTGTGGATTCCCCCCCCCCCCCCTCCTGAATCAGAAGGTTATCCGACGCGTGAGCTGGCCACATACAGTTGTGCATGTGAAAAACATGTTTCTGTTTATTTTGCATTACTGCATATTTACCCAATCGCCATGAAAACTTTGGAAGCTGTTGAGGACAGCCCAGGGGAGGAACCAGTGCCGCCAGACCCCGCAATGCCTGGGGGGGGGGGGGGGGGGACCAAGCCGTTTAGGGGGCCCACAGCCGCCCATAAAAAAAATTTTATAGTTAAAATTATTTTTCTTGCATTTTTGACCTGATGGTTGTTTTGAAAAAGAATACCGTAGCTGTGGTTGGAGTATCTTTATTCTATAGACACCATCCCACGCTCTTGTATATTCTTTTTCCTACAAACACACGCTGTTGTCGGCAAAATTCTTTTGAAAAAACATCAATTGCGCGAGAGACCGCTAGATATTAAGACGGCATTTTGAGACCATCCCAAATTTGGTACTGATGGATAAAATCACATCGGTGCTTTGTTGTCCCTTTTAAGTTCCTTTCTCAGACCTCCCCTCCCGCTCATAGCCTCACAAGAAGCGAATAGATAGCGCCTCAACAACTAAGCTGGCTCATATCGGTGGTAGTGTAGACAAACTAGCGCTCCAACAACAACGCTGGCTCGAATCGGTGGTAGTTTTGATAAACTAGCGCTCCAACAACTAATATCCAAGAAATAAAGTGCCTACATTGTTTACGTTTAATAACCACTGTTCTAGAGAACAAGGCAGACGTCTCAATTGAATACACGAATGATAGCGTGTTATATATATACATATATATATATATATATATACATATATATATATATGTATATATATATATATATATATATATATATATATATATATATATATATATATATATATATATATATATATATATATATATATATATACATATATAGGGGGGCCCAAAAAATTTTTTTTGCGGGGTGGCCCATTTTTTCTAGTTCCGCCACTGGCTATGTAGTGTGGTGTTGTATGTTGTGGTGTGCTATAGGGGGTAGTCATTAGCGGAGTGAGTTTAGAATATATATATATATATATATATATATATATATATATATATATATATATATATATATATATATATATATATATATATATTCCCTAGTATAAATTAATCTCAATTCGCTAATTACTAATATCTAAGACATCACATAAAAGCAACTTAGACCTGTTATCTACATATCTACATGTTATCTACATATATATATATATATATATATATATATATATATATATATATATATATATATATATATACTCAAAGAAGAAAATTAAAGTAAAAGTAAGTAATATTCCCTTTTCGAATCAGACGGTACATGGGTCAAGTGAAGTAGAGTTCGTCCGTTGTGTTTTGTTTATTTCCCGCGAGGAGAGTATATTTATCACACGAGCAAGTTGGGAGTGAAGTAAACTTTAATTACTTGAGTTAAGCTTTATTTAATAGATAAATAACTATAGTTAGTGTGTTTTATTTTCTATTTGTGTTGTAGAGTAATCAGGAAATGCAACAACAAAAAAATCACTTAACTCCATAATGACTAAACCTCACTCGCACGTTATTTCATAATTGCTTTTCAAACCTATTACGACATTTAGAAAGTGCGAACATTGATTTTATGAAAGTGCCATCATTGACTAGATGATAGAGTTACTTCCCTTGAATGAATGTCAGCACTTTGCTCTTTTGTTGGAGCAAGTTATCGCGAGGCTATTTTGTAAGTTGAAAGCGCTCGATCTAATGTCATCACAGCTGTTGAACGGCTGCAATCGAACAGCCCGAATCAATGATTTGACAATCGGGAAGCAAGATGTTTTTTTAACTTAATGTTTCAAAATATGAAATATGTATAACGTAATCAAATAGTATTTTTGAGTCTAGGCTCTTTATAAATATAATTATATCAGTAGTAACAAATAACACAGCGGAAGTTAAATTTAGCTTTAAGAAAACAACTTCCGGTTTCTCTGAATGGATTCTTTCAAAAGTTTTTTAACACAGACACGCATGATCTAGATTAAATCTAGAAACAATGCAACTAGACCCAGATGCTATGCTTTTTCACGCTACTCTGTTCGCTTTACTTTTTATTTTGGCTCGGTATATTTAGGGTAAGGTTTAGAGTCAGACGTATCGTAAATCGGCCAAGGGCCAATAATGGGACCGCACCTTAAAACTCAAGCAGTCATTGCAATGGTGAGGGCAACCGATTGCCGTTGAACTGTTATCACTGGGGTCTCTAGCAGGTTAAACCCCGGGGTCGGTCACGTGAACACGATGCTGTTGGCACTATCAGATATTACCTTTAACCTTATTTGAGCCCGCTTCAGTCAAATTAATTGTCTCACGTTGACGTCTGCTTGTACGAGAAATCAATGAATGTTTGGTTGGAAGCCAAACAGTCACCCAACCACGTGAGGAAGTGTACCCGTTTCAGTGACGTAACTCTAGAAAGATCAACTTTGACATGATCGGGTTTTAAAAACGTGAGGTCAGCTCTAACTCTGGCCTACATTTCCAAAAAAATAGTCCAAAGTTTATCATAGCTAGAAACGGTCATTAATAATCCTCTTAAAATAGTAACACCAGTCTCTTCCGCTTATGTTTCTAGTCACATGTTCAGGGGTATACAATAAAAGAGGTCGCTGGGGTAGAGTAACCGATTTTTACCCGTCCATCTTTAAGTGTATTTTGTTACCCCTACAGTATCATTATAATGCTCTAGAAACGCGTCATGAAAAGGTAAACGAAAAGATAACAAAACAATTGGGCCCAACAGTTGAACGAGACATATAGTCAGACATTCTTCCAGGCATCTCTTCGCCCCACCTCCCCCCACCCGAACAAAATGGAATTTGATATAGAAAATATATACTTTACCAGTGTCCCTCGGAGAAAAAAAAGTCTGAAAGAAACACTGCAAACAGTCTCATTTCTGTTGAAATACCAACATGAGCTAGGCAGAGATTTTAGGAGAGCCCCCCCCCCCCCACCTCAAATGGATCCCCAAAAGATAGTTTTGTAAATATAACTATCCACAATTAGTGTTGAGAAAATGACAGAGGACTGTGGAGACCTTTGGTTGGCGGCCCATACCCAGCAGGGGTGATGGACACTGATGATGATGATCCACAAAAATTATATGATTTTTATTGATGTTTTTTTTTTTAATTTAATTGTTCGTACATAATTTATAAACCGATTAAAAAAAATTAAATCTTTATTTTTCAGTGGGACACACCCATACCCGAACCCACAAAACGGCTCCTACCAACATGCGCCTAATCCTAACCCGCCCCTGAGTTACATCCCACCGCCCCAGTCCGCCCCGTCCCACTGTGTCCCCATGGCCCAGCCCGGCGCCTCCTACACGGCGGACGCCAGCCTGCCCACGTCGAGGCCGCTCGCTGGCTTTGAGAAAAAGTCCATCCTGGAGGCGTACATCTTGGCCGTGTCGCCGCTAGGCCTGCTGGGAGCCCACCACTTCTACCTGGGCCGCTACTACTGGGGCATCGTCTACTTCTTCACCCTGGGGCTCATGGGGTGCGGCTACCTCATCGACTGGTTCCGGGTGCCCTTTCTGGTCAGGGACTACAACTCCCGGGAGAGGACGGCCAACGGGTGTGTAGAGAAGAAAACCGTCTCCGACGCCTACACTATGTGGTTTCCTTTCGGGCTTATAGGGTTTCATCAGTACTATCTGGGCAACTACGCATGGGGCGCCGTATACACCTGCACCCTCGGCTTGTTTGGAATAGGTTGGCTCATCGATTTGTTCCGGATACCGTCTTTAGTGAAGACCTCCAATGAACGGATGCAAAGCAACGTGTATTACGACCAGGAGAAAAATCTGTGTCTGGCGTACGTCCTGGCTTTGACGACGGGGTACCTCGGGGGTCATCACTATTACCTGAACCGCCCCATCTGGGGCGTCCTGTACACGTTCACCCTGGGTCTGATGGGGATGGGCTGGGTCTACGACTGGATCCGCATGCCGTGGCTTGTCCAGCGCGCCAACCACGAGGTCAAGGGTCAGAGGTCGACCAAAACGAAAACCGTCGACGACGCTTACATTCTTTGGCTACCGTGGGGGTTTTTGGGGTTCCACCACTTCTACCTGGACCGACCCCTGTGGGGGTTTCTGTATTTCTTCACCTTGGGCCTGCTGGGGATCGGATGGTTGGTGGATTTGTTCCGGATACCCTCTCTGGTGAAGTCAGTCAACAAGAAGAACGAGGAGCGGGAACGGATCTTTATCGAGACTCTGTCGAGACAACCACAGGTGCCGCCATGTCAACAGATCGCTTACGTGAATCAAGGTAAGTCTCTACCAATTCCTCCATCGGGTTTAGAACTCAGGACATTATCGTTTTTTTCCCCTAAATCTTTTGTTCAGTATAGCAAAAATAAAAAATAAAAAAATGCAACTCCAAAACGTTGAGTCTTCTGTAGGCCTATTCGAGAAAAAAGATGTATAAAACGAGTTGGTGTTCTCTTTTTTGCCTAGGCGTGGGAATTAGTAACAATAGTATTGGAACTAATAACAGTAGCAAACGAACTAGTAGCATTAGCACACTGAACACAGTGGCGTAGGCAGGTGGGGGTTAGGGGGGTCATAACCCCCCATAGACCCCTCGGTATATATATAAAGTATGAGGGGGGGGGGGGTGTAAATCGAAAGTTTGAGGGGGGTGCAAATCAAAAGTTTGTCCCCGGGTAAAAATTTGAACCCCCCCCCCTCCCCATGAGACGATCCTGGCTACGCTACTGACTGAACAAGATGTAATGGCCGCAGACCTACTGTAATTTTTAAAATATAAACACAATCTGGGGAAAAAGCGGTATTATAATGACCCTTTTTAGTAAGAAGAACAACTTCTTCTTAACCTGGGTTCGGTAAGCAAGTCTCAGGGGTTCGGCGGAGGTCAAGATACGCACCCGACTTATATGATTCACGATCGGAATTTGTCAGTGCGGACGATAGAACTATTAAGAAGGGTTCGGTGATTGCGCATATGTAGCTGGTGGGGTTCGTTACCTCCATAAGGGTTAAAAACCACTGTTGGAGTGAATATTTAGACTGTCTAAAGCCCTAGCTACACAAATAGGCACTTTTAAAAATGTCATCTCCCTTAAATACCACCCTCTTGCTAACATTAACGTAAACGCAACTCATCTTTTAAAAATAAAACCTTTCACTAAACGAACATTGTTGTTGTTTCCTTTGTATACAGAACGCTCCCACTAACCCTAACCCGCTGACTAGAACTGATTTCTCTCTTTCCCCCTCCCCCCCCCCCCTTTTCAGGTTACCAGACCTACGGCATGGCCAACCCGAGCGCCTACACGCCCACCTGTCAACCCGGCCCGTACCCCCAGCAGGTGATCGCCTACCCCAACAACGTGGGCTCAGGGGCGCCGTACTACCCTCAGGCCGGCTACCCCAGCTACCCAGATGCCATGCAGCCACCCCCGTACTCGCCCAGAGAGGCCGGAACTGACGGACAGGAAGCAGGCATTCTGCCACCAAAGACCAACGTTTAGACGACAGTAGAGCATGTCCTACGAATAAATTACATGATAAAATTGGAAATAGATTTTTTTTTACTTAAATATAAGTTATACCTGAATAATGTTAACTTGTTTTGACAGTACATGTTTGATGAACTAAAAAACTTTTTTGTCATTTGCCATCATAACAGGCATATTTTTTTACACCATGGCAAATAGGATAAGTCTAAGTAGTAAGTAAGTACGTAAAGTAGAAATGTAATGACTAAGAATTCATCTGGGATGTAGATCTAGTAAATTAGTTTTGTATTTTATTACTTTTATATGTATGGTGTGCTTGCTGCCACCTTTTGTTCAACGTTTAGTGATTTTTTTTAAATGGTTAAATGACTTGTTAATCTCTGATGAAATGTTCACCCAGCTCTGATGGGTACCTGACTCGCATTGGGAAAATTTAAAGACCACTGGGCATAGTGCTAACAATCCCTTCATATTCTGTGATCAAGAAATATATTAAGTCTACTTCATCTGTTTAAAAAGGAATGTTTATAAATTTTCCAACTGATTTTTAATGATTTTATTTTTTGAAAACTTTTTTTATATTTACTTTTGTTTTTATATAATTACGAGATTGTATATCATAAAGCACAATTAAGAAATAGATGAATTAGAACTGACTGATGTTAAGAGTATTTAGAGTTAACTACCTTAAAGTCCTGTCAGAAACAGTTCTATTTGCCAACTATTGTGCTATTGCCTATGTTCCCAAGCACTAGTAATAAATTAATAAGCAAGATCACCTAATCTTTTTGTCAAATTAGGTGTATACAATTTAATGTTTTTATTTCCTCATTATATTTCATTTTAAAAAATCTTGTTGACCAATTAATAAAGCATTTAATGACACATTCCCAAGTGCAGGTAGCCCAACACAAAAGATTATACAAAGGGAGGTAACCCAGTGACTTTGGCAGAGTTATTTCAACAATAACCAGTTCCATTTTGATAGTTACAAATTTGTATTGAAATGTATAGTTTATATATTCTTCTATGATATGACACCACAATGACTTTAGCAGCTTTTTAAGAACTTTGGGTTTTTTGACAAAAAATGATTTAAATAATTCAAATGTTATTTTTTTTTAGAAATAAATTTTGATGTATGTGATCTTTGATTGCTTTTCTTATTCCATTTAAATAAAGTCAGAAAATTCATGTACTTGATTATGATTTGTTGTTTCATTCAAATAAAAGGACATATTGATTAGAAAAGTTGAAAGGTTTATTTTTTAAATATAAAGATTAGCTCTAAAATATACAACAGTAGAGCCATACATTTAGACTTGTTTATTACTGAACATAAATTAATGGATAAGGTCAACCATAGTCTTTACTGTTCTCTGTTACAAGCGGTTTGACAAGGGATTCATCAACTGAAGTTAACTGAGGATTTGCTTCAACTTTGCCTGATGAATCTTCTGTGAGCTGACAAGATGATGCTTCTGATTTGGCTGGTGTGTCTCTAATACAACACGAAGAAAGAGCAGCAGGCAAGCTTGCTGTGTCAGAGGCTTTTACCTCTTCTTCATCTTCACCCTCTTCTTCGTCTTCCTCCTCTTCTTCATCTTCGCCCTCTTCTTCCTCTCCACTTTCATCCTCTTCACTCTCCTCATCGGAGCTGCAATATTCAACAAAATAAAGCACTTCGTAAATCTATCTACACTAAAATTACTGACTACATTATTCTAAAAATAAAGGTAACATTTAAACACATGGTACAACTTACCTGGATGGAGGTAAATCTCTAGGGTGGTTTGGATTGCAATGATCCATGTCCATATCAATGAAAGTCCAATCTGTGGAATAACATGTATTTGTATTTACACTGGTTAAGAAGGTAGCCAATATTTCTACTTACTCTGGTTAAGACTGTAGCCCAAATTTCTACTTACACTGGTTAAGAATGTAGCCAATATTTCTACTTACACTGGTTAAGACTATAGCCAATGTTTCTATTTACACTGATTAAGGCCCTAGCCCATATTTTTATTTACATTGATTAGGACAATATTTCTACATACATTAATTGAGATTATAGCCAATGTTTCTATAGCCCATATTTTTATTTTCACTTTGATTTAAACTACAGCCCATCTTTCTTTTTACAATGGTTAACCAATGATTCTGTTTCCACTACAATTAAGTCTATAGCTTAGCTTTCAATTTAAGCCATGACACACAACATATCTAACCTTTGAGTTTATTCTCCTGGCTCTCATCATACTGCTTGGCTAAAACTTCTTTCTGCACAGCAACCACATCAGCACTTGTTTTACAGCCAGCATAGCTGCTCAACAGTTCTTCATTCACAGAATAGAATGATGAGCCCCATTTGAACTTGGACAGCAAATTTTCAGCCAGATCTGACAAGCCTGGCACAAAAATATTACAGAAAAAAGAAATTTTAGAAATATTAATTTCAAAGACAGTTAGCAAAAACATACCAAAAAAACAACAGCATAATAATAAAAAACCAAGCTTAACATTACAATAAGCAAATATTGGACCCATATTTGCTTACACAGGCTGTTTTTTTTTTAAAGATAAATTAAATCACATTTAGATTGTTTTGTCTGACTGATGCTCTTTAGTAATACAGAATCAATATTTGTTTATTATTATTTGAAAACTGATAATAACCTCAAATAGTTGGCAAAAAGTGTTCATTTCAAATTTCAGTTAGAAAGAGTTCAAACCACAGAAATGAAGAGCTTGAAACTAAGCACAAAAAAAGTAAATGGTTGTGTACAATTTAACAGCTCTTGTCTAACATAACATTAGATTACCTGTAATGTACAGTGTTGCTGCAATAGCCTCTACACATGACAGCTTGCAAGGTCTGCCGTAATTGATGGGATTGGCTGCTACAAGATAAGGAAGTAAACGTGCATGATCTCCCTTCATTTTGGCAAAAGGTGTTTCCTGTAGTTTAGCCCAGCTGCAATCAACCACTGCGATTCCATTTTGTTCAATGATGGACCTAAAGAAGAATTTAAAAAAAAAAAATTTTAACTGTATCATATTGAGATTGCCTTATGAGGTGTACATTACTATACAAAGCAAAAATCTTAAGTGAAAGTAGCAAACCTAATTTTTTTTTAACATAATAGTAATTGGATGTTTCTTTAATAATTTAATAAACAAGTACAACAGGAAAGCTATCTACCTGTCTTCTGGGGCAACACATTTGGATCCAACAGGTGACAGAACTAGTCCATTAAACCTTTGATTCAGACGCAGGGTTTTAACAAAGCCCATACGTGCAAGTTTCCTCCCGGTGCATTTTTTAGGATCACAGTGTTCTAAATCCCACATTGCAAGAGGCAATGGAAATCTAGCAGCTGCTGCACCTTCTAGAAATGAGTCAGTCAAAATACTTTTGTTCATATGATGATCAGAATATAGTGCTCACACAATTGTCATAACTTATTATAAGCAACACAATTTTAATAACAAAGTCTTGAATTCTAAATTATTATTCAATGTGATTGTTTTTTTGTATTTTATACAGTGCCATGCAAGTGGGACAGTGTGGCCTAGAGGTAGACCGTTAACTCGAAAGTCTCGAGTTCGAAACTGGGTTCATGTCAGTGGAACATCTGTGAGTCCACCCAGCTTTGATGGGTACCTAACTCACGTTTGGGAAAGTAAATGCATAATGCTGATCACATTATCCCTTCATTATTCAGGATCAGCATATATTCTTATTTTGCAGACCTACACTTTCTACTATTTCAATTAGCAGCTTGCTAGCAAATCCTTTCTTTAAATATCAAAGACTTAATGGAATGGAAGATTGATCCCATTTTTACAAGTACTCCCAAAAACGAGGGTGTATATAAACAATGAAATCTGAAGTAGGTTATACCAAACCACCTTAGTGAATAGAAAACTGGCTGCCAACTTAGTAATGTGCTTCTAGATATAAAATAAATTAACCTAGAAGTTATGTTCCGATCTGCCTAGAATCTATATCTAGGTAAAGTTTTTAAATGGCACGACTTAAATTTAAAACATAACTTTAAATTTTAAAATGATGTTTATTGTCAGTCACTGAAACAGTAAAACTTCTCAGTTACTCTGTATTACTTGTAGTAGATCTTGTACTCATGTCTGCTCCAAGTTAGTTGAAAACACTAAAAACTAAGGGTTGTTTGGGTCATCGCAGGATATTACTTTACTTTACTTACTTACTATATCGCAGGATATAGGTTCAGAAAATATCCGGTAATGTTTGTTTTGAGTTTCGTAAACATTTGTTACTATGAACCATATTTTATTCTATCAAATAAGTATAAATAAAGTTGAGTGAAGTAATTAATGCTTTAAAGTTACTTTAAGTGACATAAGGAACAGAAATAAAAGCATGCAGAAAATTTGCAATATTAGTAGATCTAATAAGGGACTAGGGTCTATAAATAATAATTAAATAACAACGTCAAGTTTTAGTGTAATATTTTTTTAAACAAAGAGATTAAAACTAGCAGAAAAGAAAAAAAATGATTAGGGCCTAGCCTACTTAATTAATAAAAAAGACTAGAACACTGTATAGTAAAAATTGATTAGCAGTAATAATTAGCAAAAATGTTAAAACTCATTAGTAATAGAAATTTATTAGCAAAATAGTCTTTAACTACAATCCCTCAATGTAAATTTGTAAATGCTAGGCTACTTATTACAATTATCAATTAAAAGATCAAAATTATTCTGGTTGACTACAAAACTACATACAGTACAGTACTTCGGTCTTCAGGTGTATTGGCCTAGTATTAGGCCTATTGGGAAAGGTGTGGCAGACTGTACTGTTAATTTCTATTTCCTTTTACTGTTAATAATAATATAGCCTAAATAATAAATAATCCGGAATAATAACCACCATATTATCATGAAATTACCAGAGTCTTTTTTTTGTAGTTTGTAGTAAGTGTGGTGATGTAGCTAGAGTTTTGAGTTCTAGCCTCTAATCTAGCTATGGTGTGTGCCCTGTGTTGTGTAATGATTTGCACTCGTACTGTGTAGTAAGTAGTAGACTGTAGGCCTAGTTACAATATGTTGTAGAATCTAGATCTATTATAAGTGTTATAACTATAAATAAGACAAGTAGATCTAGATCTAGAATTCTAGATCTAGTCCTAGTATAAAGTCATAGTCATTACTGACATCATGTCACTGACACTTGTCACTTGTGTTAGTTAGTACTGTTAGTGATACTGGTTAGTTATTTTTATTAGTTGTGTAGACTTTGTGATTGTGTAGTGAGTAGTGTAAGACTAAGAGACTAAGAGTGGGTAATCTATCGTTTTGGGTACGTAAAATCGCCCGCGACTTGTAATGTGAAAGACAGGTGACTCCTTAAATTTTAATAATTATTTCACATTTTGAGGAGGATTTATGTTTTGAAAAATTCAAAAATGTTTCCTTGTTTCATTTATGTACCTGTTTTCAAACAATTGAATTAAAACTTTTCAATAATAAATGAAGACTAGCGATGTTTCCAACAGATGCAACCATTCTCATTTACTATAGCAGCCATCTTGTTTAAGTTCTTTCTTTGTTAACTTATAGCGCAAGATTCAGGGGAAGGCAACTCTATTTTACAAATGGCTGCTGTTTATATAGGAAATCCTGCTCGCAAACACTGCTGTTTAAAGTTAATTTCGGTAATCTATCATTTTGGGTACGTAAAATCGCCCGCGGCTATTAATGTACGAAAACGTTACCTCATTGTCAAGGCTTTAATAAAAGTTAATTGTCATATATTTGTGTCAAATATTATAGATACATGAATAATAAACCTAAATCAATGGCTAAATATATCGATATAGGCCAGAAATTAACTTTAAACAGCAGTGTCTGAGAGCAAGATTTGCTATATAAACAGCAGCCATTTGTAAAATAGAGTGGCTTCCCCCTGAATCTGCGCTATAAGCTTATAAAAATAAAACTTAAACAAGATGGCTGCTATAGTAAATGAGCATGGATGCATTTGTTGGAAACATCGCTAGTCTTCATTTATTACAGAAAAGTTTTAATTCAATTGTTTAAAAACGGGTACATAAATGAAACAAGGAAACATTTTTGTATTTTAAAAAACATAAATCCTCCTCAAAATGTGAAATAATTATTAAAACTTAAGGAGTCACCTGTTTTTCACATTACTAGTCGCGGGCGATTTTACGTACCCAAAACGATAGATTACCTTAATTTCTTGCCTATATTGATATATTTAGCTATTGATTTAGGTTTATTATTCATTTATCTATAATATTTGACACAAATATATCAAAATATACATCTATTAAAGCCTTGACAATGAGGTAACTTTTTCGTACATTAGAAGCCGCGGGCGATTTTACGTACCCAAAACGATAGATTACCTAAGAAGAGTGTAAGTGTTAGTTTGAATAGTTAGTTACTCATTACTCAAGTTTTTAGTGTGTTGTACTTTGACTCAAGATTTTTGTTCCTAGTTTATTCTGACCTTCTCGTTCAGTTTCATGACTGAAATCATGTTCTTGAGATGTTTTATTTAGATGTTGAGTTCGTCTGTCGTGTTTATTTTGACCAGTGTGATGTTTGGTTCGTTTCACAACAGAAGCTGTCTGCTGTCGTTTCGTTTTCCCCATTGTAAATGCTTCCGGTTGTTTCTGTACATGCGCGTTGAAGTCCTATTCAACTTCCTTTTTGGGGTCTTGTGTCAGAGAAGACAGGTATTGCTAATTTTAATTTCCAAAATCTTTATTCAATCCTTATAAATTAGAAATTTGTGAACAACAAATGCAATTTTTTAATATTTAAAAACTTAATTAAATGCGTTTTAAGTGTATATTTGTACATTTCAAAGGGGTTGAACTTATTTAAAATATTATGAATTGGTCCAGTCATAGTAAGTGTAATCATACTGTGGACCGATGCTGCAGAGTTTGGTATAAAAACTGCAATGATTTGTGGAAAAACTTTTTTTTTAAACTTTCATTGTCTCATCATTGAAGTGTTAGTCTTCAAGGCCACAGTGGGGAAGATGAATTAAATTATTAAATTAGATTAAAATTATGCCGCTGCATCTCGAATCTGACAAAATTCGTAATGTGGCCACAATTCTCATGTTCTGTGTTGTGGTCCAGTTTTTCCAAACAATTAGTTAGGCCTATTTTATTACTTTATTAGATTCTAGATCTAGCTTCAAAGCCTACCCTAGTTATTAGTACTTAGCATAGAGTAGATCTAGAATGCGCAGATGATTTTAGGAATGATTAGATACCGGTGTCTGATAATACTAGACTTGGGTGTAGTAAAGACTGTAAAGTAGGTACTAGGATAAATTTTTAAAATTGGTTTTTTAGGGAAACAACTACTACAGTTAAAAGGAGCAGAAAATTACAATAACAGAACAGTTTTCCTTTTTGATGTAGCTCAAACGGTTAAATAGTTATGATTTTTTTTCGTATTAAAAAATGTGATTTTTTTAACAGGATTTTTTCAATTTCTGTGATAGAGTTTTTTTAAGCGTTTACTAAAATTGTCCTAGCTTGTAAACCATATGGTCAAATTTGTTATAACTTTGCAATATCTTTATTTATTATATATGGAAGCATAATAAACAATAAAATTAGAAATTTATGGGCAGAGTAAAACAAAAACAGAAGTAGAACAGGGTACCCCCCCTAATTTTTCATATACAGTGCATTCATACAATCTCAGTTAAAATTTTAACTATTCAGAAAATTAAGCTCAAACTTGCTGAGAATGATGAGCTATGGATGTTTCAGTTATTACAATCAAATTAATATTCATAACTGAAAAGATTTTTGTTTTAACTGCTACAAAGCTGATAAATTATACAATTTCGCAAAACCGAAGTCTTGTTGATGTGACATGCAACATAATGGCAAATTTGAGTTATTAAGCACTTAAGTCTCAAAATTTGTCTAGCTCAAGATAACTCTATTCTTAAACAGAAGTAATCAAAATATGTGTTTAAATCTATCTGTTTAACAAAAAATAAGGGGTGGAACAGGGTACACCCCCTATTTTTAAATACTAAATTTGTTCATACAATATCAGCTTATGTCCAAACTATTTGAATCTAAAGCTAAAAACTAACCAGAGTGAAGCTCTGAAATAAGTGTGTTTGATGGTTCTATCTAAATAGTTGACAAATAGGTAAAATATGGTAAAAAGGTAAAACGCTGAGTCATCGACGCACCTGACATCATTGAAAAACTGAACTAATATAGGCTATGTAAAAAAATGATGGCAAATTAGATCTATTAGAAATGTAAGGTCTTTTATTTGTATAAATGTAATTAACTTGTAAGTCTACTTATAAATATAGTTTAATTAAAAAAGATGTGATCTGTCTATTCATTAGTATTTTACATTTCAGAAGAAGTTCAACATTGGACTGGTTGGTTTTAAAAAGATATAGAACTAGTTCATATCACTAAACTTTCAATGTACTGCTTCAAAATTTATTTAAGTTATTTAAAAAAATATTACTTAATTTATTTAAATAAAAGATGAACACATTTATTGTAATAGTTTTAATTCCTCTTTACAGTGTTCCCTCATTAGGCCATATAACTGCTCATCATATCGTAGAGATGTGCTGGTTTTTTTAAGTGTAGGTTCTATCTGGAAAAGTAAACAGTACATTATTTGCTTTCACTTTCACATCAAAATAAATAAAATGGTTTTTCTGAAGACACTAAATATTGAATGTTTATTGCTAACACCGCACCAGACCTTCCCCTCCCCCCGCCCCTCTACTCCACTACCTTCAATATCAAAACATCGTTCGCCACTATTGCCGGCGGCAAAACATCGTTCGCCACTATCGCCAGCGGCAAAACATCGTTTGCAACTATCGCCGGCGGCAAAACATCGTTTGCAACTATCGCCGGCGGCAAAACATCGTTCGCCACTATTGCCGGCGGCAAAACATCGTTCGCCACTATCGCCGGCGGAAAAACATCGTTCGCCACTATCGCCGGCGGCAAAACATCGTTCGCCACTATTGCCGGCGGAAAAACATGGTTCGCCACTATCGCCGGCGTCAAAACATGGTTCGCTACTATCGCCGGCGGCAAAACATCGTTTGCCACTATCGCCGGCGGCAAAACATCGTTTGCCACTATCGCCGGCGGCAAAACATCGTTCGCCACTATTTCCGGCGGCAAAACATCGTTCGCCACTATCGCCGGCGGAAAAACATCGTTCGCCACTATCGCCGGCGTCAAAACATCGCTCGCCGCTATTTTTTTCTATTACCTCCCTTGCCACTTTCGCTTTCGCATTGTAAACAAACGTATTTTCTATAGAGGTAACAAAACTGCGCAGCATATAACTTTTGTGCGCTATGTCCAAACAACTTGATTTTTTGAAACAATAGAGAAAAGTGGTGTAGAATTCAAATAATGCAATTAATTTTCCCCTTTTTATAAAAATAAACAGTAGGGAGTAAATTAAACTTACCTTATTTTCACTGAAATACTCCATCTTGAATAATCCATGAACAAAATTAAAAAAACAACAAAAACGCAAAATGTCCATTTTTTTACGAAAAATCGATAATCGCACGAAAATTTATCGGGCGATAACACCGAGCGATAAAAATTACGAAACTATAGCACTCGCGTCGCCGCAAATTCTCGGCGTCTGGGTAACGGGGACGAAAAACTCGCCGCGCGGGTTAAAACGAGATGTAATCCTAGTACCTACTGTAAAGTATTGTAATCTCGACTGATTTTATGGTTAGGGACAGGGGTTAGCATTGACGTTAGTCAGCCATGTGTGTATTATTTGGTTAACTGCCAGTAACATAACACCCCTTTTTTAAAGAAGATTCTATCAGACACTGCTGTAAAAATTCTCCCCAATAGGCTGTCTAATAATAATATTAATAATACAGTGTCATGAAAAGATCCTGAATTTCTTATATCAGTGTCAGATTGGATAATAGATGTAGAGGTCTAAATCTAGATACTTCTTTAAGAAGAGGGTGTTAAGCTAGTGGTAGTTAACTAAGTACTACATATTGGCTAGCATAAGTCAACTGTTAACTTGCGAGGGTGATTTTGTGATCTAAGTAATACTAATAGATCTAGGTGTCTAGATGTATATTAATTAGTGGATAGAAATATTGTTTTTGTGATTGATACTTGAATGTGTCCAGCTGCCAATGCTTTCTCACGGCTTGATTCAGTTACTCATCAGTCATTTCATGTTCTCTAGTGCAGGTACTTTAATTTATGTAAGAAATGTGTTATATACCCAAGAAACTTATAACCTGGTGCTTAAATATACTTAGGCTCTTAATTTAGATTGCAAAAGTTCCCCTTTTCTGTGATAATCTTATTCACATCTTTCTTTAATTTAGAATGAAGACCATTAACACAACCCAGACTGTAAAGGTGAAGGACAAGAGAGGTAGGAATTATTTGTATAAATTGAAATTTTAAATTGATAAATTTTTGGATTTGCCTGGCTGTTTATTTCTAATAGGTTTTTATGGTTCTCAATCGCTGAGGAGAGGATAACTGTAACGTGTTTGTATAGGTATCACTTTAGTAGTCTTAATAATTTTCTTAAATTTTATTTCAACAGTGACTGTATCAGTCAAGTCACGTAAAGTGACAGTTAAAGGTCCACGTGGTACGTTGGTTCGTAGTTTCCAGCATCTCCCTGTTGATATTTCTATGACATCTCCTAATGAACTAAAGGTAAAATAAAAATGTAGATTTTTAGATTTTGCATTTTATCAATTACCATCTAAACTTGTTCGCTAATTGATGCATCTTCCTCTGGGTAATACTTAGCACTTTGTTTTATTCTAAGGTTGAAAAATGGTTTGGTAAGCATAAGGAAATCGCTGCAGTCACCACTGTATGTGCTCACGTGAAAAACATGATGAAAGGTGTTACTGTGGTAAGCTTTTCTTTACAGAATTTAAGTATAACTACTTTACCAAAACGGTGCTGTGCATCCAGTTTTGTAGATCAGGTCAGAGCAGGAAATGTTTTATCTACATTTTTCTTGTTCTGTCACTAGCCATTGATTTTTATTAAAAATTTCTTGGTATAGCCAGTTATAGTGTAATTAAGATTAAGTTGAATTGGGCTTTGATTATTATTTAACTAGTGTAGATATTTTAGTAAAAGTTGTTCAGGAAAGGTTGAGTTTATTTAAAATAGCATTTTCAAGGAACACATTTGTTGAAATAATCAGAAAAGTAAAGGGGTTTGTTTTGGATTGATATTTTAAATTATTTAACTGTTTAGACTATTTTACTGTGTATTGGTTTTTATTAAATAATTTTTCGGTGTCAGCATTAAACTGCTGGCTTGGGGGAAGTATGTCAAATATTTTATTAGCTTTTTTTTTCTTTTTAAGGGTTTTCTTTACAAGATGAGAGCTGTATATGCTCACTTCCCCATTAACGTAGCAGTCTCTAACAACAACACCAGTGTTGAGATCAGAAATTTCTTGGGTGAGAAGTTCACTCGTCATGTTGATATGTTGAAAGGTGTAACATTCAAAGCATCTGGTAACAAGGACGAGTTTATTCTTGAGGGGAATGATGTTGAGTTGGTCTCCAGATCAGGTAATATAACTGCTATATTTAAATTAATTTTTAGTTGGTTGCTTTGTTCCTTCAGTTTAATCTATGATATTCACAATTTCTGTGCTAAATGCATGTCTTTTTTTTTTTTTTTAGCTGCTTTGATCCAACAGTGTACTTCTGTCAAGAACAAGGACATTCGTAAATTTTTGGATGGTATCTATGTGTCAGAGAGGACAACTGTTGTTCAGGAATAATTGAGTCAATAAATTATGACAGTTTTGACCGTTTTTATTGTTGAATTTATTATTAACCTGGCTAATCTTTTAAAAATTGCTTGGAGTTAGCTTGGTATGGAAAGTAAGTTTGGTGGAAATGGAAGATTCACACAGAAATTAAAGTGAGGGGTGCTTTCTCACTGTGTCTGGCTAATTCACTTGTCAATTAAACTCCTTTCAGGTTCTGTCATGGGGATGCAGTAAGTGCAAAACAAACTCCAATTTAAAATTGTTTATTGCAAAAAAAAATATATATATACACAGGCATTTGCTATCCCTCTAGCAATGAGTATGTGAACATTCAAAAACAACCTACATATCAAGGGCTACACCTGTGTACAAATTATTAACACAGCAGTTTAATTGACCTTTACAATACAGGGTCCGTAGCGGACCTTGAATCCTTGAAAAACCCTTAAATTCCAAAAAACATCTCAAGGCCTTGAAAAACCCTTGAATTTCCCCAAAAATGAGCAAAACCCCTTGGATTTTATAGGTAAACCTTGAAAACCGTGCGTAAATCGAATTTAAAAAAAAAATTCAATTCTGATAGATCTAAATTTTTTCTGGCTTTTTTTTTTTTTGCCGTGGGTCTGCGTTAACTTCGGAGTCTACTATTTCCAACCCTCTCCTTCACTGAGCCTGCGCTATGACCTCAACCTGACCAGTTTTGCATAGGCTTTTCCTAACCTAGATTCTAGATCGTGACGTAAACGATAGCCGAGGGCTAAATTTAGCATCGTTTTTCGGATATCTCCGTTTACGACCGAGTTACTAGATTCTAGATTCATTGTTTTCTGTTAGGGCCTACCTACTTGTACGGTTTTGTCCGTAATTTTTCGATTTTGACACCCCTGTTGCGGAATTAGGCCGCAAATGTTACGCAAAAGCCTACAGTAAACATCAAAATCGATTTAGTGTCGACCTTTTTTTTTCTTGTGTTAAATTTCCGTGTTATCCGGTTCTATGGTTTCAAACATATTCAATCATAACAATCGACGCCCCCCGCCCCGCGAGTGGTCTGTTGTCTCCTGATCGGTGATGTCCGTAAAGAAAAAAATTGGAATGTGGCCTAAATCATTAAAATTCTGGTCGCGCATGGAAATTATCTTGATTATAATTAAACCTACATCTAGAACTAATATTTTTTCTTCAAGAAAATAAGCCTTAGGTTTAAATAAAAAAAGAATAGCCTGAACTATGCGAGCGTAGGTTTCTATTTATTTAAATTAAAATGTTCTCGGTGTGGGTTAAACACAAAAGGGCGAAACGTAGCTGCGGAATTACGGGTAAATAGCGAGACATAATTTATCGAATTATTGTGTTCTGTTATTTTAGATGTGCGAGAAGACACGTTTTTACGAACCTAGATCAATCACGGTTCTTTGTGTACCCCACGATAGCAGATGTTTCGGTCACTGCGACCTTAGAAGGTCTTCTAGGTCTATCTCAAGTTCTCAACTTACAGTGACCTTGCAGTATATTAATAATTAATATAGTCGTGGATCTAGATCTAGATTTTTAACTATTAACCAACAAGATTTCCTAATACCAATAGGTATATTTATCACGTTCGTTAAAAAAACCAATAGCAAATGACGTAATCGTCAATCTCACGTGGGCTATGGACCAAATACACATTGACCGTATCAGATGGGTGAGGCTGTAGACGGAACTTTTTGATGTCATTCTTGACGTGGCTGTCTGGTTATTTATGACGATAGAGGTTGGGGTAAAATTCGCATTAATTACGTGACGTCATCAATGGACTACCGCTAGGCTGCGTAATTAAAAAAAAACTAAATCCTAACATTACCAGCTCATTAGCATCGCCGATTGTCTTCTATAAAAAAGGAAAGATTTTGCGCCGACGTAAAAAAAAAATTGTGTATTTATCAAAAGAAAAGAAAAATAATTTGAAGGACTATGACTGTGCTGTTTTCACTCAACTTTACGGACACTTTTTACCGCATCTCACTTCAAGGTCGCGCTGACCGTAAGACCTACGACACGAGACCACGCGCGAGCACAGTAGTGTCTCACGGTCAAGGCAGTTCTACAAACGATGTTTATCTAATTTTAACGTGGTTATCTTTAATATTGGGCTTACTGCTAGATTAAAGCGAAAACAAAAACTAGATCTGCATCGTTTTAGGTCATTGAACAAAATATGTAGGTCTGCTATAATTTAGTTACACCATCTAGCAGGGTCTAGATCTAATTGATTTTTACTGTGATAAAACGTCCTTGAAATGTTTAAGAAGCCTCGAATTACCGTGTTTGAGAAAATTGCCGCTGTCACTGCCCCCTCCCATCCGCTTGTAAAAAAAAATCCGCTTTTCACTTTATCGGGCGGCTACATCTCTGACATGAGTATTACTAGCGTAGTTACTTGTTTTAAAAAAAAAAAACTTAATTCTGTTATTCCGCGATATGAACCAACTTAAAACTTCCACGATATTTCTTTACGTCATCATGTATATCATAGGTGGGGACATTGGGGTCGTCCATAAATGACGTCACACTCGTAGGGGGAGGGGGGATCCGTAATCGTGTGACGGTGTGTGATGGGGGGGGGGGGTCAGATCGTGTGACATCACACTTTTGCATTATTAAAAAGCAATGTCAGAAAACGAATTTTAGCATTTTAGAAAACTGTTTTAATAAATTGTAAAAGGAATTGATTAAAATACTCTAATTTTGACAGAGTTCAGACAAGATTTTGGGAAAAAAATCCTATTTTAAGAAAAATTGAACTGCAATCAAGGGGGTGGGGGTGTGGGAGGGGTTATAGGCTGAGGTGTGACGTCATTTTAGAGGGCGGGGCCTGGCTTTTTGTGATGTGTGACTGAGGGGGGGGGGGAGGTAATAATCTTTTAAAAAGCGTGAGATCATTTGTGACATTAAGCAGGATAATTTCTACAAGCATAGCTAGGTTGTTTTTTTTTTGTTTCTATATATGTGCAGAGTCCTTTTTAAAGGACTATCAGACAGACGAACCAATGCTTCCTTTTATGTATAATGACCTGATTCTGATTAGCACTTGACATTGACAAGTCATTCAATCGAAGTTGGGTTTGTTGCTGACTCTCTAATAAAGTCTCTAGAAAAAATAAAAAAAGCAAATGAGCTTCAAATTCTCAATTTCAAATCTGATTGTAAGACAACTTTGATCGGATTTTCATCAATTTTTTTTTTTGAAATCTCCATTACTTTAGTCATTAGTGAGAGACTTAGCCTAATGCAAATGTTTAAAAAAAATAGAGCCAGTTCACCAAAAAAATGAAGGGAATTCTTCACATCCTAGTCAACAAATGGAAACTGAATCAGCTGAGTGTGACCAAGTTCTGTTTCAATTTTCAACATTCATAGATACATGTACTCTAAATGGTTGTCTATCTAAATCTAATTGAGAACATGATAGGCTGGACATTTTTTTCATAGAACAGCTTGGTAGCAAAATTTCTTATGTGAACATTTGGAAAATTGTTAGAGATCTATTGCTTCTGTCACATGGTCAAGCCAGTGTTGAAAGAGGTTTTTCTGAAACTAGAAGTTGGAGGAGTGTCATTTGACACCAAAGATACTGATTGCAAATGGGATTATGCTGGACTCTCAGACAATCTCCTGACTTAGATAATTTTGTAATAACACCAACATTATTTCAAAAATTGTATGTGCAAAAAACATACATCACCCTCATTGTAATGCCCGTTAGTGGTAGTTTATACCTTGAAATTCCCCCCAAAATCACCTTGAAAACCTTGAAAAAGCCTTGAATTTTCTTTTGGGATTTGGCTATGGACCCTGCAATAATCACCGTGCAAATGCAATTAACTGAATCTCATTCCACATACACAACTCAATTATCTGCATTAAGATAAAGAGAATTTCATTTAAAACATGATTGATTTGCTGTAATAAAATCTGAGACCTACAATTTATCACTAACCATAACTGCAGAATTTTATGTTTTAAAATATGCTACATCACAATCGGTTGAGTTTAAGTGTTTCATAGTTTGTACTTCTATACAGTTCAATAGAGAATTTTTTAATACTACTTATTTTTAAACAGTTCAGCCTCTTACATTTTTTACCAATTATATGCAACATGAATTATTTCTCACAAGTGAGTTTGACTCACAAAATTGGGGCAGATTTGGTAAACACATATAATCTGCAGTAAACATGCAGTAGCTCAGACAAGTTTTTTTTCAAAGAGGATTCCATACAGAATACAGTGCCTTGATGGTTACATTCAGAATTTTATGGTGCTTGTCATCTTTATGTATGGCGAACATATCAGCGCAATTTTATGTCCCTTGAAATTTATAAAAGAAAAATAGTTATTAACTTACCAGCTGTATGATGGTCAAAACAATTTATTTTTTAAGAAACCCAGCTTGTATATTAAACTAACTAATAAATTATGAAAATTACCTTTTTGAGATCTTAAAAATGGTTCATGGAATATTTGGTGAAGTCGCTTAGCCTGAAAGCAATACATATTAATATAAATATCACATTTGATTTTCTTATACTGATAATAGTTTATTGTAATTTAATTTTGATTGGCCAAAAGTTACCTTTTGTGGACCAAATCCTGGACACAAGGATAAATCTTCCTGACCAGCTTCCATAACATTCGCTAGGCTCTGGAATATTAATTAATAGTAAAGTTGAGCATCAGTGAATAAAACAATCAAATTATTTCTTGATCTTTGATTTTTAAATGTAATTTTATTATATTTTATATACTTCAAATTTACAGTGAGTTAGTTCCATCCATTTAAAATGTTTGGTCCAGAGTATTGAAACTATATGCCTATCTAACCAGCATAATAATGAGCACCTATTTCATTATCAGCAGACTAAGGGGTGTTAAAGGCCTTTAAAAATCTGTAGGCCTACCCTTGTAATAAAAATTCACCATGAATATGTTTCTGTTGAGGAAATATCACATCAACGGGTCTGCCATAAGTGATTTTGTCATATTTTTTGACGATTTTAGCCATCATTGCCATTTGAGTTTGAGGTCAGACACTGTTGAATTTTTAACTTTTTCTAAAAGAAATGTTAAAATTATTTGTATATTCTGCATTGCAAATCCATTCTTTTTATTGGTTTTGTGAAAAAAAAATTAATGCCAAAATGTAACACTGCACATTTTATAAACCCGCTCCTCCATAACCTCTTTGTCCCAAGGTGCATGACTTTATTTTGATTTAACACCTAAAGAAATCTGTCAGTATTCTGTGAAATGAACTAGAAAAACCCTACTAATAATATATATTCAATGGTTTGCTATACTACTTACCCCAAACTGGGATATGAGAGTTTGGCAGTCTGTTTTATTCACAGATTTGACTTGGGTTAAACAGTCTGTAAACTAAAAAATATAATCATCCTCTTACTCTAATGTACACACAACTATAAATGTTAAGTACTTCTATTAAAATAGCTGTGGTTGCTAGGTGAGAAGTGATTAAATGCTGTGCTTTACCTTGGCCATAAAATTCTCTTCTGTTTTTTCCATTAATGCTTCAGGGGGTTTATTTTCAAAAATTTTATATGTTTCAAGGTAACGTCCAGCTTCTTCTGGGCTGAATGAGAAGAAAATATACTAAACACAATTTTTGTTTATATCTATGCCATAAGCTATATTGATATGTAACATTTTTTTAAGCAACATCTTTAGCTTTTTGTAACAAGTATTAACAGTTAACAGGTAAAAAAAATATAGGCCATAATTTTGAAGTATTTACCTAAATGCTAAAATTAATGTACACTCAGCAAGGATGCAAATCTTTGCTAGGTCTTTCAACAAATGATGACAGTCTTTCTTGATTTAAAAATAAAGATTGTTAGTTCTGAATCATTAGCTTTCTTTTCAAACATAAGATATACTGACAATTATTTTGAATATGATGGATTGTTTAAATTATTAAAATATAAAACAAAACAGAAATTGTGAGTCAGGAAAATATCCTCTAAATTTACTAATGTAAAGTAAATGCAGTTGTTTAACAAATATTAAATGTAATATAAAATAACAAAATTTATGCGGCTAAGTAACTAACTCACCACATCTACTTGGACCAACAAAACACGCAACTCATAGCTTTTTCCCAACTGTTTTAGTCTTTCATGAATATAATTTGGGTGTAGCTGGTGATAACGCAAACTGAAATAAATAAGCAGTGTAATGTAATGGGGTAGAAAAATGTAATCAATACTATGCATTAAAGTGAGATTAAGAACAAAGAAATTAATCAGTTACCTTAAAAATAATGCACAGTTGGACTGCCCCATTACATAATCGGCTACTATATTGCCATATTCCCAAGGAATGTTTCGAACAGATTTGAGGATTGGATTTCCTCGCTAATTAGAAATACAAATTATAATTAGGCTTTAGGAATAGGAATTATTAATGTTTAGTATTACATAATATTATCTTTTTGTATACTTTTCATCGGTAATCTGTGTAACAATCAATTCTTTATTTTTCATTGTTTAGTCATGATTAAACTTATGTGGTTGATATTCTTCACAAATGGGCATGGCTGAGCGGTAGAGCCCTAGACAGCTAGCCCTGAAATAAAATCTAGAGTTCTGATCCCGGGTTCGATTCTGTAGGTCATCCCCAAGTCTACCCAACTCTGATGGACACATGACTAACGTTAGGGAAACAAAGGCGACTGGGCATAGTGCTGACAACACTAACCCACTGTGAATGCCGAGGTCCCTGAAACAAATGAACTCTACCTTATCTGTCTTGGGCACGAGCAAGAAAAGATGATGACTTTTCACTAAAGTAGGAACTATTTTCCAGAGTTTAAAATCTTATATGCATTATTTTTAACCAAATTTCTGATTAGAATTATTTGGTCAGCTATTAAGTGCTCTACCACTTGACCATGTTGTCTATAAGTTGCTTGTGTAAAAGATTTACCTGTCTTGGATTGACTATTAATGAATTGGAGGATCCAATTTTGGTCCCAGCTGGATTACTGGAAGAAAAATGAGAGAAAGTTTAAGTACAGTGCATGCATAAAAAGTGAATTGCTGCAAATATGTTACTAAAATTAGCATTTCAATACTCACATTTTGGAAATGTCATTGCCTGGTAAAACGTCTGAATCTTTGCTAGTGGAAATGTGTTCATCGGCCATTGTTCTAAATAGGATAAATTTTTTTATCTTTTAAATGAGCATCAGACAAAGTAGATCTAGGTCTGTTAGCTTGAAACAAGGGGGGGGGGGGGGGGAGGGGGGGGAGCAAGAGAAGTGAAGACATTGACAATATCAAATAGAACTAGTTCATTTTATGACCTATGCTGTAGGCCTGCTGAACTCACAGTGATCCCACAGACTGTGGTGGGATTTTTCACCCACGGGATAGAAAATGTATTGTAAGCAAGCAGTCATACAAGTGATGAATTTTTTTAAAAATATAAAAAATTATTTTAAAAAAATAAAAAATTTACACGATTTTTTAATATGAAAAAAAAAATTGTCATAAGGCACTGAACTCAGGTTGTGCTAACTTGGGTTTGAACTTGGAGCTCCAGGGCTATGAACTTAACTACCACACTCTTGGCTCTACCACACCAGATGATGATGTGCTAGCAAACGAAATATTAAGTTTTTTAATCAGAAGATGGCAAATTCCAAAATTTTAGGATGCATCCTACTGAATTCAAATAATACTCTGAGCGCTCGGCGATCCACTTAGTCACATCATAATCATTTTTACTATTATTTATTTTAAATAGATCTTTCTATAAATCTATAATTTAAGTTAGTATAAGTCAATAAGTAATTGAAGGAACCTATTCAATACTATTTATTAGCCTACTATAACTAATTTAATTATAAATAATATTAGGATTAGGCCTAATGAAATTTAGGACCTAGATCTAGATCTAGATCTAGTATTTAGTAAATTTTAAAAAAGTAGGGACTACTTCTTAGTACTTGAGTAACTTTACTTATTACTGACATGTATTGTACATTAATGTACAAATAATAGTAAATCAATAGTAGTAGAAGTTCAGTAGTACTGTGAGTCAGGAGAGTGATGAGTGAACTGTTCACGTTCAGTTCAGTGATCAGTGGTAGGGTAGACTTACAGAGTGGTAGACTAGCTTCCTAGAATGTTAAATATTAAATGTTATCTATCTACTGGGTATCTACTGAATACTATCAGACTAGATCTAACTAAAGACTCGTACAACAGACTGGTGGGAATGGGACAATGAATTTTGACTGTATGGATGTATAATAGTATAATGTTTGTTAGATTGTTATTGTTACTGACTGTTAGTAAGATAGATTAAATTAGCTTCTCGGTGTTGACTCCTTGACATGCCAGAACAATTCGTTTAAAAGTGGTCAAAGGTTACTTTTTTAACACATTGGAGTACTGATTGTTTTCTTGTTATTTTTAGTAAAAAAAATTACAAGCTTTTTTTTTATTTTACTTGATTACTCGTTCTAGATCTAGTGTCTTCACTTTGTGCGTGCTTTGTACTTGCTTTGTCGTGAGTTGAAACTTGCGACTGAACATTCGCTCCCTTCTAATGGAGTTTTAAACTTTACACATAGATCTAGATCTAGAAGACCTAATGGCAATGCAATAATCATGTTTGACTGGTGTAACATAATTTACATTTAATTAATTTTTAAATTAAATAAAGATTGCGTTATAAAGTGGAAATTTTAAAAATTAGACCAGTATATGTGCGCAAGTTTAAGCTGTGGGATTCTATACAGTAACAATGTAGGCCTACGTTTAAAGTTAAACTGTGTTCCGTTTATGATTTAATTTTAAAATCTAAAATGTAGATAAAAATCTTTAAATTTCTAGATCTAGATCTTTCACTTTTTTGCAAAGCAGCACTTCTCATTCAATTAATTTTAATGAACTCATAAAACACAACTGAAGTTATCAACATACGTTTATTTAGCAACAACTTAGGTTATTCTTTATTCTAAAACTTGGGATCAACACCCAACATTGAGGGAGAGGTGCCTGTAATGTGAAACATTGTCAGTGTTTCTTATTCTGATTAAGATTAGCTTGACTCTATGACTTTGACATAGTTAGTGCGTATTTAGTATCTGTTCAGTTATTAAGTATTGTTTAAACCCAAAAGACTATCAAACAAAGTATGTGCATAGGCAAATTATCATATAAAAAAATAATGAAAATAGTTAGTTAAAGAACTGTGCTTAGATATTGTGACGCAGTGCATTCATAATGAATTGACTAATATTTTGTTTTCATATATAAGGGAGGAAAATAATACTATATAGAGTTACGCGGTATTTCCGCGGTTGTTCCCCTTTGGCTGTAGGTCTGAAGAAGGTAATTTGAGAGCGTAAAGAAAACTGTTCATATAAACTGGTTCATATAACGAAACCTCGCATTAACAACGAACAAATAAGACTTTGAACTACACATTTGAAAGAAAAAAAACAACATCAAAACGAGTTTTTTGAATGTTTATCAGACATAAATCTGTGACTTATTCGTCACTAAAAAATAATACATGGATTAAAAAGACAGCACTAATTAACAAAGCTTTATCTCGGTGTGGGATATTTGCGTCCACTGTAAGTCCAAATGCATCGTCATCAGTAATAGTCTCCTGAAAACAGATACATTTTTCGTATAGGGTGGGTGGGGAGGGGAGGTAACCTCACTAGAATTAGAAGTTAAAATCTGATTGTGGTTACACTTTCTGTTTAAAAAAAAATTATAGCAAAGCTCCGATTTAGTTCGTCGTTTTCTTTTATCACGGCATAAATAAAGAGATTATGACTGAGTGGTCAGCATTATAATTCACAGCTGTCTTTACTTTTCCTATCTCGAATCAGGTACTTATGTTATATATATATATATATATATATATATATATATATATATATATATATATATATATATATATATATATATATATATATATATATATATATATATATATATATTAAACAGAGGGATATTCTTCTCCCTACCCTTCCCACCCCACAAAGACATTCTGTTGTCTAAATGTCTCAATGTTCCACACAGAAAAAAAAGCACCGTTTCTCAATAATCTGTGTTTGAGGGTAAAATATACGTCAAAAACAAAACTCAAAATTAGACATTGCCCAGGTTTTAGAAATTTACGCTTTTTAAATGTGGTTTCAAAATGTGTTGTTTTTCAAAGGATAATATTATAGTTAAAAATATACTCAAGAAAAAAAAAAGGTCGAAATTACGTGAGCCAAATATTTTTTTCGAATTTCGCCAATGGTTTGTTTGGTATTATGCAGATAAACTGTGAACACTTCTTTTTTTGAGCAGGCTCGTCGTTGGGCTGTGAAGAGACAAAAAAAAACATTTTTTGCTTGTTGACAATAGGTGGGTGGACTCGGGGATGAACTGGGATGCCAGGTACGGTGATGTAAATTGGCATATAAATTTTTGCTTGGGGTTTTTTTTTACTAATAAAAATACTTGTTGGTTAACTAAATCCTACACTGCAGCTATATTATTTAATTACGCATATCGCATAAATTACTTTAAACTCTAAACACACAAATCAAGTGTTTCTTTCAGACTGTTTTCTCCGGGAGGGGGGGGGGGGACGACGGGACACTTGATATTTTGGAGGGGGCGGACTAAATTTTTCGGGGGGGGGGGACAATGATAAAAGTATATATTTTCTTTATAAATTCCATTTCGTTCGGGTGGGCGGTAGACTTTCTTCGGGAGGGGGTTGCCACCTCTCACCCCCGAAGAGATGCCTGGAAGAAACTGCACAAATCTAACTGCGTTGAGACTAAAACCATGTTTGACTAGAAGGTGCGGGGGAAATAAAGTAAAAAAGTGGGAATAGTGCAAAACCTACAGAAAACTACATTCCCATGATTGTTAGGGGAAAGTGCAAAACCTACAAAAACCTATATTCCCATGAGTGTAAGGTAAAACTGCAGAAACTAGAAAAACCTACTAAAGCCTACAAACCTATGATGTCATACCGCGGTTCCTCCTCGACTGTGTAGACGATAAATTTCGACCGGAAGAGCGTCCACTGGACCCTGACCGAGCCGACCTTTTGGCCAAGGCTGAACGTTTCTATCTGTTGACTAAAGTAGCGTAGAATCTTTAATACGTCTCGTGACTACAGCACGGCTTTACACGCTGGGGTGTAAAACATATGTAATTGTACATTTTAGGTGTAAAACGCGTGTAATTGTACATTTGGGTGTAAAACACATGTAAATGTGCATTTTGGGTGTAAAACACATGTAATTATACACGTGGGTGTAAAACACATGTAAATCTGTATTTGGTTGTAAAACACATGTAATTGTACATTTGAGTGTAAAACACGATCATGTAAATATGTATTTGTATCTAAAGCACATATAAATGGTCATCAGGGTGTAAAGCGCATGTAAATGTACATTTGGGTGTAAAAAAAACGTGTAATGTGTATTTGTGTAAAACTCATGCAAATGGGAATTAGGATGTAAACCATATGTAAACGTGTAATTTTGCATATCGCTTATATTCTCTTTACCATTTAGAGGGCCTATTTTTAAAATTACGTGACCCTTGAGGTTTCAACCCCCCCCCCCCCCCCATCCCACGTTCCACACGACTCCCATACACATACAAAATATTGAACAGTTCTCAATATTACTTTTTACCATCCCACACCCCCCCCCCCCACACCGCCCTTTGACGTGTTAGACTACTCACCGACACACGTCGAAACAGGAACACGAGATGTAGCACGGGTTGCTGAAGGGCAGCTCCATACCCCCCCCCCCCGCCCATTTGACGTGTTAGACTACTCACCGACACACGTCGAAACAGGAACACGAGATGTAGCACGGGTTGCTGAAGGGCCGCTCCATACCCCCCCCCCCCCGCCCTGTGACGTGTTAGACTACTCACCGACACACGTCGAAACAGGAACACGAGATGTAGCACGGGTTGCTGAAGGGCCGCTCCATACACCCCCCCCCCACCCTGTGACGTGTTAGACTACTCACCGACACACGTCGAAACAGGAACACGAGATGTAGCACGGGTTGCTGAAGGGCCGCTCCATACCCCCCCCCCCCCCCCGCCCTGTGACGTGTTAGACTACTCACCGACACACGTCGAAACAGGAACACGAGATGTAGCACGGGTTGCTGAAGGGCCGCTCCATACCCCCCCCCCCCACCCACCCTGTGACGTGTTAGACTACTCACCGACACACGTCGAAACAGGAACACGAGATGTAGCACGGGTTGCTGAAGTGCCGCTCCATACACCCCCCCCCCACCCTGAGACGTGTTAGACTACTCACCGACACACGTCGAAACAGGAACACGAGATGTAGCACGGGTTGCTGAAGGGCCGCTCCATACCCCCCCCCCCCCCCACCCACCCTGTGACGTGTTAGACTACTCACCGACACACGTCGAAACAGGAACACGAGATGTAGCACGGGTTGCTGAAGGGCCGCTCCATAAACCCCCCCCCCCCCACCCCCCACCATTTGACGTGTTAGACTACTCACCGACACACGTCGAAACAGGAACACGAGATGTAGCACGGGTTGCTGAAGGGCCGCTCCATAAACCCCCCCCCCACCCCCCACCATTTGACGTGTTAGACTACTCACCGACACACGTCGAAACAGGAACACGAGATGTAGCACGGGTTGCTGAAGCTGAAGGGCCGCTCCAGGGTGAGAATCTCCTCGCTGTTGTAGTCGGTCACGTGCATGGTGAAGTTTCTGTTGGGGCCGTTTGCCGTGGACTCTTCAACTATGAGTGGGGAGGATGGGGTGGGGGGGGATGAGGGACTGGGTTGTTAGTTACAATATAAGCTGTAGGGTCAATGGGGGGGGGAGAGAGTAAAAACAGCCGGGCATGGAGCTGACACACTGCCCCCTACACATTACCAAGAGCTCAGTAACCTATGAGCTATATGACCTTTCACTGGTACATTTTATATATATATATATATATATATATATATATATATATATATATATATATATATATATATATATATATATATATATATATATATATATATTTATTTATTTATTTATTTATTTATTTATTTATTTATTTATTTATTTATTTATTTATTTATATATATATGTGTGTGTGTTTGTGTGTGTGTGTATGTATATGGTTGTGCGTGTATAGTTTAGCTCGAGAGCAAATAAGTGTATAGTTACCAGCTAGTAGTAGTAATCTACCCATTTCATCGAAGATTCGAAATTTATTCTTTAAATCAATTATAGTAATGGCTTCGACCAATTCAATCTCAGGTTTGAAAACAAACATCGTGACCTGAAAAACAAAAAAAATACATTTATCTAATCACACTCATAATCACACTCATAATCACACTCTTAATCACACTCTTAATCACACTCATAATCACACTCGTGATCAAACTCATAATCACACTCGTAATCACACTCATAATCACACTTATACTCACACTTACAAACACACTCATAATTACACTCATAATCACACTCGTAATCACGCTCATAATTACACTCATAATCACACTCGTAATCACGCTCATAATCACACTCATAATCACACTCGTAATCACGCTCATAATCACACTCATAATCACGCTCATAATCACACTCATCATCATACGACTAGCCACTGTGGTCATTGACAAACTACGTCACGTTTTTTAAAACGTGTTTCATCTCTCCACATTCTACATATCGTCACAAAAAGGCGCACCAGCATCTCTTTGTAATAACGTCACATCCCTTAGCCTACCATCTTCTTCGAAATGTTGCGCTATGTGTTGTTTTAATGTTTTCTTCATTGTACGTTTTCTCGCTGTTTCCTACGGAGTTTCTTCCAGGCATCTCTTCCGGGGGGGGGGGGGGGCGAAGTCGTGTCCGTGTGTTCACAACAGTGAATACCACATTGTATTCATATTTTATTCTTAATCTAGCGCACTCATTAAAACGAACGGAGGACGCCCCCGCCCCCCCCCCCCGAACGAAATGAAATTTATTTAGAAAATATATACTTTTAACACTGTCCGCCCCCCCCCCCCCCCGGAAATTTAGCCCGCCCCCTCCCCCGAAAATTTCAGGTGCCCTCCCCCCCCTCCCGGAGAAAAAAGTCTGGAAGAAACACTGGTTTCCTAATGTGTTATTTTGACATATTCTCAACTTTCCCTATTCTCAGTTTCCCAATATGATGTTTTGATATTTTCTTAACTGTTCAGGTTTTTCCTGTTTCCCAATATATTGTTTTGATATTTTCTCAACTGTCCCGATTTTCCCTGTTTCCTAATGTGTTGTTTTGATATTTTCTAAGCTGTCCCGATTTTCCCTGTTTCCTAATGTGTTGTTTTGATATTTTCTTAACTGTCCCGTTTTTCCTGTTTCCTAATATGATGTTTTGATATTTCGTCAACTGTCCAGGTTTTCCCTGTTTCCCAATATGTTGTTTTGATATTTTCTTAACTGTCCCGATTTGTCCTGTTTCCCATTGCGCTGTTTTGAAATTTTGTCAACTGACCCGATTTTCCTTGTTTCCTAATGTGTTGTTTTTATATTTTCTCAATTGTCCAGGTTTTCCCTGTTTCCCAATATGATGTTTTGATATTTTCTCAACTGTTCAGGTTTTCCCTGTTTCCTAATATGATGTTTTGATATTTTCTCAACTGTTCAGGTTTTCCCTGTTTCCCAATATGATGTTTTGATATTTTCTCAACTGTTCAGGTTTTCCCTGTTTCCTAATATGATGTTTTGATATTTCGTCAACTGTCCAGGTTTTCCCTGTTTCCCAATATGTTGTTTTGATATTTTCTTAACTGTCCCGATTTGTCCTGTTTCCCATTGCGCTGTTTTGAAATTTTGTCAACTGACCCGATTTTCCTTGTTTCCTAATGTGTTGTTTTTATATTTTCTCAACTGTCCAGGTTTTCCCTGTTTCCCAATATGATGTTTTGATATTTTCTCAACTGTTCAGGTTTTTCCTGTTTCCCAATATGATGTTTTGATATTTTCTCAACTGTTCAGGTTTTTCCTGTTTCCCAATATGTTGTTTTGATATTTTCTCAACTGTCCCGATTTTCCCTGTTTCCTAATATGATGTTTTGATATTTCGCCAACTGTCCAGGTTTTCCCTGTTTCCCAATATGATGTTATGATATTTCGTCAACTGTCCAGGTTTTCCCTGTTTCCCAATATGCTGTTTTGATATTTTCTCAACTGCCCCGACTCTCCTTACTCTCGACTGTCCTGGTTCTCATTTTAAAAAAATCCCGCCCCTAGTCCACTCTAGTGTTTACCAAAGTTTACTTACATTTTCTAGTATCGTCAAAGGGTCGTGATCGGGTGCACTGAGTCCTCCTTCTGTTGCTGCCATTATTTGAATTTTGGTCAACTAAAAATTGTACCAACTAGATCTAGTACTAAATCTACCTAACCTAGGTATTATTTAACAAATTCTCACATAATTCTAAATCTTAGTTTACTGCATGGTTTCCATTGGTCGACGACATCCGGTTTTTAGACTTCCAAACCATTTTGCATTTACTTTAATCGACTTGAAAGCGAAATTGCGCATGCTTTGGTGTTGTTTTAAACACCGTTCAAGAGTGAGTATCCCCCCCCCCTCGGGTTAATCGTATCCCAATGCATGCTTACATGCAGTGGCGTAGCGAGGGGGGTTGCGGACCGCACAGGGTGACACCATTAAGGGGGGTGACACCAAGGCAAAAAATAGCAAAATATATAGAGAAAAAAATGATGATTCCACTTAATTAAAATGATTATTTCGATTGTTAAATAGTCTTTTAGGAGAAATTTGACAAATCCCGACAAGGGTGGAGGGGGCAGAGGCGTAGCGATGGGGGCAGGGGGGTACATATGTCCCCGGGCGCTGACCTTAGGGGGCGCCAAAATGGGTTGGAAAAACAAATGAAAATGTCATTTTAGCTGCATTTCTGCTTTATAAATAGTTTGGGGGGGGTGCAAATCGAATGTTTGAGGGGGGTGCAAATCAAAAGTTTGAAGGGGGGGTGCAAATTGAAATTTGCTTCCAGGGGGCGCCAAATTGAAAGTTTGTCCCCGGGCGCCGGGAAGGGTCGCTACGCCTCTGGAAGGGGGGGGGGGTGCAAATCGAAAGTTTGAGGGTGGGATGCAAATCGAAAGTTTGAGGGGGGAGGGGGTGCAAAGTGCAAAGCGAAAATTGAAAGTTTGTCCCCGGGCACCTCTGGGTGGGGGGTGACGGTGACACCATTAAGTGCCGCACTGAGTGACACCCGACCTCGCTACACCACTTCTTACGTGTACAATTTGCGTTAGGATTAGAGGACATCCGGTGCGGTGCCAGTTACTCAAAGTTTCAACGCACACACGTTCCCGCGCGTTGCCGCGAGGCTAGAAGAATTCGGACGAAATATTTTAAGAGAGTTTCATTAATGCGTTACCAATCCTATATTCTTAGACGTGTGACCTTGTTTTCTAAAACTGAGTTATTTAATTGTAAACAATATCAGCGCTACATTGAATCATATTTGTCGGGATAGGTACTTGCTTACACTATTTAGCCACTGTATCGTAGTTTCACTAGCGTGTGTATTATGTGTTTAGAATAAACTGCTAGGTGTAGATAGTGTAGTAGATATTATTAAATTCTTTTAGTTTTAACGAGCCTTTGTTTTCATTCGGTCTTGTTTGTAACCCGTTTGTGGTTGTTTGTCTTGTATGTTGTGCTATGCATCGGATCACCCGTAAGGCGTGTCCGTGTGTTCACAATAGAGAATTTTAGTATTTGAAAGGTCTTTTAAATTGTAACTAAAGGACAGATTTAATGTATCTCACCAAAATTGGATAGAATTATGTTATAATTAAGCTATAGTTTTTAGGTTTTCGAACAGAACCTACAGTTAAGTATATAATAAGTAGAATATATTGTTTTTACAAGGTTACATAGCTAATATAAAAACTTATTATAATTATAACGTAATGAAATTTAGAACGTTTTATTGTGTTTTTCAAACCTGTCTTAGTTACACTTGGTTAATTTAGCTATTCTTGTGAAAGTTATTGCCCTTGAATAAAATTTTATTATTTGGATTTTTAAATGGGAGATAATTCGTTGATTAACTTTACATTCATTTCAAATTCCTGCACCCTAGGTTGACCGCTTACATATAAATACAACTTTAAGTTATTATTTGCTATAGTAAAAATTATATAGAGCTTAAGTTCAAAATAGTTTGGAAGGTTTTTTTTTTAGCATTATCAAGTTAAAAAACAAATACATCAGAAGCCGTTGTAGATTGCAATACTAAATGTTAGTTGACACAGTCTTAGTCGTAAATTAAATATTAATTAATTGTCCTTTCATATTTTTCACCCTCGCCAAAAGGATTCATATATAATAATTTTAGGCTGGAATCTATTATAACCTTTTATTTTTCAAAAACAAAAAAAAAGCGTTTCATAATCACACAATATAGACATTTTACAATTACATTATCAAGTTGAAAAACAAATACATCAGTAGCCGTTGTAGATTGCAATACTAAAGATTAAAACAGGTAAGTTTCATTCTGGAACTCACCTTGGGAGGACTGCAGGGAGCTCGACACTATAAGAACTTTTTTTCAGTGTTTTTTTCCAGACTATATTCTCCCGGGAAGGAGCACTTGAAATTTTCTAAGGGGGGGGGGGGGGGGGGGGGGGGCTATATCGTAAAGTACAAACTAGGCTCGTGGACTTAGCAACAATTTCAATAAAATGTGATTTCACTTGCAAACTGGAATTGAAGGAATTAGTACAAACTTTTGAGACGAAGGAGACAAGTGAAATTTGATTTTGATGTCTGCTTATAACGTGTATGCAATTGATAATAAATTAATGTCACTTTCAAATTAATTGTTTTCTTGAACATATGTTTTAGTAATTAATTTGTGTGAAAGGGGGCGTTTTAAGAAGTTTTGCCTAGGGCGCTAAATAACATGGCAGCGGCATGCCGGGGGACCACCCATGCGAATTTGAGAAAAAAAATTGCAGAAACCTCCCCATGAGTATCCTCAGCAAATTTCTAAAGTTTCATGGCGATAGTGTATATATATATATATATATATATATATGACGCGATGTATGTCATGTCTTGTATGCATTATTACACCTTTCATGTGTATATATATATATATATATATGTATATATATATATATATATTATGTATATGTATATATACATATATATACACATTTTTTCTTACCCGATAGGCCTATTTGTAAATTTAAATTTTTATTTGCAATACTTCAGTAATTAGCACAAAACAAAAATAAAATTAATGAATCTTTAATTAGCAATCTTTTTATGAATACAAGTACAACAGAGGAAAAATGTGACAAGTACTATGTGTGTGCCCTAGTCAAGGAACTGATAGTGATAGTGCCCCTTACAGCAATTTGATCAAGTTTTTATGAGAGTTGAATACAACCATAACATCATAACTGAATGACTTTATCACACAGTATATTAGAATGAGTTTTATCATCCATCCATGACTTTGCAATATATTTTATTGTTTAACACAGCATACTTTCATGATTTTTATCATACAACATAAATTAATGACATTATCACAGAACATAGTGTAATGAATTTATCCAAATATGTGCATAAAAAGTCATAATATATAATATATGAATAGTTATCTCACAGAATCTATGTGATATTACAAGCATGCATAGTCCTGGTTTATGTGATATGACATAATGCAAGCATGCTTTAAGCATAGTGGTAGTTTATGTGACATTACATAACACAAGCATAGTGGTGGTGTATGTGACATCACAAGACACAAGCATGCTTTAAGCATAGTGGTAGTTTATGACTCATTACATAACACAAGCATAGTGGTGGTGTATGTGATATTACAAGACACAAGCATGCTTTAAGCAATGTGGTAGTTTATGTGAGATTACATAACATAATCATGCTTTAAACATAGTGGTGGTGTATGTGACATTTAAGCATAGTCCTAGTTTAAGTGACATCACATGACACGATATTGCTTTAAGCGTCGTCGGGGGACTGTCGAGATGCCAGAGCTACTGAGGCTTTTCTCAGGGCGGGCTGAGCATGGGGGAACTCCGAGTTGAGCTTATCCACAATGGCAGACAAGGCCTGGATTCTCTCCTCCTGTTTCCTGGCCTCCAGCTCCAGGGCTGAAGAGGAGCGGCACATCATGGTGTACTTGCCATCCTTAACCTGCTGGTAGTATTTCATTTTCTGTTGTCTGGCCAACAGTTCATTCATGTTCTGTCAATAAAATGGGGATATGTGGACAATTAAATACATTTTATCTGGCCAATAGTTCATTCATGTTCTGTCAATAAAAATAGGGATTTGTAGACAATTAAATACATTTTATCATTTTAAAATGATTATAAACATGAAATATTATTTTCTTATTTTTAGTGCATATATATATATATATATATATATATATATATATATATATATATATATATATATATATATATATATATATATATATATGTATATATATAAGCTTGTTATTATGAAGATTAGATTTACATTTTTAACTTTGAAAATTTAAATTGCTTGTGGGGAAAAAAAATGACAGAAGATGCAGAATATAAATGCAGTGTTAAACTTTAAATTTCACTTGTCTAAAATTAGGCATTTTATATTATAAAGTGTTTCTATTTAAATTGGCCAAATGATGATTCTAAAATGCATGAAATATTAAGATGAGTCAATCATATAAAGGCTTCAATATTTAAGTTTAGCAAACTAATAAACAATTGTCTATACTTTTATTTTTAATACTACTGACATAATCTATTGCTAGACATTTTTAATATAGGTTGTTTCCCTTAAGCTTTAAAATTTATAAATGGGAAGTAAGAAACAATTTTATGTTAAATCTAAAATAATTATTTATCAAGTTTTCTTCCACATTATACAAATTTAATGGACAATTAATAAAATTAGATACATATACAGTTTTAAAATTTTGATTTCCTAGATCGAATGTTTATGTGAATGATTTCCCCACTTTATTTATATAAGGGGATTTTTTAATAGTTTTATTGATTTATTCAATACTTTATTTTAACTATTGAAAAATATTTCTTTATTAATTAAAAGAACATGTTTAATAGCATATTATAAAAAAAAAATTCAAGCAAAAATTCAATGACAATGCAATTTGACATCAAATTTGACTTACTTAGAAGCTTAATTAATTTTTTAAAGATTTATTAAAATCTCCCCTATTTACCGCCCTATTATACTCACAATATTACCTGTCCATTTGGTGTGCAATTTTTTTTATCATGCAATTTTATTACTTTAACATTTTTAAAGTATTGATAAAGAATTCATAAAAAATGTTTTAATAACAAGCATTTATGTAATAATGCACTAAAAAGGACAAAAAAATTATTCTCTTTAATTACATAATTATGAACTACTAATTTTCTCCTTTTTAGTGCATTATTACATAAAAGCTTGTAGTTAAGCATTTTTTATAAATTTTTGTGTTGGTCTGATTGAAAATGGCGAGCAAAGTTTCTGCCACTTTTAACTGACATATTTGTTTGAAACTTGGCACATGGGTCCCCATCCAGAGTGTCTGTAGACCTAACATAGCCACACAACACCCTGTGTTTGATATCCCCATCCAGAGTGTCTGTAGACCTAACGTCCCCACCCAGCGTGTCTGTAGACCTAACGTCCCCACCCAGTGTGTCTGTAGACCTAACGTCCCCACCCAGTGTGTCTGTAGACCTAACGTCCCCACCCAGTGTGTCTGAAGACCTAACGTCCCCACCCAGTGTGTCTGTAGACCTAACGTCCCCACCCAGTGTGTCTGAAGACCTAACGTCCCCACCCAGCGTGTCTGTAGACCTAACGTCCCCACCCAGTGTGTCTGAAGACCTAACATAGCCATACAACACTCACCCTGTGTTTAATCTCCATTGTTCTTTCAACATCCCCATCTAGCATGTCTGTAGACCTAACATAGCCACACATGACTCACCCTGTGTTTGATCTCCATTGTTCTCTCAACGTCCCCACCCAGTGTGTCTGTAGACCTAACGTCCCCACCCAGTGTGTCTGTAGACCTAACGTCCCCACCCAGAGTGTCTGTAGACCTAACGTCCCCACCCAGTGTGTCTATAGACCTAACGTCCCCACCCAGCGTGTCTGTAGACCTAACATAGCCACACACCACTCACCCTGTGTTTGATCTCCATTGTTCTCTCAACATCCCCATCCAGCGTGTCTGAGGCACTCTGTAGCTGCTGGCAGTTGACCTGTTTCTCCTCCAGCTGCTGGCTGATCAGTAGCTGATGGTCTCTCAACTCTTTGATTTCATTGTCACAGTCATTGGCCTCCTGGGGAAAACATTGGATGCTCGTTATAATAATTTATTATTATTAAAAATTAATTAATCACAATTTTTGCCTCTTAATAGAAATATTGGAAACCTATTATCACAATTATTTGCCTCTTAAATATATATTAGAAACTTAGTACTAGTAATATCAGCTGCACGAAAACATTGTAAAGGGAGGTAACACAACGTAAGGTGGGTAACTCAACACACACGCAAAAATGTATTGATTTTTCTCTATTTCAATTTATAAAATATTTTATGTTGGCAAAGCAAAACTATTTGACAAATTGTTAATTAAATATCTTAACCTTGATGTAAATAAAATCCTAAGAATTAATACAATTTTTAAATCTATAAGATAAAATAGAAAAATGTCTTCTAAGTTTTAGTTATTGCCCTTTTAGAACCTAAAAGTTTATAGTTCAGAAGAAGTACAATATATCGGATTATGGAATTTGAAAGGATTGCTTGAGCAGTACTATGGCCAAGGACCCTTACGGAAGTCAAAAGCTTCTTGCTGTTGGTCAGACTTAATACAGATTTGAAGATGTAAGATTAGCAACTGTGCACTGTAGGGCATGACTAGAAAGTTTGCATTTATCGATGACAAAATAAGTACCATCAAAATATAAGAGCTCAAAAGAATTGATTCAGGGGAGACAAGTTTGTTTCTCATCAAGTTTTCATTTTGAGTTATCCCATAGACAATCAAATTAAAATAAAATACAACAGATAAACCTGGCACCATTGGAGCTTCAACTTCAATAATATAAACAAAGATGGACAAACCTGAATGGTTTGTTTGATTTTCTTCTTCATTTCCATCATTTGTCTTTCAAAATTGCCTTTGGTCACAACTTTTTTCTTCTGTTTGGACAGTGCATCACCCTGAGTTACTATTGTATCACGTCTGTGAATATAAATAACATCATGTACTTTAAACAGATACTAAGTAAGGTTTTGTTGGTCACCATCTGCTAGTTTAAAGTAAGTTGTTCAATTAAAGCCAATACAATAGTCTAAAAATATGTACTGGATGGTCTAAAAATAGATAAATAACTTGAAATAATTTTTTTTAAATGTAACAATGAAAATTTTTTGGGATATTCACTGTATTTTAGATGCTATAGAGACCACAAGAATTAAAGGGTTAATGCATCAAAGGTAAAAAACTAAAACAAAGACTGAATAATAAAAAGATCAAACCAAAAGGGCTTACTACACACATATATAAATATTTATTTATTTTTGCAGTAAAATGAATAGTTATTTAGATATACAATATTTAATTTATTGCAATAATATACTAGTTAGAGTAAGATACATAACAGAAATAGAGATGCAGACAAAAGACAAACCTTGAGACACAGACAAAAGACAGACCTTGAGACACAGACAAAAGACAGACCTCGAGACAGACAAAAGACAAACCCTGAGACACAGACAAAAGACAGACCTTGAGACACAGACAAAAGACAGACCTTGAGACACAGACAAAAGACAGACCTTGAGACACAGACAAAAGACAGACCTTGAGACACAGACTAAAGACAGACCTTGAGACACAGACAAAATACAGACATTGAGACACAGACAAAAGACAGACCTTGAGACACAGACAACAGACAGACCTTGAGACAGACTTCTCCATGTCTTGTATCATCTTCTCCTGCTGTTTCATCAGCTGACCAAACCTGACCTGCATCCTGTGGATCTCTGACCTCATGGCCTTCATCTCACCTTGACCTACTTCTGAATCAACAGCTGCGCGAGTCTCTCTAGCAAGCTGGGTCTTCTTCTCCCACAGCATAATCTGACGTCTGCAAATGAAAAATTAACATTTGTGATGTGTTGCTGCTGCCACTTTGTCAGAGGTTCTCAAAGTTATTTTTGTGGTACCACTGCAGAGGACCTGCGGCTGAGTATGTCAACCTTCACATCATGGAACTGACCACAATTGGTGTGTCCAACCTTATATGTTCATTGACTCAGACAGCTAAGGGATGACAACTGCTCATCAGATTTTTCACCCTACTCTTTTATCCACAAAAATTATCTCAAATTAGTTTGGCTGACTTTTACTATACTCTTTTCCAACATAATTACGGTAGCAGATTTTTACCCTACCCAACATAAATTGTGTAAATAGATAATTGGTTCATTAGAGGTTTTCATAATTTTCTTTAGTGTAGAAGATTTTTTTACCCTACTCTTTCCCAACATAAATTGTGTAAATAGATAATTGGTTCATTAGTGGTTTTCTGAAGGAACTTTGCTTTATCAACTGGTTTATCCTGTGTCACCACAAATCAACAGGTAGATAAAGTGTGATTAACAAACATTTAAGCAAGAACATCTGTAAATTTTATCCATTAGAATAGACATTTTTGCTTGTTGCAAAATAGTTTAGGTATATTAAGATATTCTGAAATATTTTTTTTTTAAATTATATATGATTTAACTTAGCTTTAATTTAAAATATGTGGCATCAACTGTCTGAACAAGGAGCTACAGTTTTATCAAGCGTTTAATAAAACATTTATGTTGGTGTAAGGCTGACTTGAGGAGAAAATAAAAAACCCAACAAAAAAGAAAACAAAAAAAAACTTACTCTGCTTGTACGAGACTGTTGAGGAGTCTTTCCTTTTCATCTTTGATGTCATCCAGTTTAGCTTGCAGTTGAATGGACTCAAGTTCTGATGTCTTAAATATCAAGTCAGAGGTCACACATATTTTACATAGAGATTTAAAGAGAGCCAATCAGAAGAGGAAGTGTTCAAACTAATATTTCTATATAATTACTCTATACAAGGGGAGATAATAACGCACTTAAAGCAAAGGTGGAGTGTTCAAACTAATATTTCTGTACACTTAAACTATCCAGGAGAAGATAATCTGGTTAAAGAAGTATTGAGAGTTACCTGCAGGTTAGCAATAAAAGCATTTTCCATCAAAATGTTTCCCTGCTCTAGCTCTTCTCCAATACATTTCTCCTTGTGAAGCAAGCCATTTAATTTAATGATGTCATTCCTCATGTTGCGCACGCTGCGCTCAATCTCGCACATCTCACGGTGCTGCTGCTCGATGTCGTCTGATCAGAGAGAGGTCATGGTGTTAGCACTAGCACATAGTTTAGAGTAGCACATAGTTTTCAGTGCTATATTGTGTTAGCACACTGCACAGTGTGGCATATTTTTATTGCTATATGGTGTTCGCACTAGCACATAGTACTGAGTAGCACATAGCTTTCAGTGCTATATAGTGCTATTAGCACTAGCACATTGTAGAGAGAAGCACATAATTTAATTTTTATGCTAGATGGTATTAACACTAGCACATAGTACAGACCAGCACTTAATATCATTTTTATACTATATGGTGGTACCATAGTAATTGCTGCCATGGTAACTTACTCTCTGTTCTAACTGCTACCCCAGTAACTTACTCTCTGTTCTAACTGTTACCATGGTAACTTACTCTCTGTTCTAACTGCTACCCCAGTAACTTACTCTCTGTTCTAACTGTTACCATGGTAACTTACTCTCTGTTCTAACTGTTACCACGGTAACTTACTCTCTGTCCTAATCTTCTTCTGTGACAGGATGGTCAGTTCCCTCCTGGACGCCACCAGCTCCTGCATCTCCTTGTCCTTGGTCTGGCACAGCCTGACCAGCTCCGTCTGCTGGCGCAGCCACAGTTGCTGAAGGTCAAGGACTTCCTGGTTCCTGGCCTCTATGGATTTGACCAGCGAGTTCACCTGGATCTCTAGAGGACCCAGCTCCACTCCCTGTTGGATGAGTTCAACATTTAAGTGTGTAGTGATGGGTCTAAGGCATTACCCCTCATCATACACCCCCCAAGGACATTTGCCACCCCAACATTACCCCTGTCAATACCCCTCCCCCTCAAATGCTAAACATCCCTAACCCCAAAACCCCAACCACAATCCTAACACCAACTCTAAACCAGCATCTAACCCTAACTTATCCCAAATTGGGTAGGGTGGAATTGACAAATTGACAGGGGGTAGTTTTGCTCTGGGGGGTAATGTCGGGGGTAATTGATGGGGGGGGGGGGGGTAATTTCACATAGTAACATACAAAATTGTTAAAATGGAAAGTACACTATAGATATATTTTGAAAAAAAAATCATTTCAACATTATTTGGGTCTATTAATAAATCAATATTTAACTTGTTCCAATGCTCGAAAAATGAACAAAACTAAAGGGAAACAAACAGTTTCACATGAATGCACTTGATTTTATTTTTACAAGGCCTTGAGTTCAGACCCTGGAGGCTGTCCCTGACTCCACCCAGTTCTGATGGGCACCCAACTCAAGTTAGTAAAGGCGGCTAGGCATAGTGCTGACAACACTATCCTTTCATATGCCAAGGTCACAGAAACAGGCGAACTCTATTTCATCTACCCCATGGACCACCAGATTCGGAACGGTTACTTTACTACAGGAAACGACCCTGAATTTAAAAGGAAATAAAAAAGTTGTCTTACGCCAGCAGCTGCGATCATCTGAGTGAGTTTCTTGTTCATGCTGTCCACTTGATTCTGCTTGCGCTCAATCACGGCGTTCCTCTTGACAATCTCCTGCTCGCTCTTGTTGATGATGGCGTTCTGCTCACTGATTTGTTTCTCTAGTCCATCCAACACTTTCTTCAGGCGCTCCGAGCGACTTTTAATGGTAACGGCTTCCAGAGTTGCTTGTGCGATTGAGTTCTCCACATCGGCTATCTCTGTTTCCTAGAACAGGACAAAATTGTTACCTTCAGACTTTAATTGAAGCTTTGAGTCGAAAAAAAAAATTTAGCAGAAAATAAAAGGAGTAGTCTGGATTTTAAAAAAAATGCCATGTAACAAACATACCAATCTTTTGGTGGCATCACGTGTTTTCTTGATGAGGTTTTTGCTGTAGTAAGTTGCTTTGTCTAAGGTCAGTTGGGCTCGCATGCGTTCTAGAATTTCATCTTCAAGTTTGGCCTTGGCTAGGTGCTCTTGCTCAATCTGTTTCCTCAGTGTTGCAACTTCAGCACATCTTAGGGCTTTGTCCTAATAGAAAGAAACAATACAAGGAATATGTCCTAATAAAAAGAGACAACAAAAGGGTATTGTCCTAAATATTAGAGATAAAATACTCTCATAGCATTGTCTTGAATGTAAGAAATAATAAAAGGGATTTAGTCCTAATTGTAAGAAACATTTAATGTCCTATTTGTCCTAAAAAAAAAGCAGGATTAGTCTTTCATTAATGAAACTACGGGGTTTGTCCTTTATGAAAGAAACAATGAAAAGAATTTGTCTTAATAGTAAGAGACAATAAAAGAGCATTGTCCTATAATTATAAGAAACAATGAACAGAAATTTTCCCTAAATGTAAAAAAATAAATAAACAGGATTTGTATTTCATAAAAGAAAATAAGGGATTTGTCCTTTATGAAAGAAACAATAAAGGGGATTTGTCCTAAATATAAGAAGAAATAAGAAAGGTTTTTTTCTAAATGTTTATGCTTGTTTCTATGCACACATTTCTGTTGGGACAATTAGGGCAAAGAACAAATAAAAAACTGGATAAATATTTTGAAACTTCTGTTCCTTCTCTCAGGACGATCTCAGCATTCTCCACTTTGTCAAAAAAACAACAACACAATAACTGTGACTTACAGCCATAGCTCGACCAAGAGCCTGTTCAGTTTCCTGTAGCATGCGAGTGTATGTTGTGTACTCAGACATTAGGGCATCTTGCTTGGCTTGAACCTGTACAAAGATAAAATGTAAGGCAATTACACAACAAAAATTAATTTGTGTTATTTTCCCCATTTTAACAACATTCCTTCAATAATTAAAATAATAGTTTCAAGTGGTATGAGAATTATGTTATCTAGATTCTTCTTTTTTTCTATCAGTGTGTCATTTACTGTACTGTTATTAAACTATAAAATAAAAAGTTCCTTTTAGATTTTCATTTTCACTGTTAAATATCAGGATAAAAATTAATTTTCAAGATATCAAATTTTCATTTTTATTTAACACTGTTAAATATCAGGATAAAAATTAATTTTCAAGATATCAAATAGATCTGTTTTCAAAATGGCATATTGTAATAATGCTTTAAACCAGAATGAAAATCTGATCGTACCATCCAGTGCTTGACAGCACATACATACAACACATACATACAACACATACAATGTTTTATAAATTTATAGCATAACATATCACTCTACCTGTGCTCTGTGCTTCTTTGCTCCCTCAATCTCTCGCTCTGTCTTATTGAGGATGTGTGTCAGTTTCTCATTCTGCTCCTGCTCCTTCTGAATACTTTTCTTGTAGCCCTCAATTTCTGTAGCTAGTGTTAGGATGTACTGCTCTTGTTGGCTGATGAAAATATTCATAGGGGAAATTGAACACAATGGTACTTTACATTTTTTTATAGTGAGGTTTTTTGATAAGAATATTAGTACTGGGGACATTGTGATACTGCTTGCTATTACTTTCATTAATGTCATAAAATGTTGTGGGATAAGTGTATTACTTCCCCTTGTGCTAAGGTTATTCCACATGGGATATTGTGGTATAGCATATTATTGGTTTCTCTAGTGTTGAAGACTAAGGCATAGCATATTACATCCTTTCGATTGCTATTACTTCCCTTGGCTAGATATTACATTCCTTTCACTTGGCTAGATATTACTTCCCTTGGCTTGCTATTACTTCCCTTGACTAGATATTACATTCCTTTGCTAGCTATTACTTCCCTTGAATAGATATTACATCCCTTTGCTAGCAATTACTTCCCTTGGCTTGCTATTACTTCCCTTGACTAGATATTACATCCCTTTGCTAGCTATTACTTCCCTTGGCTTGCTATTACTTCCCTTGACTAGATATTACATCCCTTTGCTAGCTATTACTTCCCTTGGCTTGCTATTACTTCCCTTGACTAGATATTACATCCCTTTGCTAGCTATTACTTCCCTTGGCTTGCTATTACTTCCCTTGACTAGATATTACATCCCTTTGCTAGCTATTACTTCCCTTGGCTTGCTTTTACTTGATATTCTATTATTCCACTAATGCTAAGGTTGTGGGGCTTGGGATAATGTGGGATAGCAGGCTACCACTTACCCTAGAGCATCCATCATTGCTGAATGAGCCTCATCTCTTCTCCTCATCCCAATCAGTGAGCTGTTCCACTTCTGATACAGATCTTTCTTCTCTAAATTTATAGCCTGATCAAAGCAAGAGGCAAACATTTTTTTTTAAAAACCAAGGATTAATTTTTAAAAATGCACAATGATATTTTTAAGAAACCCATCTAATGATGTTGATTATTTGATTACAATGAATAGCTCTTCTAAACAGAAAAAGAAAAAACACCTCTATTTCCATGTATGCCTCGAGAAGACTTTCTTTTGCTGCTTTTGTTTCTTCTGACTGAGCATTGATCTGTGCCTCGTACATAGCTATCTCTTCCTTGAGCCTGTCCACACCTTCAACCAGGCGATCCACGTACAAATCCTGAAAGTGAAAGTAATAAAGATGTCTGTGTTTGTCTTTCAATCAAATAATTGTAACAAAAGATATAAAATTTGCTGAGCCCTTAATATACTCTTGTGGAGTAAATCTATCAGTTAAAGATAGTTACCATTTTAATGAAATAATGGGTCATAAGCTTTTATAAAGAGTCTCTAAAACAATAAATTAATAAAGGACATAGATGTAAGGCAGATGAAGTAGAGTTCTTCTATTTCTTTGATTATGGAATCTGAAACCATTGTACCCAGCTAACCTTTATTTTTTCTAACTCAAGCCAGATACCCATTATAGCTGGGTAAACTCATGTCTTATAGATTCTGTTCAGGAACTAAACTAGTAGCTTTCAGAGATATATAGAAAGAAACAAGATAAAAAGACATCTGTATCACTTTATGTGAATGTTGGTGATTAGACTGACCTGTCTTTGTTTCTCCTGTTCTGCTTTAGCCACCTCGGCTTCAACTTTTTCTGCTGCACGTCGCATGACAGAGATGTCTGATCTGACATTATCTTTTGCACTGGCCAGGTAATAGAGTCTGAGTGCCAAATTTTCAACCTCACTCTGCAGCTCAGAGCCTTAAAAATATCACCAGACAGTTACTCAAAATTATCTTTATGCGATTAAAAATTCGAATTAATGACTGAAGGGTGCTTATGTAAAAAATAATTCTTGAGATACAGTAAAAGAAATAAAAAGATTATTTTTAAGTTTTAATTTTGTACTTCATTTAGACCATATGTCATACTTCTGTTCTTGCTACATGTAAATCAATGACAATTGTCAGCAATTAAGCACAGTATCAACAGACAAGATTTGTCATCTTTCAAATAACATTAGGGAGCAAAACAAGTTGACACGTAATACTTAATTGCGTTGGAGGAACCTCTTCCAATACTAGAATTAATAATAAAGAAGAAGAAGAAAGAAATAACATTAGCATGGGGGGGGGGGAGCGGAGTGCAATATAAAAACCTTTTTTCCTCTCCTTGTTGACATTGTTCTGTAGCTGCTTGTACATAGACTGCACGTCTGTCAGATCCTGTTCTTGTTTCTGCCGATTCTGCTTGATCTGGGCCACGTGGTCGTGTTTTTCTTCAAGCATCAGCTGTTGACAGTATCACTTTTATAAGTTTTATTTTTTCTATCAACAAGGTCTAGGCTGATGGGGTAGATTTTGTCTGGGTTACACATTGGACATAGTACTGTCACAAATTGTGCAACCAGGGGCTGAACTCCGGGGCCCCAGACCCCGCAATGCGGGGGGGCCCACGCCGTTTAGGGGGCCCAGAGCCGCCCATAATCATTTTTTTATAGTTAAAATTAATTTTCTTGCATTTTTGACCTGATGGTTGTTTTGAAAAAAGAATACTGTAGCTGCGGTTGGAGTATTTTTATTCTATAGACACCATCCCACGCTCTTGTATATTCTTTTTCCTACAATCAAACACACGCTGTTGTCGGCAAAATTCTTTTGAAAAAACATCAATTGCGCGAGAGGCCGCTAGATATTAAGACGGCATTTTGAGACCATCCCAAATTTGGTACTGGTGAATAAAAGCAGATCGGTGCTTTGTTGTCCCTTTTAAGTTCCTTTCTCAGACCTCCCCTCCCGCTCTTAGCCTTACAAGAAGCGAATAGATAGCGCCTCAACAACTAAGCTGGCTCATATCGGTGGTAGTGTAGACAAGCTAACGCTCCAACAACTGATATCCAAGAAATAAAGTGCCGACATTGATTACGTTTAATAACCACTGTTCTAGAAAACAAGGCATAAGTCTCAAATAAATACACAAATTATATATATATATATATATATATATATATATATATATATATATATATATATATATATATATATATATATATATATATATATATACATTAGTTTCGTCACTGGCACCTTGATAGTGGTTTTGTAAATAACAAACAGATAACAGATCTAATACTGTAGTGATGTTATATAGTAGCTAAGACATGCTGTTGCGTAAAAAAAATGTAAAAAAAAAATATACACATTAGCTGTAGTGTGAAAGATAGGCAAACGTTCAAACCAATTCCATAAATTATTTCCCTTTTTCAAATAGTCAATAAGGGTTGCTCAAAAGCTCTTTTTAATAGATTTGTAATAATCAAATTAAACAGCAATTACTGGTCTTAATTATTATTTTTAAAAATATGTACTAAATAATGGTATAGTATAGAAATGAAACGTAGTTAAAATTAATAATATAAATACAAAAAAAACATAAAAATAAACATAACACGAGACACCATTACTTATATAAAGCTTCATGGTTTATATACTTTTGATCGACTTAATTATTAGAAGTATTAAACATAAATGAAAACAGAGATTTTCAAAACAGACCAATGCACTCATACACATGACATGTTGGTGTGATTAGATTAAATTGAATTTTTTTTTTCAAAACCCGATGTTCGTATTGTGTTTGTATATATATATATATATATATATATATATATATATATATATATATATATATATATATATATATATATATATATATATATATATATATATTGGGGGCCCAAATAAATTTTTTGCGGGGTGGCCCATTTTTTCTAGTTCCGCCACTGTTGCTATTGATAATAAAACAGCAGGAAAAAGTGAAATATTTAAATAAATATATATCATGTTTGCAACAAAGAAAACAAAAATCAAATCAACCTTTATTGATATAGAAACCAAACTGTTTAGCTGCAATTTGAAAGTAACTTGGAAAATATTAAAACAAAAAGGTACAATATAAAAATAACAGTTTAAATATTAAAGATAAATTTATCATCAGTCTAAAAAATATTGGAATATTTTCAATAAGGTATTTTTTAGGCTAGCTAAATATATTCCAACATGAAGTACATACCATCAGCTCTGGTAGTGAACTCGGAAATAGTTATTTTGAATGTAGCAACAAGTTCTATGTACCTACATGAGTAGGTCAAGTTCTCAAATTCAACTTGTAAGTGTAGACAGGGTATTATACTATATTATGTTAAAACTTGTACAAACTAATGGGGGTCACCTGATATCTGGCAAGTTCTTGTTGGACTCCATATAATTCTACACCAATGTCTTCTCTTTCTTTCTTCTTCATCTTCAAAGTTTCACTCTGAGTGATAAATTATTACATTGTTATTTTCCTAGCGATTATTTATTTTTACCTAGATAGATATGAAAATATTCAATAAAAATAAAAGATAATTCAATAATTTAAACTTATCAAGCAGAAAAGCTAATATTTTGTTGGTTTTTGTTTTACTTAATATTTAAGTGAAAAGAGTAAGGAGTAACTTATGAACCAGTCTCTGGGTGCACGGAATTACAAAACTGTTAGCAATCATCTTTTCAGGCTTTACATTCCCAAATCTAATTAAGCAGGAGGGAGGGGAAGAAGTGGGAAAATAGAATAAGTAAATACCATAATTGTGTTTTTATTATCATAGCAAACATAACCAACACTTGAAATCTCACCAAATCTCTATATTCCAGTGTCATTTTGTCATCTTGCTTGGTCAAATGTGCTTTCAATGCTGCTTGGAATCTTTTCATCAAAGGCTGAAAAACATTTGGAAAAATTAAACTGAAGAAAAATAACATTTTATTTTAACCACAGCCTTAATCAGAAAAATATCTTTAAAATTTTAACTTCAAATTTCTTCAGAATAAAACTAAATTAATATAATAGAACTGAAAGTTTGTCTGAAGCAGTAAATCACAGAAAAACAATGCAAAATATTTTCAAAAGCAACAAGCTAAATTTTAAACAACAGGAATAAAGACATACACAGATAGTTTGGAAAAAAAAGGTTGTGAATAATATATTTAATGAATAAATTCATTTTGTATGAAAATTTACATTATATATATATATTATATCTTGCATTAAGATATACTCTTTTTTACTCATATTCAATTGTAACTATCAAGATTGCTGAAAATGAAAATGGATTTAGGATGGAAATAATTTGTATGCTAAACATGAATGGGTTATTGTCAATGTATACATCATTCCATTGACAAATGTGAAATTGCAGGTGTAGGCAATAAGTTACATATTTGAATTTGTTTGCAGTCTTAACATGAAATTTACCAATCACTTAAAGAGAGTTTACTCACCACACAAGGGAAATAACTAATGATCATCTGGTATTATATTTACATGAATGTATATATTTTAAAAGTATGTATATATATATACATCTATATATGTTTTTTAAATATACAAGTATTTAACTCTCATCATTTCAAGTTCTTTCTTTTCTTTTTAAACTCACATGATCAGGATCCAAGACAACCAAGTCGGTTTCATTATCACTTTCATCTGTTGCATGGTTATCATCTTCCCCAAACGTTTGCACTTCCCCTTCTCTGTTGGCGTCATCATCATCACCATCATCAAAGTCATCATCCCCACCATCATCATCGTCATCATCTCCGCCACCACCTCCACTACCTCCACCATGGCCGCCACTAAACTGACTCCCACTGCCCATGTTATTAGTGCCGACTGTTCCAGAATCTACGTCTTCTAAATAAAAAAATATTTAAAAATTCAAGTAAATAAAATGAAAACATTTTTTTTTATAAAAAGTAAAATGAAAAGGCAATTATAAAACATGTGTGCAATAACATTAACTTTCATGTCAGCAACCGAAAAAAACACAAACAAAAAGATCCCTGAAACTTTGTACAAGAGCTGGAATTCAAACTAGAACTGTGGTAACAGAATACTGCCACTCACTCTATAGGGATTTTACAGACATAATAAGCATTATTTTTAGCTGTTTAGTACTTTTGCGTTACTTCATGTCTTTAAAGCAAATGAGGGGCTCAAAAAGAAAAACCAGTGATGTCCGATTTTCGTTTTGAGAAAAATGAAATATAAATTTTGAAGATTCTTAAACAATTCTAGTATTTCTTTACAATTTATTTGTTGTTTATGTATTTATCATATGTGCCATATTATTCGATTTGATGTCAAATAGCCATACTTGATAAATAAAATATATTTTAATTAAATGACATCACTAGTTGTTTTTTTTTTCTGAACCTTTTAACTAATAAATGTGGAAGCCATCATTATCTAAAAGAAATAATTTTAATTGAATATCACAAAAATTGGGTAAGCAATTCATGTATCCTGTTTGTAAAATCCCTTAAAGCTTATAGCAACTGGACCCACTGCTATCAAAATCCACAAGTGTTGCATATAGCCTCTCCCTAGGTGACATGTCCTCAAACACATTCATCTTACTAACATTCATGATGGATGCGGTTTTCTTTATGGTTAGTTTATGAATTGGAGGGTCATGATCAACGTCAGCTGCAGCAGCCACTGTACCTAGTTTGGTAAGCAAGAGCTTATAGGCACAGGACAGACTGGTGACAAAATCTATTTTAAAGTTATATAATATCCTTTAAGACTAGAGAGTATACAGCCAAATTAATATTTGAAAATTAATGTCTAAGTTGATAAAGTTATAGGCAAATGCATTTTTGTTTATGTTTTTGTAAATATTGACTACTTTGTTAAGATTAAATTTTTTAAATTATATATCCTCTAAGAAAGAATAAACATTTAGAAAAAGTTTTAGAGGTTGCAAAGCTTATGTAATAAGAATAAAAATATGTAGTACATTAAGAAATTTTTATAGTACATTTTTAACAACTTGTTTTAAGTGGCAAAAAAACTTTTTTTTAAAACCCATTAATACAGTGTATCATCTAACTAAACAATTTTTAAAATTCATAAAGTGAGTTTCACAATAAAAAAATCTATATAACAGAGAATAAACAGTAATCCAATGTAACTTTTTTTAAAAGTAAAAAATAAGTCTTGTTTCAATCCTTTTAAAAAGGGGAAAGTAAATATAAACTCATCTCTAATACCTTCCAGGTCTTGGTCAGAAGAACACTTAACAACGTCATCTTTATCTACATTAAGTGCTGTGTCTGACCCCCAGCGCAGGGGCTGAGGACTAACATAACTATAATCCTCACGATTCATAATCTTAGACTTAGTTCGTTTGGTCAACTCAATAGTTGCTGTAAAGTACACAACATTTTCACAATGGAGAGTCTAATGAAAAATTGTGTGAATGAACTGAATGAAAGTAATAAGATATATGTTAACTGTACACAAATTTCTTTACATTAATAGAATTTCAGTCACTGTGGCACTGTACATTAGAACTGAAACAGTAACTTATGCATGACACAGATTAATGCCCAGTAAAAGCAGCAAACTTAAAATAATGCAGTGACAATTCAGTTTCAAAGCTGAAAATAAATTATCAATTTAAGCAGGGGAGGTAAACAATATACAAAATGAAGTCATGATTGACTACAGGTACAGCAGTTGTGTAAACAACCAATGCTATTTGCTACTCTGTCAATTATCATCTTTACCAAAGTCATGGGGCAGATGAAGTAGAGTTTTTTACTGAAAATCCACCTATATTTTGTTAACAGACAATGAAAAAACCCAGATTTTTTTATGTGTTACATAACTTAAAAGAAGTTTTTGTTTTTCCTTAATTTAACTGTTTAATTGTCTCAAAATATTGTCAGTCAACAGTTAAGAAAGAAAGCATTAAGATAATGTTAAAGGGCATGAGTATTGCATTTTTAAACAGCCAATGGAATGGTACAAATACATTTTCTGCTATGGTACAGCTGTTTACACATGTAGACAAAACACAAATGAGGAATAAAAGAAGCAACTAATTTTCTGTTTTCTTACGGTTACTCTAGTCAAAACATCAGTGAAATCAATACTTCTCTAGTTTTATTTAAGATACTTTTGAATCATGCTTCATTGTTTTTAATAGTTGAAAGCAGATACAAAACAAATTAAAACAGCACAAGCCATTAGTGATTAGCAGCAAACTTTTAAAATCTAGTTTACTCTGGTGGAGTTAACAACACATATACAATTAACTATGATGATTTTGCTACATAAATAAAAATACTGTTTATATATTAAATAGAATAGACAGCACTTGAATGAAGCATATAGGAGCATCAATTATTGAAATCCCATTTTAAGACAGCAAAAGAAATAATTGAGGATTGAACAAAAGTAACAAAATGTAATACACATGAAAAAGCCCTTACCCCTTTTCATGTCAACCACAGATGAAAAAGACAGTACATGACCAGACTTGATATTATGTGCCTCAGTAGATGCTACGTGTGATGGTTTTGCACTTATCATGGATGACACTTTCTGAATGAACAATAAACATTAAATTTGTTATAGCGATATCACAACCAATTTTAATTAAATACAACTCATTTTACCAACTTTTAAATTATATTAGTAAAAGTGTAAAAGAATGTGTGTGTGTGTATATATAGCAAATATATGAGTATATATATATATATATATATATATATATATATATATATATATATATATACGCATATTTTCGCTTAGCAAACCCATTAAATAGGTTGAGTCTAAATGTCCACGATACCATCCAGGTTAGATTAATTTAAAAAATAAGCAGCAAACATAGATTACAGTCAGTAGGTCAAAACAGTTATAAATCAAGTGTTTATTTCAATAGGCCATTTTATAAAAGTAAGACTTTACCAATTTTAAACCACTACCAGGAGACTTGTTAGTATGTTCCTTCGTTTCATCTTCACTTCCACCCTCGAAGCTGCTAAAAAAATTAAATAAAAAATCACTTAAAAACTTATTTCATGTAGGGCCTACTTCATTATAAGAATGTTTTGTCAACAAATAACATTTGGTCTACTTTATTAAGGGTTAAAAATGTATTAATTTAACTTTCTGATAAAAACATAATAACTAAATAAAAGGATCACAATAAATGCTAAGTGTGATAATCATAATATTATAAATTATAAGTGGTGACAGGGGGTAAAAAAGATTCTATAAAGATTCTAAAAAATTTATAATTAAATATTAAATATAATATAGATCTAGATCTAGTTTATTTAAGCTTATTATATGTATAGATAGTCTCTAAACTCTAATGTATGAATAATTAATTTATTAGGGGCCTAAATATTTTATATTTTAAATTGATCCTTTCCCTTTTGTGCTAAGAATTATAGGCCTAAATATTAATTTAAATTAAATTAAATTTTAAAAATTCAGATCATGTGATTGAAATTATTAGAGCTTGCCTTAGGCCGGGCTTAGGGTAAAACTGGTTAAACTTAGCTACTTGTATATGTAATGTATTAATAAATCAGCATAATACTAAATATTAATTATTATAAGTTTACTAGCTTGCTAGTTGGTAAATTATTGTTTAATTTAATACTTTTTTTTTTTATTCTTGCTGCTTGATAGACACAGAGTCAGACATTTCTGTTGTTCTGTCACTGTCAAGTTTCATACTATACTCTACTATTCTATAATAATTAATAACAACTTTGCCTATTCATTATCTGCACATCTGTTCAAAATATGTGCAGCTTAAGTTTCTGACTCGAAATGATATCATGTTTCTAATTCAATAACAACAATACTAGATCTATATATCTACAAAGAAAAATGTACTAACCTGTTTGGATCGTCCGCCATTTTCAAGCTGTTGATTTGTTGCTATGTGAGGGCTTACACGGTGTAAAACTACCAAGGGACGGCGAGTTATTTATTAACTTCAGAATAGAAAATTAAATAGAAAAAGAAAAGGAAATGAATTTTAGCCAATTGAAATTCAGCTTATTATTCAGTGCATTGTTTAGATCAAGATGGCCTCTGTTCATTGATTAGGTGAATTTATAATATTTTTTTTTAGAAATAATCTCGTTTTGCAGAAACATACCCAAATATTAATTAATATGGTGGCACGGAAAAGCTTGTATATTCTCCCCACATGGCGATCTGTGTAGTAGTGTCGGGGTTTTATGTTGTAAATAAAAAAAATCATCATCCATCCTAGTTGGCAACGTTGATCCAGCAAGCCAGCCAGTGACAACAGAAAAATTTTCTGAACCAGAAAAAGATTTACTTAACTATTAGATCTAGATCTAGATTCTATATCTAAATTCTAAATATTTAGAACTCTAGAAATTTTCAATTATTTTAAAGTATTCCTTATTTGACATCTAGATCTAGATCTATTTTATTTTAATTTCGAAGTGACTACTCGGAAGATTTTTCTCCCCAACGTCTCCACTTAGTCGGCAAAAGATAGCTCTGCGCATGTGCAGTGACCTATGGCTAGGGTTAGGGCTAGAATGAGGGTTATGGTTAGGGATAGCCCCCATAGGATTAGGTGATTAGGGTTAGGGTTTTGCGGTTGTAAACCATCGAAAACATCGCCGCGAAGGCAAGTCGTATTTTCTCTCCATTGCGCATGCGTATTTTATTCCAGCTAGCATCGGCCTTTCATTTTTAACCTAACAAAACTAAAAAATCAAGGCAAAAACTTGACATACGGACAACTGACTTATTTTGAAGTTTAAAAAAAAATTTCACAAAAAAACGTTTTAATAACAAGCTTTTATGTAATAATGCACTAAAAACTATAAAGAAAAGCGTGGTTCACTATAGTATTTTAGTATCTATTGGATACCTTTACTAATATACTAATTATAGTTATTTAAATAGTATTGTATAATTTATTTTCTCCTTTTTAGTGCATTTTTACATAAAAGCTTGTTATTAAAATGTTTTTTATGAAATTTTTATTTAGTACTTTACATGTTTTTATTTACAATAGAGTTACATGACTAAAAACCATTGCGCACCTATTGAACGTGATGTCTCATGTGTGGAGTAGTTGGATAAGACTGCCTACTAATCTGTTCAAATTTTTTATTAATTTATAAAAAATTAATCAGGCGACCAATTAAGTCAAATTGAATGTCATGATGTATTGTCTTCATGTCTTGACCCATGTACCAATTACGAACCGTATTTGTCAGCTAGAAGTTCCTGCAATTTTGCTTGGCCGTTTTGATCTAAACAGACTGACGACAGACAGAGGAAGTGAGTTAAATATAAGATTGTAAAAATCTGGTAATCTATGGTTTTAGGTGCGTAAAATCGACAGAGGCTAGTAATGTGAGAAAAAGTTGCCTCGTTGTTAAGGCTTTAATAGAAGTATATTTGTGATATATTTGTGTCAAATATAATAGATAGGCCTAACTGAAAAGTAAACCAAAATCAATGGCTAAATATATCAATATAGGCCAGAAATTAACTTAAAACAGCAGCATTTGCAAGCAAGATTTGCTATAGGCCTATAAACAGCGGCCATCTGTAAATTAGAGTGGTTTCCCCTGAATCTCAAACTATAATTGTACCAAAAAAACATGAATAAGATGGCTGCTAAGGTAAATAAGTTTGGTTGCTTCTGATGAAAACATAGCTAGTCTTTATTTATTACTGAAAAGTTTTAATACAGTTGTTTAAAAACAGAGACATGAATGAAATAATTAGGCCTACTAACATGTAATGAGTCACCTTTTTTCACATAATAGTCTCGGCCGATTTTACGTATATAAAACGACAGATTACCAAAGATCTTGCCTAATTCCAAGGTAATTCTAGGGACTGAAATAATTTTCAAATTATCATTTTTTTTTTAAAAACTCATTTAATCGCAGTGAAATCAAGAAAGTGTTCTTGGACAAATTTGGCATGCTTAAGATTTTCTCACTAAATCTAAAATTTACTCAATTTTCAATGTAAACATGACAACTGGATAATAGACATCCATATTTAATCCATTAGGCACTAATTTTGAAGTAAAAGTTTGTTAAACTAAATTATGTAATTAAATATTTATTGTCACTCACTGCCATGACAAACACACCTCTCCATGACAACACGTTCATCACTCTTACGTTTGAGGCCACGGCAAACCATGAATTGGTTCGACTTTTAAATTGGCTATGCACCAGAGTTCCTCAATAGTGATGAGCCAAATAGCGGTCACATGGTTTTTAAAAGAAAAGAAAATAGGTTGTTTTATAGCTGTCTTATGTAAAAAAAAGGTTCACAATATTTTATTTATTTTTTCCTAGACTGATAAAACTAATAATGCTTTACGTTCTCGCTCATTTTTGTGCCTACACCGTTGATATTTTAAAAGTTCTAATAAGTTTAATGAAATCAACTTTTGAATTTAGCCTCCATTCTCAAAACCAAATTTTAAAATGCTTTTCTGGCATATATATCTCTGCCACCTATGGTTTGTTTTTATAACCCCGCCATTTTGCTTGTGGTAAACATTTTAAACAGTAATTCTAAAAAGGTCACTGGAACTAAGACCAAAAATCATCGGAAATCATGCATCCGGTGTGTACGCCAAATTGTTGTTAGCACCGACCATGCCTCCGGGTTAGCGAGTAATACTACTATACTTATAACTATACTAGCATATCTCTCTTAAGGTAACTTATGAATGCTTTTGTTTGTTTTATGCCATTTCTTTTTACTATTATTTAATACTACTCAAATCATTTTAATTTTCAGCAATATCCTATTCTATTGTTTAACATGAATTATTTAAATAATAATGCAAACGAACAAATGCTTTTTAAATTGCTTAGTATAAAAATATAAATGATAGGCCTACAGAATAAGATGTCATTAATCTTAAAATATAATGTTACCACAGTTATGTGAGTTAAGCTAAATTTGGCAAAAGCAAGGAATAAGTTTGCAAATAAATGTTATAAACATGTAAGTTATATATTACAGCAACTTTGAATTGCGCTCGAAATTGAGCCAGCTGTTTAGTTTTAAAAAAAAATTTCTGGCATAGGAAGGCAGATGATTCATTTATTTATAGTCAAGCATTCTAAATTTCATGGCACAGATACTCTTTACTAGATCAAGCATTTTAAATTGTTTTTATTTTCACAGATTTCATAATGCAAGAAGGACTATGTGACACTTTCCTTAATGGCTTTCAGTAATATCTTCAAAAAGGCTAGCAATTTATTAGGTATTGGAGGAACTGACAGTTTGCGTCCTCCTCCATTAGATGGGGAAATCATCTATTGCAAGAACAATGTTTGTGTTCATCCCCCGGCATCACTGCTGCTAGAGACAGAACACCATCCTGGTTATTTAACCTTGCGTGCTCAACAAAGTCAGGTAGTGCTTTGTTAATAAATTAATTGATTGCCCTATGAATTACATCTTGTTAGCTGTAATTTTAGAAACGTTACATTTGTTTTATCAGGTGTCACAAATTACTAATATTGACCCGATGATATCACCATTTCAGTCATGTCGACCAACTCTCCTTTTAACATGGATACCAAACACCACATTGAAAAAAAATCCACAAAGTATTGAGAGTAGCCCGATTAAATCTGGCACCCCTAAAGCTAGTCCACGTCGAAACCCTAAACAAGAATTTGCTAAATCAGATGAGTCTGTGACTTTGACTCCCTCCCCTTCCCCTAGCACACAAGACTCAAGCCAGCGTTGTAAAAAACTAAGCACAGACACTACAAGCATCTGCTCTGATACCTCAGTATATTCAAGAGACGACTCTCCTAGTTTGGACAGTTCCAATGTTGGAGAAGATGTCTCAAAGGAAAGCGGAAGCAGGCACAGCTCTAGCTACAGATCACAAACTGACTCAGGTATTGGAACAGATGAAACCCATCTCCAGAACAATGAAAAGTATTTACAGCATGGGCTGAAACCCTCGAGGGTGGGCATTCACGTCAATGATCTCAATGGTGCAGAAAGAAAAAACATTGGAGCCTGCAGTGATCCTAACAGAGATGAGCTTACTTCTGAGGAACAGCTTGTTGCTATGCTCAACAGAAATAAGCTTCATGCCAAGATTAAAGATGGAGGAGATACAAGTAAGTATTTGTAGGCTGTTTTTGGATGAAGGTGGAGTGATTGTTATGCTTTCTTTGTATGTCAAGTAACTACTTGTTGTTGTGAATTTTAAATGGAAATGAGTTTTAATGGTTGATATACTTTGTATTGTTAAACTAAAGCATTTTTTATGAGCACCTTTATAATTTATCTTTAGTTGTGCATGAAGCTCCTTTTCTTTTAGGTGAGTTTTTATAATTTGAGTTACATCCATATGCTTACAGAGTTTAGCATTAAGACTTTTATTTTTCACAGCTGTTAAGGCAGTGAGTATAGAGCTGCAGGGAGACAAACTTGTGGTGGTCACGGAGCAAGAAGAAGAAAGGTGTAAAAATATCACAGAGAACAACATCAACAGAAATGAAAGCAAGTTTGACACGAGCAGCTCCACAGATATTGACACGCAGAGCCTGAGCTCTGACTCCAACAGTCCATCCAACCTGGGGCTCGGGGCTGCCCACACAGTGCTGGATGGGATCAATAGCTCCGATGGTCTTCCTGTTCCCCCTACTGGCATTTCAAGGGTATGGTTAGCTTAGGGTTTTATTTATACTTAAGAACACATAGTTTTTTTTTTTTTTCAACTTTACATATAAGATCTGAAAAAGGTCATGAGCAAGGGCTATTTTTGAAGTAGTTTTATAATTTTTCATGTTAGTATTTTTTTATTTAAATTTTAGACATGCCTAGAACTTGAGCTGGCAGCAAGTATAGGGCCACCTCCAAATACTCCAGCTATTACACCAGACATCAACATTACTAAAAGTAGGTCGCGATCATCCTCCTCCTCATCAACCACATCAGGTCCAGATTCTTGTCCAGTCACACCTTGCACATCAGATGGGGATTCAGGTCAGCATTTATATCTTACTAGAAGTGAATTTATTTCATTCACACCTTGCACATTAGATGGGGATTCAGGGCAGCATTTATATCTTACTAGAAGTGAATTTATTTCATTCACACCTTGCACATCAGATGGGGATTCAGGTCAGCATTTATATCTTACTAGAAGTGAATTTATTTCATTCACACCTTGCACATCAGATGGGGATTCAGGTCAGCATTTATATCTTACTAGAAGTGAATTTATTTCATTCACACCTTGCACATTAGATGGGGATTCAGGTCAGCATTTATATCTTACTAGAAGTGAATTTATTTCATTCACACCTTGCACATCAGATGGGGATTCAGGTCAGCATTTATATCTTACTAGAAGTGAATTTATTTCATTCACACCTTGCACATCAGATGGGGATTCAGGGCAGCATTTATATCTTACTAGAAGTGAATTTATTTCATTCACACCTTGCACATCAGATGGGGATTCAGGTCAGCATTTATATCTTACTAGAAGTGGATTTATTTCATTCACACCTTGCACATCAGATGGGGATTCAGGTCAGCATTTATATCTTACTAGAAGTGGATTTATTTCATTCACACCTTGCACATCAGATGGGGATTCAGGTCAGCATTTATATCTTACTAGAAGTGGATTTATTTCATTCACACCTTGCACATCAGATGGGGATTCAGGTCAGCATTTATATCTTACTAGAAGTGAATTTATTTCATTCACACCTTGCACATTAGAAGGGGATTCAGGTCGGTTTTCTGTCATACATCTATATCAGACTAGAATTGAATTTTTTTCATTCACAACTAGCACATCAGATGTGGATTTGGGTAGGTTACCATTCATGTTGAGTGCATCTTATTACACTGTAATTATTTTATACTTCTAGCCCCAAACTCACCTGGTCAAGAATGGCCTGAGTCTCCAGGGAGTTCTGTTGGCTACCACAACCTGACCTTCCCAGAAAATGCAATGACAACATCTGCTGCCAGTCCTGGCCAAAAGAGAAGTGCCAGAGATCAGTTGTGTGGGGTCTTCTCTGTAGACTTAGGTAGGAATTGGTGTCTATTTGTTTGGGTTCTACCATGTAGACTTGGATGGGAATCATGTGGACCATTTGTACTTTTATTTAATAAACATTGAAAACTTATCTAAAGTCGTAAATTTCTAACTTTGAATGTCATCAGGTCAGATGCGATCTCTGCGACTATTTTACAATGACAGAGCTTGTACGCAAGGCCAAGTTGTTATAGCCAGCAGAGAAAGTCAGTACAAGATTCTACACTTTCATAATGGAGGTCTCGACAAACTGGCTGAAATATTTGAGGACTGGAGTTTGTTTGCACATAATATAGATGAGGTAGGCTAATTGATGTGTATACTGTTGTCAGCTGGCAGTCTTTATGTTCTGGAGGATTGCTTCATTTTTGTTTGAATAAAAAATCTTTTTTAATTTATAAAATATTATTTTCCTGGTATGGTAAGCATGAAAATAGTTAGTCCAAAGAGCTGCAGGTTTTGAAATACACCTGAATTCTCCAGCTATATGGATAAAAACATCTGAAAGCCTTTACTTGTAGTTTACCATTTTGCTTATTAGACTTAACATAAAAACTTAAATTTGACTTTTTATTTTACTGTGCGGGGGGCTCTCAAATTCAATTGGTTATGGTCCAAAGTTAATGTTTATATTGTTTTGATGTCTAGATGTTTAAATGAAACATCGTAACTTGATCTTATGCAGTGTTTGTTTGAAGCAGGGTGAAGGTGACAAGCCTTACAGACAGTTCCTTGTGGTGAAGCCCCACTTATCTGATGATCAGTGTCACCCTGAAGAACATTTGTTTGCTAAAGTAACCAATGAGGTCTGGCAGGAACACATGGCAGCTGACGGCAGCATTGAAGATGTCTTCCAATTGCGTAAGGTGTGTATCTGTACACTTAATGTGATGGCTATGATCAATTATGACTGTCTTAAAAAAAGTAAACAGATCTAGAAAATGTATAATCACTAATGCCTTAACACAGCTGCAGTTTCCAAACGTTTTTTCATTCCACATCCTTCTAAAGTCTTGGCACCTCTTTGTTCTGGGTTTTGTGGACATATTAATACGAAGTGAACAATAATGTATTAAGTTTTCACTTCCCATAGCTTTAGGCCATGTCTGCCTTACGGTTTTGAAACCTCTGCTATAGGGTATATACTTGAGAGAGCACTGCATTGTGAATAGATTTAAACATGATAATCTTTTGCTTGTTTTTAAAACTAATATAATTATAATATGTTCTGTTATTTTTTTGTTTTAAAATTAATTCAGTTTTGTTTGTGTTAAGCACTTCAGCAAATCTAATATGCTCTTTGAATCCTTATAAAATATGAAAAGTCACTTCTTTGGTCACATTTTAGTTGATCTTTTTTTATTAGTAGATGTCCAACTTTTCTATCTCTTTCAACTTTGACTGCTACAGGCCATATTTTTTGGTGGCCTAGACGCAAGCATCAGACATGAAGTATGGCCATTTCTTCTACATTACTTCCCATTTACATCAACTTTTGAAGAAAGAGAACAGATTCGTAATGACAAGTACATTGAATATCAAAATATCAGGAAGCTCAGGTACCTTTTTAAATCATTTTTTCTTACATGGTCTAATCTGAAACATGTTCCTCGCAGCTTCCACCTCAGCTTGCCTTTTCTTTTGCAACTTTTTCTGAGCATTAATCATTAGTTGTGGTCTATTTTGTGACATTTAAAAAATATTCATGTCTATTATTGTTTGTTTTATATCTTAAGAGAATCAATGGATCCTGAGACCCAGCAACAGTTCTGGAGGAATATCCAGTGCATTGTTGAGAAAGATGTAGTGCGCACTGACAGATCACATCCCTATTTCAAGGGTGACAATAACCCAAACATAGAGGTGCTCAAGTAGGTTATTTATCTCATCAGGTTAAGCTTAATATCATCTTAATCAAAGTATTGCTAATGTTTTTCATATTTCTTTCAATGAGTAAGTCTCTTACTATGAAATTGTATGATGGTGTTTTATGTTTCTAGAAATATACTTGTCAACTATGCTGTGGCAAATCCACTGATGGGATATACACAAGGAATGTCAGATCTGTTAGCCCCTGTTTTAGCTGCCATTCAACAGGAATCTGAAGCTTACTGGTGTTTTTCTGGGCTTATGACTAGGACCATTTTTGTTAGCTCCCCAAAGGATAGCGACATGGATAAACAGTTGGTGAGATTGTGTTTGTTTATGTTAAGGAAACATTTAGTTTGCCACCTCAGTATAGAAAAGGAAGGCAAGATCGAATGGTAAAGATTTTGACTGTTAACCCGAAAGTCTTAAATCTCAAAGATGTACCTGAGTCCTGCCAGCTCTGGTGGTTACCTGACTCACGGTAGGGAAAGTGAAGGCGATGGACATAGACCTATCGCTTATTATCCAGAGGTCACTGAAACAGGTGAACTCTTATTCACTTGCCCCATGGATAAGGTTCTAAACGTTACTTAGTTCGTTATTTAACTTAATTTAGCAAGTAAAAACAACTTGTCATTTTGTGTTCTTACTTAAACATAAAGACTTTGTTTACAGAACTATTTGAGGGAACTGTTAAGAGTGACACTACCCAAGTTTCATTACCACCTGAAACTTCTAGGTCAGGATGCCTTGGAACTGCTGTTTTGCCACAGGTAATTCACATTTCTTATAATTGCTCTTGAATATACTGATTGCAAGAATGTCCCTTATACAGAGAATTGACATTTGATCAACAGGTGGATCCTTCTGTGCTTCAAGCGTGAGTTCTGTGAGAGTGATGCCCTGCGCATATGGGAGACATGCTGGGCCCGCTACCAGACTGACTACTTCCATCTCTTTGTGTGTGTGGCCATTGTAGCTATCTACGGAGATGATGTGGTCGAACAAAGACTTCCAGCTGATGAAATTCTTCTCCATTTTTCTAGTTTAGCTATGCACATGAATGGCAGGCTTGTTCTTAGAAAGGTAAATTACTTATAGTTTTTGTTGTTGTTTTTTTTTTTTTTTAAGATTAAAAAATTTAATTTACAACTACTCTTTACTATATACTTAACTGCTACCTCACTGTTCAACTATGACTTCCTACTACTTAACCCTTTGAGCCCTGGCCTCCCTGACCTAATTTCTCCTATTTCCTGAGCTCCCAGGCCCAAACCGATTTTCACTTATCTGCTTCTAACTTTGCCCATAACTTTTGAACCGTTTGAGATAATCAGACCAAATTTGGTATCCAGACTCAGGATCAAACAACAATGCAGCAAGATTCTGAAATTCTTTATTTTTTTTACAATGTTTGAACAGAACAATGTGTATAAAACGAACGTATAATTATTGTTTTGATAAAACATAGAAGAAACCAATTTACATTTAGTAATTGTTTTGTTATTTTTTATATCTGCCCATACTAGTTCATCGCCAGAAGTCCACTTTCGTGTGATAACTTACAAAACAGTTATCACTGCCGGACCCGATGCAAAGAAAAAATTAGCATGTTTTGCACCAGTAAACTTTTTTTTTTCGTTTCGGCAAGTCTTTGTCCTTGACACCACGTGCATCAGAACGTACTTGAAATCAATTTTTAAAATCATACTCCCGCACTCAAAAGACATATGCGCAGTTTTAGTCAGTCTTCCGCTAATTATATTTAATTAGACGGTATACCGGCCGCATGGAATATGACGCTAGATCATCGGGCCGGAAAACCGGCTTTTCGGACATATATGCCTAATGTTGAAGCCGGTTTACCGGCCTGGCGGGCTCAAAGGGTTAATGATCTACTCCTTAAACCTCCTACTCATTGGTCTGTTACTAGTCATCTTGCTTCCATTTGGTCAGGCTATTCTATTGGTTCCTACCTGCTTGACCTATGGCTATCTACTTAAATTATTCACTATTCTAGATCTTTCTTCTCCTTGGCCTATTTCTTACATCATCACACAAATTATATTTTGAGTTTCCTTTTATGTTCCTGACAATAGAGGAGGCAGCAACAATGGAAATGGTTTAATTTTTTGGGAATAGTTGCTAATTAAAATCAAACATTTAGAGCAAAATTTACTTAGGTGGAGATTTAAGTTCTGTTTTGTTTTTCAGGCAAGAGGATTACTTCATGAATTTAGGAAACGTGTGAAGATTCCTTGCACACTCCATGGTCTGTGTTCCCAAGTAAATGCTGGCATGTGGGACAGTGGCCATGTTCCTACTGTAGAGTGCATTGGGCATCTTGGCGAAGAAGTTTGTTCGTATAACAGCACACCAAGTTCTCCTATCTATGATGACCAGTGAAGTTGCTGATATATCAGGAAATCAAGCTCAGATCAGGAGTTTACACCCCTGTATTATATATTACAATATTTACATATGTGCAATAATTGAACTGAATCATCAAATGCATTTACACCGTTTCTAGACCAAAGTTTTATTTTTAAATAATTTTTTGAGTTGGTCACTTTATTAATGAGATAAATTCTATTCATTATAGTCACTTCCAATTTTTTGTTGGTATTTTTAAAATTGTTTTACATCTTTTTTTTCTTTTTTTTAAATTGATTCCACTGTGTGGTGATGATGTCCTGTGATACACATAATTTGATGATAGCAACTGGTACCACAAACACCTTGTTTTAACCATAATGGACCAATCCATTGCTAGTATTGAAATCTTTGTTCCACACTCTGCTCAACTTATTTGAGTGAACCAAAGATTATTTTTGTTTACCTCAGTTTGTGCAATATCCTTTTAATTCCAATTTTTTTATTGTGAATGCTTTTTAATCATGTATTGTGTTGTATTGGTTGAGGATCTATTATGTTTGTGGTCAAAGGTGTTTTAATTGAATATAGATATAAGCAGACGACTTATTTATGTACAGAAATGTCTTCAACAGTCTTGGCATAAATCTAGTAGATGGCCGCTATGAATACCACCTAAGTCATTTATTCATGTAAATATTTTTAATGTACAAGCACAATAGTCAGGTCAGTTATTAAAAAACTAAATCACTTGAAATTGTTTGAGAGATCATCCCAGTTGTGTTCTACTTTAGATGAATATCTAGCTTGAACTATTTCTTCAGTAAACATGTGCATTCCGTTTCTTTTGGTGTTCTTTTTGTGCATATTATTTGCTTGTGTTAATCTTGATTTCAGTTTGCCAATTGACATACAATTTTAAAATGATTCAACCACAAAAAAAGGTACTTTTTTACCAGACAAAGGAAAAGATTCCACTCACCAAATTTAAGATAATTTTAATTACATTAGATAAGTAAAAAAACAATTATGGATTTTTAAATTCAATATACAATCAAATACAAGAATGTAAAGTTCTTGACCACAAACATAGATTTAGTCATAAATTTACCAGTTTAAAATTAATTTTAAAAAGGGGTCGGCGTGGTCGAGTCGGTATAGCTCATGGTTGCCAAACCGAAAAGTCTCGAGTTCGAACCCTCGGACAGATGAGGCTCGTTAGCTGGGAACAGCCACTCTTCTAGGAGAGACTACTCCAAAATTAAATAACTGCTGCCTTGTAGTTTGTTCTTGGTTGGACAAAGGCTATGGAAGCAAATCCAAAAAAGAAAAGCAGGCTGAAATCGGAGTCAATGGCCTCAATGGCGCATAACCAGTTGACACGTAACGCTTAATTGTGTTGGAGGCGTGGTCGAGTCGGCAAAAAGTTCATGGTTGATAAATTCGAACAAAGTCTCGAGTTGAAACCCACTGGCAGATAAATCTCGATCCCCTTCAACACTAATAATTAAGAACGAAGAAGAAGAAAGAATTTTAAAAAACCTGACAATTTAATCACTCCTTAAAAAAAAACATCTTGTCTTTTTTTGTTTGATCTAAATGGTAAACTGTTAATTTGTCTTATTAATGTAGAGGTTCTCACATTTATAATTACTTTATTTTTTAAACTAGTCAAAACCAGTACTAATACAAACGTTACTAAAATGTAATACCCATTTAATACTTGATCAGTCTTACATGTAAAATAGTGTTATTTATTGGGTAATAAAACATCTAAACATACTGTTTAGATACATGCTTAAGTTAAACTCAACAAATTTACTATTTTAACACCAAATATACAGGAATCACTTTCAAATATACAGAAACTTGAAAAACATTACACTTGGCAAACATAAGATAATTCAAAAAGATAACCACAGTTTTATAGGAATGTTTTCAACAGAGATGGAGGGAACATATGTCAAATGTTTGAAGTTATTTATAAAAAATCATGTCACATGTTTATCTTTGATGTGAGGAACTCGTTTCTCCCAAGCATTTTTACACACATACCCCAGACAAAAATAACGAGCTGCTGGACCATACAAGCCCAGCTGACCTTGGTGACAGAGATAAGGCTTGACCTTGACATAATGTGGCTTACGCATCTTTGCTGAGTACATGGCATAGATGACTTCCTGGTCAGTATTGGATAGTCCCTGGTCAAGGAGCTCTTTGACTGCAAGCTTATAGTCTCTGGTAAAATTCAGCATATACTGCGCAAACATAAAAAAAAAAACTATTCAAACATGCACAATTGTTACTATACTTTGCAACAAAAAAATTAATTTTGAACCAAGGCGGTAGAACTACCAACACTTTGTTTTAACCATTTGTGGAAGTAAATGTCAAAAACTCGCAACAATAAGCCTGATCATTTTTTTTATTTATGTAAGCAATATAAAAATAAGTCTCAATTCGAAATTTGTGTTCAAATGCATATTTTAACAATAATTATAAGTGGTATATTTCTTAACTAATGAAATGTGTATTTAAATAAACTTAAAATAATTAATTATTAAGACGTTTAAAATTTAGTCTTTAAGTGCTTTTTTTTCATACATGATATTAGCTGACCTAACCAAAAAAGTAGACAACCAGTTACCTACCTCTTTAGCAGCTAAAACTATGCTTCCTGAAACCCACACCATCTTGTTTTTCATAATAAAATCTGGTGTTAAGACAGGATCTTGTGGCCATGCTTGGGAGAATCCAACTCTTTCGGGGTTAAATTTGTCTGGTGGCACAAGTTTAAACAATGGATAGTCTGTGCCATCTAAGCTACGAAACAGACCAACATCAACCCAGGCAAAATAAGGAGTGTTAAAATAGTCCATAATGCAAGATCTTTCAAGCACATCATATTTGGCATGCATAGCACATGAGTACTCTGGGTAAACTGTGTTTGGGTGGTATTTGGGGTAAGATGGCTGGCGATAAATGCTTCGAATTTGTGGAAGGTGTTTAAAAGATGGTAGTTCATGTCTGTTAATTTTGATAACTTTAGTGTGACTAGGAGGCATGCAGGAGCGAACTTCCCTACAGAAAGAAAAAACATTTGTTACTCAAGTTTTATTTATCAATCATGCATAATCTAAGTTTTAAGTTAATGAATAAAATCAATCATGTTAGGAGTCACCGAAAAGTTAGCGTAGACTTTATCAATTAGGCCTAGATTAAAGATATTCAACATTCAATAAAAGGCTATATACCAATTAGATAACATTTTAAAATAAAATTAAAATAATTTTAGACTTAGATAACCTAATTATGGAATTCATAACAAACCCTTTTTAAACCATATTTTTTAAGTTATTTAAATAACTTAAATTTTTATAGTTAGAACAATGTATACTACAATGATTACATTTTTAAAATGTAAACAAAACATGCATTTAAGTCAAGAGAGTTAATACATTCTTTTGATGATGGATAATAACTGTTTTTATTATTTTGAAAAACCAAGCTTAAAGGAATATTCTAGCTAAAATAAGAAATTATATTTGTGATGTTATAATAATCAGCCTGCTTGTTAACATCAATTTCTTAAAGTTACTTATACTAAATGATCACATTTAAATGATAGCCAGTGGTAGTAAACTTACTTGAAATATTCTATATCTTCATCTTTTTCTATGTAAGCCACCACTCTATTTGTCATTTTGCCAAAAATACGCATCCACCTCTTGTACTTGTATGGAGAGTGATAAGCCAATGGCTGTTCACCTTTCTTGAACACTCCCAGATCAATGAACATGGTGACCACTGTTATTTCATCTGGGGCGGGTTGAAAGACATAATCTGGAGCACTTTCATAGTCACACCATTTGACCTGGAATCATAATAACAGCCTTGACTATAACTAGAGATATGATTTTTTTCTAACTTAAAATATGCTTTTAATAAAAATAAGTTGCTTAAAAGACTTTAAATGTCTGATATTCAATATTATTTTAGAAATGAGCTATACTTAAACTATGCTTCAAGATTGTAGGATGGTGCATTTTTTTTCTTAATAATCTAATAAAACAATAATATGCTATCCTATGAGATTGCTTAGTTTGATCAATTCAAAAATGGTACGTTTCTTAAATAGATTTAAAAATACATACAACTGAAGGATTCCATGGCAATATTTCTAATGTAAATATCAGATGATCTGTGTAAAATAAACATTTTTTAAATATTAGGCATAATCTAAAGATAGTTAAATAGCATAGAACTGAAAGTAACAAAGTATTTAAGGAATTTTAAAATGAGAACAAAGAGAAATACTTTAAAATTGTCCAACTGAAAGTGTAATATAAAACCATGTAGTGCTAATAAGGGCATGGTAAAGGGATGTATGGGAGATGGGGGGGGGGTGGCTTGAACACTATTAATACACCCTTGATAAATCCCATAGAAATAAAAAAGCAATTTAATTTTTAAAAAGCCCTAATGCAACATCAATCTCTTTTGTATTTCTTATCTATAATTTAAAATGTATTTTACAAAGTGGATGAAACAGTTATTATGAAGTATTCAAAAGTGACCTACAAAGAAATAAAAATGCTAAACCAGCAAATAATGCTGTACATGATGCCATCACAAGTCTTTTCGGTGTCCATCTTCTATATAATATTGACATTTTGATTGAAATCCACTGACGTCGTAATTTTAAGAGCAGTGAAGTTTCCATAGGCATGATTTGACCTAAACACAAAGGAAAAAAGATAGAGTTAGATATGTTTAAATAAGCATAGACCAGTGAGAGAAAAGCAGTGGCAAAAATTAAGCAAAAGTAACGAAACATTATATTATAGCAATTAGGTTCAATTATGTTCAGTGAAGGTTACGCTCTGCCTATCTCCTCCACCCTACACATTGTGCCTACAACTCCACCAGTATTTTCTGTAAGCTCAAGTCAGCTGATTTTCAACATAAATACACTTTATAAAACCAGTTTGGCTCTTTGTATAATCAAATAAAATAACATAGGCCTATGTTATTTTATTAAACAATATGGTTCATATTTGTGTCGATCCTTTATAATCCTAACAGAACCAACCCCCTGGGCGTGGCCTGCACAGACTGATGTGCTTGTTGCAGTGTGTTAAATATACTCAAAACCATATTAAAAAATCTCATTTAAATAGGTCAGGTCACATGATGATAGTGACATACCAAGCACATGTATAAATTATAATTGTGTTGCCTAGTGATAACTACCTTCCTTCTCCCCCCCCCCCCCCCTTCGAAGCTACTGAGACAGACTCAAGACTACACTGCATCTCTAGATTTAGTTATTAGTAGCCTACTTTTACTTAGTAATAAATAAATTAAATATTAAATAACTGTGCAATGGGTTCATCCTTCATATAATTTAATCTGTGCAATGGGCTCAAATCATCCTTCTATACTAGATCTAGATTCTATAGGCCCTAGTAAATTTCATTTAAATTTATTGTAATTTTTAGAGCTGAACAAAGCAATGGGCATGGGCTCAAATTGAAATTAGTAATTTGAATAATTTAAGCCAATTGCTTTGCTACCCTTCACCATTTTATTTAATATTATTAATTAGTAATTAGGCCTATTAGGCTGTGATTTTACTAGATCTATGATGAATGATGACATTGTGATTGTGTGACAGATTAATTGACTCATTTCAACACTCATGAATAACCGACAATAACCGTACTTTTCTGGGACCTTGTCGTTGTCAGTGTCTTCAATTTCAACTCTTTCTTAGTCTTCCTCCTAGTCCTAACTTACTAATTAGTAGTAATTACTAAAGTCTCTAGTAACCTAGTAGTACCAGAGTAATCAGAGTTACTAGAGTAGATCTCTAGATCTGTATATTATATTTTGGCTGTCGGTCATAATGATTATTGCATATTGCCATTACAATGTTAAACACCAATGTTGGTGTACATCTACATCTCTAGATCTAAGCCTACTCTCAGCCTCTGAGATGTTGACTAGGAGTAGGAAGTAACTTCTGCATACACTAAACACCGAAAACTTCAATAATAGGAGAATAACTTAACCCTTTATTTACGGAATTATGTTCTGAATGAGATTTTTACTTAAACAATGTGTTACTATATTGCTTTTGGCACATTCAAAGCATATATCGAAGGAAATTTCGTTTCATAAATTTTTAATGGCCCAAACAGATATTGGTACTTATAAGTACCGTCAGTAAACTAGGAAATTTTTTTTCAAATTTTTTTTTTTACAAAACAGGAACAAACGATACAATTTATTAACTAATAACATGGCAATCATTATAACAATCAATTTTTGTAATTTTCACACATAAATACAGCACACAAGTATATTTTGAGTACGATTTTTACTGGAACACATCTTAGACCTCAAACACAGCTGAAGTAGTCGACATGTCACGCTCCCTCAATCTTGTCTGTGGTCTTTCTAGTGTAGCAACGGTTCCCGGAATGAACATGCTTTTGTTGGAAGCTTCCAATAGCTAGTACAATGAGCCGCATTAACAAACAAAAGCCTAGTCATTCAGCACGCAACTACAAGTAATACTAGTATAATTGTAGCCAACTAGAATGTTATGACAAGTCTACACTACAGTGCAAAGTTCATAAATAGAAGTGAGCTCAATGTGTTTAGGATAGCCGTAGTGGCATACTCCTTTTTTGTTTACTGATTAAAATTTACCATATAGATCAATACTATATGCAGAAGTATGGACTATTACTAGCCTACATGTATACATTACGTAAATGCTAGTTGTTGTAGGCAAGACAGTTTAGTGCAGTAAATAAAACTAACAAATTAAATCTTACAACTAGAACTAGGCTTTGGTATACAAATGAAGCAAACTAAACCTTGTAAACGAGCCCGCAACTGATACCTTTATTCTTGTTAATTTTTTACTACTAGAAATTAACATGTAATTACAATATTTCTTAGGTAAACCGTAAGCTAAACTTCTTATAAATTTGTAAATATCATTTTTTGAGTACATTTCGATAATTAATTATCAAGACAATATTTATGTAACTCCACATAAGAAAAATCTGCCATTTTCTAAAAATCTTTAAAAAATGACCGTGTGCCCTGACGGTACTTATAAGTCCACTTGTAAACATCGATCTAATACAAAGACAATTTGATTAAAATTGTATAACTAGAAGTTAAATGCGTTTGCCTGACTATTGAAGTTGCCAATAAAAAATATTTGGGGTTGAAAACTTGAAAAATAAGGTAAAACAAAGGGAAATCAAGAACGTATGTGAGAAATGTACAGACAAATTGTGAACTACCGATATAGCAAGACATTGAAAATGGCGCCACACCAGTAATTTTCAAAAAACAATGATACCTCCGACTACCGGCGACTCAGGGGAGATAGAACTATTAATTACTTCAATAATTTTTAAAATTCGTATTAAATTAAAAATAATACAGGCATTTAATTAAAGTGGTACTTCTAAGTACCGTCAGTAGATAAAGGGTTAAGCAATTAAACAGTTGTTTGTTTCGTTTTTTTTTTAAACTATTTTATCAGCTTATTGTTATATGATGTAAGTAAAACTCTAATACACACTTAATAATTTAAAAATTAGCCTAAACTATTTGTTTTTATTTTACTTTTACTGCTATTTAAACCTACCCTCCTTGTTAACAGTCATTACAGGGTGGGAAGGGTTCAAAACTTTGATATAATGTTTGCATTTTAAATTTTTTTAAAAATAAAAATTCGAGCAATTTTTAAGCATTTTTGTCAATTGTAATTGTTTTCCCAAGATATGATCTTCTCCAAGCTCTGTTATTTTTTTTTTAGTAATATACTCTTGTTTAAAAAAAAAAAAAAAAAATACCATGGGGGGGGGGGGGGGAAGAAGAGATATTAAAACAAGGGGGGGGGGGAACTAATGTGCCATCATTCATGGACAAACCCAATATAGATGGCTAATCACCATTTTTTGTTTGTTTCATTCAATGAGACTTTAGTCTTTCCACCTTACCAGATACAGTAACATAAACATACCATTATCAGACTATCTTTTCAATTAGCTAACTATGGTATTTAATGTTTCTTGTTGCTTATGCTGATGCACATATTTCCTAACATGTTGTCTATTATCATTCATAAACAAAAGCAACACCATTATTTGGATGAAAGTTTATTTTAAATTAGTGTTGTACCGAACATTACATCAAATTGGAAGCTTACATGGAGCAACCATCTTTATTTTACAATTTGTACTGGCTGGGTACTGAAGCGAAAATCTCATTGGATAAAAGAAATATGAAAGACATAAAATCACAACAACAAATATGTGGAGATTAAGTGTGTAATAGTGGCAAGTATCTTTGGTCCTTACGTGTGTAGTAGCACCAGCAATTATGTTTGGCCTTTAAAAGCTTTTGATTACCAAATAGGTTGTCAACTAAACTGTATCGCCACAACACAGCAGGCAAAAAAATGATCACACTTTTTACAGTGAAGACAGCTTACACTTTAAAGCTTTTGTTTACAATGAATTGCTATAACAATAACAATACAGGTAATACATAAGCATTTTTTATTCAGCAATGAGAGCCTAAACTATGTACCCACTTTTTTCCGAGAAGTTATATTATTTCTGGCCATCAATTGTCTCACCGTGGCCATCAACTGTCCCATTGTCTTTACATTATTGAAACTCAAACATCTGAGAGAAGTAATAATTTATGGGTGTAATGCTGACTTATACATTTCACCCATGTAAAATTACACAATTTTTAATCAGATGTTATAATTTTGTCTAGTCTAGTTCTACAGTTTTAATGAAAGCACTGAAGCATTATTTCAGATACAATGAAGAACGGTATAAAAAAAAATTCAAGGAACTTCATTATGCTTAGAGCCAAGAACATTTCCTTGCTGGGTATTGTCTTCCATAGGTGGTGCACTAGCCTGCATTGCTGCACTGCTTTGTGGCGGTGCGGCGCTGTGGAAATCATACTGCTGGACAGGCTGATATTGAGTTGTGGTATACATGGGGTAGGTAGGAGGGTAAGAATATGGAGGAGGCGGTGGTGGATAGGCATAAGTTGGCTGGGGGCTCAGCAGAGGTTGACTGTGTGGTCCGTACTGGTAGACAACATGCGGTCCGTGGGCTTGTATTATGGTGGAGCTGTGAACTGGTTGTGTGCTATAGGTAATACTGGTAGGTGCTCCTGTATATATACCTAAAGGCTGAAAAAAGAGGTTAGAAAAATGTTTAAAATACATTTTTTTAAAGTTACCCCTTAATCTGGTAAATAGAAAGTTTAGGAAAATTAGTTTAATAAAAGTAGAAAAAAGTACATTAGAGAGTTGAAACAATGTCAAGCATGTGAGGGGGGGGGGGGGGGTGAATGTAGAATATGATATATAGTTTAAACGTTTGGCACATTTAATTTTGGTGGCATCATTTTGCAGAAAGAGAATGTCAGACTGACATTTCCACAAGCAGAGATAATTGCATTTTTCCTTTTACTTCAGGTGTGAATCATTTACAAAGCACAAAATATTTTTTTACTTTAACTTTGAGGCTACATTTCTGTTTACATATACATTTAGAGCTTAAAAAACAATTTTTAGTAAGTTCTTATAATTAATAGAACAGAATGTGAGCATGAACTAGTTTGTATATATTATAATGTCGCAGAAAAAATGCCATTTCATCATTTTTTAAATGGTTATTGTATATATTAATAAAAACAAAAATATCCAATTTGTAGGAACAAAAAAAAAACACAATAAATTATTTATTACATGTAATTTAGTAACAGCACTTAAGCTTTTGTTTCAATTTAATTTCCCCTTGGAAGTTATTGGACAGCGTGGTCGAATAGTAATGCATTAGACTACTAACCCAAAAGTTGTAGCACATTCCTAAGTCAACCCAACTCTGATGGGTACTTGACCTAGGTTAGGGAAAGTAAAGGCAGCTGGGCATAGTGCTGACCACACTATCCCTTTATATGCTGAGGTCACAGAAACAGGTGCTCTACTTTACCTGCCCCATCAGCCAGTGCCATTACTTCAATCCAATGAAATACATATAAATTATCAATGAGGATCATAACAAATTTGGACCTACCTGCAGTGCTGGTGGTTTCTTGTTCCCCACAATGATCAAAAATAATGTGACATAAAGTCCACTGACTGTAAGAGATGTCAGGATCATGGACCAGTTATACCTGTAATCTCTGCCACCAATCCCGATCACCAGAACAAATGCTATTAGCCCAGCTGTACCTAAAATAGCTATTAAAAAAAAAGAATTGTGTTTTTGAGAAGTACTTGTTAAAAATAATGTTACGTTAAGATGATAATTCTGAAAAATTGTGGATGTGACTGAATTTTTGTGTGTTTCAAACCAGAAATGTATTGATTTAATTACTATTTAAATTTGAGTGGTTTATTAGATTAAAGTCATGACATGTGAATTCTAGAGAACTCAATATCTACCACTGTTTAGATGCATTTATAAATTACAGCAGGCTAAAATAAAAGAGTATATTTGGCCTATCTAAATTAAAAAGTTAAACCATACTAGATTACTTACTGTTGACAATGCTATTTACCTGTAATAAGGATACAGATCTCCAGCCTCCTACTGTAATACATCAAGGGGTTAACTTTTCTTAAGTTTTCAAATAGGGTGACTCCAATGCAGACAAAGTAGCCAGCCAAATGTATTGAGAAAATGATCATGGCCACCATGAAACCTTAGATAGGGTATTGGATATTTATAAGGTATTGTTACAAACAAAATTCACAGTACTGTCTGTAATGCTAACAAAATATTTTGAACAAAAAGCACTATGTTTTATATTATGAGAATTTATGAACTAGTATCTAAATATCATATCTGATTACAGAGTAGCAAGGTTGTGTGTTAAAAATAGAATCAGTCCTCTTAAAGTAAAGGTGGTAACAAAAAAGGTGGTATTCTGCATATTATTAAAATTGTATGTCAACATAAGGAATTGTGTGTTGATGCATTGTTGGAGTTTTAATATCCTAACATAAATAAGAAGTTGCAGTATAGTGCTGTGTCTAAAGGTCAGTCACGCTGCATTTTCATACTGTATAACGTATGATGGCGACATAGGGGCCTAGCAGTACAGCGCTAGACTGCTAATCTGTAAGCCTTGGGTTTGACTCAGGGTTCAAGTCAATAGAATGTCCTTGAGTCCATCGAGCTCTGATGGATACCTAACTAGGTGGATGGGCATAGTGCTGACCACACTATCGTCATCATTCCTTTGTGGCCCCTGGGGAGCAAAGGGCTGCAACCACAAATCTCCAGCGGACTCGGTTTTGGGCTGCCCCCTCTATCTGTGCCCATGTGAGCCCAGCTGTTTTCGCCTCTTCTTCAACCGTTTATATACTGAGGTAAAAGAAACATGTGAACTCTACTTCATTTGCCCCACAGACCTTCAGGGAACTTTACTTTTTTACTTTTATAATGTAAGTTAATGGTGCACGAAATCTTACTTTAATTATTTTAGAACTATAAGTAATAAATTTATATGCAGTGACACTTTTACAAATCTCTGTGAAGTCTGCTGCCCCTTTAAGTATGTGTATACAGGAAAAAATAGTAAACTCTGCATATCTACTCTGCCTAATCCAATCCAAACTTAATTTTATAATAAAAACATAACAAGATCAAGTAATCACATTTTTGTGGTTCAGCATTAGTGATACTTGAAAAGATGGTTTAAAAGAAAAAAACTCAGAACAAATGTACCGTATCAGATGATGTTTCACACATGGGAAATCAGGTTCATACCACTGCTAAACACAAACACAAGACATGCAGATCTTTGGAAAAAATAGATATTTTAAAACTGAAAGATATTAACAATATTTGCGAAATGAAGGGATAAGGGTTAAGTTAGGGGGGGAAAAACCAAAAGCAGAAATTAGTTTGAACTGAATGATTCTTACCATAATTCCCAAAATGATGGAATCCATTCCACAATCCTACTGAAATACCGTAATCACTGAAGCGCTCTCTGAAGGTGACCCAGTGATGAGTAGAGTATCCGAGAATAAACAAACCAAAAGATGCCAGTAAGAGAAGCAACCCAACTTTATAAGCTGTGGTTCTATACCTAAACAGTGAGGTGGCTGCAGCTTGTCCTAATTGCTGATTCATCCCTCCAAATTGCATTTGGGTAGACATTTTTCTGAAGCAAATTTTCAACATAAAAACATAACAGCACAATGATGGTTAAATTCCTGTTTAATAAAATGGTGTATTTTTTATACATAAAACATTATTGAAAAATAATAATGTAGTTTTCCTTATAGCTTGTTTTACACAATAGCTTCAAACATAAATTATGGTTAAAAAAGTTTAAATTAACACTCTATTAAAAGACTGCTCGCACACATAATTTAGTCTATTAGATAGGAAATAAATTATAAAATATACAATTTTTGTAAACTTGGTGTATAATAGAATTAATAGGTCAGCCACTTTTAATTATCCATGACTATTTTTAGGTATCCACTTATAGCTGCGTAAACTCAATCACACAATCCCCTAAAATAGGAACAAGCACTGTCTTTTCTTAAAAGCATTCTAGGTTGTTATGTATTTAAAATATTTTTTATAGATAAATACTGGTTCTAAAAGGGGAAGAAGTGGTCTAGCGGTAGAGAGCTGGACTGCTAACCTGTAAGTCTCAAGTTCGAATCTGGGTTCAAGTCAGTAGACCGTCCACCCAACTCTTACGTTAGGGAAAGTAAAGGTGGCTGGGCATAGTGCTGACCACACTATCTCTTCATATGCCGAGGTCACAGAAACAAGTGAACTCTACTTCACTTGCCCTATAGACCGTCAGGTTTGAAAGGGAACTTTTTAACCCTTTTTGGCTCAGAAAACAGTAAATTTATGTGTTGCTTAACATCAGCTGCTAATGTACATGTAGACAAAGCACATGTTTGATTAATTGCCTAATTGGTGGCCAACACACTATCCAGAAAATTACTTTGAAACACCCTAGTAGCCTACTAGGGTGTTTCAAAGTAATTTTCCCTAGGGACAGCTGGAAATGTATACCAAGCAGAGGAGTAGTGATAGGGGAGGGGGGGGGGGACCACATATGTTGGAAAAATAAATTGAAAGGTTGAGGGGGGTGCAAATGGAAAGTTTGAGGGGGGGTGCAAATCAAAATCTTGAGGGGGGTGCAAATCGAAAGTTTGTCTCCGGGCGTCGGGAGGGGTCGCTACGCCTCTGATACCAAGCCAAAAAGTGTATCAACAATCAAATACACAGAAAACAGTACAGTGTCAACTGCGCTGTCTGGGCCCCAGTTGACACTGACAGTAGTTGTCAGTAGTGACACTGTTTTCTGTATTTAACTGTCTGTAGTGCCTCCTAGATCTAGTATTTAAAATTTTCATTTTGATTTTTTTAGTAGAACTTGAAGTAGATCAGAGATCTAGATATCTAGATCTAGAGCTACTGATCTAGATCTAAAAATCTAGTTAATCTAGTAGACTAGACAGCACTACTTAGTGGGCTGCCTTGAGTCTGGTATTCTATTTTGGACTATTTTATTTATTATTGTTTAGATTTTGTAAGTGTACTTCATTACTTCTCACCCGATTGAAGAAAATGTAATAATAACAAGAGCTCGTTTAACAATAAGTATAAAAAGGATCAGTAACAGGAAGTGTAGTTAGATCTGACGTCAACTTTTTTTCATCGAAAACGGAAAACCAAGCAAGCAGATTATTTAGTTTAGTTAGTCTATAGATCTAGAATCTAGATCTATCTAGCTAGTCTAGATCTAGAAGGTCTAGATCCAACTCAGTAGACTAAGGCTAATCTAGTGAGTTGAGCTTCTAAATAGTAATAATAAACAACTTATAATACAACTACTTTACTAACAACAGTGTCAGTGACAAAAACTTATTTGTTTTGAAACTGCCAAAGGGACACAACCGTGAATACTCAGATTAGAATTTTCCCAAAATTATTTTACAGACCCATTAAATTTAGAATAATATTTTAAAAATCATTTAGATCTTTGGGTAATCCCTTAGTTTAGCGTCGGTTATTATTCCGGAATCGTATAGCAGTAAAAAACAGTAAAACAATGTCAAAGTCTGTCACACACTTCCGGAATTCACCGGAAGTACTGTAAACCATACTTTATTTGGCGTCATCTTTTATTTTTATACAGAATATTTAAAATTTGGATAGATTTATTTTTGTAATCATTTTTACATTTTGTAATCATTTTTACTATTTTCGTAATCTAGATTTTTTTACTTGGCCTAACAGCTAGATATCTAGCTAGATCTAGAATTAATTAATGGTCGCAAATCCGCTGCAAGCCAAATACTTGAAATACATAAAACATTTGACTTTTGACTTCATTATTTTATTTATATTTATATTAATATATGTTGTTTTTTTAATGTTTAGATCTATTAATTTAAATCTACTATTATATTTATTCTTGTTTCCTTTTTTCGATTAAACTTAAAAAAAATTAAAACATTAATTTACTACAATCGACTTTCAATTTATTTATATTTCAATGGTCAAATAAACGATAGTTTACCGTAACTCTATTTACCGAAACTCAACAAACATTACCCGATAATTTCCGACGCTAAACTAAGGGATTACCGATCTTTGATGTTATTAAAATAAATATGATTAGGGCCTACAAAAATCCGACTGTTTGATTTTTGTTGGACTTTTCTTTACTGTAGACTTAGAGTTAGACGACTTACTAAAAGGTTGGATGTAGATCTAGAATCTAGACAATCTTAAATCTTAGAGTATTCTACTAGAGCCAGAAATATAGAATAGACTAGTATATAGGCTAATTGTTATTGTGATGTTTTTATTATTTTTGGTAACAAAGCAAAAAAAAAAATCTTAAAACAATTAGAATTCTAGGATGATATTTAGAATCGACCCTTTGAATCCCGGACAGATCGTCCCCCCGGCGTGGCCTCAACCAACTGGCGGGCCCGTTGCATTGAGTTAAATATAAACTCAAAACAATAATATAAACAATCTCCTTTCGGTCGGTTAGGCTACATACCACGCATGCATAGTGTTGTGTGTCGTGCCTTAATGAAAATAAAACTTTCGGTTATTATAACTTACTCACTCTTAGGCTTGATGAAAATAAATTGAAATGTAGCCTTAAACTAAAATAATTATTTTCAAGTTCTCTATAACAATACTACTATAACATTGATTCTAAAAATATTAAATTTCTGAATTATTTTCAGGCTTAGGCCTAGGTTTTTATTATTTTTACTGTCGCTTTGATTCCAAAATCTAAAAAAGCAAGTTCTTATCCATGTAAATAGTAATGATGGAAAGATTCTTGTTAACTCGGTCATGTCTATTTTACTATCTATTCACTAGTCTAGATTTTACTAGATCTAGTACTACTTACTATAGTATAGGGAGTAAGTATAGGCCTATTTAAATTCATAATAGCTTTGATCAAAATCTAGATTTTAGATCTTCGTTCTGCCTTGACTTTATTGCCCCCCCCCCTCCCCCTGCTGGATAGGTGCTGTGTAATGGATAAGAATGAAAAAAAAAATTAATTTAGTAAAACAAATTTTGATTGGCTGTATAGATTTTCTGAAAACTACACATTGTAGTTATTTATGCTTATAATTTGACAATAAAATTTTATTTCAAATTAAAAAAGAACCAACATCATGGAAGTATCGGAAGCAGACAGTTCTAGTAACTCTAGTGTGCACAGGAGGATTGGAGGTAGGATTTAAAAAAATAAATTGTTTGATAATTATTTGAGTGTTTTTTTAAATGATAATTTTACTGTAGTGACAAGAGGTAAATACAAACACAAAAACTTGAAAGAGCATCAGTCTTTTTAAATTTACTATTCAATTAAATTTTAAGAGTTCGGCAAAGTACATTTCACTGCATTTTTCTTAATAATTGACAATTTGTTATGACTTGTTTTATTTACTAAATTATGCATATTTTTGTTTAATTAACTCAAGTTTACTTACATAAGCTAATTTGTATCCTAACAGCTTCAGATTTAGTAGAAGATTTCTTGTGCGCTGTGTGCCTTCGACTTGCAGTTGACCCAACTACACTGACATGTGGTCACACGTCTTGTCGAATCTGCCTTGCTCAATGGTTTTTTAACTCAAAAAAAAAGGAATGTCCCATGTGCCGCCAGCCTTATGAAGGACACCCAAAAACAAATTACCAAATGAAGTAAACAAATTATGTATAAAAAAAATCTTTAGTTAGCAGTTTTAAATATGATACTTGCTTTTGCTTATTTTCGTCTTTTGTTAAAGACCACAAATTATTTTATTTATTATCAGTAGAGTTTTCAGTTTTATATATTTACATATTTATTGACCTATTAACCTTTTTAAGAATGTTTATAAAACCTTGATGGAACTTTCAGAAATATGATTCTAAAGTTAATGCCTAATGATGTGGCAGAACGTGAAAAAGAGCTGGCGGAAAATAATGAAAATAGTGATGTGGTTAAAAAGTTTGATGAAGCCCTGGCCAAAGTCAAGACAAAAAAGTCTGACTTCGCATCATTCTGTGCTGGAATTGTTATAGCTGTTTGTATATTTGTTGTAAGTTACAATTTTCACTCACGAAATATTGCATTGATTAATTTCTTAAAGTTAAAATCTTTTTTCAATCTTAAAATTACAACCCAAAAATTTTTCATCTTAGAGTTTTAAATTACTTGGGTTTAGTATTAACTTTTCTTATTGTGCTTCTTTTCGGTAATTATATATTTTCATTTGTCTTTATAACATTCCTCCTCTGTAATTCTTTCTGCCTTTTTAATTTTTTCACCACTTGCTGTTATCTTACATGCTGCCACTGAATCTGTAGGTTGCATATTTAGCTTGGTACTGGCAATCTAGTGATGCCAACATGCTGGTGCTGAAACCTGTACAGACTTGGAGGCAGAAGGATGTTGCAGCTTGGTTAGACCAGATGAGTTGGGCCAGTCAGTATGTACCTTTGGCAATGGAACATAAAATAGGTAGGTGATGAAATGTTACAGCATAAGAAATCTTGTCCCTTTGAATGCATTTTGTAAACAGGAGCTGATTGAAGTTGAAATATTTATTCCTGTGGTGACAGAAATGCTAGGGTCCCAGTGTATCTTCAACTGTGTAATGGACAATGTCCAGCTCAAAACCTGAATGCATTCTTTCCCAAATCCTCAGTATCTTAACATTTATTAATACTCATAGCTGCCTTACCTCTAATTTCTCCCTACATAATTTATATTATCATGAACACTCACCGGTAAAGATTGCCCAACACATCCCACACACATTTCTAGGGTATTACTATTACAACCTAACTCAAACATCAACACTATATCATACATTAAAAATTCAAAAACCACATCAACTCCTGTATAAAAAGAGTTAAATAATTTGAGCAACATTCTGACAGTTGTATAAAGAAACACATTTTCATGATTAGACCAACTGATTGATTTAGATCAACATCTTATCAACAGATGGCAATGTGTTACTTTCACTAACCAATGAATCAGTGAAGCAATTGCTGAATGTGACAGATACAACTCATGAACATGCCCTGCTGTTAGCCATTGAAATGCTTAAAGTGCATGGCCTTAAAATGCCTACAACATTATGGGAATATAAAGTAAAAGAATATTCCCAAATACAACTTTTTAAATAGTCAGCCATAATCTATTTTCTGTTAATAGATATAAAATTCAAAATAATATGTTACGCAATATGTATATAATGTATATAATCTGTAAGATAAAACCACACTGTCATTAATTTTAAATAGAGCATAGTTATTTAGATGTTAGCAGTAATGATATTTGCTGAAAATTATAAAAATGCTTGTGCTATTGTTTTTTAGACACTGTACCCTGGTCGATGTCTGTTCCTAGTCTACGGCATGAAGGATTTTCCCCGTACCACAATGCTTTATCTATGGCTATATTTTTATGATGATATGTTTCTGCCATTTGTCAAGGCAATAATTGGACCAACTGATGTAAATCTTACCATAATTGCAGAAGTAAGTTTTTTGCCTTAAGACAGCAGTTGTGCTAAAGTTCCACTTTTTAAGCCATATAATATCAGGTTCGAAAGTAAAATATTTTGAATAGTTCTAACATTTTTTTAAGTAAAAGACTTAAGTTTTAGCTTATCTATCTTCACTATTTAATTGACTTTACAAAATCATGTTCAGACAGAAGAAGTGAACACATCTGATTGGATGAAGTTTGCCTTCACTGCTTTTGTCATGCCAGAATTGCTGGTGGTTTATTTTGCCTGGCAGATGTTTGCCCATCATTCTTTTACACCACTGTTTGTTTTGGTCACTGCTATCTTGTATCAAGTCTTGGAGTACTTTACATGGACTCAATTCTTTTCCAAGCATGAATGGAGGTAACTTTTTGTTGGTTTTGTCACATTTTATATGTCATCAAATAGTTATATGGCATAAAAAAAGGCCGATGCTAGCCGGAATAAGATACGCATGCGCAATGGAGAGAAACTACGACTTGCCTTCGCGGTGATGTTTTCGATGGTACTGCGCATGCGTGTGTTTACAACCGCAGAACCCTATCACCAACCCTAATCCTATCCCTAATCCTATCCCTAACCCTAATCCTATCCCTAACCCTAATCCTAGCCCCAACCCTCATTCTAGCCCTAACCCGAGCTATACGTCACTGCGCATGCGCAGAGCTATCTTTTGCCGACTAAGTGGAGACGTTGGGGAGAAAAATCTTATTCAGAGTAGTCACTTCGTAAAAAAAAACAGTTTTTAATTTAACGGTGACTTAAAATTTTTTGATAGTTTTTGTTTTAAACAAATACGATTATTAAAATTTGATTGTATATGTTTGTATTAAGGCATTAGATGTTATGAATAATCAGATAACAAAGCAATATTTGAAGGGAAAAGCCAAAACACTAGTTTCTTTTTTTACCATATGGTTACAAAAAAATGTAAAGTGAAGACATCTATGAAAATGACTGTTCTGCAGACAAAAAATATTAATTTTTCATTAATTTTATATCAGAATTTAATACACCACTAAAAGCATTAGGGATTAAAACAAGGGTAGGCCTACATGACCAATATTTTTCTGCCAACAAAAATGTAATAAGAAAGATGTGTATATGTGAATGCACAAATCTACAATTACAATATATGTAGTTCCATTTGAAAAGGTTGCTTACACTTCAACTATAAAGAATGTGTAACAAGAGGTTGTATTCATCCAGCAAGTGATAGAATACTGCTTTTTATTTAAGTATTTGGAAATCATTTAACGTAAGTTGTAAAGAGTTACTTTAATGATGTTTGTTATATTTTTCAGACAATCACTTCCACATTTGAAGGCTTGGTTTCGGCATCTGATATCAGCTTTTATTTTTATGGTTCTCTGGCCTATAGTTCCAAGCCTTATCTGTGATGTTTTTTTTTATGGCGCACTTTACATCAGTCCAATACAAGCCTCTATTGCTCTTTATAATAAACTTGTACGCTGAAAACAACTTTCAATTCACCCTTTTTTTTTAAACAAAGTAAAAGGATTTGTTCAACTATGATCCTCATTTTTACTGTATTACTTATAATAATAAAAAATTTATTAAACAATATTAAGTTTTCTTACAAAAAAAAGTATTATGGAGAATTTTTCAATGTACCTTTTGTTAAAAGAAATGTGTGGTGGTATTATCATATTCACTACACTAATAATATTCTGCTTTTCATTCTGCTTTTTTTTCTTTTTTATAAAGTGCAATCTCATTACATTCCTGCTTGTCCACAAACATCATGACAAACTGTATTTTATATCATTTCAAAATCTGTGACATTGTTACATAATGTCATAACAAACTAAATTTTTCTATAACAGTCCTCAACTTTAAAACTTGTCTGATACATATGGCAAAATACTGTGTATTTTTTATGGACGCATGTATTGTTATGCATTGTGAATCAAAAATGTTTTTCAAATGAATTTTTTAAAAGTCCATGCGCCTACATTGATACTAGTTCAATGCTATAAAAGGTATGTACCTGATATGTGCTTTTGATATATACAAAAGTAACCCAAGATAATGACAGTGCTTTGTTTTGAAATTCATTTCCAGTTTCTAATTTTTTTAAAAGCTCAGCATGTGTTGCAATAAGACAATAAAAAACAAATAGGTTGAATTGTGGTTTACAAAAATGAAGAACATTTTAGCAATAAGCATATGTTAATTAGAAGTACACCCATTTTGGTGCAAAACAATTTAACCTCTAAAGTATTACATTGCTCCTACAATTCTCTCTAACTGGGCCTGGGTTTTATTTATAGAAACAAATATGGTTTTTTCTATGCAATATTTTTCTAATGTGAATGGTGGCAGACTTATGTGAACTTGTGTTTTTTTTAAATTAAAACTAAAGCTACATTATTATTTAAATGCAAGTCTTTAATACTTTAAGATAATTTTTTTTTAATTATTTTTAAAATCTTAATGAAAGATATTTTTTTTAAAGTTGGCTTTTTGTGACCCCTTTTTAAGCTTCCAGTGTGTTGAACATTTGGTTTATCCCATTACTTACATTTTAAATATGTGCGTGTTTATCCCATTACTTAAATTTAAATATGAATGTTATTTTAGAAACTATTTTTAAACAGTTAATATTTACACTTGGCACCTAGATTTATTCTAGATCTAGCTCAAAAACAGTTTTATAATCAAATGAAAAAATGTGTCCTTTCAATACATTCTGTACTGCAGATTTTAAAATGCAAATAAAACATTTTATGACATGCTGTTTGACTTTTTATGTTGTTTTTTTTTTTCAATATAAATGGTATAGTTTACTTCAAGCTAATTGACCTGTGTTGAAAAAAACTATGATTATTATTAGTCTCGTAACCTCTGACCAAGAACCCACAAGATAACTACTTGCTCATTAAACTCTGAAAATTGAGATGGCAGGACAAAGTGCCAAACAGAATTATGGATAAAAGCAAGGAAGGAGCCTACGACAGTGCAAAGGAGAAAGAGGCCATGGGTGGGACACATGCCTCAAAAGGCTCACCCAAATGTGACAGGCCAAGTGAGTGGAACCCTTAGGGAAAGCGGAAGAGATGGCACCCAAGACAAACCTGGAGGCGGAGTCTTCTCGAAGAAATGAAGCCAACAGGGATGTCTTGGGAGACTTCAAAATTATTAGCCGGGGATTGGATAAAATGGAAGGAAATGTTAGAGGCCCTATGTTCCATAAGGAGGTACGAGGACTAAGTCAAGTCATTCAACTGTGATGTTACTTACTATTGGGTTGACATAACTAGGTGACACAAGAAGCATAAAATGACAATGTATTTTTGTTTAGTTGAGATTGTTACTGTATCTCATCACTAGCTGCATAGTTATTTAGTATTTACTGCTAATCATTTTTAACTTCTCCCCACTTATTTGGTATAATAGTAACAACTCACACTGGTTTATGAGAGGTAGTATCAGGTAATGGTTATTTGTTAGGGAAGATGATTAACAACCTATAAGTCACTAATTCAGGACTTGGGTTTGTAGGATAATATTAAATCCACTTGGTAGGTTTCCGAGTCGATGAAAACAAAGTTTGGCCCCTTCATGCAGAGGGTCAGAAGACTAAAGATACTATTTTAAGCCAGGGTAGAAAAATTGAAGAGAAAAAGTATACACTGAATTGAAGTTGAATTACAAACTACCTGTCCCATAACTGTTCCATTCTTGAAAGATACTTGATTTTAATTGGATAGTGACAAACAAGAAATAACAGGGCATTACAAATATTTATTACTCTGTTAAATTAGTGTATTAATTACAGAAATGACAAGCAGATAATACATTATTTAAGTATCTGGAAATAACAGTAGTAGTCTGTTATATCATGCTTTGTGATTAATATGGCATACAGTGTTTTTGTTTTACATTTTATGACAAGAAATAGTGTGATGACAATGTATCCATGCTAAATATAAACATTAAAATGGTTATTCTATAGACGGCTCCTCCTGAATGGGATCATAAATAGATTTTGGCATCAGTTCCTGGTACAGAGCTTCTCGCTGTTCTTCTCCCATTTTATCAAGAGCTGTATACCATTCAGAGAAGTCAACATATGCTTTGACCTGCAAAAAATCAATTATCTTATTACCTGGAAGACACAAATGAGAACTTATTTTCAAAAAACTTGTAAAGTTTTTTTATCCATTCGTTTCCTGGGTTTAAATAATATACTGCTCAGTTATAAAAAATAATTTAATAAAGCAAAAAAGTAAACATAATTTCATCTTGAATGTAAAAATATAAACTTTTGTTAAATTAAGTTAAAACTTGAAAACATTGAAATTCAAGTTATTGCTCAATCATCCAAATGTGATTTTTATATCTGGTAAACAAAGGTACTCACTTTGCCTTCAGCATCAAGTTCTAGGTTAGAATTCTCTGAGTGTCTATGTGAAAAAAGTTGCATCTCCCCACTAGAGCTGGTGCTGTAGTTGCTACTCCCGTTGGTTTGCACCTCTGTGGTGTTTCCCAGGAGATTTGGCCCAGATAAAAGATAGTTTGTGGGGGTGATGGGAGAATCGGTGGAAGAGCTTTGCCGGCTAGTGTCCAGGCTGGGTGACTTGTACACATTGGCTGGGAACCCAGACAGGTGATGGGGTGGGTGAGAGGGCGACTGCATGTTGCGCTGCTGCACCGACAGGGGGAAATGGAAGTTCCGCACCAGTAAGGTGATGTCGTCCCGTTTTCGGCACAAGTCTTTTTTGTCCCCGCTCTGGGTCATGAAAGTGTCATGGTGGATTCTGACCACTCGGTCAACCACAGCCTGCGCCACCCCAGTCAACGTGGTCTGCTGGCCAAACTCCTGCGCCACCATTTTAGCTATGTCTCCGTTCACAGTTTCGGTCCCTGTGGCATCGGTTAGTGCCTGATACAGGCCATCAGACATAATAACCATGAAAGCACAAGTGCTGTCAATTTCTATACCGCCATCAACAAATGGATCGGCAATCACAGGTTCCACTTTAGCAGCACTAGAAAAAAAAACAAAGACAATTCACTTAGATTTGCCAACTATCAGACAAGAAACACAATAATCCATTAAAATGTATCAATCAATTTTTTTATCTAACTATACTATATATAAAAATGGAATCACTAAGCTTCTTGTTAATCTAAAAACAGATTAATACTTTTTTCTCTCTCTCATCACTTGACACATAAAATTTTATTTACACAGTCTGGAAACTAAAATTAAGATGGTGATGTGATGGCATTTTACTAATAAATTTGTTTTATTAATTAATGAAGATGCATCTTGTGTAGTGATGCAGGGGTTGGTCTCAAACTGTCAAAGATACTAATTTAATTTTATCATTGCCTTGACGTAATTGTTAAATTAAAGAAAAAAGTTGATAAAAACCTTAGAATATCAATGTCCTTGTAGCCCCCTTTAACATGGTAATCCCCAATACAGCGTGTACAGTCGGAGTTTCCGACTCTTCTCAGAATTTTTAGTTTGTTAACATCCACCCCCACTTGCTCAAGCCTGGCTTGCTCACCAGGATCAGCAATAGTGTGGTCGTATGAAAGCTGTATCACTCGGAGGACACCTTCAGGGTTTGTTTTACATAAAAACGCTCTTGTATCACCTGGAGGTATATAATTTACAAGTAGCAATGTAGACATCAAGCATCATTTCAATGCCAAAGTTAATTTAAAAGCAGATGTATTTTTTTAATACAACTTTCAATAAACAATTAATAAAATTTGCGAGTCTTTTATTTTAATTTTGTTTCTTTTTACTTTCTCGTATATACGTAGTATAGAGAAAGTATTGTAATCGTGCAAAAAAAAAAATCGAGATTTTTACAAATCTCGACGTTTTACACCTCACTGATACGGAAAAACATAATTTTGCAATCTTGTCCGTATGTCTGTGTGTGTGTGTGTCTGTGTGTGTGTCTGTCCGTGTGTAAACACGATAACTTGAGTACCGTTACAGCTAGGTTGATGAAATTTCATATATAAGTATTTTATCAAAATCGTAGATCCGTATCAACTTTTGAGCGATTTCCGACAACCGGAAGTGGTACTTTTCCTACTTTGAATTTTTTAAAAGCCTATAACTTGAGTACTATTTCAGATAGATAAATGAAATTTCACATGTAAGTAAAAGATCTAATTCTCTACCTTCTGTTAAATTTTGAGTAATTTCCGTTGACTGGAAGTAGTAATTTACGCTACTTCCGATTTCTCAAAAAACTAATGTAAATTTTAAAAGTACTAATAATATTGCGCACTATTATGCGCTTTTTTTATTTGCGTTCACTTGGTGTGCAATTAATTTGTCTACGAGATTTTATTCTATTTTTAAAACTTTAAGTATTTAAAATGGATTAAAAATCATGTCTATAGCCCGAGTTTCCATCCCCTGTTATTTTATATAAGAATATTCGAGAAAGTTTAGGGGAGATCACTCCCGGTTTATTTCTTACATTTTCTAGGTTATGAGCTTGATCAGTTCCTTTAGTAAGACCTATATTTGTTGATACGGTCTAAATAATGTTTATAGCTACAGAGGTGGGCACCATAAAATCGGTAAAAAGAAATAGTAATGTATTAAGATAGTTATAGTTTTTATGTATAGCTTTAAGTTTAATAAGAGTTACCTTACCAACATTGGCTACATAGAGTTTGTTGTTATAAATAAGAACAACAGTTGCTGTAGTGCCACCAGAAATATTTTTGTCCAACTCTTGAAGTTTGCTAATGATGTCAGGATATTTTTGATAGGCCTCATACTGACTAATGCCCTAAAAAATGAATTGTTATTGTATTAGGTGTATATAACATATATACAAAAAGTGTAATTTTTTTAATTTGATAGGTAGGTACTTAATTTTCATTTATTTTTTATATATTATAAAGCCATAGGCTACAAAAATGATGAGCTCTTAATTACAAATGTAACTGTAGCTCTGGTCTAAAAATAGCAATCTTAGATGCAGCATTCATCATCCACTTACATCTGGCAGTCTGTCCTGACATGTTGTTCTCTCAGCCAACAACCCATCCATTGACTCAAAATAACCTTTCTCCACGCCAATAAAAGCCTGATAATTTCAAAGTAAAATAAAAAATGTTTAAAAATCCTCCTAATTGACATTTGCTTTTCATTGCTTTGTCAAGGTCATATTTCTGTGTGGTTATCAAATTATGTCTATTTTACTTAAGCAGCCTCCGTGCATTTTGAAATATTAATGAAAATGTTTCCCTGTTTTGTCGATATAAACTTAGAAATCTGATGGCTTAAAGTAAAGAAGTAAAAAAAAAAACTTACTTGTCTCAAGGCTTCTTTCACTTGTTCATCTGCAAAGTTAGGCTGTAACTGACCTAATAAAAGCTCTGCAGGAATTCTCTGAGCAGCAAATTCTGCCACACGTGTACCATTGTGGCCATCAAAGACACCATAGAGAAAACAGCTGTCATGTCTGGTAAAAAAGGGAATCAGAACACAAAGTTACTCACTCATTTGCATGAAGTTATTTTTTATCTTTAAATGTTATGAGTGTTAAGAAGTAAGTATGGAAAGGCACACTGAAGTTGATTGTATAAATTCTTAACTCGTCTAATACAATTAGAAACAATCATTCAAAGAAATCGTTCTTGTGCTATGAATATCAATGGAAATATTTATATGCTATTGATAATTTCAAACAAGTTGCATTCACTAAAACTGGATTTTTTTTTTATACTACATCAGAAACTTTTTGAAAAAAGGAAATATATATAAAAGATGACAATGTTAATCACCTGAAATGGAAATTTCTGTCTTCATTGTCATGTGCTTCTCGTCTGTTACCATCTTCACGATAGATTTGATTGGTTGACAAGCCAACTCCAGAAAAATGACAAACTGGTAAGTCATCAGTCCAGCTTAGAGCAGGATCCTATAAATGTGAATGATGAAAACTTTAGAAGCCAACAATAATCTGCTAACTGCTATTGACTTTTATATAAGACATGAGCAGCAATATTATCAAGAAATGAATAATCATGAGCATTCAAAACATGAATCAACATAGACATTTCATTATAATCTGCATACAAAACACATGGGTGGATTCACAATAATTAGTGTCCGATTTTAGGTTTGAAATTAACATGTGATAATTTTTAATGGTGGAATTAAAAAATGTGTATGCGTCTTTATTTTTGGTAAGTGTCATTCCTACATATTGGTATAGTTAACTTTGATCCCAGAACTCAACAATAACATTAGCTCTAAACTCAGCTATAATGCTAAACATAACCTGCATGGTTGTATCTATCATAAGTGTAGTACCATCTATACAAAGAAGTAGATATGGCTTATCAAGAATGAAGAAATATCATTTGAATTATTATTTAAACTTAAATTTATGACTTATTACATACCTGCATTGTTGTAGACACCTGAGATTGGTGTAATAATAAAATGTTGGTAATGCAGTTGGAATTCAGAGGTTTGGCATATCATAAATATCTACCTTGGTCAATTCTGTGGTAAAGTTTTTTAAAAAGTTAGTTAAAAATGTAGCAGAAACAAAATTGCTTACTCATATCAATTGTTATTAATCACTAAAATGTCTTGTTTTCTTGTTAACTTAAAGAGTTATTTCTCTTATTTCTCTTATTTTTTTCATACAGACATGGCCAGTTCAATCAATCCTCTATTATATCTATATAGAATCAAATATCAATGACTCCTATGTTGCCATTGTTAGACTCCAGTACATTATCGTGTTGAATCAAACCCAGGTCCTAGACTAATTTTAGAGAACCAGAACTTTAAACATTATCACTTAATTTACGTTTGTTTTGTTTTAATGTAACTGCTTGCCAAAGAGTTATTTTAAGTCCAATGAATCTGATGTTCCAATTTTTACTGCACTCAAAATGTGTCAATGAGTAAACAACTTATTTTTATTTCTGCTTTGTCGACTGAACTGAATACCTAGATCTATATCAAAATTGCTTGAAATACGTGTCAGGATTTTTCTCCAGCTGACAAGAAAATGTGGATGATTATAGATAACGGTGTCCGATAATGGAATCTTCTTTAAAATAAACCGGGAGTGATCTCCCCTAAACTTTCTCGAATATTCTAATATAACACTACGGGGGATGGCAACTCGGGATATAGACTTCTAGACATGATTTTTAATCCATTTTAAATACTCAAATTTTTTAAAATAGAATATAATCTCGTAGAAAAAAGAAATGCACACCAAGTGAACGCTAAATAAAGATGTGCATAATAGTGCGCAATATTATTAGTACTTTATAAATTTACATGCGTTTTTGAGAAATCGGAAGTAGCGTAAATAAGTACTTCCGATAAACGGAAATTACTCAAAATTTAACAGAAGGTAGAGAATTAGATCTTTTACTTACATGTGAAATTTCATTTATCTATCTGAAATAGTACTCAAGTTATAGGCTTTTGAAAAATTCAAAGTAGAAAAAGTACCACTTCCGGTTGTCGGAAATCGCTCAAAAGTTGATACGGATCTACGATTTTGATATAATACTTATATATGAAATTTCATCAACCTAGCTGTAACGGTACTCAAGTTATCGTGTTTACACACAGACACACACACACACACAGACATACGGACAAGATTGCAAAATTATGTTTTTCCGTATCAGTGAGGTGTAAAACGTCGAGATTTGTAAAAATCTCGATTTTTTTTTTTGCACGATTACAATACTTTCTCTATACTACGTATATTCGAGAATGTAAAAAGGGGTGTTGGGTTGTTACTAGTATTGTAGTCTCGACTAATTTTATGGTTAGAAATTAGGGTTAGGCGTATGGTAGGACCAGGGTTGGGGTTACCAGTTAGGGACAGGGTTAGCATTGACATTAGCCGGCCCTGTGTGTATCCATTTTGTTAACTACCATAAACAGTAACCTAACACCCCTTTTTTAAAAAAGATTCCATTATCGGACACCAGTGTAAACATTCTCCCCAGCTGTCTAGTCAAGCCTAGTCTAGAGAGAAGAGATAAAGCAGTCTGACTCTAGACTCTCTGAAGTCACTAAGAGAGAGTAGGCCAACTCAGACTTAAACTCCATGACACTACTAATACCAGCCTTAAGTAAAGTATAAATAAGAATATGTCAAAACATTATTCATAAGAATATTATAATTATATATAATATAGGATGATATTTTGAGTCGTCCCTTTGAATCCCGGTCAGAACGTCCCCCTGTCGTGGCCTCAACCAACAGGCGGGCTTGTTGCATTGAGTTAAATATAAACTCAAAACAATAATATAAACAATCTCCTTTGTAAGTAGTATGCTTTTCACATTTAACCAATGTAACAGTTTGCGATTGATCTGCGGCCGGGCTGATTAATTTACATTTATCGAAATTACACACTACACTGCGCCCTCAGTCCGTTATTTCAGCATGCCCTACTAGTCAATTATAGACAACTTTAGAATCAACACAAGTAGCCAATACACCGATTTTTATTTAATAATCTTCAAAAGCCATTCCTCTAGGGTCGTTATTTTCATGAAATTGTCGTTTTCCATTTTGTTGTCAGGAAACTGGTATTTAGTTCACGAGAACGTATGAAAACCACTCATGCGTGACTGAAATCGTCAATTGGGTGCCTTCACGTGGTTTGACACCTGCTGACCTAGGCCGTTGTGTACATCCAAAAATCATCCAAAACTGCCTTTTTTCGAAAAAATTGTTTGGAAAAATGGCTAAGTCTAATTTTAAAAAGTGTCATTTTTGGGCCCATTTTGAAAACGTAAAAAAATGGCTTTTTCTGCCCTTTTTTAGCTCCAAAATGGCGCCGCGTGACATCATCGTGACATCAGCCGCCAACCAAAATGCGGAGAAAGCGTACGTTTGATTGGTTGGCGGCTGACACTATGAAATCCTCTAGGGACAATTCGAATTGTATACCATAACTTTTAGTATAAGTATATATATAAGTATGTAGTATGTATAGTATATATTATTAATATACTTAGTATTATTAAGTAAGCATTAAGTAATAATAAGTAAGTCAGTCTATTACTATTACAAAACTTAGGACTTAAGTTGACACTAACTACTTTACTACTCGGTCTAAGTACTACCTAACCTACTACTAAGGCTACTAACTAAATTAATATTAATTATTTATAACTAACTAACTACTACTAAGTACTACTAACACTGTCTAACACTAACACTAAGTCACAAAGTCACTTGACTGAGACTAAGTCAAGTGTGAAGAAGTGAAGTTTAGTTTAGTGAAGGAAGCTTAAGTTGAGTGAAGTTAGCTGTGTTTCACTTTCTTCAGACTTCAGACTTTCAGTGGTTGAGTGTACTGAGTGTAGTAGTGTTAGATACTAGATCTAGATCAACTAGATACTTACTAGATCTACTACTGTTACATAAGTAGTAAGCCGCTATGTAAGAAAGCAAAATGCACTTTAAACATTTTGAAGTCTGTAGAACACTGTAGTGTAGATTTAGGGGTTTAGGCCTAACTAAATGTGTAGTAAATAATAAAATACAATGAAAGTAAATACTAACGACCGTAATGTAAAGTAATGTACCAAAAAAAAAATCCCCACGAATGCATTTCCGATTACCCTTTGTTATGTCATGTATTATTTATTAATGTTAAAATTATAATATTCAGTTGTCTGTTCACCCTTATAATTTCATTACTAAGCTACTATAATTAATTATAATATAATTTAATATAATTATAGATCTAAGGGGTCGTCGATAAATGACGTCCCACGCCTAGGGGGGGGGGGGGGGGGGGGGGAGGGGGGTTCAGACTTTTGTGACGTTGTGTGACGAAAGGGGGGTAGAGACAGTGTAACGTCACGTTGTCTTAATTCCACGAATCGATTAACATGCATTTTTTGTTTAGTTTTTAGAAAAATAAACTTACTAAATAGGCCTACTAAATATTTTTTTTTACATTGGTTGCGATACTTCTAACAAAATGTATACTATTGTGTAAGTTGTCAAAAGATTGTGAAATCTTTGTTGTTCTAATTAAATTGCCCTATAATTTGACGATGTATGTTGTGTAGTAGACTGCCGTATTTGCAAATTTGTCAATGGTGCTATTTGACTAAAGGTCGGAAGCATGTCATGTGAGAGTAAGGCAGGGGTATCAGTGTAATGCTTGCTATTCTTTGAAACCCCGATTCCCGAATATTTTATTTAAAAACTATTTACAGAACTTATGTTCACACTTAGGGCTGCGACTCTTGCCCTTGATGACATGCCTTGTCTCCCTTACATCATGGTGTCCATGCCGGTATAGCTCATGCTTGTTGAACGATCTAGAGCAAGGGTTCCCAACCTTTTTACTTTCTCGTATAAACGAAGTATAGAGAAAGTCTTGTAATCGTGAAAAAAAAATCGAGATTTTTACAAATCTCGACGTTTTACACCTCACTGATACGGAAAAACATAATTTTGCAATCTTGTCCGTATGTCTGTGTGTATGTCTGTGTGTGTGTCTGTCTGTGTGTAAACACGATAACTTGAGTACCGTTACAGCTAGGTTGATGAAATTTCATATATAAGTATTTTATCAAAATCGTAGATCCTGGTCAACTTTTGAGCGATTTCCGATAACCGGAAGTAGTACTTTTTCTACTTTGAATTTTTCAAAAGCCTATAACTTGAGTACAATTTCAGATAGATAAATGAAATTTCACATGTAAGTAAAAGATCTAATTCTCTACCTTATGTCAAATTTTGAGTAATTTCCGTTGACCGAAAGTACTAATTTAAGCTATTTCCGATTTCTCAAAAAACGCATGTAAATTTATAAAGTACTAATAATATTGCGCACTATTATGCACATTTTGTTTTGGCGTTCGCAATTCTTTTTTCTATGAGATTCTATTGTATTTTTAAAAGTTTAAGTAATTAAAAATCATGTCTATATTCCAAGTTATATAAGAATATTCGAGAAAGTTTAGGGGAGATCACTCCCGGTTTATTTTACTCTAGAGCACATTCTAAAATATCGGTAGGGTGGCGGGCACCACCTATTTTAAATCGACAAACTCCTTCCATAACTTGTCATTTTCCCATAATTTTTTTTCTTATTTTCGTATAGTCATAATGTATTAAAAAATAATAAACAAAAATGTTTCAAAATAATAAAATTATTTAATTGCATACACACAGAGTAATGTGTTTACAAAACGTAAAGAAAGTAAACAAAACACATAAATACAAAGAAAACACAAAGAAAACATTTAATTAATCGGCACCAGTCAAAAATAGTTCCTTAAACAAATCACCATCAATGAAAGGTTTCTTCTTTTTTTTGCGAGCATGTGAGATATTTTGAAAGAAGCAATAGGGGCCTTTTTAGAATTTTACACATGTCTAGTGAAAACAGTCTGTTGTGCTGTTAGACTTGATTTTAGATTACAATTTTTAGCGCAATTTCCATACGGACCATTGTGATCATTAACTCGTCATTTCTGGAAGGATGTGTGTCCCCAGCTTTAAGTCGTATCTCCTCCTCAACGAAGCAATATTGAGGACAGTTCCAAAAGCAAATATGTTAAGCAAGTTCCGAGGATGATTGTGGGCCAAAAAAATTCCCGGAATTCCTTCCTGTATTTACCGGAAAAGCCAAAAAACCTCGAACAAATACAGTTTTTTGTCCATATCTCGGCAACCAGACCACTTAGCGACTTGAAACATTTACCAATCGATTCCTGCCATAATTTAGAACAATATTGCCGAAGAAAGTTTTAAAAAATATCCTTTCGTTCGGTCACAAAAAATTAATTAACAACATTTAAACTGAGCATCGTGTAGGCCTAGGATGATATTTACTACTTTTTTAAACTGAGCATCGTGTAGGCCTACTCGTTAAAATAAAACTATTTCCGTTGATATAGGTTAATATAATTGTCTTTTTTTTTAGCGCAAAAAATATCCTTTCGTTCGGTCACAAAAAAATTAAAATTGTTATGGATAACATAAGGAAATTGCGCTTAAATTGTCACTAGACTTTTTATTAACTTGTTTTTCTTTCTTACTTCAGATTTAAGAGGATAATTCACATTAAAAGTGCCATGATTTGTCTGAAAGTGTCGTTCAACGTTATGTTTTTTCGGCACTGCAATGCTACTACCACACAACAAACAAACGCATTTATTTTTCAAATTAACGAAACAATATGAATACATAGATCTAGATCCAGAAGAGTCTGAACTCCTTAAAACTTCTCTGCTCTCTGTGAGAACTAGCCAGTATTTGACTCAGATCGTTAAATGCATGGATGGTAAATGTTGCTCAAATCCAGGAAGCTCGTATTTCAGCTTAAAAACTGATAGATTTCTTCCTCCACCTTTATCAGTCGCCCAAACAAACTGTGGACTAAAAATACCTGAGCGTTCAACAGATGGCTCTTCACATAAATTTCCATCTCTTTTTTCTGCTCAGTGTATAAAAGTGCATGAAATCCTCCCCCGCTCTTCACATCCTTATCGCACAATCCCTTATGGTTTGTATTGTCCGTCTGTTCAATTCGGGATCAGCGACAGGGTTTGTAAAAATTCATTTTAAAAAACGTTTTAATAACAAGTTTTTATGTAATAATGCACTAAAAAGTAGAAAAATAAATTATACACTACCATTTAAATAACTATAAAGAAAAGCCTGGGTCTCTTCCTAAATATTAGCTACTACTATTTAAATTACTATAAAGAAAAGCGTGGGTCTCTTCCTAAATATTAGTAAAGGTATCCAATAGATACTAAAGTGACCCACGCTTTTCTTTTTAGTTATTTAAATGGTAGTGTATAATTTATTTTTCTACTTTTTAGTGCATAAAAGCTTGTTATTAAAACGGTGTTTTATGAAAAAAAAATTCAATACTTTACATGTTTTATTTACAATAGTTACTTGACTAAAACCATTGTCAAGGTTATAGCTAAAGTTTCAGTAAAGTATTATGGGATGGCGTAGTCTAGTGGTAAAGAACTAGACTGCTGACCTGACTAAAAACCATCGCGTGCCTGTTGAACGTGATGACGCGCTTTTGTAGTAGAGCGCCCCCCCCCTCGCTCCACGCCCAACACGGCCGTGATGATAGAACTGCCTACTAATTCGGTCAAAATTTTAATTAATTCATAAAAAATTAATTAGGCGACCAATTAAGTCAAATTGAATGTCACGATGCATTGTCTTCATGTCTTGACCCACGTACCAACTACGAACCGTATCTTTTAGTTAGAGGTGCCTGCAATTTCACACGGGCGTTTCGATCTAGACAGACAGACCGACGAGGAAGTGAGTGTAATAAAAGCTTGTAAAAAGTGTCACTCATACTTCTCTTCATTGGTTATGCTGCGCAATCATTCCTTAACTCACAAACAGGAATAATCAATTGTGCCATTACAGAGCATCACAGGCCTCTGAGAGTTGCTGCACGTCGCCAACGTGAACTGATGGTTATAACTGCCAATGAAATTAATGGTGAGAGTGTAGATTGGATAGAAGAGGAAGACCTTGATGTAAAGGGAATTCCCATTCCATACGGGGGGAAAAATCAATTCCGTCCCTGTGTAAATGTGTATACAATGAAGGAACATTTTAATTCTCCATGGGAGAATGAATAAACTTAAAAATCACAACTTTTAATGGAGGATTGCCATGTTAATACTGTTGTAAGTAGTTGTTTTTTTTTTAATACTTCGGTTAATGATCTTGCTAAGATTTAGAAATATGAATGTATATAGATATGGTCGGTTAAGTTATAAGTATAACCTGTTACTGATATTATTATTTAATCGTTATATTAATAAAATTTCTATAAAATTTGCTTAGATTTAAGTCAGTGTGACTAGTGTGAGAGTATTTCTTGTCCTATTTCAGGTGCCCTGTCAAAACGGCCCGGGACAAATCGGCCCCGTCAAATCGAGCCCCGACAAAATAGTCAAAATAGCCCCGTCAAAAGGGCCCCGACTTATTGGCTCCCGTCAAATGGGCTCCCGTTATATTGACTCGCAACATTTAGGCTCCCGACAAATGGGCTCCCGACATATTGGCTCCCGACATATTGGCTACCGACAAAATGACTCCCGACATATTGGCTCCAGACAAATGAATTGTATGACCACTATTGGCATAAAAGTAACCATTTTGTCCTATCTCCACTACTACTATAACCTCTTTTAAATGCCTGAATGAAATTGCTTTTTCATGAAAAAACATCAATTCACAAACAAATCAAGCTCTTAACAGCTAAAATCTACCAATTCTAAAATTTTGATAATGTTTAATTTACAACAGTAAAGATCTGTTTCATAAAAGCGAGCACAGAGGTGAAAATGTACGATATACATTGTATTTACAGGATAACGACATTTTGTTTTGATAACCTACAAGCATGCTGCAGGTAGGAAGGTACAGCGTGGACCCTTCTCCCCACACACTGAGTTGGAACAGCCTATAACCGACTCACTTATGGAAGTCATAGATTACCCTTAAATTATAACATACTATATTTTATAATAGATAAACTAACATAAAAATAAGGCCTGTCGAACAAGAGATGCATACGTTGTATTACTTAAGAGTGTTGGATAAGCTAACTCTAAAGAATATTGATGAAGGGGTCCCACTGGCAGGTGTCATATTCAATGAGACCGCTTTGCCGGGAGACTTAGTCTCTACAGAAACGGTATTGTCAGTGGTCCTTTTGTCTGGAGCCAAATTGACAGGAGCCATTTTGTCGTGAGACAAAATGACGCTAGCCTATTTGTCGGGAGTCGTAATGACCGGGCCCGTTTCGTGGAGAAACTAAATGGCGGGAGCCTATTTGTCGGGAGTCGTAATGACGGGAGCCTATTTGCCAGGAGGGAGCCCTAATGACGGGAGCCTATTTATCGGGAGCCTTTATGACGGGGTCCATATGTCGCTGGCCCTTTTGACGGGGTCAATTTGACGGGGCTCTTATGTCGGGGTCGTTTTGACGGGACCGTTTTGACGCCGCACGCCTATTTCAACATCCTCTTCGCTAACAGCAAAACACGCAATTTAATAATCTATTGGAGTCTTTACTATTAAAAATCTGACATTTATATTCCTTTGTGAGAGATGACATCCGTTAAATCCATCATATAGGCTACAATTAAATATACCAGGAAAATTAAAGGTCTGGGCATAGTGCTAACAGGTTAAATAATTTGCATAGTATACTAAATATAATGTTATTCTCACGTGTGTCGTCATGTCTGCAAGAAATACCTACATTTACATTAAGTATTTTAAAAAGAATTAATACTTTCAGCTTTAACATTACCTCACTGTATTCAGTGGCGTAGGCAAGGGGGGGGGGGGTTATAACCCCTCCCATGAACCCCTATCAGAGGCGTAGCGACCCTTCCCGGCGCCCGGGGACATACTTTCAATTTGGCGGCCCCTTGGGAGCAAATTTTCGATTTGCACCCCCCCCCCTCGAACTTTTCATTTGCACCCCCCCCCTCAATCTTTCGATTTGCACCCCCTCCTCGAACTTTTCATTTGCACCCCCCCCCTCAAACTTTCGTTTTGCACCCCCCCCCCCCCCTCAAACTTTTCATTTGCACCCCCCCTCAAACTTTCAAATTGGCGTCCCCCCTAAGGTCGGCGCCCGGGGACATATGTCCCCCCCCCTCGCTACGCTACTGACCCCTATATATATATATATATATATATATATATATATAAGATTGCGCTAAAAATAGATCTAATAATGATTTAAATTTTTTTAAAGTTAGGGCAAGTTCAGTCCTCTCCTATACGACGTATAATATCGAAGAAACAAGTAAAGTTTTTTTTTAGAGCAATTTCCATACTGACAATTGCGATTATTAATTCGTTAATTCTGGATGGATGTGTGTCCGCATCTTTAAGTCGGCAACCAGACCACTTAGCGACTTGAAACATTTACCAATCAATTCCTGCCATAATTTAGAACAATATTGCCGAAGAAAGTTTTCAAAAATATCCTTTCGTTCGGTCACAAAAAATTTGCTGACTATATGATTTATCTCGATTTAAAATTGTTATGGATAACATAAGGAAATTGCGATTAAATTGTCACTGGACTTTTTATTAACTTGTTTCATACTGTCAATGATACTATTTTGATACACTTACAAGAACTAACAACTAGGTGACAGCACACTCTTCTTTCGTAAAATAAAAGTTTAAAACGGTTGATACATCAGCACTTTTAAAATAACCTACCACTCAGTTATATACCATAAGATATACTAAAAAGGTTGAGCCATTTCAAAATGGCTTACAGTTTAGTATTGTTTGATGACCAATTTTCAACCTCAATAAAAAATACGTCATAAATTGCTATGCTGGCGTCCATAAACGATTTTTACCCCCCCCCCTCAAATTGCATTGGAGTTTCTCTTTCTATTTACCCAGTCCAGTCAATATAGGGATTTTAATTAGTTTCTATTACAATTTACTAAACGTGAAATATATAAAATTCAGTTTTTAACTTTAAAAAAGTAATGCAAAAGTAGGATTGAGCCCCCCTCCCCCAAATGTGACGTCATCTATGGAAGACCCCCCTAGATACTAAGTGAACTCACATTCTCCTGATTTAAGTAGGTGTAATACTAGAGTCTTTTTTTTAAAAAAGTTCCCCTACATTAACAGCTAGAATTCTATTATTTACGCTGTTCTAACAGAAATTAGTTTGGGCTTTTACTTGCAGTTTTTTCTACCCCATTATTAATTTTACCAAAATGAAAAGCCATCTCCAATGATGTACTTATTTTTGAGGTTTGAAAAAATGTTTATTCTTAGTGTACACGTAGAGTGTAGAGTTCAAAACGGCATTTTCACTCAGTTACAATTTAATCAACTCATCAAAAAATATTTCACTTTCAAGTTGTCAAAGTTGAAAACAAATTAAAAAAACCTAACTTTTTTTTTGGTACCGTACTTGAGATGCATGAACAAATTTGTTATTCACTATCTTGGAATTTGCAGTTCTTAACATAGCAACTTGCATCATAAAATATGATGATGCCCATTTAAAATTGCTTCCTGAATTATCAACCTTTGTTAGAAAATAAGACTAATAATAATAGTGCAATCATCTATAGCCATAACACTAGTTTGAGTGACTTTTACGATTAAAATATTGATTTGATAATGCAGCTTGAAAGTTTAATCTCTCTCATATTACTCATGAAAAGTAGAAATCATCTTATATCTAACGCATCATGAACTAAGAAAAATTAACAGAAAACAAACAAGGCTTAAATAGCAGTTTAATATTGAATGAAAATAAAAATGGGTCTCAAATATAATACAATGTAAATGATAAAAATGAGTGACAACAAACATTAGATGAGCAAACGCTCAATGCTGCGCTGAATGGCTTGAATTTGATTCCTCAGCTGAGAACCTTCTTTCTGGATGACAGAACAGGCAATTACAGGCCTTGAAACACCACAAGCACGACCCAAGGCTAGTGAAAAATAGAGAACAGATTAGCTTTTTGTTAATCGTAAAAAACAAAAGATCTTCACAAAATCATGAACTGCAGCTATAGCTTCAGTTTAGCAACACAAAATAGTAATGGAATTAAATAACTGACCTTGTTTAGACCTGACAAAAATGTATGGGACATTCTGGGGAAGAAAATAAAGTAAATGTACAGATAGCACTGGTAATGCTGAACTACACAACTGATAAAAAGATGAAATGGCAGACCAAATTTAACAGCAAAGCATCCCCTTTCCGTGGTGTTACAGACAAATAAATTGGCAGATATTCAAATCGTCAATACAAATGTGAATGAATACATGTGCTGGTTATGGGGAAATATATATAAAAAATGAATTTCCGTAAGGGACTGGGTTACTTTATATGTGTACATGAGCTTTGATTTTCATTATAAAAAAGGGTAGTGAATATTTTTTTCAACATTTTTACTTTGAATATCTCTGAAGACGTTGACTAGAAGATAAACTCTTTAATAGATTTATTCCAGTGAGAAAATAAAGACATGACTAGGCATTCATGAATGACATAAATGAAAAATGTCTACAAAAAAAGGTCACTTGAAAAGCTAGTAACTAAAATGTTTTTAATAAAAGTTGTATCTACTGCCTAATACACAAAGATTACAAATCCTGAGTTTTTTTTTTCTATAAGTCATTCTTTCCTCTGAATATCTCTCCAGCAATCTTGGAAGCTGACATTTTTCAGACTATCGACATGTAGTCTAAGTTTTAAGTAAAAATAAAAGCATAACAAACTTAGACAAAATCTGATTGCCAGAAAGAGTTTTTTTTTGTAATTTAGCTGTACCATTCCACTTTTGGTGGAATGGTAGGCATAATCGAAAACTTAAAATGGCTTGACGCCACAGAACAACTGCTCTTGGGATTAGGTGGGTTAAGTAGGGTTGACCAATCTCATTAAATGTTACAAATGAGTTACCTTGTCTTCACACAGCAGAGGCAAATGGAGAAGAATTTCAATTGGCTCAGCATCTGCAGTCAGCACAATAAACTCAGAAAGCCCTCTGTTCAATGTCTTTGTAGCTAAAAATGGTAAAAAAAATTTGTGTAGCCTACCAAAAGAAACTAAAACAAGGTGTGGTAGAAAATATATATGTATACATAAGTGGCTCCATAGTCTAATAGACCATTGGAAATCCAAGCACAATGTCTGGGCAGAAAAATGATAAGAGCCAGACGTCCATTTATCAGCTCCACCCTTCCAGCTCCAAAAAAGGAGTTTGCCTAATGCATAAGGGGGCTCAACCCCAGTTCCATTTAGGAGTTTTCTCTCCTATCCTAGATGGTTTGCTGTCCCCAACTAAGCCACTAAGGCTCATCTGCCAGGAGGATTCCAACTATGGACTTTCAAGCTAGTAAACATGCGTTTAACTGTCCAACCACTAAGTTTACTAATATATGGTACATTTTACTTTTTTTTTCAACCTATATTAGCTATCCTACTTATTGACAAAAAAGTATTTTTACCTTCATTAGCCCCCTTTTTAAGCTGCTTATAGTTGGAAGCTTGCTGAACAAGCTCAAGAATTTGCTCTGTGAGTTTTTGATCTGCCAAAGGGTAAGCTTTGCTGTTTACTTCTTCAGCCTGTGGAAGGATATGTGGGATAGTTGGCTTACATGCTAACAAAACTTCCTCTTTAATAACTATAAGGCATATGCTACTCACTCAACCTCAGCTGTGAAAATTTGTTTCCCATCCATACCATACCAAAAGTAACTTAAGTCAAAATATGCCTACAACAGATCTATTGGTCTAAAACAAGCTTGTAGTTTGTATGGTAAAACATGCAAATATTAGGCTAGCTTGATTTGACCTGAACACATATTCCATAGTAATGTAGGCTACACTAGGCCTGTTAATCTGCCTTTTTTTCACATTTACTCAATAGATGTGCTTCCATCCATAGCTTTTAGTTCAACCAACGGCAAGAGCACCTTCAAGGGTGGTCTTTCTGGTTAGCAAGCAAGCATTCTCCTATCCAACCATCCTCGTTCAGCAGCCGAATAACACTTGATTTGCAAACAGCTGATTAAGGACGATACCCCCCCTCCATTAAAGTAAACTCCACTTAGTTTTAAAACATCGTCACTCGCGTGATTGCTTGCTTACGTTTACACGGCCGCGGGGTCACAGTGAGTTCTGCAGGCCAATAGTACACGTCATAGAATGAACACGCGTACACGACATCGTTGGTGTCTTTACTCCCCCCTCCTTCAAGCAATTTAAAAAATAGACCTACTTCCCTACTACTGGTCATTTTTTTAAAACTCACATAGGCTTTAAAAAAAAAATATAGACTTAGATCTACTATCACACATGCTAGATAGCTGTAAAAACAATTTAGTAAAGAGCAGTTTGATTTTTTTTTTAAGATCGCGTGTTACCTGGGGTAAAGATTTAGCGCACCGCGAAGCGACCGTGCAAATGCGGCCTAAACTAATTAATAAGTTTTTAAAATTATAACAGAGCAGAGCCGAATGGATACAAAGCTAAGACTAATTTAAAAACGTTATTCAATTTCAACTTGAAATAGATCTATCTTGATAAAATCTGTCACGAAAAAAAAAAAAAACGACCGTGTACTTATACTAGTTTTTCTTACTAAATCTAGAATTTACCCTAATTTCAAATTAAGCATAACTACTGAATGATAGACATCCATATTTAATCCATTAGGCACTAATTTTGAAGTTTTTAGTTCGTTTTAAACTAAATTACTTAATTTAATATTTATTGACACTCACTGCCATGGCCAACACACCTCTTCTTAAACTTGAACGTAAAGAAAACCACAAATAGGTTAGACTTTTTAAGTGGCCATGTACCCAGAGTTCCCCACTAGTGATCATCAAATAGCGGTCACGTGGTTTAAAAAAAAAAAAATTTGGTTGTCATTCAAAAGTCATGTCTTATTTTAAAAGCGTATGCAATATTTGATTCATTTGTTCATATAATGATAAACCTAATAGTTCTACAACCTCCAATTCATTTTTGTGACCTCCGGGCTGATATTTTAGAAGTTTTATTAATTTTAATGAGACCAACTTTTAAATTTAACCTTCATTCTCCAAAGCAAATTTTAAAATGCTTTTCTGGCATATTTAGCCTTGCCACCTATAGCATGTTTTTATAACGTGAAAACCCGCCATTTTACTGGTGATAAACATTTTTAAAAGTAATTCTAAGAAGGTCTCTGGAAAATAAGACAAAAAATTGTCGGAAGTCATGCATCCGGTCCGTACGCCATATTGTTGTTAGCAACCAGCCACGCCTCCGGGTTAGCGAGAAATACTACTTATCGAAAACGATGCTCATGTAAACAAAATTTTAAACTGAATCTAGGCCTAGCTAAAAAAATAAATAAATAATAATTACGCTAAAAATGCCAGCTAACATTATAGCGCCAAAAAAAAAAGCCCTCGAACGAGCATTGTTTAAAATATGCAGGCTAACAGCTGATCAATAAAGTCTAAGAGTCGCCCGTAATTAGGCCTAGCTCTGAAAAAGGCCACTGAACGAGCATCGTTAGAAATACTATACAACATTTGATACACATTATAATTATATAGATCTAGACGTTGACGAGGTAAACCACCGGTCATGAATGCAGCAACTGTCGGCCCACAGTGAAGAAAAAAAATCAATATACTAATAAAATTACTAATACAATAATAATGTCCATAATTTTACTATTTCCGCACATGTTACAATTGAATTGTAATACTAGACTAACAGTTCATATCGCAAAAAACAAAAACTAGTAGTTTCTGTGAGGTAACTAGCGTAACAATGACGTCATGATACTAAAAATAGCGGATAGAAATCTCAGCATGGGTACCTCATCTTCGAGGAAGATTTTGGAAAAAGTAATAAAAAATACTGTAAATATACATGATAAATGTATCAATTATATATTAATTAACAGTTAGTCGAGCCGTTTTCCCCGTTAGTCGTTTTTGACGGCGGTTCAGTTTTTACGGAGAGTGCTCCACTAGACATATTATCCATTTTATTAGCATTTTGCATTAAAATAATGATGAGAATTTGCGATATAAACAGTTTTTTCATTTGTCGTGGATGGGACCCCTAAAATAAACGTAAAAACCGTCAGAAAACGATACGTGATGTTTCAGGGTCAGAGGTCAATCCTACCATCTAAGCAACGAGCCAGACTAACATTTATATCTAGAATCTAGATCTAGCACCGCCAATGATATTCTTGATGGTAATCGACTGGATCATGATGAGGGCCACAAAAAACGACACAGGAATCCAGTGGAGTTTCACAAAAAGGTTGGAGTATCTTGATTTCGTCGATGACATCTGCTACTATCTCATAAGCATCAACACACGCAAGCCAAACTAAATCGGCTGTCTGAAGAAGCCTCCCAAATTGGACTAAAAATCAATAAAAACAAAACAGCGGTCATCAGAATCAATAACAGCCAGGACCTGCCGATACAGCTAAATGGAGAAGATTTACGAGAAGCAAACACATTCACATATCTGGGAAGCGTGATCAATAAGGACGGGGGAGCAGACGAGGACATAAAATGCCGTATCAACAAGGCTAGATGTGCCTTCAACTCGCGCTCGATGTGGAGGTCCACGGCCCTGTCACTCCGGAGCAAAATTGGGATTTTCAACACAAATGATAAGGCAGTGCTACTCTATGGCTCGGAGACCTGGAGGGTTACGAAGACAAATACTGATAGGCTACAGGCGTTCGTAAACAAATGCCTACGACATATACTCAAAATAAGACGGCCAGACAAAATATCAAACAAAGACCTGTGGCAAATTTTAAAGCAACAGCCAATAGAGAAAGATATTAAGGCCCGAAAATGGGGATGGATCGGACACACGTTAAGAAAAGAAAAAATCGCAAAACATGGATTGGACTGGAATCCCCAGGGGAAAAGGAGGGTGGGCCGGCCAAAGAAAACATGGAAAAGAACGGTTGAGGAAGAGGCAAAAACAGCTGGGCTCTAATGGGCACAGATTAGAGGAGCAGCCCAAAACCGAGTCAGCTGGAGATGTGTGGTTGCAGCCCTTTGCTCCCCAGGGGCCTTAAAGGAGTGATGATGATGATGAATTTAGCACATTTTAACTTCAAGTTGGATTGAGAATCTAAATTTAGATTAAGTATTAAGCCCATCCATCTATTTTAGCTATAAAATGGAAGCCTATTTCTTAGGTTAAATTATGGATTTTTTAAAATAAAATATTCTGTTATTTCAAATACACCATTAAGTTCCTTACCCCTTAAGAGAACATTTGACACCACATTTAAATATCTAGCTTACTCGGTTGACGAGAAAAGAGAGAATTTGAAAATTAATCAAAATTGAAAATGAATGACAAAACAGCGTTCTTGGCATAACATGACGTCGTCGACTTGTGTACACGAGCTTTTAATTCCCGCCATGGTAATTGCGTCAGCTTAGGTAATTTACTCACCGGAAAATAACAAAAAGCAACTGGTTGATAATAAAACTAGATCTAGTTATTTTATTATTTATTAAATTCTACTCTACATGTTATTCATACCATTTTATGAAGTAATGAACACCTGCATAAATCAAATGACCATAATAAATATTTTTATTTCAAATTCTAATTTTAAATAATAAATAATAAATATGCTTAAAATAATATGATAGTAACAGTTATGATTGTTTATAAATACAAATACATTTTACACTCAATTCACATTATATTGAGTCAACAGTGTGGCAGCTGAGGTTCATACATGGTATTTTTTTTTTTTTTACATTACATTTTTTTTCATCTTGAAAACATGACGTATGTGATTTTTTTTAAAAATCTCCAAACATCGTCACTCGCGTGATTGCTTGCTTACGTTTACTATCCTGTGGATGAAAAATCCCACCACGGTCGCGGGTCACCGTGAGTTCAGCAGGCCTATAGTACACGTCATAGCATGAACACGCGTACACGAGATGGTCGGTGTCTTCACTTCTCTCTCTCTTCCCCCCCCCCTCCCTCTAGCCAATTGAAAAACAGACCTACTTCCCTACTTCTGGTCATTTTTTTTAAATTTCGGTCATTTTTTTTTTAAGTTCACATATCAGGCATGCAAGACAGCCAGCCAGTGGCGTAGCGAGGTCGGGTGTCACCCGGTGCGGCACTTAATGGTGTCAGCCCCCCCCCCCCCAAAGGCGATTTGCACCCCCCCTCAAGTTTTCGATTTGCACCGCCCCCCCTCAAACTTTCGATTTGCACCCCCCCCCCTGCAGCCAGCTGTATTAAAAAATATTTTTTAAACTAGATCTACGTCTAGCTTAAAAAAATAAATAAACGCTTAAAATGCCCGTAAACAGATTATTTAGCGCCAAAAAAAAAAAAAAAGGCCGCTGAACGAGCATTTTTTAAAATACGCAGCAATGAAAAGGGCTAACGGCCGATCAATTAAGTCTAAAAAACGCCCGTAATTAGGCCTAGCTCTGAAAAAGGCCACTGAACGAGCATCACTAATTATATAAACGAATAGGCCACGCAGCGTTGACGAGGTTAACCACCGGTCACGAATTAAATTCAATGCAGCTACTGTCGGCCCACAGTGAAGAAAAAATCAATATACTAATAAAATTACTAATACAAAAATAATTTCCATAATTTTACTTTTTCTGCACACGCTACAATTGAATTATAATTAAAATACTAGACTTAACAGTTCATTCCGCAAAAAACAAAAACGAGTTGTTTCTGTGAGGTAACTAGCGTAACAATGACGTCACGATAGTAAACAAAGCGGACAGAAATGTCTGCATGGGTACCTCATATGGAAATTCGATATAAAATAGGCGAATCAACATAACTGTAATTACTCATTATAAATATCTCAATTATATATTACTACTTCTGTGCCGGGGGGTTTCGACCGAGTGCTGGGCCGTTCAAAGCGACAGTTCAGTTTTTCCCAAGAGTACTCGACAAGAATAGCATGTATTAATTAAAACCACATATCTGGCTATTTTTTCGGCCATTTTCAGGCATGGCGTCCATTTATATAGCATGTCTCATTAAAATAATGATGAGAATTAGCGAGATTAGCAGTTTTTTCATTTGTCGTGTATAGGACCCCTAAAATAAACGTAAAAACCGTCAGAAAACGACGCGTGACGTTTCAGGGTCAGAGGTCAATCCAGCCATATAAGCAACAATCCGGCCTACTATTTCTCCCCAATTTTCGTTTCAATTGTGTCAATGTGCTGAAGTCTAACACTAAACTTAACTTTGCTAAAGATTAAAATTAAAGAAAGTGCCATTTTTAGCCCACGCCACAAGTTTGCTAAAAAACGGCCGTTGAAATAGCTAGAGAGTAGAGGCCTAGATCTAGATTATAAATTATAATTGTTTTTATGTAGGCTTAGCTCTTGTGTCTAATTAATGTCTAATATATTACTTAAGACAGCTTACCATAATTATTCTGTTAGCTTTTCTTTCTCAGATTAAAATAATTTGAATGTCTAGAATCTACCTCTCTGCGAATAACGTTCGCTTCACGGAGGGATAGATTGTAACTGAGATCTAGTGTGGGTAAACACACGTGCGTAGTTTTGTAATCGGTTGGTGAAAAGTTGGTGGTGTAGCATGATACAGTAAGCACTTTAAATATTTTAAACTGTTACTGTTGTATTTCGATAGGTCAAAAGCCGAACGCTTTTTTATTGAAGTCGAAACGTTTTTAAACAACAAATAGATCCGGAAAGATGCTAGACTGAATAAATTATAATTAGAAGTAGATCTAAAATGTTTGTTTTTTTAAGTAGACCTATTTTAATTTTTAGCTTTATAAAAGTTGTTGAAAGTGCCATCTGTCTGGTGAGCTCCTTTGGAGCCTGTGACAATTTTTTGTGACAGGAGGGGAGGGTGGCAAAATGTGAAGGCCTATAAACTATAAATTGAATAAATTGTCTTCAAACTAAAAAAAACAAAGAATAAAAACTTATTATAACGATCTTTTATATAAGTATGCACTCATCATCATTTTTCCTTTTCGTTCCTTGCAAAATATTTGGCCTCTGTCAAAACTTTTGACTTCCCCAAAGTCTCCTGACACTATTTTCAGGTCTCTAAAATTCTTTCTTATTCTTTAGGCCTCCTTCAGCATCGCTATGTCTCCATGTCTTCCTGGGTCGACCCATGCGTCGCTTGATGTGTGTGCCCCCCCCCCCCCCCCGAAGAAAGTGCCCCCCCCCCCCGAGAAAAAAAGTCTGGAAGAAACACTGGTGGCTCAGTATATATCGAATGCCTCACTAAAACTTTAAGAAGCGATACAAGCTTTTATTTTTAGTTATTTTTAGTTGCACATCACGTCGACACAAAAAGCCAGATCCCCCCCTCCTAAAATGACGTCACACATACAACCCCCACCCCCCTCAAAATTGCTGTTGAATTTTTCTTAAAACATCGATATTTTTTCAAAATGTTGTTAGAACTCTGTCAACATAGAGTATTTTGATAAATTCCTATTACAATTTATTAAAACCGTTTTCTAAAACGCAATATGACGGCTAAAACTCGTTTTCTAACATTATTTTTTTAATAATGCTAAAGTGTAACGTCACACCATCTGAACCCCCCCTCCCCTCATCACCAGAGGCGTAGCGACCCTTCCCGGCGCCCGGGGACAACCTTTCCATTTGCACCCCCCTCGAGATTTTGATTTGCACCCCCCCTCAAACTTTCGATTTGCACCCCCCTCAACCTTTCAATTTATTTTTCCAACCCATTTTGACGCCCCCTAAGATCGGCGCCCGGGGACATATGTCCCCCCCCCCCCGCCCCCACGCTGCGCTACTGCTCATCACACACATTCACAAAATTAAGGACTCCTATGAGTGTGATGTCATTCATGGACGATCCCTTCTCGCACATAGTAGTACTATTAATTAATGAGTTAATTCAACGATTTCTGCATCTCAGATCAAAAAGTTAGAACTTTAGCTTTAGTTACCTAGGCAAAAAGGGGCCAAAATCATACTGCCCCCCCCCACCCCCCGCTCTGCACCCCACGATCATTAATAGTTAATAGTACTTTTTTAAAAACATTAAATCTATAATAACAGTTTCGCTGTCTCTCTATGTATCTATCTGTCTGACAAGAACGCTCTAGAGAAAACACAAGGAATTTAAAAACATGCACAGTATTTCGAAAAACGAAGTATGACGTCGACACATTTAGCACAGAGTAGAAAATAATCTCAAACCCAGAGAGTGCTCACAGTTATATGACGTCATTGATTATCGCGTAAACATTGAATAAAAAGGAAATGTTGTCTAATCTTAATGGTTTGCGTGAAGAGTTTCTTGCATACAATTCTTCGGGTAGGGGCGAAGCCCCACCCCCCGCGTAAGAACGTCTGAGCCCCCCCCCCTCCACAACTCAAAAGAAATTTCTTCATCGATACTCTATAATAAAATTACCGCCTAATTAATGTGTCTAATCTAAAAAGTGGTTTTCTTGCAATTTCTTTAATGCAATTCTTCGGGTAGTGGCTAAGCGCGACACCAGTGTTTCTTTCAGACTTTTTCCTCCCCGGAGAGGGGTGGGGGTAATTGAAATTTTCGGGGGCGGGGGTAGAATTTTCGGGGAGGGGGGGGGGTGGGCGGACACTGGAAAAAGTATATAATTATATTTCGTTGAATGGGACGGTAGACATGTTTTTTTGGGAGTGGGGGTGGGGGGGGGGGTGGGGGGTGGGGAGTGGTGGGGGTGGGGGGGGGGGGGGTGGGGCGGTGGTTTCCTCATCGATACTCTATAATAAAATTACCGCCTAATTAATGTGTCTAATCTAAAAAGTGGTTTTCTCGCAATTTCTTTAATGCAATTCTTCGCGTAGTGGCTAAGCGCGACACCAGTGTTTCTTTCAGACTTTTTCCTCCCCGGAGAGCGGTGGGGGTACTTGAAATTTTCGGGGGCGGGGGTAAAATTTTCGGGGAGGGGGCGGACACTGGAAAAAGTATATAATTATATTTCGTTGAATGGGACGGTAGACATGTTTTTTTGGGGGGTGGGGGTGGGGTGGGGGAGGGGTTGGGGGGTGGGGGGGGGGGGTGGTGGTGAGTGGGGTGGGGGTGGGGTGGGGTGGTGGGGGTGGGGGGGGTGGTGTGTGTGTGTGGGGGGGTGGGTTGGTTTTAGTTTAGAGAAAAGAGACAGCACTATCAACCTAGCGCCCGGTGTATCCTTCCTCAACGGGCCATTTTTCTCGTAATTAATAATACTAGACATCTAGAACTAGTACGAGAGATGCTAGACTAGATACATCCTTTTAAAAGCGGTAATGAAACAGGTTTTTCATTTTTGCATGCTAAATTATGCTAGGTCTAAGCAGTAAAAAAAAAGCATCGCGTAAGTTACATAACTCTAATTTGAAATTTAGTTTAGCCCACAACAGACGACAAAATTGTTAAAAATTAAAAATAGTATTAGAAAATCTATGCATTGTTCGCCAAAGCTTTGAATGGATAGTGATTGAGTGAGACAATTGATTATTGAGACTTGAGAGTGAGACACTTATATTTAAAAAAAAAATGATGAATTAGAATCTAATTCACTAATGGACACAAGCGAGAAAAGTCTCAAACAAAGGTATTTGAGAGGTGTATAGTGTATAGTGTATAAATTAATTTAAAATTCTTGCACGACGTAGTTACAATTAATATGGTTATAAAATATAAAATCCTGTCTGTCTGGTTTTTTTCGGACTTTACTAAAGATTGGACGTATTTGATGTTTTTAATATTTTCGGTAACTAAATAAAAATTTTAAAAAAAGCAAAAACAATTTGGTTTTCACGTGTAATGGCGACATAAACAATGGCATCCTGCTATTGGATAGGCCGACAAACATTTTATTGTACACATTGTAAGCTAAAAATAGAAAACTAGGTCATGGGGTTTTTAATTTGCATTGTTATTTAAAAACTTGATCTGCAAAGTTTTGTAAACAAATAGTTATCGATCACTAAGTTACTGTACAGCCAATCAATATTTGTCTTACGAAAGTGAAACATCCGGTTATAACTTAGGCTTGATGAAAATAAATAGAAATGTAGCCTTAAACTCAACAAATTATTTTCTAGTTCTCTGGATTTGCAACTTTTATAGCATTTATTCTAAAAATATAAAATTTCTAAATTAATTTTAGGCTTAAGTTTTTATTTTTTATTTTTTTTTACGGTCTAAATCTAAAAAGCACGTTTTTATTCCATGACAACAACACTATGGAAGGAATCTCGTCAACTCGCTTGTCTCCATTGAATTTTTAAGAGTAGATTCTACTTTTGGTAATCTATCGTTTTAGGTACGTAAAATCGCCCGCGACTAGTAATGTGAAAAACAGGTGACTCCTTACATTTTAATAATTATTTCACATTTTGAGGAGGATTTATGTTTTGAAAAATACAAAAATGTTTCCTTGTTTCATTTATGTACCTGTTTTTAAACAATTGAATTAAAACTTTTCAGTAATAAATGAACACCAGCGATGTTTCCAACAGATGCGACCATGCTCATTTACTATAGCAGCCATCTTGTTAAAGTTTTATTTTTATAAGACTTATTGCGCGAGATTCAGGCGGAAGTCACTCTATTTTACAAATGGCTGCTGTTTATATAGCAAATCTTGCTTGCAGACACTGCTGTTTAAAGTTAATTTCTGGCCTATATTGATATATTTAGCCATTGATTTAGGTTTATTATTTATTTATCTATAATATTTGACACAAACATAACACAATATACTTCTATTACAGCCTTGACAATGAGGTAACGTTTTCGTACATTAATAGCCGGGGGCGATTTTACGTACCCAAAACGATAGATTACCCTACTTTTTAAGACTTTAAAAAATGTATGAGATATGAAAATTTGGTAATCTATCGCTTTAGTTTAGTAAGTTAGTTAGTTAGTTAGTTACACTTACAAACTTTAGTAACTCTAGATTAGAATAGATCTAGACTGACTACTCTAGACTCTAGATCTAGAATCTAGATTTATGACAAAAACGTAAAATTGGCTAGTATTAAGTAATGTACGAAAAAGTTACCTCATGTCAAGGCTTTAATTATTTTAATAGATCTAGAAGTAGATTCTATACTCATTATATTTGTGTCAAATTTTTGTATTTGAGAGGTGGGTGGGTCTGTAGACTGATCTTTTTGATGTCATTTGTAGTGTGACTGTCTAGCTATTAATGACGATAGTGGTTCGGTAAAATTCATCTCGTTTATAATATTTATATGATGTAATTTATGTACGACCCCTTGGCTGTGCCTTATATATAACTTTACCATTGTGGTTCTTTATAGGATCATCTCCAATAGAGATGTCTTCTTATTCTTCGTTCTTAATTATTAGTGTTGAAGGGGATTGAGATTTATCTGCCGGTGGGTTTGAACTCGAGACTTTTTGTTGGAATTTATCAACCATGAGCTTTTTGCCGATTCGACCACGCCTCCAACACAATTAAGCATTACGTGTCAACTGGTTTTGCACCACTGAGGCCATTGACTCCGATTTCAGCCTGCTTTTCTTTTTGGATTTGCTTCCATAGCCTTTGTCCAACCAAGATTAAACTACAAGGCAGCAGTTGTTTAATTTTGGAGTTGCCTCTCCTAGAAGAGTGGCTGTCCCCAGCTAACGAGCCTCATCTGCCCGAGGGTTTGAACTCGAGACTTTTCGGTTTAGCAACCATGAGCTTTACTGACTCAACCACGCCGACCCCTCAATAGAGATGTAACTTTTCCATATTTATGGAACTCAGCTTTTTCCTTAAAACAAAAACCGACAGAAAGCTTTTGCGCTGACCTAGACTCAATGATTCATGGTTGTGCTGACCACTAGGCCTATGATGCAAGACAGTACAAACACATTCTACGAGACCTTTTAAATATCTTATTTTAACATGGTTATTTTTAGTTTTTTACTAAATAAAAAAAAAAAAACCACTCGATCTGCGCCTTAACTTTTGATACAAAATACTGATGTAGGCTTACTAATACTATGGTGAGTTTACTCGATTGATCAGGGCTTAGATATAATGGTCTTTTAACTTATTAAAAAAAAACTTGAAAACACTTGAATTTTTTGCTGCCATCACTGCAACACTTTACACCCCCTACACCCTGTAAAAAAGAGGGAAGGTGTATTCAGAGATTGGTTACATCGCTGAATACACCTTCCCTCTAAAAGAGTGACACCCTAAATTATTTAGTTTGGCCTATTTCAATATTGACTGTTATTAATATATTAGGCATATTAGATGTTACAGTATAGTGCATTTAAATTTTTGCTGTCAATTATTATTACTAGATTTAGATCTATATTATAACTATAAACAAATTTTAGCAAATATCTTTGTTCCTCTTTTGAAAATAAAAAAAACCCCACAGAATCTATAATGTTAATAAGAAAAAGGGTATAAAATGCATTACTTTTATTGACTAAAAGAAAAAAAAACTGTATTATGTAAAATACTCACCTTTAGTCTGGTATATTAGTTTTATGTTTTAAATTATACTATACACAGATGGAAGACCAAGTAGTTGAAGAGCGCTTAGCTGATATTGAAGATGATGATGAGGCAAGTTACAACTTTTTAGTGATAGTACATATCCATATTTTTTTATCATATATGTAGTATGTAGGCCTAGTCATTTTTAAAAATTTGTTTACCTAAGAAGAAATTAAAACCTTATATATATATTCATAAATGCTATGATATCATTTTAAATATATTTTTATCCCTTATTTTTTTCTTGTAATTAAAAAAAAATTTGTTAAATATATTCAAATAATAATTCATTCAGTTCTTATTATAAAATAATAAAGAAGCAACTAAATATATTTTTGGTGTATTTTTGCAGGAGTCTTTTTTTCAAGATATTGACTTATTACAGAATCATGGCATTGTAAGTTTTTAACTCAAGATTTTATGTTATTATTTTTTATTTACAAAATAAATAAATTCATTTATGAAATATAGATTATAAAATGCATTTTAGTAAAAAAAAAAATCAAATTTTAACAACAGCTTGTTTTCAAATGAAACAAATTAAGTTGTGAAATACTTAAATAATTTATTGAAAACAATAGGCACATGAAATAGTTCGTCCTTTGAAAATTTAGGTTTTCCTTTATAGCAATGCATTTTATCACTTTAATCTTTCATGATTTTCTTCTGATACTAGATAATAATAAATATAAAATTTCAAATGATTAAGAAACTAACTTTTTTTTTCAGAATGTTGCAGATATAAAAAAGCTGAAACAGTCTGGAATTTGTACAATTAAGGTAGTTGACTCAAATGAATAAATGATGCTATCTATTTTAAACTTTCTTTACTTGCATTATTTTTCAATAAATTGTTAGTTTTTCATACATTATAGGTAAATATTGTTTTAATATTTAACATGCACAAGTTTATTATATTTTTGACTAAATTGCATTTAAAAAATAATCAGACATTAAAAAATAATGCACAATTGTCTTAATAAAGATTTTCTTTTGTATGTTGCTTCTAGGGAATACAAATGAACACAAGAAAAAAATTATGTGCCATTAAAGGAATCTCTGAGGCCAAAATGGAAAAGATTAAAGAAGCTGCTGCTAAACTTTGTGGGGTTAGTTTGATTTTGTTTCACATATTTAGTTATTTTTCTTTCATCTTAAATTGAACAGAATTGAATAAATATTTTTATTAATCTTGATTTTATTTTGCAAGAGTTTGATACATTAAAAAATAATTAACTTCTCAAATGTTTAGTTTATAATAGTTAATAATTTTATATTTAATTTTTATATACATGTAATACAACTTTTTAAAAAGTGTGTCAGATTTATAAATTATAAATCAATTTTAATCAAAATAAATTATTTTCAAATATACAAGTCACATTAATACATTTTTCTAATTTCAAATGAAATACAAATGGGACAACTTAGGATTCAGCATTCCTTACTGCTCTGGAATATTCAGTTAAAAGAAAGCAAGTTTTTAAAGTGTCTACAGGAAGCCAGGAGTTAGAGTAAGATGTTCTTATTATCGGTCTTTCAACTGTTAATGTTAGGATGTAGATCTAGTAAACAAATGTAAGCATGTCAGCTTGAACAATAATGAAATAAGAATATATAGGCCTACTAATGTTTTTAATTAAAAATAGCAGATTTTAAGATAAGAAATTTTTGCATTTATTAGGCTAAAATAATTTGATTTCATGTGAAATAATTTCAGCAGTTATTGAAGATTGATATTGCTGATATAAACTGTACTTTAATCAAATATAATCCTGAATATTATTGTTTTATTTTCTAGTAGCCTCATGAAATGTTTTTTATGAAGCAGTAAAAACCTAGCTGAATTCAATGTCAACCCTTCATCTCACTGTTAAAAAGTTATATATTTATCAATTTCTTTCAGTGAGAAATCATTCAATCTTTTTTTATTTTTATAATAAGTTTGTTTTGAATACTTTAATTCCAGCAAGCTACTAGGAGGTGGTATTGAAAGTATGGCTATAACTGAAGCTTTTGGTGAATTTAGAACTGGAAAAACACAGCTTTCACATACATTGTGTGGTCAGTATTTTTTTTACAACTGTTAAGTTGCCTACTCAAACCCTTTGTGAAGGAATCAATAAGTTTTTGTTAACAATGTTTGCTTCATAATTTAATTTAATTACTAATATAATTTTCTAATAACCTTATCTTCTTAAAATAAAGTTGGATTAAGCACCAGGTGATACATATTCTTAGCAAAAAAAAACACAATGTAGCATTTAGCTTTTAATATTGCTTTAGCTGTGAAATAATATTTTTTGATTTCAGTGACAACTCAGATACCTGGTGCTAATGGGTACTCTGGTGGAAAAGTAGTTTTTATTGACACAGAGAACACTTTGTATCCTTTGTAATGGGTAAAAAAAAATTAGTGATAGACTATTTAAAAAAAACTTGCCATAAACTCACTACATTGTCATGTTTTTTAACGTTAAATAAATTTACCATAACCAAACTCGTAGTCGTCCAGACAGATTAAGGAGCATTGCAGATAGATTCAATGTTGATCAGTCCGCTGTGTTGGACAATGTTTTATATGCCAGAGCTTATACAAGTAAGTACTTGTAACAAAATAACCTATGGTGTTTTAACTTAATTTTAATGGTTATTTCCTATAAAGCAGACAGTTTTTAGTTTTTATCATGAAAGCAATTATTATAAAATAAATTGCTTTGAAAAATACGTTATGTGTACTTTTTACAATTATAACATACCTGCAAGAAAAAATGCATTGTGTGAATACAAATGGATAAGCACAGCAGTGTGAAGTGCCTCAAGGCTATCTAATACAATAAAGGTAACATGTACCAAATTATCAGGTGAACATCAGTATGAGCTATTAGATTTTGTAGCAGCCAAATTTTATGAAGAGCCTGGAGTGTTTAAAATGCTGGTGAGTGTGAAATATGTGAGCATTATGGTTCATCATTATTGTTTGCAGTACAAATTTCTTTAGTTTCTTGGATTAATACCTTGCTGTTCACACATTTACATTTTTTTTTCACTGTTTATTGTATTACGTTTTACAAAATTTATTTGATTTTTACTAGTTTTACAGATTTGATATTTGCAATAGTTGTTAAAACTTTAATTATTTTTTAAAAATTCCTACCTCCAGTTCTACCGAATCAAAGTTTATCATTTAAATACATTTTTTTGTTAATGTTTTTTTTATTCATGGACAACCCTTATTTTGAATAATGGTACAATGATCTCTGTTTTATTTTTCTCATTAAACAGGTTATATATTTAATACAATTACAAGATCTTAAACATTGTTATAATTATGTAAAATTATGCTATATACTCACAACATTATTATTTATGTTTAGTAAAGTACAGCCATTTGATCTTAATGTTAAATGTTTTTAGATAGTCGATTCCATTATGGCACTTTTCCGGGTAGACTTCAGTGGAAGAGGAGAATTAGCTGATAGGCAACAGAAACTGGCTCAACTTTTGTCAAGGCTGCAGAAAATTTCAGAAGGTATTTCTTTTTATAAATCAATCAAGTATAAAACATTATGAAAATAAGCCTTTAAATGCATTAAAAATGAGAATAAAATATAAATTTCTTTTAGTTTTTACTAATTTAATTTACTAATTTAATTTTAATATATATAATATTATGTGGAAAGTTAAAATCAATATTAGAATTGGGTAAAATTTAAGTTACATGATTTAATCTAAACTCACTTTCCTAGACATTGCAACCTAAAAAAGCTTGTAAAAAAAGAAAGATTAGTAGTCACTGTTATTAACTTGTAATCATTTTTTTTTGGTAATTGAAATATGAGTAGAGTTTGACAGACAAGCCTTGTTTATCTGAATTTTTAAGTTAGCTAGAGACAGAGTGGTCTAGCTGTAGAGAGCTGGACTGCTAACCCGTAAGTCTCGAGTTCGAATCCAGGTTCAAGTCAGTAGACCGTCCCTGAGTCCACCCAACTCTGATGGGTACCTAACTCATGTTAGGGAAAGTAAATGCAGCTGGGCACAGTGCTGACCACACTATCTCTTCATATGCCGAGGTCACAGAAACAAGTGAACTCTACTTCACTTGCCCCAAAGACCGTCAGGTTTGAAAGGGAAACTTTACTTTACTAGAGATGAAGCAGCTAAATATATAAATAACAGTTATGAAAAAATACTACACTAAAAAAGTTGATGTGTTTTATCCCTTGTCTGATAAAAATGACATTTAGATTTACTCTTTTTGCTACTTTTACTGCAACTGTTTATTGAAAATGCTTTCATTTTATAAAAATAAGAATTGATTTTCTATTTTATAAATTATAGAATACAATGTTGCTTGCTTTGTAACCAATCAGATGACAGCAGACCCAGGTGCCACCATGACGTGAGAACTTTTCTCTTTCTCACAATTTATTTACTTTTTGCACATTTTATTTTTGTAATTTTCTTGACATAACTTTTTGTATTTTGGTGTTTATTGAACAACCTAACCAATTGATGTGTACTAATAACAGAATAAATTATATACTTAACGAAATATAAATACATTCAGTATTGCTAGTCTGTGTGTGTATATATATATATATATATATATATATATATATATATATATTAAAAAAATGTTAAATTATTTATGCATTTTTTAACACACATATAAGAAATATATATAGGACTTGTTATTAACAAGATTGTTTTTTATTTTAAGCTTTCAAGCAGATCCAAAAAAACCAATTGGAGGTCACATATTAGCACATGCTTCAACAGTTCGGTTAATGTTGAGGAAAGGTCGAGGGGAAAACAGGATTGCCAAAATCTATGATAGGTAAATTATGCATGTTATAATAGTGATGCTTTTTATATTTATAACATAATAGTTTATTGCTTACCAGTGTACTGGTTTGTACAATCTTAAGTCTTCCTAGCAAATGCAGTGACTATATAACACAGCAATCATAGACATGAATGACCCTAAACTTTTAATATTTTCTTACAGCCCTGATCTTGCAGAAAATGAAGCCAGCTTTGCAATCAGTGGTGGTGGTATAATCGATTCTAAAGATTGAGAAACACCAATTCCATTTTTGTCAAACCTATTGTGTTTCTGTCATGGCTGTTATTTAAAATTTGTGTATATACATATTTAAATATATATTTTAAAAATGTTAAATTATTTAAATTTAAGCATTTTTTTACACATCTAAGAAATGTATATTTGTGTATAAACAGAAGCAATTAGTTTTCCAGTTTGGCATGTTTTAATTGTTACTAAGTGTTTAATGTAAAATTAAAACAAACTAGGAATTAGCCTGAAGTTGGTTGTATCTAGGTATTAAAGTTTACAATCTGACACAAAATAAGTGAATGTGTGGTTTATTGCTTTAATAAAATGTAATACAGCTGCATTCAACTGGTAGCACCAAGAAATGATTACAACAGTTAAAAATTACAGTTGATAAAGTGGTAGAGCTATGAGAAATCAAGTTCTAAAATTGTAAAAAGGTTTAGGTTTAGGTTAAAAACTTGAACAAAAAACCATTTCATTTAACAATCATAGCTATAGCATGCCACTTGCTCAAACTGCTGCCTTAAATAAATAAAAATATTTAACTTTATCACTACTGAGGTGCAAACAAGGGAAAATGTTAGCACTAGGCAACCTACATTGTAACATTTAGGCAAGAACTAGCTGTGGAAGGATTATTGTGACATTCAAGCAAGATATTTCTGATTGCACAATTAATTTCTCTACTCAGAGAACTATTTAAATAAGGTTCACAATCCTTGTTCTGTTTTTTTATTTGGGTATAGGGGAAAAAACCAAAGCTGATTTTAAAAAAAAAAAGTGAAATCCAAGGGCAGATAGATTGCATAATATTGATTAATACTAACCCTGCATTATTAGGGGGAAAATGGTGATTACATCATAATCAAGGCACAATTTTCAATTGCTGCCTTATGTTTCCTATTTTAACACTATCAATTTTATCCAGTTTGTTTTCTGTTCCTAATTTATTTAACATTTCATGAAGTTATCTCTCCTTGGAAAGATGTCTAAAATTTAGAGGTAGGTAAGGCAGTGTTTCTGCTGGAACACAACAGAAGAGTAAATAAAAAGACTATTGGTAAATACAATAAAATGTTTAAAATGACAAGCAGATTGATAAATACTTGATTAATGTAAATAAATAAACTTAAATGAATAGCTATTACACCATTTGATTACAATGCATGTAATAATGTAAAAGCAAAACTTGATAATATATAAAAGCATATTACCTTAAGTTGTTTGACATATTCTAGTTTTGTACATGTCTAACATTTGATTATATGCAAATAGGTAACCACAAAATGTAACACTAATAATATAAAAAGTGAACGTTTTAATATAAATAAATACGGATACATCTGTATCAAACATGAATAGTGTAATATTGTTCCTTGTATATTTAGTCTTGCACCTGGCAGTGCCTGAAGAGGTGGGATGATTAAATATCAGGGGATCATTTTGCTGGTGTGAAGACAGACTGATACACAGGTGAGATAACCTGATTGAGTTACCCCCTGACCTAGTTAGGGAAGTAGAGCAGCTCCACAGGTGAGGCGACCTGAAAACAGGTTACCTGGAACCCAGATAGTGAGGAAATCAACAGAGATACCCTGTCAAGAATATACATGCACAGATTCACTCTGTGCACTTTTTACCAAATATGAGGTCAAACTATTAGAGACAATTGAGTCATTGACTGAAATGTTTTAAGCAAGCTACACAAAAAAAACCAACTTGTATTAATGTCAATTAAACAGCATAGAGACTCAATGCAGATATAGTAGGGTAATAAATGTAAGTATTCACAACCTCTCAATTAATTTAACAGGGAAAGTTAACAGCTTTTTTTTCTCAAGTTCCAGCTCAGGGTATTCCATGCACTCTAAATCTATACAAGCAAGTGTACTCCTTGTTGCCATGGTTATTGCGGATTCTGAGCTCTATATGTTGATATACTCCAGGATTGAGATTCTGAAATAAAGGATTTTGTATGACATATTAATAAGTAATTTCCCATTTTTAAGAAAAATATTAAGAAAAAACAAACCACAGTAGAAACAAAAATTTTTGTCATTACCTGAATAGGAAATAACTGGATAGGATTCCCTGAGTCTTCGTAAGTGTAATTTCCCAAATTTACACCTTGTACATCACTCTCTGAATTTAGGCCCTACAAAAGCAATGCAAACAAAATAGAATTTAAAAAAAAAAAAAAAATCATTACACTAAATTCATATTAAAAATAAAATTAAACGGTTCCTTTCTTTTAGCAGGTTATAAACATAAATTAAACAAAATTGCAATAAAAGCTAGTTTATTATTTTATAAAATGAACACTAACAAAAACTGTGAACTCCTTAGGCGCACTGCTGATGTCTCCCTTAGGTGCCAAGGTGCGAGGTATATGCTCCATAGTAAAGGCTGTTGGTTGGATAGGGTGGGACAACTGCAGGACCAAGTAGCCAGAATTTCCCTTAAAAGCCCAGCACTCGCCAGGATGAACATTAGGCTAAAAAAACAAAATTGGTTAAAAAAACAATGTGTAATTGATTAAAAAACAAAAAACAAAGCTACTATTTCATGCATACAATTAAGAGTGTGTGACACTTGCATGTATTACATACACAGTAAGAAATTTTAGAATATACAACATAAATATTACTAATGATCTTAATAATTCCAGACCTCTATAATTTATACAGGAAAGGTGTGAGATTTCTCACTTTGAGCTTAAGGCTAATTTACTTTTAAAATATATGAAACCAAGTCTGACTACAAAATAATATATTTCAACATAAATAAATTAAAATGCTTTGCACTCAACCAACCTGAATAACAGTGCGAGGTGAATTAGAAGTGTACCAAAGCGGTATTCCAAAAATGCTGACTAGAGCTGTCTGTTTATAAAATGTTTCTGAACACCTGACACTCAAAACACTACCACCTAAACATTTGGATTAGAAATTGTGTGAGTTAGGTCAATAGGCTTAGAAAGCTGTTTCTAAATGGTTGATGTCAGAAAGCATATTTTTCAACCAAAATTGAAAATTTTAATTTTATACATTTGAGAAATAAGTACAAAATGACTTTTTGTTTTATTAAGGCTATAAATGTTCAAACAAATAATTACTAGTAATGTAATAGTAATTTAGCTAGAACTACTTTTAGTTTGGATTAGTAGAGTCAGGGTGTTGTGGTTATAGGGGATGTTATATTATTTAATATAAATAAACCACATTTACCGCTTTCGTGTATTTTATCATAGACAACAATAGTTGTGACTTTCATTATTTAACTTTCCCTGGCCACTCTGGATGACTTCAAGGTTGTTTTTTTTAATATTCGAATTGATAAGAAAATTCTTAACGGCTTTTCAACAACTTATATTCAATACAAAAATATGAAAATGAGTGTAATTTAATTTTTAAAATTATAACTATAATTTTATCGCCATATTTTTTTAAAGATTTAAAAAAAAATGTTTAGTATGATTACATAGACTTTTCACACCTATTCAACTAATATAAAGGACTTAAGCAAAGTATATTATTAAATTATATGCAACAAAACATTACCAGCAGATTCTAAAGCAAAGTCCGGCATTCCAACACGATCAGCACTAAATTTCATGAGAGCATCATCAATTATAGATTTGATTTTCTGTTACAAAAACAGGAGGTAAAGATTAATGTAAATTCAAAGAAAACTTCTGGACCATCTGACATATTGTAAGATGTCAACAAAACAAAGTAACAAACCATTTCATCCACTTCAACAGGAATTCCATTGCTAGAAGCAACATCTCTGTCTGCCAAGAGTACTTTCAATTGCTCCAATATCTGTTGAGTAACTTGTTCCATCTCCGCTCTCTCAACAAAGTCTGTTCTATTTATCATTGCAAGTAAACTGGCTAACTGGTTCTCATGTGCACCAAGCTGTTTAGAAAATTTTTAAACCAAATGATTTAGTTTTTTATAGCAAGTTTATAAAATATGAATACATTTTTTTTTAAATTTAAAAAGCTAAAGACAACGGCTTACGAAAAGAATTATGCTAATGGCTCATTAGACCTAAGGTACTAAAGACTGTGAGAGATACAAAATATGAGCAACAGATATCTTTTCACAGAATTCCAAAATTACTAATAACACAGAATTGAAAATTGCATTATTAGAAAACTAATTTTGTTTTACTGACTAGAGCAGTACCTGAGATAAGATGGAAATAACCTCAGCATGTATGAGTGAACTGTTCTTACAGCAGCTACTCAACATGGCAGTCAGCGCAGCATTTTTGGAGGACAGGCTTTTCACCTCCTCTGCCAGATCCTGCAGTTTCAGTCGCAGGGCTTCATGTGATGACAGCCAACCAGCTTCCTGTTTCTTAAAGTCCATGCCAGAGCTGTAGGAAGAAGAGAGTCTTAGATCTCAATAGAGAAACTAATCAGGGCTGTGAGAAATGTAGATCAAAATCTTATGACTTAATAGAAACAATAATCAGCGCCATACAAAATATAGAACATATAGCCTTAGATTTTAATACAGAAACTAATCAGAGTTAATATGGAGTTGTGGAGAATACAAAGTCTTAGATCTCATGAAACATACAAAATCTTAGATCTTGATAGAGGAAGTAACACAATTTGATAATCTGCTTAAAATTCATAGATTGATCTAGACAGACACTAGCATAAGTTAAAATCAAGGTTCCATATATATGATAGTCCTTTTAGGAATATAAACAAAATGTAGCAAAGGTTACTTACCTCTCTAGAGTAGCTAAAAGTTGGTCCAACTGATCCTTTAGAGCCTAGGATGATATAAATCTTTGTTATTTTGTAATCTTTGAAATTCCATAACAATTTAAAATCAATAGTTCGAGGAGTTTTACTTTTTTCATAATTTCGATGGATGAAAATAAATCACCAATAATTTTGTAATTAAGTAAGTAAATCATCCCTCTGTCTGACTTGGTGATCCACAATGCAAAATTTTAAGCAATATGTGTATGGTGGGATTATGTGGTCAGCACTATGCTTGGCCATCTTTACTTTTCTAAATTCAATTTAGGTACCCATCAGTGCTTAAAAATTAAATCCCCTTTTCGAACCTGACGGTCCATGGGTATGTGAAGTAAAGTTCACCTGCAAGGGGAAAACACCAAGACTCTTAGTTTAGCAATCATGTACTCAATATCTTGACCACATTTTCTATTGATCTAAAACTGAAATAGTATTTAGAAAAGAATAAAATTAACATAGGAAGTATCAGAAAGTATAGGTTAGTTTATAACAAAAGTAAATAAACATAAGTATGTTGCTATATTGTTTAATTTGAGTAGATAGTTTCCACAGCCATGGCTTTTACTCATTTGTTTATTTTTTTAAAAATGTTACCAAGTTTTCATCTATCATAAATGTGAACGCAGCTTAATGAAGAGGAGAATGAATCAGAAAAATATTTTCAATTACAATTTATATGTTGTTTCTTAATCTTGTTGCTTCTTTGGTGAGATTAATTAAAAGAGAACTAAATTCATTTATATACAGTCTTATTATAGAGTTGTAGGCTATCTAACAGTTAATAACAGTTAAAAATGAACATGTAATAACAAACCTGCTGAGACTTGTCAGATGAGCTGAACTTATCATCCAAATTGCTGAATTTCACATCTAATGATTTAGTATCTCCCTCAACCAGCAACTGCTCAAACAACAAAAATAACATAAAAAGCTAAAGTAACTCCTTCAACATTTTCTAAAAATCATTACTAAAATTATAACCGCCACAAAAACTCAAGTATGTTTAAAAAACACAATTAGGATCACAGACCTTAAGAGATTTGATTCTGTCTTCCAACTCGGCCATAAAGGCTTTCCGTTGATTGGCCAGCAAAGTCTGGACTAAAACTTCAACTTGTTCTTGTGTCATCCCTACTGGTCTGTCATCTTTTTGTTTTGCAGCCATTTGGACAAACATCTGTTGCATGTACTGGGTAATAAAAGTCATATTGACCTGCTCAGATGAGGTCGTGGCTGGAATTACCACTGGTGGCTCCACTGGCTGGATAAAACAATAACAGTAAACAGTTGCCATAATTATGCCATACTTAAAGGTGGTTATGGGATATAGAGCCATAAATTGAGTAATTGAAAATACTTTTTGATAATGCATAAGAATCTGTTGTGTTCACCAATGAGTTATAGTTATTAGCAAATCATCCATATCATATACTTGTCTAAAAGAAAATTGAAAATTTAATCCCTTAGCTAGATAATGCATGTAACTGAATTCAAACCACATTATGTGATAAGTAAACTCACCTGATATGACTGACCAGGTGAGATTGCTGAGAGATGAGACCAGAAAATTGGCATAAGATCAGATCTACCACCTTCATACAGCACATGAGAATAGTAGCCTGTGGGTACATGGAATCAAGTCCATTCAAATGTTATCAACTGTAAAAGTAAGTAAAGTTTCCCTTTCTAACCTGACGGTCTATGGGGCAAGTGTTACTTGTTCACTTGTTTCTGTGACCTCGGCATATGAAGAGATAGTGTGGTCAGCACTATGCCCAGCTGCCTTTATTTTCCCTAACGTGAGTTAGGTACCCATCAGAGTTGGGTGGACTCAGGGATGGTCTACTGACTTCAACCTGGATTCGAACTCGAGACTTACGGGTTAGCAGTCCAGCTCTCTACTGCTAGACCACTCCGTCCCAGGTTATCAACTGTAGTTCAAACTAAAAATTTGAAATTAGCATTCATCCTTGTTTATTATGACTTACCTCCAAGTAATAAAAATGGTAACAGTAATAACAGGGGACAGCAGCAGAAACACCAATTTCTCCTGTGGACCAAAAACATAATGTTTGAATTAAGTAATAAAACTAAACATCATTAATTAGTAAATTATGTCAAAACCATTTTTACCCTACTGTATAGACAAGCTAAGGGAAAACACTTTTATAAAAATCGATGACTATTTTTTCTAAAAATTATTTACTAGAAATAAACCACAATTTAAAAATTAAACAGAATGTGACAAGGAAATAAGATATTTTATGGTGGATACAATTAATGAACAAAACTAAGTAAATTTAATTCTTAGAATTCATTTGTATTGTAACTGTAGTTCATTACTTATTTGAGAAGAACTCAAAACAAAACTGAAAGCAATAAGATGTTACATCAACAAGTGTATGTGATCAAAATTATTGGATATCTCTGAGTACTAAAAAACTAATTATAAGACATACTGACCTCCTTTTGGCTTCAATATCCCACACAATCAGGGTGGCTGCATGATGGACAACCCAAGTTAAAAGGTCTGTAATTTTGGTTACTGTCCATCTGCCTGCGCCGACTAATACAGAAGAGCTCTTGCTGATGGTTTTAGCACCAGTGGAGCCTGCTGTTGTTACAGTTGTGGTAACAGCGCTTGAAATGAGTGAGTAAAACCAAGTGAGTAGCCACCATGATCTTCTGTTGTTCAAAGTGTTGGTCAGTGTGGTTGTCGTCTGCTGCACATGTGACCCCTGGGATCTTTTATTCATGTGTGTGTCTGTAAAATCCACATCTGAAATTGAGGATTCAGAGAATAAGTGACCAATTACAAAAGAAAAATTGTTTAACTAAAAGAAAGTTTAAATCAAGAAACAGGGATTAGTTTGTCGTATTAGATGAAGTAAAGGTAATCCTTACTTTAAAATTTATACTAAATTTCTATACAAAATGTAAACCAATCTGAATATCGTCCATTGACAAAGAAACCATACATATTGTATACTGCAAACAAGTGTATATTTTATATAAAAGTATACAGGAAAAAAAACTACACATTTGCACAGGAGTTTACAAGTAGTTTTATACAAATTTATAGACATCCCATGTCCACAAGAAATGAACTCAAACAGGGGTGGACTGGGTAGAATCCTGATGATCCATGAAGAATGGTGCAGTAATATTAGAAAATTTAAGCCATATATGGCTGCTTCTATTATTTTCTAGGGCCACTTAAATACTCAAGTCCACCCTTAACATAGGTATAGAGACATATAAGAATACATACAGAACACATATAGACATGATAAATCCACCAATACTCTACATAAGTCCATAGACTTGATAAATCACTTTAAAATATCATGCTAATATTTACCTGAGAAATCTTCATCTGAGTCCAAACCTGAAAGACACATAATTAGATAACAAGTGCAGAGATTCAAATAAAAAATAAAGATAGAAATTCTAGGTGAAGACAAGATCCAGATTAGAAAAAATTGTAGATAAAAAATTGGCTAACAGGACCTTAGTACAAAGAAATACAAATACAAAGTAGCTTTTATATCAAATAAAATAGGTAAATATTGGATGAGTTGCTTATCAGGCTTATCTGTATGAAGATAATTATATCTTTACTATTAAGTTAATCTTTTCAAGTAGCCAAATCCCTCCACCAATATTTTTTTGTTTTACAACTCAAATGGATGAATTCTAGAAGATAATGCTGTTTGATGTAACCTTTTCAAACATTGTGTTGTACTGGTGTTGACAAGTAAGATGTTGTTTTTTAGCTAAACAAGACCAATGTTTAAAAAAAAAAATTTGTATGAAAGAAGTAATAGATAGTTTAACAACACTCTCCTAGATCAAGTTTTATGCAGAGCAATTCAGGTTAATCACATTTAAAAAAAAAATTTTTTACAGTGAGTTTAAAACTTAATTCAGCTGTATTTTAAAACCCGATTTGGTGGTAATAACTAAAACCTAAAAAAAACCCAAAATTCTAAGGCAAAAAAAAATAAAGAGCTGGACAGTGCTTTAATTTACTTTCATGGAAGGCACTGGCAAACCCGTCTACAAAAAATTGCTAATGAGGTTGTCTCCCACAAATTCAAATTTTTTAGATACACATGATAAAAATTAGTTCTTTATTGTGCTGGCATGTAAGACGAAATTCCATATGATTACAATATTATGAGGGGGGTAAAAAGGTTATTATAAGAGTCCACTAATTCAGTAAAAAGTAAACTACAGCAAAAAATACAAGGATATAATCATCTGTACCACTTACCAAAGAAATGCTTTAATTTATACTGCTGCTTCTGTTTCTTTTCAGTCTGCAGCTCATCTGCTCTAAGTTTGGACTCGTAATTTTTATCCACTTTTGAGGTTCTCTTGGAAGTAGATGGTGCATCAAGTGAACTGATTTTATCCCAGTCATGCATGACCTCTGACCTTCTATTTGTATCATGTTCTCCTTTTTTGGCTGCATCCTCATTTAGAATTTCTTCATACGTGGTTGTGGTGGTGGTAGTAACAGTGGTTACAGTTTTGTTGGTGTTTTGATTCTCAAAGTCCTCTAGCTCAATTTGAGAAGATCTGCCTTTTCTTTGGTGAGCAGAGCGGATGAAATTACTATCTGCTTTAGAAGTGGATGCCACCTCAGATGCTAGCCTGCCTTCAGAATGTTTCATTTGGTGAGTAGAACGGAGCATGTTACTGGCTCCACCAGAAGTGGATGGTGTCTCAGATGCTAGTCTGCCTTCTAAGCGTTTCACACCTTTAATGTGACTCCCAGAGCGCAGGAGCATGCCGTCATAGTAGTGATCATTAGCTGATAGAAAACAAAAGGATTTATTTCTTTTTTTAATAATGATTAGGGATTCAAAATAAATTTTTATACATAATAAGGTATATATTAAATAGCAAAAACAAGCCTTACAGTAATATAGACAGTGTTAATGGTAAATCTAGTTTTGATTTTTATGAAATATATTCTGCAATTACAATTTATATTGCTGATTAAGGTTTTTAAATAAATGAAATTAATTCAACAATAGAGTTTAAGATAAAGTGTAAGATAAGTTTAAGGTGTGTGAAAAAGTAATGAACATCTTGTACTTGATATTTGATGACCAGCATGTGGTGTCATAGGCGTTGAGGTAAAAATCAAATGTTTATTTTTGGATCGTCTGTTTTGTTGCATGTTTTGTTGCACCGGTTGCTCCAGGAATACCTGTGATAAAGTTCAAGAGATTTTTTTTTGACTGAACCATCAGCTGTATAACATGAGTAGTTCAAAGTCTCTGCACACCTCATTTCTACACTAGTAGATAAAGATTTTAAAAATTTTAATTATTTAAAATATTATAATGAAAGATGTACATTGAGAAACAAAGCAATTACCTCTGTATGTGTTTTGCTACTCTCTGACACAAAAAACTGACTTGACGAGTCTGAATCATCATCTTCACTTAAGAACGACGTGTTCATAGCTCGAATCTTGCGCCGTGACATGTTTGGACTGATGTATTTGGTTTTGCTTAGGTATTTTGGGCTGTATGTGGCTCTAAATAAATTTTGTTTAAAATTTATTTTAAAAAAATAAATAAGACAATGACTTTTAATTCTAAATTCACTCAACCAAATATTAAATTTAATCTATTTTGATATATAATATTATGATTTATACATAATGTACTATCATTTCAAAGAAAAGATAAATGGACTTACGTTCTCACATAAGTATAGTCTGTTTTTGGTAATCTAATGGACGAAAGTAAAACATGTTCAGGTAATTAGACAGGCATTGCTAAACTCACAAATAGTAAAAGTATATAAAAATGCTTGCACAACTTTTATCAAACATCTGTCAAGGGTAAAAACTTAAATATTAGCACCAATTCCATCACATTATTTAATAAGGAAGGAATAGCACCTGAGTTATTTCTGTTTACATTAGAGTTTAAGAGGACAATAAAATTACACTTTTATGATGTCATTCAAGATTTATGCCAATCAGTATAGTAATATGTAAGTGTGCTATCTAGTAATTTAATGCCTAGCATCAATTCTTTGATTTTTCTTCAAATTGTGTTATGAAAACTTGTATATAATCTGGTTTAGCTAGCTTTCAAAAACTGTAACTTTGTATGTTTTATTGGCAAAATTAGTGTGCTTATTCGTAAAGAATTGAATATAACAATTACTTTTAGACATTAAAAAATATTATCATTATGTGAAAACAGAAAATATTTTACTAAAAAACGTGTTAAGAGAATTAACAGAACTGGCATTGAAATGTGTTAGGCAGTTTCAGTAAAATTAAATTTGGTTTAATAATGATATATTTGAAAGATATACATCTTTCAAAAATATTTAGTTATGCTGTAATATACTAATAGATCAACATGCTGTTTTGTTTATACTACTATATTAATGAGATACAAATCTGAGAGACAATTGAAGTTGGAAATTTAATTTAAAACTGTCAACCACAAAAAGATTTCTTTAATTATTGATTATTATTATTTAATTATTATGTTTTAGTGTGCAGGCAACGTTTTAAACTGTTTACATTAATAGGCTTTAAATTTGAAGATATATTGCTGGTTTGAGTTTAGTATTTGTACATATTATCAAAGTTAATGTTTTAAAATAGTAGATTTTTAAAAAATATTTATAGAACAATCTTTCAACCCATCATAACCTTCCACCCAGACAGGATAAGATCAAGGAAGGATGAGCGTAGTGTTAACAACTTTTTCTGGAAAATGTGACTGCCACAGAAACAAAATAAAAACTTTTAAAAGAAAACTGTGCAGGTGAATGGATTGATTATAATTAAACTTCTGGAGAAAACTTGCTAAAAACTGCCATACAATATGAATTAATATACAGCCATCAATGGGATTGTAGTACAGGAAATTTATTAAGGGGAAATAAAATTTGAAGAAAAACAGTAGAGAGTTGAGAAAATATGGTCAGATATTCTAGCAGGATCAGGATTGTAATAAAGTGAAAAGAAGACAAATCTATTTTTATGTCATCATTTCACAATGCATTTGTGCCTCAAGACTTGAAGCTGATTACTACTTAAAATTTCTACTTCTTTTGACAAATATCAATTTGCATAACATAGTAATAGCGATTTGTATGTGTACACTCCCTAGAATTTAGAATTTGACAGTTACATTAATATTAATTGAAATAGTTTTTAAGCTAAGAAAATCAATTTTAAAAAGCATATTAAAAAAAAGTTTTTAAAACATAAAATTTTTTTTTACATTAAATTGAGCAAGCCCCCAGCAAAGCTTTGTTAAAGAACATCATATCTGGGTTAAAAAACATACAGCAAATATATCATCAACTTTAGTATAATAAAAATAGTTTTCAATTGTTATACAAATATGTAAAAAAGTTAATATCTTTTGTTTCTAGTTAATTTAAAAAAATAATTTCACTTTTAATAATTAGCACCAAGCAATGATAAATAGAACATGCTAAATGATAGTTACAGTTACATTGATAAACGATGCTGCTACATAAGCAATTCATAATGCAAATTGACAAAGAGAATATTTGTGTTTTTGTGTGTATATAATAATGTTATAATTTCAACATATTAATCAGCCCAAAATTCCAAATTTGCATTAAAATCTTCTTGTAATTCTGGAATGAAAGAAAAGTAAAAGCAATTCTATATGGTATTTCGTTCCTTCCATTTACCTGAATTTGCTTGAAATCTTGTTTTAATATCTAAATTAAACAAAATTATTTTTAAGTGGATATTATGCGGACAACAAATTGGTTTTTTATTCAATTAATAATTATCTGTTTTGTGGTTGTTACAATTAGATTATAGAATTATAATATACATTTTTGCATGATAAAAGGCAAATATTTTTTTTAAATAACAGGGTTGCAGGTTATTTATTGTATAAACTCAGTTAATTTTTCTGGCTGTATACATTTCATAGAGCTAGCTCATCGACTCCTGATAATTACAACTACAAGGTTCTCATTGCTTAGATCCTTGTAATTAAGTGATGTAATTTTTAACTCACATGTCATCTATCTCATCACATAGTAGCTCTTCAATGCTGCCATTTAAATCAGATGAGAAGGATGCATGCAGCTGTTCATTGAAGTCTCTTTTTTCTCTTGAGGTTAAACCTGAAGGTACCACTTGAGGAGAGAGCCTGGGTAGGAAGAAAATAGTTTTACTGTGTAAAATGTAAAACAGTAGTTAATAGAGTTGATTGTGCTACTCATTTAATTTTTAAATTTCATATTTTAAATGTTCACTGTATTAGGTTATTAGTCATACCTTCTTCAACTTAGCCTAACTTATTTGGGGTGTTATAAAAGCAATGATAGAGCAATGCAATACATTATCAGTAGAAATATCAGTGAGCTGAATGAGGTTGTTTCTTGCTGGAAATGCTCGACTTACTTAGTTAACATTAACTCAGTCTCTGAAAGCAATATTGGCTAAAACATCTTGAACGATAAATTAATATTGAATTAATATTCATTGAATTAATAATGAATCAATGAGTTAATAAAATATTCATTGAATATGACTTCCACTTCCAGCATTTGTGTGCCTACTACTAGTACTACTGTGACAGTGACTGCTGTGCCAATATTTTTGTTAAACACCTAGTTTTAAAAGACCTGGAGTCTACCTGACCAATTTTCAATTTAGCAATTTATTAAATATATAATTATTTATTAATTAGTATTACTATTACTAGACTAGAATTAGTCATTAGTTGAATTACAGAATTAGATCTACCTACCTGTGACTCAGGCTGTGACAGTGATGATGTGGAGTTAGAATATTTTTTGTTGTTGACCTCTGTGAAGTTCTGATTACTTCTTCAATTTCTAGATCTAGATCTCTATCTAACTGAGATGTTTGGTAACTACCACTACCAGGTGAAAAGTGCTTCGATTTCGGCTTCACGTTTATTGACGATCTTTTACGCTTTTCCATACTAAAATTAGAGATTTCTTTGCGTAATTCACAGGACTTGAACAGCACAACACATTCATACCGGCGCCGGTACTTAATATATTAAAGTTATTGTTGTAAATTGTAAATGGTTGTATTTTCTTGTTACTCTTGTTACGTCTTGTAGATTCTAATACTTGTGTAGTGTAAACTGTAAATGTAACGTAACCAAGCCAAGCAAGCACTGAAGCAGTCCAAACGCCAAACACACAGTGACAGTCAAGTGGGCAAAAAGTGATTTGAATTTGATTGATGAACTAGATAGTAGATATCTAGAATTAGCTAGCTAGATAGATCTAATGACTAATATCTATTCTAAATTGTAGATCTAATTATCACAATAAAAATGCATAATTATTAGAACATAATATATAGATCTAAATATATTATTAGAGTTAGTCTAGTAGAGTATTTTAAAAGTCTAAGTTTTTAAATATTTTTTTTTAATCCAGGAAGCATCTACTTTTTAAAATCAATCCAACCAGCAATATTTACAACTGTTCTGTCTATCTGCTACCAAATATGAAAGAAATGACTCTGCTCAGTAGTTTTGTTAACTGACCCTCGTCCTTGATGGTAGAATCTAGTTTCCAGATATTAAGTTTTAAATTTATGATGACTGATGTTACTTAAAAAAATGCTAAAAATTATGTTATTTTACTTTTAATGCTCGAAAATTATGATGCGCTTTTTAATATCTACATTGACATTATTATAGTTATAGACTTATACTATACTATACTATAACAGTATAGTATATACTAGTATATAAGTACTATACTATTATTATACATACTCTTACATACAGTTAACTATAGTATAGTTTGGTAATCTCGTTTTAGGTAGGCCTACGTAAAATCGCCCGGGACTAGTAATGTGAAAAACAGGCGATTCCTTAAATTTTAATAATTATTTCACATTTTGAGGAGGATTTATGTTTTAAATAATACAAAAATGTTTCATTTATGTACGTGTTTTTAAACAATTGAATTAAAACTTTTCAGTAATAAATGAAGACTAGCAATGTTTCCAACAGATGAAACCATGCTTATTTACTATAGCAGCCATCTTGTTTATTTTTTTATTGTAAACTTATAGCGTGAGATTCAGGGGGAAGCCACTCTAACTTACAGATGGCCGCTTTTTATATACAAATCCTGCTCGCAAACACTAACACTGCTGATTAAAGTTAATTTCTTGCCTATATTGTCATATTGATATATTAAGCCATTGATTTAGGGTTATTATTCATTTATCTATAATATTTGACACAAATATATCACATATACTTCCATTAAAGCCTTGACAATGCGGTAACTTTTTCGTACATTACTAGCTGCGGGCGATTTTATGTACCTAAAACGATAATTGTCTATACTATAGTACTAGTACTTTATAATAGGAATAGGGCCTATATATTTATATTATTAATATTTAATTAAAATATTAATATATTAATATACTCTAACCATTAATATAGTTATACTATTATTTATACCATTATAGTTAACTTTATAGTATAGTAACAATAGGCCTACAATTCAAATAATCTCAAATCACTAGACCTAGTTTAGTCTAGATCTAGTAGACACTAGCCCTAAGACTGATAATTTTTGTGTTTTGTAATTACAGATGGCAAATAGCACAAGGCGTACAGTTCTTTCTTTATACAAACAAATTCTTCGGCTCTCAAAGTCATGGACATCAATATCAGGCCTGCAAGAAGACACACTGGCTGAAAGATCTTACATAAGAAAAGAGGCGCAACAACTTTTTAAGCAAAATAAATGGGTATATATTTTTATAACGAGCTGACCCGCGCCGTAAGCATACGCCGCTATTTAGTTGTTTTATTTGCTACTTTTCAGTAATTCATAATTTGTGAATTCGACACTACCCTCTCCCCCCCCCCTCCCTTCCGCTCCCCTCCATGAAAGCGGCCGTCTGTGACGACAGTTTACAGGCGACAATGAAAAGATCAAGGAGAACTTGGTTTCAAGTAGTTTAAAAGCTGAATTATCTGCCCCTAATAGCCGTCACATTGTAAACATTAGGGGTGAACTACAGCTTACCAGACTGGTGGGGTGTGGGTGGTAGCGATAAGCCTAGAGAGCGGGGAAGGAATGGCTAAGTCCTTACTTAACTTGGTGGTGTCTTGTATTGTCCCCACATAGAGAATTATATATATAGATGTATGCCTATATAGTATACAGTAGGTCTACATGTATTTCAATTATTAGCCTTATTTAGCCTTATTGACTTAAAACTTTTGTTTTTAAAAAGGAGAGGCATCATAGCTATATTATTATTAGAATGGATTTACTTGGGATGACTTGTTTGTGTCAATCAAACTGAATCCTTTTAAAATTCATACGAGTGATAAGGCCTTAATTTACTTTATGGTATGCCTCTGCTAAGATCTTTAGGCCAGCTCAGCTTATAACCTCAAAAATTATTGTTTAATAGGAAAAATCAGAAGTTGCAGTCAGAGAATTTATAAGAGAAGCAGAGACAAGAATAGGATTAGGTAAGTTTTTGACAGTTGTTGAACATAATATATATATTATTGGCTTTTGCCCTCAGTTAGATGTTTCGTTTGCAACTCAGTAATGTAAGATGAATAAACAGGCAGGTCTTTAAATCTTATTCCACAATGATAGATTTCATCCACTTTTGTGATGGCATGCTTTAGCTAACCCAAAAGCCATGAGTGTGGTACGGGCTCGATACCCTAACTGCACTTCTTATCCAAACCAAGTCGTGCAATGAACTTGGGGAGGAAGCAAATACCTGTCAGAAACTAGGCAGACAATCATTAATGTGAGAAATGCTCAATTGGTCATCCTGTGCAGTCTGCCTGGACAAAGAACATTGATTGAGCTGGTTATCCCAATATAAAAGATAGACACATCATATAGACTGTACTATCCACATTTTTTATGAAAAGGAGAAGAGAATTAAAATACTACTGTCTATTTTTGTGCTCATATTTTTAATAAATCATGAAAACAGTTTGATGTAAATTTTTGCAACATGATTAGCAGGTATTAAAAATGTTGCAATGTAAATTATATTTGGTTCTTCTCTTTTTTACTTACATTATATTCAAGTCATTTGTGTAGAGTAATTTTGTAATTTGTTTTTTAAAAACCAGTACTTCAACTTGAGACATTAATACTGGATATAACTTATAACAATATATCATTAAAGTTTGAGCTAGCATATTAAATTTGATCATTCATCCTAATTTTAAAATGTTCTTTTAATTTAGCTGAGCATTACGGCATACCTTACCCTAGAATGGTAAGCATTTTTAAAAAATATTTTAAAAATCTTTGTTTAAAATATTTTAAAATAAAAAAAAAATAGAAAAATTATTTTTAATCTATTTACACAAATTATTTTAAATTTATTCTAGAGTCACATGTATTATTTATGATTAAAGTTAATTTATCTATTTATTCTAAAAAGAAATTATATTTTAATCAAACCATGCTTATAATCTTAATTTATACAAAACTGATGTCACAGTTGCTTATAAAAATACTATTAAAGCTATATTTCAACCATTTAAAATATATCATTTCCTTCTTTGCAGGTCAATAGTCCACAAAACATGCTTCCTCCACATGTTGCAAAAAAGTACAAGAAAGATAATACATTTTTGAGTCAAGCTACACCGATATATCTCAAATCTTATGATAAAAGTAAAACAGACAGATAGCAATTATAAAGCAAACTTTCTGTATCAAGGTTCACAGTTTATATATGTTAGTAAATTTTCATAAACATAATTTATATGGTATTTTAGAACTATTGTGTTATTGTAAATAAACTGTTTGCATCTGTGATGTTTTTTTGTCATAATTCTGATCAAGTATTTTACTTACAGTGAGGGCATTAATGACTTAATACATGCAATGTAAGCATCCTAAATTATTTTGATCAAACAGTATCATTTGGGAAATATTCACATCACAAGTAGTTTTATTTTTACAATGGAAATTCATGTATTTTAATAACCTGATGACCCTTGATCAATCTTCTTTCCCTTCAACAATTAGTTGTTTTAACTCATTCATGCTGTTCTGTATACTCAAGAACTAAAGCTGTATACAGTATACACTTTTGGCAGATGTAAGAAGTTTTCTTTCATGATAAAGTAGTATCCCTAATAGACAAAGCTAGTATTAAGACCAAGACATGCACAATTATTGGGACTAAATTAGTTTCCCAGCTAAACCCATTAGTTGAAGCTGAGTGATTTTATTAATTATCTGATCAACAAAATGGTGTTAACTTTCAGTGATTTGGCAATACTTGAATTCCTTTGACCTCCTTTATCAGAGGCGTTGCAACCCTTCCCGGTGCCCGGGGACAAACTTTAGATTTGCAACCCCCCCTCAAGCATTCAAATTATTTTTCCAACCCATTTTGGCGCCCCCTAAGGTCAAATTTCTGTTATTGTCATTTATCATTTTGTGAAAACACATTTTTTGCATTTAAAAAGGGTATTTTTTAAGCTGGAGTTCAACAGTTATAATTCACAATTTTAAAATACATTTTAAATAAAAATTAAGAACATTGATCTGTAAACCTGGATTTGCTAAAATTTTCAGTGCTTAATGGTGTTTAGCATTGTTTTCTGTTTAATTAATCTAGATCTAGCTAGTGAACAGTTGCTGTAGCAATGCATTATTAACTTACTTTATCAATTACATTAATCAAGGGGAATAATTCAGCGTAACTTGATTACGTCCCTTTGTTTTACAGAAGGAAAATTGGGTGGGGTTTAAAAATCGTCAAATTGACTTCGTTTTAACTTCAAAGGATAGCCCCTAAGTCAAGGGTACAGAGTTTAATGCATATTTTTACTTTGACATATAAAGCGATTGTGTGGTCATCACTATGCCCAGTTGTTTTACTTCTCCCCTACTTGATTCAGGTTCTCATTTGAGTTGAGTTGGGTACTCCACCACTCACTGGTATATACAAATATATATATATATGTATATATATGTATATATATATATATCTGTATATATATTATATGTATATCTATATCTGTATATATATATATATATATATCTGTGTATATATATATATGCATATCTATATATATATGTATATATATATATGTATATATATATATATATATATATATATATATATATATATATATATATATATGTATATATATGTACATATATATATATATGTATATGTACATATATATATCTGTATATGTATATATATATATATCTGTATATATATATGTATATATATATATATATCTGTATATATTTATATATCTGTATATATATATATATATATATATATATATATATATATATATATATATATATATATATATATATATATATATATATATGTATATATATGTATATATATGTATATATATATATATATATATATATGTGTATATATATATGTGTATATATATATATATGTGTATATATATATATATATATATATATATATATATATATATATATATATATATATACATATATAGACAAGTAGGCCTTCATATACGATATCTACAACAAGAAAGTCAGGACAAGAGTTAATCAGGTCACTAACTGTCTACTACAGGTATCCCGTCTGCTCACTAAAAGGACGTCTTCATCGGTCCGCATACATACGTGTTTCCCAAATTTACATCCTATATCAGGTCGTGGGCTAATTCTCGACCGCCATCTCCAGTCAGCTCAGGTAAATGCCAGGCGACCGTACCCTACACAAAGGGTAGGCGTGATACTGTTTTTGTATAGAATTACGGCCTGTCCAGTTCAGGTGGGTGATAACTCACCAACATCAACCGTGGCCTCAGCTATAACAATCAACAACGTCGGCATTCGACCATTTAGTTTTTCCCAATTGAATTAAGCAACAATGTTTTTTAAAGTTTACGAACTAATTCAGATAACAATGACAGTGCTGAAGCGCGGGGCCACTTAAAGCGCGGGGCCTGGGGCGACCGCCCCGTTTGCCACCCCTTAACGCCGGCTCTGGTTCAAATCCTCGGGCAGATGAGGCTCGTTAGCTGGGGATAGCCACTCTTCTAGGAGAGACAACTCCAAAATCAAACATCTGCTGTAGTTTGTTCTTGGTTGGGCAAAGGCTATGGAAACACATTAAAATAAACCGGGAGTGATCTCCCCTAAGCTTTCTCGAATATTCTTATATAAAACAACAGGGGATAAGAACTCCATTTTAAATACTTAAAGTTTTTAAAATAGAATAAAATCTCGTAGAAAAAAAGGATTGCACACCAAGTGAACGCCAAATGAAATGTGCATAATAGTGCGCAATATTATTAGTACTTTATAAATTTACATGCGTTTGTTTCGAAATCGGAAATAGCGTAAATTACTACTTCCGGTCAACGGAAATTACTCAAAATTTGAAAGAAGGTAGATAATTATATCTTTTACTTACGTGTGAAATTTCATTTATCTATCTGAAATAGTACTCAAGTTATAGGCTTTTGAAAAATTCAAAGTAGAAAAAGTACCACTTCTGGTTGTCGGAAATCGCTTAAAAGTTGATAGGGATCTACGATTTTGATAAGATACTTATATATAAAATTTCATCAACCTAGCTGTAACGGTACTCAAGTTATCGTGTTTACACACACACACACACAGACAAGATTGCAAAATTATGTTTTTCCGTATCAGTGAGGTGTAAAACGTCGAGATTTGTAAAAATCTCGATTTTTTTTTGCACGATTACAAGACTTTCTCTATACTTTGTATATACGAGAAAGTAAAAAGAAACGCAAGCTGAAATCAGAGTCAATGGTCTCAATGGCGCTTACCAGTTGACAAGTATATACTTAATTGTATTGGAGGGGATCCCTTCCAACACTAAAATTAAGATCGAAGTAGAAGAGAAGAAGAAGAAGAAGGTTAGATGTTTGTATCCAATTTACCGCTCATTGAACACAATTGACAGCTTTTTAAATTAGCAGTTTTGTAAATATCGGTGTCGAATGATCCTATAAGTTATAAATAATCCATTAATATCTTGAATGGTATGCTGATTAAGATATATATATATATATATATATATATATATATATATATATATATATATATATATATATATATATATATATATATATATATATGCTAATGTCTGAAATGAGAAGATCTCTCAAGGAATTGGACTTGGGTTTGAAGGTAAAAATGAAAACAATATATATTACTTGTTTCTTTATATCTAAAATATTTTTCTCAGTCATTTTAATGAATAGTTTTTCAAAACAAGATATTTCAGTGATTCAATATTTTTATGACATTACATTATCAGCACTTCAACACATTTTTATGACTATATATATATATATATATATATATATATATATATATATATATATATATATATATATATATAATCAGGGGCCCCCAAAAAGTTTCAGCCCGGGGGCCCGCCCAAGCTTAATCCGCCCCTGATTTGAACTCGAGACATTTCAGTTAAGCATCCACGAGCTTTACCCTAACATCTAACCAATATGTATTCATTTTTAGCAAGATTATATGTTGCCCCCACCCACTACCACGACACACACACTAACAAAACACAGGCGAGATCCATCCGCTACGTCAGTAGCACTAAATATATGACTTTAGTTTAGGCTTGTAGAAGTTTCCGACCTCTGCCTCGCGATCTAGCCGGGTACCAGACGGTAGGACGATGTCCTGCGTCTGGTGGTGGGGGAAGTAAAGCCTGGTGAGAGCCACGGATGGATAAGCGACCATCATGTAGTGTTTCAAACCAACATCTCAGTGAGACTGATTCAGTTCACAATTTTCCATTTAGTTGGAGTTCACTACGTCGAGACCTCCCTGGCTAATGGGAGTCAAACTCCTGAGCCTGTATATCCGTGTCACGATAGTTATTGAACTGTAATTCAAGTTTTTATATTGGGCATGAGAAAGCTGGAAATGCAGACTAACCTTGAACAAACGTAAATATCCATGAGAATATTATAATGTCGTTACAGAGCAGACGATAAAGACTGGTGGCACTTGTTTGATTATAGACGCAAAAAGAAAACAAAGAATATCAAACCACATTATGTAGGAAATTATCAATAGCATACAGAGGTTAAACTAGGCCCAACTAAAACAGTAAGCACGGTATAAGCGTAAAAAACAACAACCCACACCTCCATCTTCTTAGGTGTCATTCATTTATGAGGCCCACAAAAAGTTGGATTTTCACAGACGTTCATTTAAAGAACGTCATCCCTGGCCTGTAAACCCGATATTAACGTTCACTAAAAGTAAAGGCCTATAAATGTTTTTAAAAGTTTAAATAATACTGTATTCACACCCAGTGGCGTAGCGAGGTCGGGTGTCACCCGGTGCGGCACTTAATGGTGTCACCCCCCAGAGGCGTAGCGACCCTTCCCGGGGACAAACTTTCAATTAATTTTCGATTTGCACCCCCCCTCTCAAACTTTCGGTTTTCCCCCCCCTTCAAGTTTTCGATTTGCACCCCCCCCCTCAAGTTTTTCTCTATATATTTTGCTATTTTTTGCCTTGGTGTCACCCCCCTAGATGGTGTCACCCGGTGCGGTCCGCACCCCCGCCCCCCCCCTCGCTACGCCCCTATTCACACCAGATGCATGTCATTTATATGTCAGAATTCGACCGCTGTTTTTGTTTTTAACTCTAAAATCAACCCAATTTATTGTTATAAGCAAATGCTGTCCGGGCTGGTATTTATACTAAAGTGTGTGCTCGAGTTTGATATTTTGATAAAAAATTGAAATAAACTTGTCATTCAGATATTAAAACATTGGCATTTACTTTTATAGTAAAAAAAAACAAAAAACCCAAAGGTTTCACTTTAATGGGAAATTTACTATGATTGAAAAAGGAAATTTGGGGGCCCCTAAAAATCGGGGGCCCCTGGCTGCAGCCCCCTTAGCACCCCCCTTAATCCGCCACTGCCTGAGGGTGTACTGTTGCGCCATTTTTTTTTTAGCGGAGCACAGGTATAAGCTTATATATATATATATATATATATATATATATATATATATATATATATATATTATGTGTGCTTTCCTGCAGATTGACTGCTGACAATGAAACTAATTATAGATAACTCGCTGTTAGGGAAAAATGGCAGTGCTCTCAAAAATATGTTTTAGAAAATTAAAACAGGAGCAGTGACAAATGCACTTTGTATCGACAGATGAAGTCGAATCTCTGTCCCACAACACCAGAGTTTCTTCCAGGCATCTCTTCGGGGGGGCTTTGCCCCCCCCCCCCCGAATTTTTTTTACCGCCCCCCCCCCCCCCCCGAATGAAATTTATATAATTTATATAGAAAATATATACTTTTAACAGTGTCCGCCCCGCCCCCCCCCCCGAAGAAAGTCTACCGCCCCCCCGAAAATTTCAAGTGCCCCCTCCCCTCCCCCGGAGAAAAAAGTCTGGAAGAAACACTGCACAACACCCCACTCAGAGAAAAAATTTATGGGGGGCTCTCAGAGTTGTAGACCACTGTGCTATGCATCTGCAATGTTGAACCTCTATGATTCTCCAGTGCTAAATTTAGGAATGCAGATTAATAAACAGAAGATAGTTTTGTGTAGACCTAGTCACAGAAAGGGGAAGTAGGGAGTCTTTTTTAACTTGTTTTCCCACATAATGACATGTTTGTGCAATTAATTACACAAAGTCAGTTTTATTTTTAAAATAAAAAGATATTTAGCCCAATGATCTTTATTATTTGATGCAAGAGGGGAAGGTCTGAGGGGGAGGGTGTTTTCTTGTGTGTGTGTTCTCAATGCTGGTGAATGACAGTCTTCTAGCTTAGTTCAATTTTTTAAATATTGTCAAATATTTTAATAATTAAAAGGCAACATAATATTGCAACAATCATAAATATCATTCCTGTTTTCCCCATATTTTGGAGTTGGTCATTTTCTTTTAAAATCATCTTTAGTAAAAAATTTAACTTTTAAGAATTTTTTAATAATAAATTTAAAATTTAATAATATAGCCTTTTTGAGAATGGTTCAAAAGAATAATCTAGGATTTAAACTTTTAAAATGGTAAAAACTAAGCTATTGAGCTATTAACTAAGTATTAGAAATATAATTGTTTAAAAAAATCTATACTATATAATTATTATATAGTTCATTGAGTACATTTATCCCATTATCTTTAAAAAATGCTGACAAAATCAATGGGAGTTAATGCTATAATTGCACTTTTTTTGTACTTCCGCTTTAGAGATCTAAAGTATCGACAATGGTATCGCTTCGAAAATGCTTACACGATTTTTGTAATCGATGATGCAAAATGAGATGTAGACAACGTATCATGTATATGTAGTCTTTTGTTGGGGCTAGATATACAAATAATAATGAGTTCTTTGAATATAAAATAATTATCTATAAAGAAAAGCGTGGGTCTCTTCCTAAGTATTAGTAAAGGTATCCAACAGATAATATATAGAGTTCGGTGATTTCATTTTGGTATCGATATTTTGCATATATCACATTAACATCGGTATCGAAGCGTGTGTTAGAAGATACATGACCCATATTATTTTCCGTAGTAGTGATGGAGTTAGCTAAAAACTGAAATCATTGATAGATCCAAATCTATGTTATACAACATTTTGTGATACTGTAATAATGTCATAGGCTAACATTTAACGCAGACCAGTAAAATGGTCCAAACTTATCAATCACCCGTAAGGGTGTACAAACATCCTTTTGAACTTGTTATGGCAGTAAGTGTAACTACTACAAATTGACAAATGAAATAACAAACAACAACAATGTCAATGACTCAATTTTCAATCGTCTGTCTACTTTCAAGTCTACTTCTTACTACACTGCTGACTAGATCTACCTACTTATTTTTAATTTAGATCTATTTTTACTACCTAACTTATTAACTAACAAACTAAACTAATACTACTACTACTAGATTTAGATTTAGGATCTAGAATCTAGTCTAGATCTAGTAGTTAGTAGTTACTAACTAGTGAGTTACTAGTGTAACTAGATAGATAGTACCAGCTAGTCACTTGACTCAATGACTGGCTTTTACTTTTAATTTATGTTAATGGACGCTAGCGAGAAAAGTCTCAAAGGTATTTGAGAGGCCCATAAATTAATTTAAAATACGTTTATAAAATCCTGTCTGTCTGGGTTTTTTTCGGACTTTACTAAAGAATGTATTTGATGTTTTTAATATTTTCGGTAACTAAATACAAATTTAAAAAAAAAACAAGGATGATATTTCGAGTCGTCCCTTTGAATCCCGGTCAGAACGTCCCCCGGTCGTGGCCTCAACCAACCGGCGGGCTTGTTGCATTGAGTTAAATATAAACTCAAAACAATAATATAAACAATCTTCTTTAAAAATGGGGTGTTAGGTTACTGGTAGTAACTAAATAAAATACACACATGGCTGGCTAATGTTAATGCTAACCCAACCCTAGTCCTACCATACTAAACAGTCCATATGCCTAACCCTAATTTCTAATCATAAAATTAGTCAAGATTACAATAAGTAACAATACTACTAATAACCCAACACACCTATTTTATGGAAGAGTCTATTATCGGTATCTAAAATCATCCCTATTGAAAGGCCCAGTTACTGGTACTTAGTAGGCCTACATGCCCTATATTAAAAAGATAGGCCTATATTTTCATTGGTTCAAGAAATTACTAGAGCAACACCACTACTGTGTTCAAAGGACAAAACCATTCATTATTCCTATGTTTATTAAATTATGATTTTCACACAAAAACAAAATAATAATAGAGGCCTAATGAATATTAACTGAAAATCAGTGTGGCTGTTGCCTTTAAGACCACTTTCTTTTTTGCTTGTAGTCAGTCAGTATGAGACGATTAAAATATTAAGAAAGAAATAACACAAAGTACCATAATGACAGTCACTTGAATCACAAGTCCAACCACTGGGCCACGATATAGATCTAAAAGAGTATGTTTTTTACAGCAGATAAATACACAATCAACGTGCGCGTGAATAGTGTTGACATGATGATTCATGATGTGTGTCTTGAACTCAAGAGATATATAGATACCAATACATGTTATCTCGCTCTTATGTCGTGCTGTCATATTTGAACTATCATCGGCTGCTGTCAATAGTTCTATCGTCAACACTGACAAAATCCAATTGCAAATAATTTGAGTCAAGTGTGTCTTGACCTCCTTGTGTTTCATCACTGTATTAAAATGTATACTTTTATGCTGTTGTGACTTTAGTCTTGTGTATCTAAATGCCCAATATCTAAATACAAATGAAATATTTACCAGTTGATATACAGCTCAGTACAACAATAAAAATGATAAAGAATAGCCTAATGGTCATAATAATGACATCAAGCTAAATTAGAATTTTACCATTATAGGCCCTATAATATAGGCCTAAGGGGTTATCCATTTATGACGTCCACACATTTTTTGGACTTCGACCACCCTGTCCACAAAAATCCAATTAATTCCCTTTTAAAAGTCCATACTTGTCCGCAAAAGTCAATTTTTTTTGGGCCCCCTACCCCTGTGTGGACGTCATAAATGGATGACCCCTAAAAATAATACATATTAATTAAAAGAAAAAAAAAGGCTTATTCAATAACTTAATTTATTATTTATTCACACTAACTGTCTGTCTGCAAACTCTCCTCACTCTCCATATATACATTGTATACATTGACTAGAGTAAACTTTTATATAGTCTACTTAAACCTGATTAATTAGCACTACATCTATTTTGATCATGTTGTATATAGTAAACTGCAAAAACTTTTTATAATCATAAGGCTTACGAAAAGAGATTCCCAACATGCAAGATGATTCCAGTTTTTCTTGGTAGTGAGATTATTCATGAATTTAAGTCGGAAGATGGCGCAGAACATATAGTTGAAAGGCGCTGCAAATTAAATGTGGATGCTCCTTATCTGTTGCGTAAGGTAAGCATGACAGTGCCATATAACTATTATACTGTGAAAGAAATCTTTATCAAGTTTATCTGAATATAAGGTATAGGTCTAGTTCAATTGCTAAATATAGTCATTTTATTCATGATATAGTTTAAATAAAATGAATTCCTAATTGACGGTATTATATAATGAAATGACTAGTTAGCACTCTATCAGTTTAATAGATATAGATTACAATTTACTAAATAGATATTGGCAATTCATATTTTGAAATCTTGTAACATATTCCGTAATGAAATACTTGTTTGTAGTTGTGGTTACAATTAAGGTAGAATTTTAGATCTCGGAAGAAAAAAACCCCACCTTTTCTCAAATGTATTTTCAATTATTTTTGCACAGATTGTTGGTGTAGACCACGTCATATTTATTCAGAAGAACCATCTGAATAGACGGGAAAGGACTTTAGATATTGTTGCACAAAATGAAAGTTTTTCAACTAGGCTCTCTATATATGAACATTGTCATTACTCAGTAAGTTTTTTTTTTTTTTACTTTTTACAGTTAAGTTTGTTTTTATTTACCGGAACTCAAAAAAATATTTTGCTGTTTCCTTTTATCATATTTATTATTCTATGGAGCTCGCAGCTTAAAAGTGTATTGAGAAGTTTTGTTTATAATGAACAGGTGCATCCAGAAAACCCAAACTGGACATGCTTTGAGCAGGATGCAAGTTTGGATATCAAACACTTTTTTGGGTTTGAAAGTACAGTGGAAAAGATTGCCATGAAACAATACACATCTAATGTAAAAAAGGTAAAAGTTTTATTGCTTTTTCTACTCCATTGGTTCATTAAGGTATCATTTATTTGTGCAAACTATTGTTCAAATGTTACATCGTTCAGTATTATTTTTATTTTTAATCTACAGATTATTTTATTAAAGTAAACTTACTTATACTGTTGTTATGAATTAATCTATTTCTAGTTGATATACTTTTTAATATATTCTGCCTGCATTGCTTATGGTGGGTTACACCTCCTGGAGTGGCCAGTTGAATTTTTTTTAAACATCGATATTTTTCCAAAATCTTGTCTAAACTATTACAATTTATTAAAACAGTTATATAAAACGCGAAATAACGTCTACAATTCGTTTTCTAACATTGCTTTTTTATAATGCAAAAATGTGACGTCGAAACATCTGAACCCCCCCCTCCCCCTCATCACACATCGTCACAAAATTACGGACCCCCCTACGAGTGTGACGTCATTTATAGATGACCCCTAATACAGTATTCACACCCAGTGGCGTAGCGAGGTCGGGTGTCACCCGGTGCGGCACTTAATGGTGTCACCCCACCACCATTGCTTATGGTGGGTTACACCTCCTGGAGTGGCCAGAATTCGGTTAGTTGAAGAACTCTTGTTTTTCATCATGTTTAGGGTAAGGAAGTGATTGAGTACTATATCAATGAGCTGATATCTGAAGGTGTCTCGTACATCCCTCCCTGGGAGGGAGCTCCCGCAGAGGTCACTAAAGCAGATAAAGAGGAAGATCCTAGTCAAGACAGTGGCCTTCGAAGCCGTTCTGACAGTGTTGGAAGTCAGCATAGCCAGCACAGCTTAATCCTGGGTGCCACTGCAGCTTCCATGCAACGCAAGTCTCTAACCCCGCCTGAAGGTATACAACTACTAAAATTTATTTTTGATTCGTATACGTTACTTTTTTAAGTACATTTTACTTTTGGCGAAGTGCTAAACACTGAGATGAATGTCACTGTGTTGCAGTTGTGTTGTCATTGGAAGGTGCCGGGAAAGCTGACACCAGCACGGATAAGATTGATGATGATTACATTGCTCGTTTTCTGGGTCATTTAACCATGGTAGAGGAGAGTCAGCTTGTTCAGCTGAGAAGGTGGCTACAAAAAACACACAAAGGCAAGGTGAGTGTCTGAATCCTTAGGGCAAAGTAGGTACAGTGTAGGTATTTATTTTATATTTCTGTTTTAGAGAAAAGTAACTATTGGTTTTCATATTATTTTGTTTGGTTGCAATAATTATAAAAGCCTACCAAGGTTTTTAAATAGGAATCACATTAATTTATGTTATATGATTAATAGGGACAGTTGTTTTCTACATAATTGCTATAGATAGGTAAACATTACAAATATAGGGGCAGGACCTTTTAATTATATTTTTTCATAAGAAGGATTTAAAAAAAAGGTGAGATTGACTAATTGTTTATCAGAAATACATAGTAAAATTCCTATTTTTACCATATAAAAAGATTAAATGAATAGCCAACATCCATAAGTGCTGCTATTACTTTCCTAGCTTCACTCAGGTATATGTGAGAGCTATGTTGCACATCCAAATTGAAATCCTTGCAAGCCTAATGTTTGAACTAGGAAGCTGTTGTTGAGCACCTAAAAGAAACAGATTTTTATCTGTTTACTGGTGATTCACCTCACCTATTAACACTTGTTGTTTACCATCAGATTCCCAAAGATGCACACATACTGAGGTTTCTGCGAGCCAGGGAATTTAATGTAGAAAAAGCCCGTGAAATGCTGGTCCACTCTCTTGCTTGGCGTAAGCTCCACAACATTGATAAGATTTTAGATGGCTACAAACCACCTGAAGTTCTGGAGACCTATTACCCAGGTGGATGGCACTACTGTGACAGAGGTTAGTCTCACCTGTATGACAGGTAAGGGGGGGGGAGTACTGTTGCAACAGGTTAGGTTGTTTTATACAATAACATAATGTAAAGTATTTTATAAGGCTGGTCATGATTTTGACTGACAAATAATTCATATTTTAAACTTTAAATGGTAAGTTTAAAAAATAAGTACTTAATATTAAATTTAAGGGATGCTTTAGTTATGATTTTCTATTTGCTGCTTGTGTAAAAATTGATCTATTTCATTCTACCAGAGGGCCGTCCTTTGTATATAATAAAACTTGGACAAATGGATGTTAAAGGTTTAATGAGGTCTGTTGGTGAGGAAGCAATACTTAGACATGTAAGTGTATTATGCTAGCTTTTCCTACTGGTTGTAGCTCTTGCATTAAATCACAATAAAAAGATATATTATATGGAGAAGCTAAATTAAAAAAAATTTTTTTTTAAGAACATGACTTTATAGTAAAACTAATGCTAAAAAGTAATGTATGATTTCATATTTTTCAATATCTCTCCCCCCCCCCCCCCCCAGGTCTTGGCTGTTAACGAAGAAGGTCTGAGGAGAGCTGAGGATGCAACCCAAAGGCGTGGATATCCTGTTAGGTTAGGCTGACAATTTGATCTTGGCACAATATGTATCCATCATTGTTTATTGCTTTTACTCATTAAGCCATTTTTATAAATTAATCTTCAAAATTTGAATTTTGGTTACTTTTTTACATTTATTTCATACAAATGTATAACCATTTGCTTTACAGTGCTTGCACTTGTATTGTGGATTTGGAAGGTCTAAGCATGAGACACTTATGGCGCCCAGGAATACGAGCTCTGCTAAGGATCATAGAAACTGTTGAAGCTAACTACCCAGAGACAATGGGTCGCCTCCTGATAGTCAGAGCTCCCCGTGTCTTTCCTGTGCTGTGGACACTAGTCAGTCCTTTCATTGATGAAAACACCCGCAACAAGTTTATGATCTACGGTGGCAAAGACTACCTTGGTCCTGGCGGGCTCGTGGAGTTCATGGAGAAGCAGTACATCCCAGATTTTCTGGGCGGGGACTGTTATGTGAGTAGGCATGGTCTGTTAGCTAAACTTTGTTGAATTGAACTAGTGATAAGGAGCTATACAGTTAGGAGATGTTTAGTTTATTTCTCTGGTTTGTGTTACTTAGATACTGCTCAAATTTCCTTACGTCTTAAATTGACCAAGGTTTAAAAATTTGGGCTATTATATTTATTCTTGGACTAGCATATTTATTTACATGTCAATATACAGTCAGGAGATGTTTAGTTTATTTCTCTGGTTTGTGTTGCTTAGATACTGCTAAAATTTCCTTACGTCTTAAATTGACCAAGGTTTAAAAATTTGGGCTATTATATTTATTCTTGGACTAGCATATTTATTTACATGTCAATATACAGTCAGGAGATGTTTAGTTTATTTCTCTGGTTTGTGTTGCTTAGATACTGCTAAAATTTCCTTACGTCTTAAATTGACCAAGGTTTAAAAATTTGGGCTATTATATTTATTCTTGGACTAGCATATTTATTTACATGTCAATATACAGTCAGGAGATGTTTAGTTTATTTCTCTGGTTTGTGTTGCTTAGATACTGCTAAAATTTCCTTACGTCTTAAATTGACCAAGGTTTAAAAATTTGGGCTATTATATTTATTCTTGGACTAGCATATTTATTTACATGTCAATATACAGTCAGGAGATGTTTAGTTTATTTCTCTGGTTTGTGTTGCTTAGATACTGCTAAAATTTCCTTACGTCTTAAATTGACCAAGGTTTAAAAATTTGGGCTATTATATTTATTCTTGGACTAGCATATTTATTTACATGTCAATATACAGTCAGGAGATGTTTAGTTTATTTCTCTGGTTTGTGTTGCTTAGATACTGCTAAAATTTCCTTACGTCTTAAATTGACCAAGGTTTAAAAATTTGGGCTATTATATTTATTCTTGGACTAGCATATTTATTTACATGTCAATATACAGTCAGGAGATGTTTAGTTTATTTCTCTGGTTTGTGTTGCTTAGATACTGCTAAAATTTCCTTACGTCTTAAATTGACCAAGGTTTAAAAATTTGGGCTGTTATATTTATTCTTGGACTAGCATATTTATTTACATGTCAATCTTTGAACCACGGTTTATCAAAGAATCAATGCCCACAATAACTTACAGGTTAATAATGCCTTACATGAATTTTCTAGTTATTTGTTATGTAGACCCCAAAGATTGCACCTTTTATGACTAGTCTGATGAAATTTGTTCTCTGTTGAAAGTGTGATGTTCATGAAGGAGGCTTGGTACCCAAATCCTTGTACCAAGAAGAACTTGTGGACAAGTCTCCTGAAGATCAGCCACTGAGCAGTGACAGCTTGTACCAGACTGCTGCACTTGCTAAAGACTTTCCACATGAGGTAACTCAACCACTGATGTGTTCATATTAATAAAATAGCTTTCTCTTTGCCAGATACTGTTTTTTATTTATTAAACTGGCATGTATTTCTTAACAACCTGAAACTTTAAATTGTAGTTTAAAAAGAATTTCGTTAGTGTGATGTTTTTTTTTTTTTACAGTTTATTAAAATACTAAATATGCTGTTAAAAGTAATATATTTTGATTATTGAACAGTAATCATATTCAGTTATGAAACTCTTTTTAAGTGTATTTTTAAACTTGACTAGATTTTTTATAATTCTGACTGGTAATTGTATTTGCTTTTGTAATAAAAGACTTGTAGTATATTTTTGTACCAAAATGAACTTGTTAAAACTGAATGTGACAGGTGTTGGTGGAGGTCCCTGAGAAGGGCAGCGTGGTTACCTGGGACTTTGATATCCTGAAGGGGGACGTCACCTTCACCGTGTTCCTGTGCAGGAAAGCTATTTCTCCACAGCCCCACCACCACAATGCTGGGACATCAGGCAACATTGGATCTGTGCAATTTTTAGATAAGAATATGGTAGTTGGCAGAGACATCAGCATCGTGGAGCCCCCTAATATATGTAGAGATGGAGATAGTGTTCAGGTAAGTGGCAGCGGTGTTACTGGCATTTATTTTTTGCACAATCTTAGCACTTGACAAGAGAATTGTAAAACATGAAAGATAACTGTTATTGTTTTGTCCTTTTTTGTTATAGAAATATGGTGGCTATGTATTTAAAAGTATGTTCTGGTTTTATTTTTTTGTAGGGCTCTCATGTGACATCCCAAGCAGGAAATTATATTTTACAGTGGAAATATTTGGATACAACGAAGCCATCTTTTGATTTCCCCCTGACATGGCACAAGTCTAAAGTTATGTATCACTCTGAGTTGTTGCCCTCGGCTGCTTTCAGGTTTGTACTGCTGGATACTCACAGCATTTTTATGAATGAGATAAACTTTGGGCTTTTATTTCTCGCTCTATAATCGTTTTATTAGCATGTTAAGTACTTTAAAGTTAATCGACCATCGGCTACTTTCAGGTTTGTACTGCTGGATACCCACAGCATTCTTTTTTATGAGATTAGTGTTGGGTTTTTATTTCTCGCACTATAACCGTTTTATTAGCATGTTAAGAACTTTTAAGTAGTACGGCCATTGGCTGCTTTAAGATTTGTACTGCTGGATACCCACAGCATTTTTAAAAATTAGAATAGCATTGGGTTTTTGTTTCTCGCTCTACTACCTTTGTTTTATGAGAATGTAAAGTACTTTAAAGTAGGACTGCTATGTCAGCTGGTACTTTGCACAACTGCCGACCTGTATTTCAAGAGTTCGGATCTCGGTTAGAATCTGTAGGGTGTCTTTTTTGAGTCCACTCAGCTCTGATGGGTATGTGGTTTATGTTTGGGAAAGTAAAGGTGGCTGGGCATAGTACTCATCACACTAGCCATTTAAATGCAGAGGTCACTGAAATAGGCAAACTCTACTTCATCTGCTCTGTGGACAACGGGTCGTAAATGGTAACTTTAAGTCCTTAAACTTTGTATTGACTTAGTTGTTTTTTTCATGTTCCAGAGGCTCCATGTCCAGCCTGCAGTCGTGTCAGAGCGGCTTCTCTTCTCTCTCAGCTGGTACAGCCAGCAACCAGTCAATGGCCGGTTCATCTTGCCCATCCAGGTGACCACATCAGCAGCCAGTCACAATCTCTATGGCTTGTCTCACTTTTTTTTTTTGCATGCTTTTTGTATTTGTTAGGTGGAGGTTTAATGACAGATGTTTACATTTTTTTTTTTTTGTGGGCTTCAACTAACAAAAGCTAATTAACATAACTTTTTAAATTTGATGCAAAATATATGTGGGGAGTTTTATGCAAAGACAAGGCTCGTGAATCATATCTAGTCTGTTCTTTGATAGCCCTATGAAGGTGTAGTCATAAGGAAAAGAACATTGAGTGTAAAGGATTATCCTGTTATCTGAGTTGCCATAATTCGTTTTGATATTTTTTTCTTTTATTTGCCTACATGAACTGGAAAATACTTATACGTTGTCATTAAAATTATTGTAATTATCATACATCAGGAAATGTTTTATTTTACTCATAAGCTAACAGGTTTATTTTCAGTTTTTATATTCAAACTTTAACAGTGTTCAGCTTACAGTAAAAATATTTTTTTTTCTTATGTTTTAAATTGCAATAGAAAATACTAATAAATTTTACATGGTAACATTCTTTGTGGAGGCTTGTATCACATTGATATTTTAAAATTTTAATTTTTTTTGTCAATTTGTGCACTTGTTTATTTATAACACTGCATGTGTTTAACAAGTTCATACACTTTATCACTGCATTTCACCTTTAGCTTCTACAGTCAGCCACATCAACTCACTCTGTATGGCATTAACTTTTATGCTCTCTATCAAAAACTTACAAAAACAGCATTTAACTTTTTTTTACCTAGATTTGATGGAACATGACTGTAGAAACTAAGTGGCTACATTCATTTTGTACTGCATGTGTGTGTGTGTGTAGTGTGTGGTACTTCTTATACATGCATGTAGTTTACCATTTGTGTGTGTAATTTTAATAGTACAATGGAGGGTGGGGGGGGGGGGGGTTACCAACATTTAGTTTCTGTAGCTACACACATTTTGAATAAATGGTACCCTTTATAGGTACCCTTAACACACTAATTCAATGGTAACTTCTACATATGTTCATGGTACCCTTTACACACATTATTTATAGGTACCCTTAACACACTAATTTAATGGTAACTTCTACATATGTTCATGGTACCCTTTACACACATAATTTATAGTTACCCTTAACGCACTAGTTTAATGTTAACTTGCACACAGTACTTAAATGGCATTATTTACACACATAATTTATAGGTACCCTTAATGCACTAGTTTAATGGAAACTTCTACACAAGTACTTTAATGGCACCCTTTACACGCATAATTTATTGCTACCCTTGACAAAGTCTTATGGTTACTTTTACACACATTTTTAATTTACATGTACCATTTTACACACATGTAGTTCAATGTAGTTTTAAAATACCTATTACACAATGTATTTGTGGCAAACACATGCATGTCCTTGATTGTACTTTTTACACATGTGTTGTTAGTACAGTTTGAGCACTTCACTCAGTGTGAAAGTTGTTTACTGTTAAATTTCACAACCTGTGTGAATAATTTGTTGTACTCATTTGAACCCCATTTTTTATTATTACCTGATTATTGATTCTTTATTCTAACCCCACTATTGTAAAGATTCTAACACTCCTAATTTTTATGTATCCATCAATAAATCAGTTTATTACTGGATATTAATGAGTTTAAAAGAGTTTATTTCCAACTTAAAGATGGGCCGTTGAGTCTTCATTCAAGATACTTCAGCCTTCACTAGAGCTCTGAATTTTATTTTTGTAATAAAAATGTTGTATAGTGATGAGCAAAAATAAATCCCAAATTTTCAAGTCTTAGATTTCTACTGCACCATTTTGTTGTGTGAATTAATTTCATTTTCGAACAGTTGAACAGGCACCAAATTCATTAAATATATACAGGGGAACAGGAATACTAGTCAACAGCTGCATAGCGTTAAACGAATGTAAACTAATTAAATACTACCATTACTTAAACTTTTAAACTAAATTTTTTTAAATACAAGAGCTACTGGAACTTAAAAAAGGTTGTAGAAATATAAATATTTAAACTTTTAAAAGAAGTTATTTAAATACTAGAGCTACTGGAACTTAAAAAAGGTTGTAGAAATATAACTATTTAAACTTTTAAAAGAATTTATTTAAATACTAGAGCTACTGGAACTTAAAAAAGATTGTAGAAATATAACTATTTAAACTTTTAAAAGTGCTTTAACAGGTTACAATAATGCTAACACTTCCAAACTGCTTGATACTAACTAACTGAAATAAAAACTTGTCTTAATGTACCTCACTATTCAACGCTAATGCTTTTTATAGCCTTAACAACAAAACCAGTAATTATAATTAATTGCCAAGTGTTATTGTTAACCCTCCATCACAGTTTGCCTAGTTTTGTACTGCTGCTTACAACTTGTCTCAAGTTAAAGCAGAATATCTGTAGGGTGGGGAAGAAATTTTTTTTTTTAAGGAATTTTTTTTTTTTTTAAATCATGACACATTTTATGTGGGCTTTTTACAAAATCGTACGTTAAAATTTCTTTTAAAATTAAACCCTTATTATTTTAATTTCAAAATATTATAAACATTGTTCTTAATTCTCTTATGTAAAATTGTTATAACTCAGAGGTTTTCATTTTTGAAGTCAACATAGTTATTTGTAGGATAACTGAATGTAGCAGAAGTGCAAAATTTTTTAAACTGTGGAGTTTGGAAGTTAGCATGATAACAATAGATGTGTATGTATATATGTATATATATCATATATATGACATAAATGACAACATAACTATACCATATAGCTAATTGTTAGCTACAATCTCTATCTCACTAATGTATTTTACCTAAAAATATAAAAAGCCATGTATTGCAAAATTTATACAGTATTAAAAAACAGCTGAAGACAGATGCTGTACTGGGTTAAGACATCCAAGACTGAGATGAAAACCTAGCAGATTATTATATTGAAAAAAATAAAGTAGCACAAATAATGACAGTTTGTCAACAGAAACATACTCTTGTTTTTTGTGAACTCCAGGCATGTTTTTTTCTTCTATGTTAACTTAACGTCAAAGGATTATAAACATTTTATGATAACAGTTAGTGCTGTACTAAAATAAGGAATAAAAGTCTAAACCAAAATCACTCTATTGTCAAACACATTGATCTTGATACTGTAAAACAACAAACTTTAATACCAAGATATTTTAAAACAAACAAAATTATATTTTATAAAAAAAAAATAGTGATCAGATCTTTAGCCATGATTTGGCTATAATCAGACCTAAAGATTAAAAACCACTAGTTGAAGGTAGTTTGCAAATACATCAAGCTTATTGTGAATACCTTTTTTAACTATATCTTTACAAAGGACAATGTCACTTTTAAACTGATGCAGCTAATTGTCACAGCCCTTTTTTATGACTGGGTTCATGGCACAAACTAAAGGCAAATGCAAACCACATTATTGGTGATTTTACAGTCTTTTATTGATATCAGATAATATAGCAGCTACACTACTAGAACCACGACTTCAGTTTCGTCATCCCCTCGCGCTCTCTCTACCTCTCTCTGCTTCCTTTCCTTAGCGCATGCGCACACCCATTCTATATTTTATATTCATATCGCCTTTTTAAGATACACACTCGAAACATACATTCATCTACATTTAACTGTTACACTAATATAAAGTATTTGAGTGCCCAGTGCAAGATCTGAGTAACCTGTTGATGTATCATTGGATTGGAGGACCACATGTAACTCTGAATGATCTTTCCATACAGAACTACTGAAAACAACTTACACCAGCCAATTTTTCTAAATGAGAATAAAGATGGAGTTTATTTTACTGAAAAATACTATAGTTTGAAGCAAATAGTCATTAAGGTTTTCTATTTTTACTCCTGATATTTTGTTGTTTGGGAAAGATCAGATCCGTTTTCTGGTTGTTGATGTGGTTATTTTAAGACAACTTTAAGTAACTATGTCATTGGTAGTAATGGTACCTGGACAGATTGCTTCAAATACAGCTGTGCAACAAAGGTTATTAAAAATAAAAACAGAAATATTAAGTTGGCTTCAATAAGTATGCTCAGTGGCTGAGAATAAACTAGCTTTCTTGAGAACAGATGAACAATGTATCAACTTTTTATTCTTTTGACTTTTCAATAATGGCATAAAATTAAAAATTCTACACCCTGGCCAAGTTACTGAGATGTGTTTACAAAATGACTGGTAGGATCACATGAGTTCCTAAAGATCACGAAATCCACTTACCAATACGCTTTCTATGGTGGTCTTTAAATGGCCAATACATTTGAAGAAAAATTTTTTTAGCCAAATGTTTTTGTCTCTGTTAAATATTTTAAATATTGCCTTTTTTTGTTTTCTAGATCTCTGAAAGTACCACCAAGATGACCAAACAAAGCAAGTAAATGAAAAGATATTTTTAAAGGCAGACCTTGTCCTTCCTGTGGACCTGGGACTGTATAACCAAGAGAAAAAGCTAACTGGAATTTGTTTAGGCTAGACCCATAAGTTGTAGTTTTTAGTTACCCAAAATCACTGGTTGAAATACAGGTTCATTTTATTTACACATTTTGTGTTCATTTTCCATTCAAATGGCACATTAGAAACACTTAGTTGTCATTCATAGAAATAAATCACATGTATTTGATAAAAACAAGTTAATTCTTCAGTGTTAGTTAACCTAGAATGCCCATGTTTGATTTTGTTTTACATCAGAAATTTAAATATGGTAAATTCAAATGTTCGTGTCTAAGAATTTTGTTAGTTTACTCTGTGTTCTCAGTTACTTGATTGGGATTAAAATTTATTTAACTGAATTGCTACAGACATATCTCATTGCTTTGACTGGCCTGCATATATTGGAAAGATGATAAAGAGTTAGCTTTGAGATATATATATTTTTAATTATCTTTTTTTTCAAGATTTAATTAAGAAATAAATATTTCTAGGACTTGAGTTACAGTATTTTAAAAATCCAAATTATTTAATTTACTAAACTTTGATTTGCATCCATTTTTTTAGTGAACTAAATAATGTATACATCTATGACATTGTGAATTACTGGTTGACAAAAAATTATTGTAAAAATGAGAATTGTTAACAATGCTTGTCAGTGAGATAAAAAAAATCCAGTCATGCTTATTAAAATATGCCTAATTAATTATTATTTTCATAACATAAACAAATACTCTTTACTGTAAGTTGTGGGGTTTATTTATACTTAATATTAACATGTATTTTTTCCCTTACATATTTAGTGCGATTGAGATATTTTAATTTAATAACAGGAGCAGCCAGTCTGTATACTGTAGCAAATCAATTAATGCAGTTAACATTCCAAAGTTTTGCTAGTCAAAGTACTTGAAATGTCATGCATGACATTTTAGAATATTAAATTAGGAATGTATCCCGAGGGAAGCCAGCATGTTTTATCTGGTTGGAAAAAATAGCTATATGGGCAAATGTGGTCAGTTTTATTGTAAACCTAACCCCTTGATAAATTGTAAGCATGTTGATTAATTGTTTGCATGTTCTTTTCTCAAGCTAAAGTAGATCCTGTTGATATTTCTCCTCTACTCTAAACTTGACAATTAAAAAATTCTTTCAACTCTTGTCATTAACCTACCAATCTAATCATTAACTCGTCCAATGTTGAAAATTTCAGCTGTATTTTAAGTCTCCCAGTGATTGATATTTTAATGACAATATATAAAACACAGGAGAAATAAATCATGTTGTGTTCTGAATGAATTGTCATATTTAAGATGAAATTCATGTAAGAATTTTTTTATTTTTTGTTGTTGGGTGTTTTGAAGAAGATGTGCCAGTCTAGTTGAGGCAGCTCTTGTCATGTGTGTACCAGTGGTAGTTTACAAGCTAGTGTGTGTTGTTTAGACACTCTTAAAGCTTTGTTATTCATTCATTCATCCATGAAACTGATTGTTCATTGTCAATAAAATATTTGGGAATTATATGGAAAAATCATAACATTAATTTTTTCTTCATAAGTAAATCCCCTTGTGTTTTTTAAAAAAAAATTAATGCAATTGCTGTTCTCATAACTAACATTTAAAAATTATTTATTTATTGGAAAATAATTCTAAAATAAAAATTGCAACCCTTAAAATATTTATTAGAAAAAACACTCTGTAATAAAAATTACAACCCTTTTAATATTTATTAGAAAATACATTCTGTAAAAAAATTGCAACCCTTTTAATAATGTTTTCCTTATCCAGCCTGACTAAAATTCTGCTGAGTTTTCAAAAATCAGAATACAAAATTTTGTGGAAAGTAAATTGTAAGCTGAGGACCTCAGGTGTTTTTATTACTATTTTTCTCATTGCACTCTGTAGTGTTTAAAAAAAGAATAAGAGAGTCAGCAAAAAAAAAGTCTTTAGTTTTTTCGTTACAGTATTCTTCATTTAAAGGCTTTTTAATGATGCTGAGAACACTGAATATTTAAAACCCACATTTTAAAGTGGGAGATGCATGCTCTGCTATCCAATTTTTTAATATTAAAACTGAACAAACAACCAGCTTTTTTGAAAACAGTAACTTAAAATTTATTACAAATTTTAGTGGTTGTAAGATTTGTGTTGTGCTTATTCCTCATATAATAGTTTAAAATTTTGTTATAAAATTTACACATTAGAGGGGGTTCAAGAGGAAAATTTCAGCAAACTAGCTGGGTTTTTTTTTTTATAATTATTTTTTGTAAATCTTTTTAACTTCAAGGGCAAGTAATTATTTTTAACTATTGATCTTTGACAGTTTTGAATGAAATATACATATTTTTCTAAAGTTTTTAAAAAAAAAATCTGCAAGTAAATCTTTTTAGACATTGTTTCTGTGGCCACTTAGATAGAGATGTTCTAAAAGTGCAATTTTGACATTTAGATCTCTCCACCTTTAATTGTACGATGTGTCATTGTAATTGTGACACTTTTTTTTTCAAAATTTTTTTTTTCGCATCTTGTTTTCTGAAAATTAAATTTTAAAATGTTTTTAAAAATTTCTTTTACTAACCCTCCTTACAATTGCTGTATACTAACTCAAAGATCTATTGCAATATAATAAAACAAAATTAACATCGATATCTTTAAAAAAAAAACCAGTTGACTTATTCAGGTGTGAAAAATTTAGTACAATGCCAATAATATTGCTTTGAAATATGGTTATTGTTTTAGATCTCTGATACATTTAGATACCATCTAAAAACTTTTGCTAAAACAAATGTGCAGATCTCACAAAGTACTTTTCTTTTTATAGCTGTGACTAGTTGCTGGACACATATTTTGTTCATTATTATAGCTTTCCCATCACTATTTGTAGTTTTCATTTTACTGTAGCTAGTGATTAAGTTCAGACATCTTTAGCTAATTATTTATAGAAAAAATAGAAATGGACATTGTCTGATGAATCAAAAATGTATGTATTTTTTATTAATGGAATTAAAAATAAATTGTAAATATTAAATTATGGCATCTTTTAGGATAAAATGAACAAATTTCATTCATATGTTTGCCTTTTGAAAAAGAACCTACAAAGCAGAATAAATTGTTTTTTTTTTACAATAATTCTTGTCCATAGTAATTAAGAAAGGAAATTTTAGTATCAAAATAGCTTTTATAATCTGCTAACAATGGATTTTTTTATGAGTGTTTGTCTCACTATTAGCCTAAAATAATATATATTCTTTCTTTTACATCATAATTTTTTTTTTTTAAAATACTCATTAGTTTCATATGAATGCATTTAGACCTATAACATGGTCCTGTCGGTCTTGACATTTATGACTAGAAATAATGGCTAAAAAAAACTAGTAGATTTTATCTAACATGTGTTGGCACCAGTTTACACCTTATTAAGCTTTGTTAATCATGTTTATAATGGTAATAAAGATCACTAGAAACCCATCCTATGGCTTACAAATCTGTTTGGTTTTATATTTCTGTTTTTTTCTGTTTTTTTTTCCAGTGGCGTAGCAAGGTCGGGTGTCACCCGGTGCGGCACTTAATGGTGTCACCACCCAGAGGCGTAGCAACCCTTCCCGGGACAAACTTTCAATTTGCACCCCGCCCCCCCAAACTTTCGATTTGCACCTCTTAAAAGACTATTTAACACCGAATTAATCACTTAATTAAGTGGAATTATCATTTTTCTCTATATTTTGCTATTTTTTGCCTTGGTGTCACCACCCTAAATGGTGTCACCCTGTGCGGTCCGCCCCCCCCCCCCCCAGCCTCGCTACGCCACTGTTTTTTTCTATTATAATTGTTTGTTTGTCATCAAATAATTAGATTTAATTGCTTAACAACTGCAGTAGCAGTAAGTTTAAAATTTTTTTTTTCCTTATATACGTGTGGTGATTTTGTCAAAAATAATTTAATAACCACAATTTTTAAAATTTAATAATCTTTATTGCAGCGTTCATACAATTTTCAGTTTGTTGCATTATCACAATGTTGATGTATGAATTTATAATAACCTTGCACTTAACATACATTAAAACTATTAACGAAGGTTATCGGATATCACATTTTGACGTCACAATATGAAGTTAATGGATGGAATTTTTTTCACTCTGCTGTAAAATGGCATACAAACATTCAGATATAACATACATTAAAAAAAAATTACAGCAAATCATTACAATAAAATTAAGAACATAAAAATAATTTTACACACATTTTTCTTAAAAAATAGTATTCAAAATAATATAAATAGACATAAAAAATAATTTGAGATTAAATCAACTTTCAACAGCAGATTACGTGTTCAAACATTACATAGACTGAAAAATCTTACTATTTACCTAACATGACAAAAATTGCAATTCAATGATTAGGGGCCTATTTAGAATATTTTTTTTTAGAAATACAAATTAATATTCACAACAAATTAAGTAGAATTATTATTTTGAAACATCCTTTTAGATGCAACACTTAGCTATTTGTAACAAAGCAGTTGTAAAAAAATGTATAATACCAATCCAGCCAGGTTGTAATTAGACCTGTAAGAGAAGGGCCACACCTCCCAGGACCCACTTGCTAGCCTTCTCTTTGGACTTGAGGTTGAAGGTCCATACAAAAGTTGGACCTCTTGCCTTGGTCTTATACACAGGGCATTCATACACAGCTCGCAGATCTTGACGATCGACTGGAATGGCTTTGATAAATATAACTGGCATGGCTGGAGCCAGCTCCTTGAGACGAGCCTCTCCTATCATACCTGTCTGCATGTCCCAGCGAGCACCTTCCATGTAGAGGCCGTGGACGTAGGCGCCCTCTCTTGGAGGTCCAGCCATGTCCTCTCTGGACTTCTTTGTTACATCACACTGTAAGCACATGCGATCGAGTGGCCATTCGTTCTGTGGATTTCATCAGTAAAAATTATTAATTTTTTTTTTAATAAAACATCAAGCTGACTATTTTAATATGGTTTACTGTAATCTTATATATATCAGTTAACATCTTTGTTTAATATATGTTTATTTATCAACATAATTTAAGTAAAAGATAACACAATTTTAATATTTAATAATTTATATATTGTCTAAATAAAAAAAGCTAAATTAATTACATTGATCTTAAAAATTATCTATAGTATACCTTGCGGGCCATTTGCTGCATGATAGCTGTAAGGAAACTTTGAGGATTGAAGAAACCTGCCAGCCAGACTGCTGCTGGAAGCTGGAAATCAGATGTCCAGGTTTCCAGCTCTTTGATTCTTTGCAGAAGATCTGCATACCAAGCTGCCAGGGGGAACAGTGAAGGATAGGCTCTCTTTGCCCAGTTGGCTGGTACATTGTCCATGTACAAACTGTTGCTCAGGTCCTCCATATCAGCTGTGATTGTCAGTTCACCCTAAAGTGGAAAAATTTATATTGTCATAAAAAACTATTAAAAAATTACTACATGATACATATTGTCATGATTTAAACATTGATATATATATTGTGCAAGGGATGATAATGTAATATCATAAAAAATATTGAACCACTGAAATGTGTTGTTTTTAAAAAAAAACTATTTATTAATTAGAATGGCGAAGGAAAATATTTTAGATATAAAAAACAAATACATAATATATTATGGGACAGTGAGGCTTAGCAGTACAGACCTCGACTGCTAACCCAAATGTCTTGAATTTAAATCAGGGTTCAAATCAGTAGAATATCCATTAGTTCACCCAGCTCAGATGGGTACCTAACTCATGTTAAGGAAACAAAGGTGGCTGTGCATAGTACTGACCACACTATCCCTTCATATGCTGAAATCTCTGAAGCAAATGAACTTTACTTTATCTGTTCCATGTGTCTTGAGCACGAAGAGAAAAAGATGATGACACAATATATTGTTTTCATTTTTACCTTCAGACCCAAGTCCAGCTCCTTGAGAGATCTTCTCATTTCAGACATTAGCATATTCATTCTTTCACATTCTTGGAAGGCCACCACAACATAGGGGCTTCTATCTTCAATTGGCACTTTAGCCATTATCTCCTGCATGTTGAATTCGTCTGGAAGTTTCTCAACTATTTCATCCAATATAGCCTTGACCTAAAGGGTTTCAAAGTTTATAATTTTTCAGAAAAATACCATGATGTCAGAAAGATAAGATTTTAATAGTATTAATTATTTTCTTTAGCCTAAGAAAAATGACAGAAAAAACAGAGAAACAAAATTGAAAAATAATTAATTTCAAATTATTCTTTCAACTTTAATTTAAGCAAAATGAAGATTTTAAGTAATTAATTTTCAAATTTATTCAAGTAAATTTTTTTTCAATTTTGATAAACCGACCTTTTCTTCTCGACTGACACCAGCACCTGCGCCAGCACCAGCGTCTCTTGGCTGCATTTCAAACACTGTTCTGAAGAGGTTTTCAGACGTTGTGGTCAAAAACTCTATCTCTGCATTGGGGTGAAGTCCATACAGGTATGGGCTCTCTGGGGGCAGGGTCTCATCAATATAAGCATGGTAGCCCTTGTAGTCAGAGTTGGGTGGGATTGGGAAATTGGGGGCTAAAAACAATTCGGCATCCAGCTGAAAAAAAAGAACATTAACTATGTTTAAAATTTATTTCAAGTAAAAAAAAAATTTATGAGCAAAATAAACTATATCTTTTTCAAATACAAAAAAATCCAGCTGGGAAAAAAAAGAAATATCAATTCTGTTAAAGTTTAAAGTTGATTTCAAGTCAAACAATTATGAGCAAAATGAACTATAGCTTTTTCAAACACAAAAAAACTTATAACAATGTCATTTGCTTACCATGTCAGCATGCATGTAGACCTCCAGGTAAGTCCTACACAACCTTCTGTCCCAGTCATCTGTGATGTGGCCACCATACATAATCTCACCAAACAGGTAGCGAAGATCTTCCCAGGGCACCTGTAAAATAAAGCCAGATTCATCTCAAAATTTATATCCTAAAAATTACTTATTATAAAAAAAAAGATTCAGAAAGACAAGTCTCTTTTTTTTTTAAATTTTAATATAATTTTTTAAATGAGGACCTGACCTTGGCATTGGCCTCCAGGTAGTTGTAGAGGACATTGACACTAATGGTCAGGTCACCAGTGTTGTAAGGGTAGACCCTGTTCCAGCCCTGAGGTCCAAACTTTCTTCTCTCACACACCACAGCATGGAAGTAGCACAGGGCAAACAGAATAGCCTTGAACTCTGTCTCACGAGCACACATCTCCAGGGTATCCTGATTAGAGTAACCAATAAAATTATAGCCAAATTCTCATGTGACTGATCATGTGACATTCAATTCCTTAACAAGATGGATGATGATTCTTGACCAAAATCAAACTAAATTTACATATTAACTAATTTAAAGTGAAGCTATGAATTAATACCTGATTGAAGTTGTCTAAAGCCTTGTGCAGGTTAGCGTACATTCCAGTTGGAGGTTCATTGGTGATTTTGATAGCAGACTCCAAAATGCCTTGTGGAATGATGTGAGCATCAGGACTGCCAGCAGGCTCAGCACTGATAAACAGCCTGTACTTCTCATGGCCGTCAGCTGAAAATTCTTCAATCTTCTTCTCCAGCTGTGACAGCCACTTAGCAACCAGATGGACATTCTGTGAAGAATACATTACAAAATGTCTTTAAAATTTTAAAACTCAAGGACAAGAAGTAAAAATTATGGTTTTTTGTTTAATTCTAAAATGCATGGATATAATTTATTCATGGAGTATGCAATTTTATTTAACATTTTAAAGTAATGTATTTATGGAGTAAAATATTATGCTATTTTTAAAATGAATTGATATAATTTATTCATGATGTAAAATGTTATGCATTTCAGTTTAAATTTTAAAATTCATGGACGTAATCTATTCATTGAGTAAAAAATTAAACTTTTTGTGTAAATTTTAAAATTCATGAAAAGAAAATATGCATTGAGCAAAGTATTATTTTTTTTTTTTGAAATGGGGTGATGAATGTACCTGCAAGACGACCCAATGTCCTTCTTTTGCAGCCAAGTCCATGGCTTGTTCAGCCACAATTTCCTGACCTTGACCCAGGGAGATGTTATGGAAATTACTGTTGTCAGTGGTGAAGCCAAGTTTCTTGCCCAGACTTTCAACATCCTTAAGTGGGTCAACACCAGGGGAGAGAATGAAGAATATCGGAGTGGCAGGACCTGATTCCTCAAAAGATTTGGCAAACTCAAGTGCCCTTCCTTCAACATATTTATTGCCCAGCATCTCTTCAATGAAGTTTCTGTACAAATTAATTATAATCATAAATTAATAATTTTTCTTGCAACTTGTTCATTTTAGAGATTCTTTTATAAAAAAAAAGCTTTTAGAACTAAATAGTCGGTTTAAGAATTTTGAGTAAAGGTATGGTTAATTAAATTGAAAGGTCAAATACATTTATAAAGGATAAAAAAGTAAATCATACGTTATGGCATATGTCATCCTGTCAGGTCTTAGTGCACGCATCATGCACAATTTCTGCAGTGAGGTCTTGTTTTTCCATTCTTGTGGGAACTTTTCTTTTTCAGGGCACTCACTCTCAACAAATTTCTTCCAACGTTTGGCTGAGCCTTCAATATCGCGATCCAGGTTTCTGAATTCTTCCATGGCGGATAAAGCCTGAAAACAAAGGTACATTTTTTTAAAGTGGTACCTTTTCTTCTCCCATATTTATAGTTGCCCTATGCATTCATGGTATTTTTTTCCTTTATAATAAAATAAAATAAAAAACACCAATAGTGAATAAAGACCTGTAGTTATAAATAGATTTTAAAAAGATTAGAAATGACATTTACCTTGATTCCTCCCCATGAGTTGTTATTTAAGAAGTCTACAGGAGAAGTCAAGTTGGGCACAAAGGGGAAACGAAGCAAAAAGTCCAACTCCACTGGATTGAGTTGTTTCCCTTTCAATAGAATCTGTGAATAACAGTTAAAATTGTAACATTAATAATAACAAGAATATAGTTGTGTAGCTTTTACATGAACATACTGGTAAAATGTGGAGGGTAAAAACTGTGTTGGCTGTATCGACTTACCAAGAATGTCATCTGAGTACTGAAGATGAGTTTGTCCTTCTCAAACAGACCTCTTGTGGTGTACACATAAACAGAGTATGTGATGCAGTCAATCAGGTTGTTCACCCTGTGCTTGAGGTCCTCTGCTGGCTCAGCTTTGTCTATGGCTTTGTCAAAAACTACACTGAAAGCCTAGTAATTAAATATATTAAATTAAATTTCTTTTTTCGTGTAAAATCCTCTTTAGACTTTTTAAATTGCATCAATTAAAATTTTTGTAATTCAAATATTTGACTCAATGGTTGAAGATTTAATAAGTCAAATTTTGTTTCTTTAGATAAAGCCAGTGAAAATTGTTTATTATTATAAACCAGTGATATACTTTTTTTCTGTAATTTTAATATTTTGCTGACCTTCAGAGAAAACTGGTACATGGGATTGATTTTGTGAAGGTCATTCATGATGAAGTACAACAACGAGGCTCTTGCAGCTGCTGTTCTGTAGTTCTCACGGGCATTGTTGATCTCCACCTCTGTGATCTTTGCTTCTGCTGCCTTTACCTCTATCTCTGCTGCAGTTCTTTTGGTGGTTTCAAGGTTCTCCACCAGAGCATAGTCACCCAGGAAGTTGCCCTCGGCAGCTGAAAGTCTGGCCAACAAGTTGTCTTCCAGGCCTGAGCAAAAAAAAAAATTAAAAATTGAATTTAGCTCATTACAAATGAAAACTTTATAAATGAAACAATTATTTAAAATGTATTTTATAGTAGTGTACCTTTGAGAGTAATTTTGAATTCATTTTGTTGGCGAGTGAGGTCTGATTTAAGTTTTTCAAGGTCAGGCCTTTCTTTGGATACGACAGCTCCGAGAAGTTGATCCTCAAGGCCATCTCTGAAATAAAAATTAAAAAGATAATTTTCTTTATACAGGATTCTTAATAAGAAGTTGAAGAGTCAACAACATGGGGCCTGTAAGATTAAAATGAGAAAATTTAATAAATTATTGTTATGTTTGAACTTTAAATTTCCTGAGAAGGAATTTGTATTCTTGATCAGGAGTCTCAATGGTCAACTGAGCATGAAAGATTATGGTTTATTTTGAGTACAAAATTAGTTTATTTTTTACTACCTTATCATAATTACACCTTTTTTTTCAGTTTACTATAAGGGAGATAACACAAAAATTACCTGGTAACAGTGAAGTTAATCAGAGTTGTCTGAGCTTGCATCTCAGGCTTGTAGTGAGGATTGGCCAATTTAGTTTGTAAAATCAGCTTAAAATCTTTGTGGTATTCAACTTCTTTGTCTCCCATCTGTTGATTTAAAAATAATCAATTCAGAGGCTCCACTGGTTTTTAAAAAAATCTCATAATATAATAAAATTAATAATGTCAAAGTTATATCAGTTCAGGTTATTATAATGCACTTTATTGTACTAAGAATAAATACTTTTAAAGTGTAAAACCACCAATATAAAAAAAAAATCCTGCAACATACCTTGATGTAACGGCCCTTTTTAATAGTGTTACGTCCAAGAAGTGGGTCAAGCACTGGGTCAACGTTCTCTTCAATGTTCTCCAAAAGTACAACATCCCCAGCCTGGACTGCCCTTTCAATGGACTCCAGATACCCTTTCACACCAAGTCGAATCACCTGAAGGAAAGATTATATAATGTTAGCCAAACAAAGCATGGTTGTGATTTATTTTAATAAATAGATCAACTTTGTGAATCAAGAGATTTCTGTGGAGTTGTCATCCAAATGTAAACACAAATTTGATGATTATGTTTCCATATGTTGGATGTGGTAATATTCAAAACAAAATATTTTGACAGATTTTTAAAAACAATTATACTTTTATTAAGCCAAGATTTAAAACAAAAATTTATTTAGAGTATTGGCAAAGTGATTCCAAGTCCAATAACGGAAGCTAAAAACTAAATGGTTTTTACTCAGTATTTAAACTTCACTCAGAATCTTACTATTTTAAATTCCTTCTTTATGCACAAAATAATATGAGGGTGGTTAAGTTTTATATATATTTATATAGATGTAATCTAACCTTCAAATCAGCTCCAAATCTTGTTTTAATCCACTTGACACCCTGAAGCTGGGGATCAATCATCAAAGGCCATCTCTCACAGTTGGTGAGGATTGTGGCATTCTCTGTGGACATTCTATCTCCTGGCAAACCTTCATTGTTCCATGATGCAACAAGTGCATCATCAATAAGGAGACTGAGTGGATCCAGACCCTCTGAGACTGGGATTGGACTCTTTAGTCCTTTCAGGAAGGGTAGCCAGTGGTTCTCAATCAAATCCAATCTGTATGGCTGAAATAAGGCAAATTATTTGATAGACATTAAAATTGTTTAGCTTTTTGAATTTTTAAATATCTAATTCTAAGAAATAAATAATTGAGATTTCAGTAGGCTATTTTGGTTATTATTTTTAGTTTTTAGGGTAATGGATGACAACTTAAACTTTTATTTTAATCATTTTAACATTAAAATATTTAAACTTTTTGAATTTTTGTATATCTAATTCTAAGAAATAAATAATTGAGATTCCAGTATTTTTTTTATTATTTTTATTTTTTTTATTATTTTTAGTTGGATGACAACTCAAACTTTTCTTTTAATCGTTTTAACATTAAAATATTTCAACTTTTTAAATTTTTAAATACCTAAATCTAAGAAACAAATAATTGAGATATCAATTTTCAGTTATTATTTTTAGTTCTTTTTCTTTTAACCATTAAATTTTTTTTTTATAATTTATTTTTATTATTACCTTTGTGAATGATCCAACATAGGAAACAAAAGCTGTGGTCATGAGAACATCTCCAGGAAGTGTTTTCTCATTGATACGGAAGTTTGAAATGGCCTCGGCCCACCTGACATTCTCTGAGGCCAGCCCACCAACAAGTCTGTTGGCCAGTTCTATAGTTTTAGCAGTTGTTTCAGCTTCCTGTTGGCAACGCAGTTTCTCATTGGTGGCCTCTTCAAACTCTGCCTTGCAGCGAGCTAGGGTCTCCTCTAGGTCTGCCACTTTATTTTTAATGACCTTTAGTTTATCTCTGGCCGCTTGAAGTTCTGCATTGGCTTGATTCAGGGCAATACGTTTGGGCTCCACAGTACAGTAAACTTCATAGTACCTTACAATGTTCACAGCCCATGAACACAGACCTAAAAGTGAAATAGTATTGTTCATGTTTCATATTAAAAAAAATGAATCTCTAACCAGCTGTTAACAGAAAAAATACTAAGTCAAATAATTTTTCTATGAATGTTAAACAAAGTCTGTTTATGATGAAATTCAAACATTTTTATGCAAATTTTAAAAATAAAAACAGCTCAAGTTATTATTTTTTTCAAATGAAAAATAATCTTTTAGTTCATACATGCTTTAATAACTTCTAGCACTTTTTATCACAGAAAATTAAATCCTTAAATATTTTTTGCATTATTTTTAGCTTGGTCCGGCAACATTGAATTTTTAAAATATATAATTTACTGTACCAATCAAAGTAATGAAACAAATGAATCTTTACCAGCAGCAGCAAATGATTTGGCTCTGATGAATTCAGGCTCAAATTCAGGATCTGCCAAATATGGCTGCACTGCTTTCAAGCAATTTTCATGGATGTTGTCTTTGTCATAGTTGATAAGATTGTCCAAAAACTGGTCAATCTAAAGTAAATACACACATTGTAAGATTGTATCCCTATTGCTTTGAAAAAGATAATTAATGTATTCTTACTCTAAATTTAAGGAAAATTATAATTTAAAAGAAAATTAGACAGAAATAGCTTTGTGTCTCTTTACAAATTTATACTTTTAAAGTATAATTATATGCTTATATAAAAACTCTTTGCTTTTAGTATTTATTTTTATGAATTTATTTTCCTTTTTTTACATTTCATACTTCTTACTCTAACTGAAAAAGGGTAAGTTGCAGATTAATCAAAGCTATCATTCCAACAAAAGTGTTCTCATGTGGAACTTACTTTAGCCATGATGCTAGCTTTGGCTGCTTTCCAGGATTTGTCTTTCGGAACTTTTCCACCAGGAGCAAGCAGACACATGACAGCTGCTGTGACATTGGTGACAGCGCCAGGTGGGGTACCAAAAGACTTTAATTCAGTCAAGTTGTTCTGTAATTACAATGTTTTAATTAATTAATTAGACAGCCCCAGGTGGGGTACCAAAAGACTTTAATTCAGTCAAGTTGTTCTGTAATTACAATATTTTAATAATTAGTTAATTAGCACCAAGTGGGTACCCAAAAGAATTAATTCAGTCAAGTTATTTTGTATTAAGAATAAGGTAATTAATTAAGTAGACAATCAACTTTGATGCCTAGCATTGAGAAATTGATTTACTTTTAACCTACCTTATTCAATGTGTTCAAGGCTTCTTTAGCAGCAGCAAGAGCAGGTTCAGCTTTAGCCAGATCATTTTCACAGTCTCTGGCCTTGACCTCTACTTCAGCAGTAATAACTGTAACTTTTTTCTCCTCCTCATCAGCTATTGCTTTTTCTTTGGTCACTTTCTCTGTTTCAGCACCGACAATCTGAATTAGTTTGTTGGCATCGTCGTTTTTGATGGCCAGTTCCACCTCTTGTGATGCCAGTTTGGCTTTCAGATCATCTACCTGTAAAGTTGTAAAATGAATGAAATAAATGTATTTGTATGATTGTGAATATGATAAATATTAACATGCAGTCAGTGTATTGTAGTTGAAATCTCTAGCTTAGTTTATTTTTGTGTTAATAAAAGGTCAATATAGTGTTAAACGATCAAATCTAAGTTTTATCTTATAACTCTTTGAGCTCAAATCGGTTGGAAAGAAAAATAACTTAAAGCAGTGTGGTAAGTGTAATTTATCAAATAATGCTTTAGCAATTTACCATTGTATAAACATAACATAATGTTCTTCACAAGTAAACATCTAAAAAGTCTTCTTTTTGCAATAAAAAAAATAGGTTAGCTCTTTAAAAGACTTATGTAACACCATTTAATGACATTTCGTTTTTAAAAACACAATGTTTAACCAAGAAGACACATAAAGGAAATCAAACTTTGTCTTATATATATGTGATTCTCTTTTGTTTAGCACTTTTTTTAAACTTAAAAAAAAAAAGAGTTCAACTAACCTGTGATGCTGTACTCCTTAGCTTCTCAAGACCATTTTCCAGACGGATGATGCTTGCCTGCAGATCTGAGTTCTTCTTTGTGAGCAGATTCTGGTAAAGTTTGATCTGCTCCAAGAAAGATTTTGGTGTTGTGTAGTTGTAGCGTCGTTCATTGGTCAAAAACTGTTGTGACACTTCGTTCACAGATTTATGAACATATGACATGAACTGAGAAATGGATTCCCTCATTTCTGGCTGTTTTATAAAAAAAATAAAGATACATTAGATCAATAACATTTTGAATTATAATTATCATAAATATTTAACCATATAACAGTTTATTAATGAGTATAAATTAAGATTGTGGATTTCCTTGCCTGTAGTAGCTCAACATCCTCCAAAAATCTGGCACTGACAGATTTAAGGGCCTCTTCTGGCCACTCGTGGAACCAATCTATTGAGGTACAGTTGGTGACTGCTGGGAATTTTCTGCTTCTGACACGTAAAGTGGAGCCCACAGGAGAGAAGCACAAAACAACCTAAACAAAGTTACCTTCATTATTTTAAAATGTTCAATGTAATTTATTAAACATCAATTTTTATCAATCAATTTATTAGTTTTAAACTATGCAGACCTACTGATGCAAAAATTACAAATTTAAAATTGATGATAAATTCATATACAATAATATATTACAAATTTTGTTTTACCAATGTAGGCCTACTAAATTAAATTTTAAGAACATGAAATTGATGATACATTAAAATAAATATTTAAATTCTTTTACCTTTAACACTCGACGAACCCTGTCAATGAAAAATCTCCAACAATTTTCCCTGGTGTCCTCCATGCCCAGACCTTTGACCTCATTCCTCACAGCACTAAGGATCTCTTCCACTTCATCATCAGCAAACAGATCTGGAATCTCACCAGATGCCAGCAAGTCGTTGATGAGCACCAAAAACCTTTCCTCTGCTACTTGGGCATCAGTCATTAGGAACATCACTCCAATCCCTACAAGAGTTATGGTTATTTTGTAATTATTTTTTGATAGAAAAACTACCTCATAAAACAAAATGTATGGACTTGTAATTGTTTTGTTAGGAAATATAACTCATAAAATAAAACTAATACACTTGTTGAAATAGTTTTAAAATTCTGACCTTTAACACCAGACTTCCGGTAGAGGGCAGCAAGGTCCAATTTTAGATCAGGAATAGCATAACCTTTTCTCAGGGTGATCTGTTGAGTAATATTTCAAGTTATAAACAAATAAAATAAAATTCTAATTGAAGAATATAACTACAAAATTGGTTGCAATAATACATTTATTTAGACTATTGTAAAAACCAAAGGAAACAAACAATACTTCACATATTTTAAAAAAATTAGAAGACACACATAGCAATTTGCTAAAACAGTTTTATTAAAGTGGGTAATATTTTACCTGGAAAACTTCAAGTCCACTGATAGAAGCAGCAAGACGTGACAAGGACTGTTTACCGCTGCCACCAACTCCGATAAGGAGGGCATTTCCACGAGGGGACTCGAGGATTCTGTTGATGCGGCAGATGTGTGACATGGCATCCTCAAAGAGCACCAGGTTCATGGCAGCGTTCAGCTCATTGTAGTTGTCCAGAGCTTCCAGCAAGACTTTGTTGACACTGCTCCAGCTTTCCACTGGTAGATACTTGGGATCTCCAATGCCACTAGCAAAGTGACTGTATAGGAGTGGCTGCTTGAATATCACATCTTCTGGCATTTCCTAAACACAAATTAAAAATCAAAGTAATATTTGAATTATACATTTTCTCACTGATAAAAAAAAAACATTAATAAAATAGTTTTCAAATAGAAAAATATTGGTTTAACATTTTAGCAATAAAAATTACATGAACTAATTTTTTAAAGAAAAAGTGTCGGTGTAGAATTATATTTGTCATTAATAACTTTTTAAGAATATATAATTGATAACTCTTACTGTGTAATAATACAACATAGAATACCCATTAGCATTTCTTTAAAAAAATCCCTATGCCTGTAACAACTAAACCAAAATAATTCAAATTTTTATGTTTGTTATAAGCAAAAGACAGCCCAAAGCCTTGTGTCAAGTTGTACCTCAAATGACTTCTTCACAACTTCTTTCTTTAGTTTGTCAAATGTCTCCAGATCTTTTTCATCAATCAACTTGTCCCTGTACACTCGATCGGCTTCATGTAGCCAAAGACGGACAAGATCGGCTGGAGCTTTACAGCAATCACTCTGGGAAAACAGCAAACCCTGTGGGAAGAAAACAGGTGATCCTTTAGAACTATGGCAAAGTTCAGGTTGTACACTTGCTCTGGATTAAAACTGTTTTACAATGAAATACAAATAATCTACATCGCAACTTAATATTAACAGGTGATTTGAGTAATATTAACATGGAGAATTATGGCAAAGTTCAAGGTATTATACTTGCTTTGGATTAAAATTGTTTTACAATGAAATACAAATAATCTGCATTGCAACATAATATTAATAGTTAATTTGAGTAACATTAACATGGAGAATTAAAAGTACAATTAATTTTTTTAAAGAATATTTACAATATGTGGCTGTGATGTGTGTTACAATTGTTTTATAATAAAGTAAAATGAATCAACACCGCAAAATTAATAACGATGATGTTTTTAATATGTGCTGTATTATAGAATATTTGTTAAGCCTTTGCTGTGTAGCTGTTAAATTACTAAAGAGTATTATAATTTAATTCTATTTTATATTTGAGAAACAATTCTTCAACAGTTTCATTCCTGTAGTGATTTAATTTCTAAACTGATTTTAAAGAAATTTTTCATTTATTGTTTGATTTTAGTAGTTTTATACCTATAATGATTTTTCTGAGAGATAATTCTAAGAAAGCAGTATCTGATACCTGGAAGATGTTGGACATGTCTCTCAGATTGAACACGTAGTGGAACTTGATAGCAGTAGGCAAGAAGGTTGTTGTGATCTTTGCCTGCATGCTCAAAGCTCCATTCACCAAGTTGTTGGTGAATTTCTGGACTGGTCCAGCAAAGTTGCATTGAGCCAGATGCTGGGACAAGATGCTTGTGTAGATGGTGAAGAGGGCATCTTGATTAGGGAAGCTCATGGCAAACACACAGAAGTGGCGCTGTATTAGAAATAAATTATTAAAGATTTTCAAAAGTTAAATTTTAATATGTATCATAAAGCAAAAGACCTATTTAATGTAAAATTTAGATAGACAAAAAAATAACCAATTTTTTTTTTATTTAAGAATAAAATTTTAGCATTACATACATTTTACAAAGTATTTTAAAAATTAAGTTAGAGTTGCAATAAATACAGATGTAAGTGCAACATAAAACTCGCCTGTAAACGAGAGTCAATTGTGAAGCTGCCTGCTGTGGGGTTCATGCATGAAACATACTGTGTGTTGTGGATGTCCTTCAATGTTAGTTTAGACCTGTCGTACCAGTGTCCATGGTCAATGTGTTGCCTGATGATTGTGTGGGGCTGGACAGTGTAGTACTTGTCCACCTGGGGTAATTCAACAAAAATATTAACTCAGTCCTCACATTTTCCATCTTTAAAAGTAAATAAAGTTCTCTTTCAAATCTAACGATCCATTGGGCAAATGAAATAGAGTTTATCTGTTTCTTGTTTACAACAATTAAAGGGATGGTGTGGTCAGCACTATGCCCCGCCAACTTTACTTTCCTGAACATAGATCAGATACCCATCAAAGCTGTATAATCACAGGAACGTCCTACAGACTCAAGTTCCAGTTCCAAAATCAACATTTTTGGTTTAGCAGTCGAGCACTAACACAGCTGTCCCAAATTTTTTTAAAGTAATGATTTAAAAATTGTGTTTACTAAAGTAGAAAAAAGTAATACAGAAATTAGAGAACCTACCTCTGGCATGTTCATGTCATCAACAAAGTAAATCAAGCGACGAGCTCCAGGTGGACCAAAGTTACGGCCAGCTTTTTTCTCCAGTGGTTTCTCCAAAATTCTCTATAGAAAAAAATATTTATCTGATTTTATAAGTTTATAAATGACAAGTTTTTGCTTTAATTGATTTCATTAAAATTTAAAACAGTGGTTTTTAACCTTTTTGGAGGTACCAAACCACACCAGTTTCATATGTGCATTCACTGAACCTTTCTATTCAACACACTGACAAAATCAGATCATAAATCATATCAGTCTTGATCTTCTGAAACTGACTTATTGAACCCCTGGGGTTTGATTGAACCCAGGTTAAAAACCACTGATTTAGAAGAAAGAAAAGTGCTAGGGTGTGACTGACCTGAAGCATCTCACTAGTGGTGTAGAAGTTGAATGGGACGTTGGTCACCATAAAATCTTCACTCAGGTTGTTCAGCTTGTCCTGCATTAGGACAGTCTTTCCTGTTCCAGCATTGCCCACAAGCATGACAGGGCGTTTGGTTTCTACCAGCAAGTCCAGGAAGTATTTGACTCTGATGGACTCCAATGTGTGGACAAGTGTTGCCTAGGGAGAAGAGTAAACAATTTTAAATTTCAAGTATGATGTGGTTAGAATTGTATAGAAAGTGCTTTTGGAATTCACATATGTTGAGTTTAGCTAGAGTAGCAACACTAATTTGTACAATACTATGTGTGAGGGTTTCATAAAGACTACTTTGGTATCATTTCACTACATGTTATTAAAGAAAATTTATTGCTTCAATGGATGCATGGCTCATCCAACGAATTAGATGAAAATATCTTGGTCCTTCTATCAAACTTTAATAGTATAATCTACAGAAATGCTAATCATTATGTTTTTGGTTGCAGAACTGCTGAAAAAACAACAGAGTTGGTAATCCTATTGCCCAAGGGACACCACTCTTGTTTGATTTTGGAGTTTTCTCTCCTAGATGGGTTGCAGTCCCCAGCTAACTAGCCTCATCTGCTTCAAAAACATTCTGTTAAAACTATAATTATCATATAGAACAAAACACACCTGCAGTGGAATCTCTGGATCATACTCAAACTTGGGAACCTTCTTGGTCCATGGCTCAAACTTTTTGGTCTCTGGGTCAATGTAGTAGTCAAACACTGTGCCAGTGGAGGGGAACTTGATGGTCTTGAAATCTGTGACCCACCATTTTGTAAACTCCACTCTGTAGTCTACCAGCTAAACAAAACAATTAATTTTAGAAATTCAGAATAAACAGAAATACCCAAGTGTAACAGATAAGAAGAATTGCTTTACTTTTTATCATCTAGAGGCAAATTAAAACAGAAGCTGAATAAATTATTTAAAAATAAATAAAAAGGTGAAACTTTTTTGTTTACCTGATCTTGGAACATGGCACCACCAAAAGCCCAAACACAAGCAAAGACAAAGTAGAGCTCATAGAGTTCTTTTGGACAATCTGGGGGTGTATTCTCAGGGGTCAAGGACACTTCCAGCAGGTAGCACAGCATCTGGACATGGGCGATTTCCGCAATGGGTGTGATCTTCTTGAAGCGAGTCCTGAGCTGCTCCAGGCACATGGGAACATACTTGTCAAAGAGGATGGTCAAGTTGGCACGTTCAGACTGGACTTCTCTTGTGTCTATCCAGCTCTGAACATATCTGCAAAATTTGAAGATTATTTTCAATTAAATTAAACTCCAAATCAGAAAAAAAATTCAGATGATTTAAATAAAATTATAATCTTACGAGCCGACCCGCTGCGTATCACACGCCGCTATTTAGTTTTATTTTCTACTTTTCAGTAATTCATAATTTGTGAATTCGACAGTACCAATGCTGTCACTGAAAATATTTGCTTTAAAACACTAAAACCCTCCTTTACCCCAACCCCCCCCCCCCCCCACCTGTGAAAGCAGCCTCCTCTTAGTTACCTCCCCTAAGTTTAAAATAGTTTCAAACTAAATTATCTGTCCTTAATAGGCGTCACTAAACCCGGTTCTACAATTGGAAACATTTAGCATGAACCACAGCTCACCAGACCATGTGGGGGGTGGGGGTGGTTGCGATATGCCTAGAGAGGAAGAGAGGGGACTGCTAGGCGCGTTTACAGCTTGGTGTTTTCTAAAGTCTCCAAGAAGAGAATTATATATATAGATATTTATCTTATGTTAATTTTCAATATAGATCAATTAAAAAACAAAGAACTTACGGGTTCCAACCCAGATCCTGTGGGTTGACATAAAGGATACCAGCCCTGGATACTGTAGCAGGTGTGGCAGTCCTCAGATGGCTGATCTCAAAGATAAGTCTCATGGAGGGGGTGAGGGGGATGCGCTCATTACTGGCCAGGGTCAGCACCTGCAAGAAAGACAAAGTTTGATCATTGCTGAATGTAGATATTAGGATTTAGATACCACTGTATTATTCATATATAGAGTTGAAAATAGAAGTAAATATTGTAAAAAAAAAGATAGCTGTTTGAAAATAAAATGTTAATTACAATTTTAAATTATAAAGGTTAATTCAGATGTGTGATATGAAAAAAAACTATGTGTACTTTGTTGTCATCCATGACAGTATTTAGAGACTCAATCCACATGGGGTCAATGTCACCATCCAGTACAATCCATTTTGGTCCATCACCTGACATGTTGGCAAGGTCTCTCATGATGACTGAGAAAAGACCTAATGAATAAAAAGGCAAATTAAATGTTAACAGGCAAAACAAAATAATGGACACATATAATTACAAATATTTACATTTATCTAAATCTGTTTCTGAAATTTGAAAATATTTTAATAGAAAGTTGTTTTGAATTATCTTTTTAACTAAATAATAATTAAAAATGAGAAGAAAAAAATATTGCAAATTTCTAGAAGCTGAATATTTTTGTTTGTATTATTATTCAGTTTGAAAAGGAAACAACATATATTTATTCAATATTTACTTTGGTCTAAATAGGTCATTTAGCACTATTACAAGCAAATTTAGATCTACAAAAAAGTAATTAATATTTTGAAATTGTGTGTTTGAGATTCTCTTTTTTAAATTCTTGGTGTGATCTAAAAATTATTTTTTTCACAAATGTTGGTTTAATTGTTTTCCACTGACAGAATTTTTTTTCCACAAAAGTTATTCAAATCTCACCATCTTTCCATTCTCTGGTGGCTGGGTTGATGACACCAAAGAGTTCATCATTGGTCACAGCTTTCGGGTCAAGGTCAATGGCAATGGGCTTGCGGTTCATGTTTTTGTATGTCCTCTGTAATGTGTTCCAGACCTTGCTCTTTCCTGTGCCAGCATTTCCCAATATGAACACAGAGTGCCTGACATCCAGCAACTCTTGAAGTTGAACAATCTAAAGGAATAAAAAACATTAATTTAAAAAGCATTCTATTTTACATAGACTACTTGAAATGACTGTAACAATCATGACTTTATGATAACAAAATATTAAATAACCCACAAGGGAAAAAACATTAAAATATTGAATATTAAGAAGCTCAAAAAATATTTAAATGCCCTTAGGGACCAATAAACACACACAAATTAAAGCTTTAATGTTTCAATAAATTAGGAGAAATATTTGGCCCTATATAGTCTACCTTAAGGTGTGCTGTCTATTGTGAACCAGATTTAATAAAGACAATAAACTTCATAGACAAAATGCTGATTAAAAAAATAAGTGGTAAGGAAGAGTTGCTTACCTTGAGGATAAAGTTCTCCTCTGGCTGCAGTTTCTGGTCATGTGTGGCCTGGCGAATCTGTTTCTCAAAGTCCATGTTACGCTTCCTGGGAACATCAAGAGCTGGGAAAAGATCACCAATGAGACCCATGAAGACTGGCATGTCATCCATGACAATCTTGGGGATGTTGAAGTCACGCAAGGCCCTCATCAAGACCTGAAAAACAACAATCAAAGATTAAGCTTAGCTTTTGATGAATTTAATGATAAAATCAACAAAACGTATCATTATTTATGATAATGAAAGGTCCAATGAACTTATTTCACCTGATCTTCTGGTCGTCCACGATCACTTCTTTTCAAGGCACCAGCCACAACAAGCACAGACTTAATAGCTCGGAGACCCCAATCATAATGGTCCTAAAATAGAAAAATTTAATTTTAATTACAGGTAAACACATGTTCATTTCAAAAGATGTAAATACATAGTCATAACTCTGAAATAATTTTTAACAATTCTGTCTTTGTGTTTGAAGTTTTACCAAGCAATTAAAGAAAAATAATTTAAATACATTATTTTAAAATATTAATATCTTTTTGTAAGTTTTATTATAGTTAAATTTAATCTAAACAGACTAATATTTTCTTGCTAGAGTAGTTTTAAAAGAATAACCTGTTTAGAGAGTAGCTCTTTGCACAAGCTGTACAAAGTGATGAACTTCCTGGCCAGCAGACGGGCATCAATGAAACCTTCAGCCACCAACATGATCTCACAAATCAACTCAAAGTCAGGAACAACCATAGCACATGGCCTAAACATAGAAATTTTGTTCATTTAAATTTTGAATTTAAATAAGTGTTTTATAATAAGATTCTAATTTAACACTGCATATATTGTATACAAAAATTTCAATCAAGATACTTGTAAAACTGATCACTGATTTAGAAAAGTCAGATTTTGACCTGAACAAAGCTTTGAGGTTTTCTGGCAACTCAGTACGGCCAGCATAACCAGGATTCATTGTGATGAAAATTCCTACAGATGGCAGCAGAGAAATTTCTTCACCAAGGAAGTTAAATCTTTTTTTCTTATCTTTGATTGCATCTTGAATGGTCTTGACCTGCAAGTGCAAATTTATGATTAAAAAGATCACAATAATCATATCATTAAAATAATCAATATAATTGTTTTTATTAATGTTTTTGGATTAAATAATTACTCCAAAATTTAATGTTTGACTTTCTTGTGTGTGATGTTTTTAAAACTTAAACTTACAAATAAAATACTTTTATATTTTACATGTAGATTATTCATATTACAAAACTATTTTATATGTGCAATCACAGAAAACAGATTTCTTCCAATTAAAAAAAAATCACCAATGATGTACATGTGACTGTTTACCTGGACAGCAACCACAGACAAGACTTCTACTGCAATACGGTTGAACTCATCAAAGCAGCCCCATGATCCAGACTGGGCTAGACCTTTGTAGATGTTTCCAATGGACTAAAAATAGAAGAAAAAAATGTTTCATGTAGTCCAGCTTTAACCTATTAATTACTTGTAATACAAGCTAAAATAATCTACCACAACATTAAATATTTCAAACACAAAATTTGAAAAAAATAAATTAAACATTTTATTTTAAAAATACCTTGTAGTCCATTTGCTCTGAGCAGTTGAACACGTAGACCATAATTCCAAGTGCACGTCCTAAATCTTTGGTAGTTTCAGTTTTTCCTGTTCCAGCAGGTCCTGCTGGTGCACCAGACATGATCAAATGGAGGGACTGGGTCAAGGTGATGTAGCATCTGTAAAAATAAAATTTAAGGTAGACATAAATTTACAGGAACAAAACAGCAACATTTTTTGTAATTTAACTTTTTTTTACAATAACATTTAATAAGACAATTTTAATTTATACAATAAAAGAGAAACAATGAATTTTTAATTTATAATTCCTAAATTGTATCAGAATAATTATTTTTATTTGCAATAAAATAAATGTATATATTATTTCTGGACATATTTATTAAGCTAAAACAAAAAAATCTTATGGCTAAAACATTCAAACCTGTCAGTTAGTGGTGTGATGACTAGACGAGGTGTGTTACCCAAGTACTCATGGGAGTAGCGAAACTGGGCATCACAAATGTTGGCAAAGCAGTCCCTTTCATTGTCATCCCATCTATGTCTGAGCTGGGACAACCAGAGGAAAGCCTGGGAACTGTCAACCTATAGCAGATATCAGAACAAAAATATTAGACATTTGATTGTGTGAATAGTCAGCAAAATTATCAGATAATATAGAAAAAATATAATGCAGGTACTATATAATGACATGGGACAACGGAGACATCAGACGATAAATACATAAGAATATACAGATATCAGATTATGTAAATATCATATTATGAACACATCATATTATGTAGACACAAGATAATGTAGACATCAGACACTATAGGCATTAGAATATGTAGACATTGGACAATGCAGAGATAAAACATATAGACATTTGAATATCTAGACATCAGGCATTATAGAAATTATAATATGTAGAAATCAGACAATATAGAAATTATAATATGTAGACATCAGACAATATAGAGATTAGAATATGTAGACATAGACAATAAAGACATTAGAATAAATAGACATCACACAATATAGATATTTTAATATGCAGAAATCAGACAATATGCATATTAATAGTAGAATATGGAGACATCATACATTAAAGACATTAGAGTATATAGATATCAAATGATGCAGACATTTATAAAGACATCACATTATGTAGACATCTTACAGCGTAAACATAAAACAATACAGACATTACAATATGCAGACATTAGAAAATTACACAATTTTACACCAGATAACTACCACAATACAGATATCAGACATTGTAAATTTGAGCAAAGAAATGAGAACCTTCTGTGTGATCATCTTTGCAACAACATCCCTAGCATGCACGTCAATGGTACAAATGGTCATGATTTTCTGGCGGTCACCACTGGAGAGGTCGCCTAGCAGCATAGTGATTAGAGCGTTCAGCTGTGAAACCTGCTTCTTGTTGTAGTCTTTGAGAGCGTTTTCATAGCCTTCCTCCAGTCTACCAAATGCTATGTTGACCTCGGTGGTCCACCAGATCTGAGTGCCACACAGCGCCACCTATGAAAGGTTAGATGAAGCATCAAAATAAATGAAAAAAAAATATTATAATGTAACAAAAATACAGTAAGATTGAAAAAAAAAATGGAAAATACAGATAATTTAAATATGATAACATTTTTTGTTTGATTTGTAGAACATGTGTAGAACATCCCTGATTCCACCCAGCTCTGATGGATACCTGACTCATGTTAGGGATGTTAAAAATGGCTGGGCATAGTGTTGACCACAATTTCCCTTCATTTGCAGAGGTCACTGAAACAAGCAAACTCTACTTCACTTGCCCAATGGACCGTCAGGTTCAAAAAAGTGCTTTACTTTTTCAATTTAACAATCTCAAAAATGTATTTACCTGTGCAGGGTAGTCAAAGAGCCATTGGTCTCTGGGTTTTTCTTCATAGCCAGCGACGGCTTCCGTCATCTCATGTCGTACTGTTGCCTTCATTGCCTCCAACAGTCGGTTGAGCCAGGTCTCAACCTGACCGTTGAGGTCACATGGGCTGTTCAGGTCAACGTACTCTCCATCTTTGCTGTACATGCCCAGAGCATTTTTTATGGCCTTGCCATCCTTGTCCTCCTCAAACTTGAGTTTAGCCAGCGAGTCAAAAAGTTTGGTCAAGTGACGGGCAACCTAAAGACAAAAACTTAATTAGGACAAATTTTATCATGGCTTTTGTTAGATAAGGGAAAAAAAACATTCTTCTTTTTTTTTTATTTTAGCCATAAAAAATCGATACTCTATATCCTCCAAATTAAAAATTAGTAAGCCATTTGTATTCACATAAAGCATAAATTGTCTTACTTAAAGTTAAAAAATAATATTATGATGATTTAATTTTAATTAAGACAAATTTAACAGTTTCATCATATAAGAGAAAAAAAATTTCTTTTCTTGATTTTAATTTTTGGTATAAAAAAATTATTACACTATAACCTTCAAAATAAAAAAATAAAAATCAAAAACATTAAAAGATGGTATTGTACTAAAACTGAAAAAAAAAAACCAGTTAAAAATCTTACAATGACTGGATCATTGCCATTGGACAAAATGTCAAGTAAATCAGCTGATGACACGAAGTAAAATCTGGGGAAAGCCAGACGCTTGGTTTCCAAATACTCGGCTAAAGCCTTTTCACAGAGTGACAGCTGGCCTTGTAAAGCTTCTAGTTTTTCATACAGATTGGGCTGATTAGTTGAGTCTACAACATTTTTAGTTTTCTCAACTTTGCTGACCAACTCCTGAAAAATTGAATAATTATATTATAGTATCATTATATAAGGGAAATAACTTTAGAATAATGATAAATATAAGATAATAATTTACACCCAATAGATTGTTTTCATAATAATACAGAATGTTTAGATTTATTGTATTCCATGTACTTTCAAAGTGTTTATTTATTGACGTAAAATACAATAATTAAATTAAATTAAAAAATAAAAACTGGTTTCCTACATGTTTCTTAAATGAATAATTTATACTTTTTTTAAAAACAATAAATAGATGTGTGAATATAGTTTAGTGTTTTGCTTTTGAAGAAGGTAAATTACAAATAACAAAAAAATTACCTTGAAATCAGTGTCAATGCCGTCAAATCTTTTTGAGTCCTCTGGCAGCTGTTTCCTGATGTCCTCAGAGCCAATGAAAATAGACTCAAGATGGGACCACGTCCTCTGGACCTCCATGTAGATGGAGATGACCTGGTCAGCCGTGGACAGCTTCTTCTGCCACTGGGAAACCTCCTGCAGGAAATGGGCGATGTACTTGGACGTCATCATGTTCTGCAGCTGCACCTGGTTGTCCTCTAGTGTTTCAATCAGTTCCTCAGAAGTTTTGATGATGGTTATGCCAGTGCGGGGGTGCTTCTCATGCTCAAACTCCATTGTTGACCAAGTGCTATCCAGCTCTTTCAGCACTTTCTCCATGCTCATTTCCTTGACGGCTTTGTCTACAATGTTTCTGACCTCGTCCTCGTAGTTATGGAGGTTAAGGTTCAAAAGGTCAGCTAGAGTTGTGTTTTCATCCATAACAAACTTCACCTGGAGTTGAATAAAGTAAATAAAATATAGAACCTAAAGAAAAAAAAACAACTCTTTTAAACAATGTAGTAATAACCTTTTAGATTAACCAGATATTCACATAACAAGCATTGCTGATAAAAATACCTTAACTTTAAGTATGAGGTTAAGGGTTAGGTTAAGGGTCAGAGTGCTTGGAAGGGCAAGGCTAAAGCTTGTAGTGTAAATACCAAGATTGCTGATACTATATAAATAGTTGAGCAAATATACCTCAGAGTTTTGTTAATACAAGTTGTTTCAAGTAAAAGAAAAAGAACAAGCTTCAGGTATAGCTAAGATTAGATATGTGCCTAGAAAATGTAAACAAAAACTAAATCTACCTTAGTAGCTGCCATGAGCTGTTGCCAATGCCTGTCCCTGATGGCTGGGTTCTGTAGCTCACCCACTGCCCTGAGAGATGTCAACATGTTCTTCACAACATTCTCCAGTCCAGTGTAAGCATCCCAGGCCCTCATCTCTTTATCCAGAGCTCGGATGTCTTTGGCAAACTTTTTACAATCCAAATCCATCTGCTCCACGTTGATCTCCTTCCAGGGGGTTGTCTTCCAGTCATCAATGCTGCTGCGGACTATCATGATGTAGTCCCACAAGGTTTTCAAAAGTTTGATTTCCTTGCGACACTGTTTGAGCTGCTTGAAGTCAGGGATGTTAACTTCAAACAAGCCAGCTGATTCCATCAGCATTGCCATCTCTTGTTCCATGGACTTGATTTTCTCATGATACTGTTAATACAAAGAGTATATATTGTATAACTTGAAAATATAAAACAATTATTTAAGTAAAATTAAAAATATAGAGAAGGGAACAAAACAAAAGTTAAAATGACATAAAAATATTGGCTTTAAAATAAATAAAGAAAGAAATAAAACGGTTAATGAATTAGTAAGCAAAGTTCCCCTTTCTGACCTAATGATCCATAGACAAATGAGGTAGAGTTAATGTTTCTTGAGCTCAGCATATGAAAGGATGATGTGAACAGCACCATGCCCAGCCACCTTTACTTTCCGTAACATAAGTCAAGTACCCTTCAGAGATGGTTGGACTCAAGGACATCTCTAATCCTTACCAATATTTAAACTCGAGACTCAAGTTTGGCAATCAAGTGCTCTACCATCCAACCCTGTGCCCCATTTAATGAATTAGTAAAAATGCAAATAAAATAAATTTCAACAATCTGAGTGTCTCTTACAATGTCCAGATGCTCATATGGTTTCTCACAGTCATAGCGGTAAGGAGGAATAACTCTGAAAGCTTCTCTGAACTTGTATTGACCCACATCAAAGGAGGCGGTCTTCTTACGAATGTTTGTAACTTCATTGGCTTGTAGAGGAGCAACTTGTTGTTTAACAGTAATGGAGATCTTCTTTGTATTGTTCCACTGTTCTGGTAATTCCTGAATAATATATAATATGGATCAAGTAAAAAAGGTATTTGTTATTCCGTTACATTTTTTAAATGAAAAGTAAACGTTAAATACTTTTTAAAAAACTGATTGACCATTGGGGCAGGTGAAATAGAGTTCACCTGTTTCTAACAACTCCGTTTAATGAAGTGATAGTGTAATCTGTACTATGCCCAGCCGCTTTTACTCTCCCTAATGTGAGTAAGGTACCCATCTTAGCTGGGTGGGCTCAGAAACATCTTACGGACTTATCCTTTTCAAATCAAACTGCTCTCATAAATTAGTCATTAAAGTTATTTCAAAGTTTACCTGAAAATGGATTTCACATAAATTATTTATTAAAATTATTTTGAAGTTTACCTGAAGCTGAACATGGACTTCATCAGGCATCTCCTGATTATAAGTTTTCAGAAGCTCAATGGTTTGTTTCAGGGGCTCAAACATTTCATCTGTTGCTTGTTGCCTTTCTCTCACAGCCAGCAGGTAACCCATGACCTCAACTAAGCCATGGTAGTCTCCCTCTGCAACTGGCTTGGTCAGGCCTGCATCAGTTGTCTTGATGAACTGGGCCAAGTTCTTCAAGCTGTGATATAGCACACAAATTATGGCAAGTTAATTTTAAAATAAATAAATTCATTTTAATTCTGCATCATTTGGAGTGTTTCTTCAAAAATTATAAGGTTAAGTATATCATGTTTTATTTGTTGATGTTTCTCAGCTATAAAAATAATATGTACTGATGCTTGGTTAGTGTGATGTTTTTTCCAGCATTGAGGTGTTGCATATGCGTGATTTTGTTGTTGGCCGTTGAACAAAATAGTGTATATCAGGTATCAGATGATCAAATTTAATACCATTAATGACAATCAACCTGGCTATAACAAGTTTAAGAGCTCTAGCTAATTTTTGTCAATTTTAGGGCCAATCTATTTGGTTAAGTTAATGGCTATTCTGCGTCAAGTTTTGGATGAAAAAGTTGCCTAGTCAAGTTTAAACAACTTCCTGTAAATGATACATTTATGAGTACCAATTTGATTGCAAACAAGTTTCTATCCACCAACCTGTTTGTGACATGGTCAATGAGATGTTGTTTGAACATGAAGCTCCAGCGCTTAATGATGTTCAACAAAGACATTTTAAAAGGCTTGGCATCAACACGGAACCAGAACTCAAAAAGTTCTATATCTTGGATGTGGACTGCATCCTCATAGATCTTCTCATATGTATCAATCTTCAATAGATAAGTTTAAAGAGTGTGTTGTCAATTATTTCAATATACAGGATTTAAGTACTTATATTTTTTAAAAGTTAAAACTTATAAACGTTGAACTTCTATTTTACTTCATTTAACAAAATAACTGATAATTTAACAAAATAACTGATCATTTAACAAAATAGCTGATCATTTAACAAAATAGCTGATCATTTAACAAAATAACTGATCATTTAACAAAATAGCTGATCATTTAACAAAATAGCTGATCATTTAACAAAATAACCAATCATTTAACAAAATAACTGATCATTTAACACAATAGCTGACCTGTTCCTTAAACTGTGCCAGGGTGGGGGGACTTTCGGGGACACCTTCATCAGCATGTGCTTCAATTTCTTCAGTAGTAAGTACATGGTTGTAGAGCAAGAACTGGCGCATGAACTCGTTGCGGTCATCCTCCCAGAGGTAGGCGTAGTTGTTAAAAGAGTTGCAGTACTCTGTGGCTTTTGTCATGATGTTGTGTACCCTGTCCATTAAATCCTGCCTCATGCCGCTTAACTCCTCCATGTCTTCCAGGTCAGGCTGATTAAAGAGATGGAATTTTTAATTAATATAAAGTAAAGTTCCCCTTTCAGACTCAATGATCCATAGGGTAAATTCAGTAGAGTTCATATATGTCTTCACCAGGCTTTTAAAGGGATGGTGTGGTCAGCACTATGCCCAGCCACTTTTACATTTCCTATCATGAGCCAGGTACCCATCAGAGCTGGGTGGACTTATGGAGTTCCTCCAGTAAAAAGGTTGAACTGACATCCAAACTCACGACCTTCAGGCTAGTAGTCAAGTGTTTTACCATTTGACCACACCATCCCATCACACAAAAGAAGGTTTAGGCAAATAGGTTCAAAATACCTGATAGTGTTCCTGTATACAAGGAGGTATTGGCAAATAAGTTTAAAATGCCTGATAGTGTTCCTGTATAAAAGTAGGTTTTGGCGAATAGTTTCACAATACCTGATAGTGTTCCTGTATAAAAGTAGGTTTTGGCAAATAGGTTTACAATACCTGATAGTGCTCCTGTCCTGAGTGTGTTGCTAGCCGAGGAATCAGGGATGCCTGCTTGTAAACATCTCCCACTAGGCCATCAACAGTATCATAAAAGCCATCAGCAGCACCAAATTCAAGAGAGGGGATGAAGACCATCTCAGGGACATTGAGTTCCAGCTTGGCTTCAAACAATGGGTCCGGACTCATCTTGGGATCTTGATGGTGAAAAGTCACAACAAAGCTAATTTTTATGCTTTGATTTTTATAGTAAGAGAAAGATGTTATTCCAGAAAACCAAGCTTAAGATTATAGATGTAAAACATTGAGGGAAACCAGAAGAGATATGTTGCTACATATCTAGAGTATAAAACAATAGTGGTTAATAAAAACGTATCACTGAATAGCTTTATAATAACTAACATTAGATTAAATCATTATATAAACTAAGTCTAGCAGTTGTAATGGCCAAGCTAAAAGTATCTAAAAATTATTTAAAACTTGTCGACATATAGATGTTAGGGTATGCACACTTGACACTATTTATAAAAAAAAAATATTGAAATGTATAGAATGTCATGGAATCCTACCTGTATTGCTTAACATGAACTGCAGACTACAACGGATGGTGTTGAAGAAACCATCCACAACCATTTCATCCAGGTAGTCGACATAAGCTTTCCAGATATCAGTGGTCTCATCTGCTTTGAAATATTCCAAATTTTGCTGTGGGAAAATAATTTTAAACTGTTAGTGTGTTCTGTTGATTGCTAAACATATCAAGAAACATTTTTATTTTAATTTCTACACAAAGGAACATATTGTATTGTTTTATTAAAAGGATGTTGGAAGATCATTGTTAAGCCAGGGATTAATTTTATGCAACACAAATCTCAGGTGTTGGGAATTTATACATTGACTGATTAAGAAATACTAGCGGGCTACAACTGATAAGTGTTTCTGTTAAGATAAAGGTTTTCGTCCACTTCTAGTGGAAGATAATTCATTTAGTATAAATAGAGAAAAGGATGTAAGAATAGAATATAGACTATTGAGGATAGTCCAAAATTCAGAATCAGTAACAGGTGCAACAATGATACTGCTACTGGGAAACTAAAGATTGTTAACAATCCTTGACTGCAGAAGATAAAAATGTAAACAACGTACTACCTTAACTAAAGCATGAATATTGTCCCCAGCTGATTTGATGTCAGCATATCTCTTGTTGATTCTGTCTTCTCTGTCGTCTTGCTGCAGAAGTGTATCATGTTTGTCTTCTTTACGCTCAAACAGTGGGATCTTCGACCAAAGAGTCATAATCTTCTTAATGTCCTCCACATTGTCTTTGGATTTCTGAACACGAGTTTCCAGGTCATGAACTTTATCCCTGGTTGTTTCAATATATTCCCAGACACCTTAAAAATTAAAGAGATCGTACTATTCACACTTATCAATAGCAGTATATATAATTTAGATACAATTGGGCTGCTTATATGTAGACTATCTTCGTTCTTAAATTCTTCCATGTTTTCAGATATCCAAAATGTTAAATTGAATATAGGATTTTACAAACAAAGCAATTACCATCACTCTCCCAGTTTAGTTGATGTTCTGCCTGCTCCAGTTGTTGGTCAATTTCTTGAAGCTGAGTTTCTATCAAAGGAAACTCCACTTCCAGCACTGTATTTCTGATCTAGATAAATATTCAACACCAGAAACATTCAATTTCTTCTTAAAAATACACATTTAATAAATTTTTGAATAACTCATACTATTAAATATAATATTAATTAAAATCAGCTGAATAAAACTTGGGAACAATTGTTTAAATATAAAAATGGAAAATAGACAAAATAAATTAATTTTAATCTGTCATCATCTTTTAAAAATAATAAGTTGAATTTTTGTGTAAAGTGCAATTTTCTGCTATAACAACAACTCACATACTAGTAAATTAATTATGGCTTCTTACCTTATTATACCACTGCATTGTGAGGTCAAGGTTAGCAACATACTTTCTAAGTGTGTCATTCTTGGAATACATTGTGCCAGCACTGTTAGGAACTTCCTCTTTCTCGCGGATTTCCAAATATTTAACTTCACGCAAAACTGCAACAAGCTGGAAAAGAAAAGATAAAATTAAGCTCAAGTATGTCTTCATAACAAACAACTACATTTTAATAATAATTTATTTTTGCAGCTGAAATTATAAAAATCTCTTTAATAGTGAAAATTTTCAAAAATAAACAAATGCTGAATGTCAAATGAATTTTTAAAATCTCCAATTATTTTCAAAATTTGTAGAGATTTAAAAAATATTTTTTTTTACCTGAGGGTCAAAGTTGACAGAAATGAGTTTAGTTTCTTCATTCCTTGTAATCAGAGGCTGTTTAAGGTTAAAGTTACAAGCCTCATCAACTCCCTTGGTCCAGCTATCGTAAACCTCCTGGTCCCACCTTCAAAAACAAAGTTCATTTTTAGACTTCTTAAATTTACAGCAAAAAGCTAAACAAAAGAGATTTTAGAACCAAAGGAATGTTATTTTTACAAAGACACAAGTGTTAATAGACTAAAATTCATGCCCAGGCTGAAAGAAAAAAAAAAACAAACTTACTGTCCCAACAGTGTCATCATCTCTTCATACTTGGATAGAACAAGGTGAGCATGGTCTGTTGCCATTATACTGGGAAATAGTTATAAATACTTATTACAAATCATAAATTATACTTTGAAGATCAGAATCATAATGTTTAAATTATAAATGTTAATTTTTAAAATAAAATCTTTGATTTAATATTTAATCTTAAATATTTGAATATAAAATACACATCAGATAATGTTATTCTTACGGATGCTCTATGCGTTTGTAACTGGCCATTGGTGCTGTGATTCGGTCACCCAGTTCCTTTGACCATTTCAAACAGCCTGTCATGTGTGGCATATTTTTATGAATTGGTGGCTTGCCAGTTTGTTCTTTGACAGCCATCTTGAAATTAAAAGAAAAGATAATTGCTTTTTGATTAAAAAGTGTAAATGAATCCACTTATATTTTATTTATTAGGATATGAATTAGCATTGTATTTTGAAGAAATTCTTTTCTACACATTGACATTCTCACATTGCCGATGCTTTTACTTAAATAACATCAACTTTACAAAGACCTCATGAGATTTTCCCCCTTACCTGTTTATCGTACATCAGCTTGGCTTCATCAAGCATCTCATGCATTCTGTTCACAACAACTATGTACTTCTCATCAAAGTCCTTCTTGACCATTGGTCTTTCCAGCAATGAGCCCATTATGTCAATCAGCTGGAAGATAATTATTTAAGTTGCAAGGACCTCATCGATACTTAGTGAATTTTTAAAATATAATTACTTGAGTTTTAATGACCTCATCTATACTAAGTGAATTTTTAAATGTAACTATGGAATTTTTCAACTGACCTTGAAAGTAGACTCAAGCCCACAGCAGTCATCAAATCCTTGACAGATAATAGTAGCAATCCTTCTGTCAAAGTCAGCAACTTTTTCTAGGAAACTGTTGTAGTCAACAATAAATTCCTGAAATGAGTTGTACACAGAATGTAGTAGCTGCAAAAAGGTTTGATTTTATAATTCATGATGCTTTACAATTGTATAAAGTAAACTACAACAAGTTAAAGAAAATAATTATATAATAAACTTACATCACTTTTGGTGTCCAGACAGTCATATGACTTTTCTGAAAACACTTTGTACTGCTCTTGGAACTCTGTATGAATGTTTTGGACTTGGGCACTAAGTTGCTTCCCTTGAATCCCTCCAAGCTCAATCTTTTCTAGCTTGTAAAATTCCAGAGCTGTCTCCATCAAATCCTACAAAAACATAAAATAACAATTTAACAAAACAATTTATTACTTTAACAAGATGATTTTTTTTTTGTTATGAATTACAACATTATTTTTCATCATAAGGTCTTCAATATAAAAAAAAAATTGTGACAAAAAAACAATATGTTTACCTTAACAGTTTGTACTCTCTGGTGAAACTTTTGATAGCGAGCAAAAACAAGTTCAGGAGCAAACTCCCACTCCAGTGGCTTCTTGCCATCTTTAAAGTAAGTGTTCAACTTGGCCTTGTGTTCATCATAGGAGGAGCGGAATTTACTCAGAACTTCACAAGCTTTTACAACTTTCCCAAATATTTCCTCAACTTCACCTTTAAAGATCTCTTCTGGTGCAAGGAAATTTCTTGCCTTTAAGAAAAAATATAAAGAAGAGATTTTTAAAAAATATATATAACTATTGAAAAATAACTATTTACCATAACAAAAATAATGGTCATACATATTTAACCAATAATTATTGAATCTACAATACTTTAAATTTTTACTAGCCAAGGACTAAATAAATAGAATTCAATTAAATTAAAAAATTTAATTACCATATCAATAATCATGTTACAGATTTCTTGAAGCAAGACGATCACTCTGGCGGGGGTGTTGTAATAATCTGAATTGGACCATATCAGACAGACTGTGTTTAGGATGGGTGCCATTAATTTCCCTGATTCATCAAACTCTGCCTGCTCTAAATCCTCTAGCTGATGACGAAGGGGCTTCAAATGCATGTTAACATCTTGTGCTTCAGTTAATGCTAAAAAAAATATTAGTAAAATTTATTTATTTTTGTGTAAAAAAAAAGAAAATGTTCTTGCTGTGACCTATTCACATACAGAATATTTCATTTGAATAACATCTAACTGTTAAATACATCTTTCAAATTAAAAAATATTTTTATATAAGCCTTTCAATTTTCAAACAAACCTGCAACAACATCACGGAAAATATTTTTGAAGGAAGGGAAGTAACTGCTGTTAGCCCTCTCCAGTAATTCAGCCATTTTTCTCACTTTTGGGTCACGGAGCTAAGAAAATGAAAAGAGTAAAGTAAAATATTAATATTTATAATATGACAGACTTACTTCTTTAAATTTATATCTAACTTAACATTAAACATGGAAGACATATTTTTAAAAATGGTTAGATAGATGTGACCTTATTGAAAAAATTGTGTTTGATCTTACTTGTTCATAAATGCACTCAAGGTTTTGTGCTTTGTTTTCCCAAAATTTGATCTCAACAAATGGAGAAGGATTTAAACCTTCCAATAAAGGCTGTACAGAGTCTCTTTTAAGCACATCCCTGATCTGGTGAGTCCATTCGATTATTACAGACTCTATGGCATGCACCAAACTACGCTCATATGTCTCTCTAAGAAAATTTCAAGAAAAATAAATTTTAGGTAATTAAATAGCTTACATAATTCATATTCATCATCAATAGTTAAATTAAAATAAATAAGGAATATTTATTTAGACCCCTAATTATATTAATCTGATTATAATTTTGTCAGTTGACAACTTTAAATTAAAAAATCAAGAATTATTTTTAGTTGAACTGTTTTAAAATTCAGAATAAAGATAATAACAAAAGCAAACTGTATTTCACAAACAAGTAGAGTTGAAGATTCTGAGGTAATGTAATAAACAAAGATGTAGAAGGTATTGATCACAATTGTTGTGTAACTAGCACAAACAAACCAATTTCTTTCATCACTCACTTTTCTCCCTCACCCACACCATCAACTCTCTCAGCACCAACTGGAAGAGGCAAGAGAGTTTTTCCTTTAGCTTGGCCTGACACAACATAGACATTGCTCTTTAGATTGTGGACATGTCGTGTGACGTCCTGAGATACAACTTTTGGCCATTGGCTGTGGTTACGGTCATTGGTCAGTATTGGCTCAAGGACCTGTAGAAAAAATATATATTTCTTAGTTAAAATTCCTTTTAGAAATTAAAAAGAATAAAAATTTGGTATATATATATATATATATATATATATATATATATATATATATATATATATATATAAATATATATAAACATGAAACGAATAATCAAACTTGATACTTTATTCAGCTACATACCTCATCAACAAATGAATGAAACTGATCTAGTGGTGATGTACATAAGTCTCCGAAAAGTAAAGCATTTCTTAAAACCGTATCTTTAAGGATTGGTTCCCTAGAACGCTTAACAAAGTAACAGGCTTTAGCCTTTGGGTTTGTTGGCCATTCATATTGTACCACCAATGCTCCGGCAGCCGTTGCAATGATGACTAATGTACTCAAATCTTGTTTTTCAAAATAATCCATAAATAACTGTTTGTTTTCATCTAAACTGTACATCTTGGTCCATTTGTCACCTTTAAGTTTCAATGTCTTGAGTACATAGTCGGCCATAAACTCCACTCTGGAGTCGCCTATTTCCAATTCACTAGCCATTTTTGGAAATTAGATGTGTTGTTCTTTCTGTAATTTAGGCTAAATATTTGTTTTTAATAGATATAATCAAACTCCTGAATATCCAATAAACAACACATTTTAATCATAAGAACACTTTTTGACTAGTTTTTTAACACCAGAATCTACTTGGTTAGGCGGGTACCTCCAGGTGCTCGCAAAGGATAACTAGAAGTCAGACGAACGTTTCCATGGAACGTTGTCAAGGAAGCCATAACAAGAAATGTGTGCTAACAACACAAGAATTGTGAATGGTTTGTATAAACAAGGTAGACTACTCTTAAAAAAACATGGCTGCCACAGTTTACAGTAGATCTATTACAAGGTTACTAACCAAAAGAAATTTAACTAGAAATAAAAATAAAAGGTATTAAAATGCGAGGTTGTTTTGAAATTTAGTCTAACATATTTAATTAATAATTATTTATTAAATTATTCTACAAAATGAATAGGACAGGCTACCGGGTCCAGGCTACTTCAACAAGCAATAACGAAGTCGGCAATCTATCGTTTTGGGTACGTAAAATCGCCCGCGGCTATTAATTAATGTACGAAAACGTTACCTCAATGTCAAGGCTGTAATAGAAGTATATTGTGATATGTTTGTGTCAAATATTATAGATAAATGAATAATAAACCTAAATCAATGGCTAAATATATCAATATAGGCCAGAAATTAACTTTAAACAGCAGTGTCTGCAAGCAAGATTTGCTATATAAACAGCGGCCATTTGTAAAATAGAGTGACTTCCGCCTGAATCTTGCGCTATAAGTCTATAAAAATAAAACTTTAACAAGATGGCTGCTATAGTAAATGAGCATGGTTGTATCTGTTGGAAACATCGCTGGTGTTCATTTATTACTGAAAAGTTTTAATTCAATTGTTTAAAAACAGGTACATAAATGAAACAAGGAAACATTTTTGTATTTTTCAAAATATAAATCCTCCTCAAAATGTGAAATAATTATTAAAATGTAAGGAGTCACCTGTTTTTCACATTACAAGTCGCGGGCGATTTTACGTACCCAAAACGATAGATTACCACGAAGTCAACTGAGTCAACTGAGTCATAGGAGATTATTGAGACATCTGAGCTCAGGCTCCAAAAAAAATACTAACATTTTAGCAGTTTTTATTCCCTGCTTCACGTGTTAACCTCCAGTTGAGCGTATTTTATTATAAACTAATATAAACACACCAAAGAAGTTAGAAAAACACTGGGCCTATTTAACAATTTATTAGGCCTATTTGTTTACAAATTTTTTAGCTTTTGATAATTTACTTTTGTCAAAACTCAAGAAAAATCCATTTGAATGTGCACTATTTAGATCTCTAGATCGAGAATTAGCTTTTTTTTTTACTCTTGAAAATATGTTCGTGTCAGTTAAAATTTTCATTCAGGTGGGGGGGGGGGGGACTCATAATTGCATGTCCGTCAAGTTTGCATTGGTAAAAGTATATCGCATACATGATACTATAAAATAAACTTATATGAACTCACAATGACCCCAAAACTGAGGCCACCACAATTTCAAATAGCAAAAACTCAAGTTATGACGTTTGCTGATAGTTAAAGTCATTGTGAACCCTTACGGTGAACCCTCGAGTGTGTAGGAATTTTCTCCCGCTGACAGTCACATGACATTTAATTGGAACTGTAATGCTTATTTATGTTTTTCACCTATTTCTAATTAAAACACACATTCATAAAAAAAAAAAGTTGATCTAGATCTAATCCTAGTGTTTTCAGTTTTCTTAATGTTTTTGTGTGTTTGGGTTGTGTCTATATAAAATACCCTCAACTGGAGTTGAACATGAAGCATCGAATAAAATCCGCTAAAATGGAGTTTTACCAGAAAAAAATATTAATATTAAATTTTACTAAGACTAAATTATATAATTTTAGTTTTGCTCAATTATCTTAATATTTAATAGGACCTACGCTCGAACAGTTTCATGTCAGTCAATATTAGGCTAATTATTATTATTATAATATTATTTAACAGTATAACAGTAAAATAACTACTAAGAGAAAATTGGTTGTCAACAGCAGCCAGCCTTACCACACCTTTCAACACAAAACACATCTAACTAGACATTTTGAATGTAATGATAGTCCCAAAACTAACATTCAACTGCTTTTATTCTCTCGGCTTCACTCAGAGTGTACTTCACTATGCACGCCCTGTACTTCTGGGAATGCTAATCCTTAACCATTCAAACTTTTATTTAGTTAGTAGACTTACACTTCCAATCAGACATACTAAAGCCATTAATGTTAATACCAGTAAAACATATTTTACGTACAGTCATGCACTATAGATAGCGGCTATAGCCTATTGATGAACAATGGGCACCAATATATCTACAAATAATACACAGAGTTTATAACGGGCCCTATCTACTCTATGGAACTCCCAATTAAAACTCTCATTGTGGATATATTCTGCTGTGAAATAATTTATAAATTTAACATAAGGAAATAATTTAATTTAGAATTGAGTGAGACTGGCTACAGTACTAGACTCTAATACGGAAGCCTACTTATCTTAATTACAAATAATTATATAATAATATTATTTGTACATCAAAATAACTATTTTGTAATGTTATAGACTAGTAAAAGTTAATGGGTACCTTATCAAGCAATTTATCTGAAGAACATTGTTTTTGGTTCAAGAAAACACTAGTACAAGTTTCTAACACCCTTTTCTTGTTCTAATCAAACAGATTTGTTTGTACTAATCCTCCAGCTCCTTCTTCACCGCGGTGGAGAAATGTTTTCAAGTCAGATGGCCAGTATGTGTCGAGGCCTGTTGATGGGCTGGGGACATTTAGTTGGTTGTCTCAGTATGGACCCCAGTTCCATCTTAAAGGGGAGCAGGTCCAAGTCATCAGTGAACCAGCACAGTTTTATGAAGTTTTAAAGGTGATTTTTATTATACAACAAATATTATATACTAGCATAAATTTTTAGTAAAGTTTATATAAAATTTTTATGATTTGTTCCACTTCTTAGACTAAATCAATATTGAGCTTTTTTTGCCTACATTCATATTGTGCAAGTAAACTCCGATTGTTTAATATTCTAATTTTTTTTTCTTTGTAGCTCAAATCCAGAAAGGCTAAAAAAAGAATCACCTTTGCATCCTTATATCTAGGCAATGGAGATCTGGAAAAAGATTTAGTAAGTTTTAACACATTTATTTATTTTTACCAGAATTTGGCTTAACATAGTAGTGTGTATAGTAAAAGGCATGTAAAGTATATATTCCAATTACTATGAAAATATTGAAAAAGTATGTAGATTTTTTGTGAGCACCTCACACTATGCATAGTGAAATTCCCGACTAAAATAGGTTTCCAATTTACATGCTTCTCATATTTCTCTTTACAGATGCTATAACATGTATACACCAAAAAATCCCTTGTCCTATCAATTGACACCCTTTCAAACCATACTTAAGGAAGAAACATGATGGGTTTAAACTCAACTCACAGACTTCCTGATAGTTCTAATGTTATTCTATTCAAACACTATAACTGTCACATAACAACAGGTATCCTGCATTCGAGAAGCCTGCCTCAGCTCAGTTGTCACAAGTAATCCAAACTTTGAAGTCAACATCCTCCTTGACTTCACAAGAGGCTCAAGAGGAAAGAGGAATTCCAGATCAATGCTAAGGCCCTTGATGGCAGAATTCAACAACGTTAACGTCTCCCTGTACCACACGCCAGATCTTAGGGGTCTGCTGAAGTGGATTATCCCAGAGCGCTTCAACGAAACCATCGGCCTAACTCATGTTAAGGTTTATCTATTTGATGACAGTTTTATTATTAGTGGGTAAGCTAGAAAGCTGTTGTTGATTCATAATTCATTATGGATTGTTTTAAAACATTATTTTTGCACTCACTGATATTATTATAAAATTATTACTTAAATTTTTTATAAATATGAGACGTTTATCCCTTGATGTGTTTAAATATACATGATCACACATTCTTTTTTAATGAAAATAAGAATGAAAAATGTAATATTTTTTCAGTGCTAACCTCAGCAACGATTATTTTACTGCCAGACAAGATCGCTATATTTTATTCAATGATTGTCCAGAACTAGCGGACTTCTTCAATAATTTTGTCAAGACGATTATGTCATTTTCATTTAGTTTGTCAGCTGATGACTCGTTACATTTAGCACCCGGCTGGACTCACCATCCATATAAAAGTGAGTTTAAGAAAATTTGAGTAATCAAAATTTTCACATTTCAAAATGTGTGCATTGTTATGATATAATGAGAGCCGGTTAATGTGAACTCATAACTTGCTAATAATCTAAATAAATTGATGAAATATTAACTTAATTTTTTAAAAAATCTAGGTGTTGCCTTAAACTACTACATTATTTGGATATTTTAATGCTTACTATCTTTTTGGTCTCTTGCATTGCTTCTTCTGTTGATTTCTGTTTAAGCTCAACTTAATCATACAACACTATTTAGTAAGCATGCTGTAACATTAAGCTGACTGTGCTAATTAATTTCTTTATCATTAATTCTTTTTATCATTAACCTCTTTTTCTCACTACTAGGTTTTGATGGTGGTCAGCAGTTTAAAATGTCAGCCAGAGAAAAAATTGAGGCTTGTCTAGATATTTCGGATAACCCAAAGCTGGAAGTGGAAAATTCTGCTGACACAGTTATCTACCCATTGGTGCAGATGGGACCATTCAACGTCACACACGACTCACAGGCAATGCTGGGTTTGTTGAGGTCGTCAACCCCTCAGGACCATATACTTCTCGCCTCAGGTTATTTTAATCTTACTGACCACTACATGTCTGTTATACTGGACCAGTCAGTTGGGAAATTCAGCATTTTAATGGCATCCCCGCAGGTGAGACACTTGTATTATCATTTTATTATGCCGTACACAAATTTTTAACGTTTTAGGAGAAAATCAGCAGTTTTTCTTGATTCTGCTATTAAAGCATAAAATTGATATTTGCTCAAATTTTGGTTACATAAAATACTAAATTATGAAAAATTGTTTATTCTGGATAGTTTGACCTTAAGTGTTTAACATCACTGTTATAATTACGTTTTGTTATGTATTTAGTGCAAATATTAAAACAAGAAGTTAAAAAGCCTTAAAACATTCATCAAGTTTGCTTTGATACTTATCAAAATGATCAGTATTTTATAAACTGATCACAGTCTGCTATTTTTAATTAGGGTGTCTCATGAAATTTGACACCTTGTTAGAGGTAACTAAAACACCCTAAACAAATGTAAACAATGTCAAATCAACTGGATCAAGCTGTCCTAGTGACATCATACCCTGTAACCAAAAAACCTAAGCCCGACTAATATACTTTTGCTTTAAATCTATCAGGCGAATGGATTTCTTGGAGCTAAAGGTATAGCTGGAGCCATACCTTACTCATACATCTACCTGGCCCATCAGTTTTACAAAAGGGTGTGCTCAAGGTGTCAGACACAACGGATTCACCTGATGGAATACGTCAGAGAGGGCTGGACTTTTCATGGGAAGGGCTTGTGGTACTACCTGCCCAGTCAGCCATTGCCAACACTTACCCTTGTGGGATCCCCGAATTTTGGTAAGTTTGTGTCACAGGTAGTATTAGATACAATAGTGGTGCAGGTATAATTAGGTAGACTATCTGCAGGCAGAATTGTATGTGACCTCTCACAATGAAATGAGTAACTTTGAACTAAATTATCTTGAGCTAGAGTAAAAAAAAATTGAGCAGGGTGTCATGGATAACAATTTTGGGATTTTAGTTTATTCTGATTATTGAATCAAAGATGCAAATGTTTGCAATGAAAGTAGTATTTAATTTTTTTTTACTTTAAAAGTATTAAAATTGTCTTTTTAAAGTACCAAACTAAAAAATATATGTTTGAAAAATGCCATATAGTAGAGAGAAAATTTCTTAGGATAACATTTTGGAAAGTTAGCATTAAAACTGCTAATATCTTTTCAATTTCAATCATGGGGCAGATGGAGTAAAGTTTGATTTTTTATCAAGAGTAATGAACTGCATTAATGAGCTAAGTATTTATCCAATGTTCACAATAATGTTACATTATTGATGTGCTAAATGTTATTTTTTCCACATTGCAGGTCATCGTTCAGTTTACAGGGATTTAGAATGTCAGGTTGCTATAGTTACAGAAAACAAACACCTTCAGGAGCAGTTACGAGAGGTAAAAAATTATCAATTATTTTAGAAAACTTCTGCTAAATAATTTGTGTGATTTAATCATCTCATAACCATATTTTAACTGTTTAACTTTAGCATCAACTCAATAAAACAGCAACTCTTTGAACTACAAACTTTTAATCTCTGTCCCATCTATGCTTACAGGAGCATGTAAGAATGTACTCCACATCCCAGCCTGTTACAGAGAGTACATTTGAAAGACGAGATCGCTTTGTGCCGTTATGGATTAGATTTGTTACGAAAATAATTAAAAACTTTTTTTAATCAATGTTTTGTCGTTCTTTGATTATTTATTTTTATTTCTGCCTCATGCACAAAAATAATTATATAATTGATGGTAAAGATAAAATAAATCCTACGAGATCACACATATAAAATGGTTACTATGTAAAACATTAAAATAGTATCAAATTCTATTTATCAGCTATCTTCGACTTATTTTCACCTACTATAAAAAATAAACCTGATGACTAGGGTGATAGTGCTTAAGAATAATATAGTACATTTCTGCTTCTTCGTTGACAAGTATTGCATATTTATTTTTTCTGAGAAGAACACAGTTTTTGAGGGACATAGCCTTCATTTGGCCGTTTTGTTTGTCTATTTTAACTAATTCATAGTACCTAAACTTTATTGGCTACCACTACCAGCTCTTTTAAAAATACAATTCATCTAACACCTCCATGCCCAAGATCTACTTTATTTATCCAAGTTAACAATTTTGTCTATACATTAACACAACTAATTAATGCAATAATTAAAATTAATTGTTTTTTATTCATCAGAAATATATATGAACAATGCGAATAGACTTGTGTTATGATTAGGTGACCTATGCAATGATACTTAACTTGAGGCAAAATGTCTTAAGCCAACAGCCTTTTGCCATGATTTTCTCTAAGTAGTTGCAGAAAAACTTCAGACATATTGTTTGAAGAGAAGTTTCCTCTGGTGAACACATAAATAGCTCATCTTGTATCCTGTAATTAAAATACCTGGCCCATCCTTATCTCGCAATTATTACCCTGGCCCATCCAGTATGTCACCATTAAAAACCCCTAGCTCATTCTGTTATCTCGTGATTACCCTGGGCCCATCCAATGTCACCATTAAAACCCCTAGCTCATCCTGTATCTTGCAATTATTACCCTAGGCCCATCCAGTATGTCACCATTAAAACCCCTAGCTCATCCTGTTATCTCGTGATTACCCTGGGCCCATCCAATGTCACCATTAAAACCCCTAGCTCATCCTGTATCTTGCAATTATTACCCTAGGCCCATCCAGTATGTCACCATTAAAACCCCTAGCTCATCCTGTTATCTCGTGATTACCCTGGGCCCATCCAATGTCACCATTAAAACCCCTAGCTCATCCTGTATCTTGCAATTATTACCCTAGGCCCATCCAGTATGTCACCATTAAAAACCCCTAGCTCATTCTGTTATCTCGTGATTACCCTGGGCCCATCCAATGTCACCATTAAAACCCCTAGCTCATCCTGTATCTTGCAATTATTACCCTAGGCCCATCCAGTATGTCACCATTAAAACCCCTAGCTCATTCTGTTATCTCGTGATTACCCTGGGCCCATCCAATGTCACCATTAAAACCCATTACTCATCCTGTATCTTGTAATTAAAAAACCTAGCCCATTCAGAAAACAAACACACCCAGAAACAGTTATGAGAGGTGACCATTTGTTAAAATAATTAAAAATTTATTAAAATAATAATTATAAATTAAAGTTAACAAAAATTTAATCAATTCTTCTTCTTCTTCTTCTTCGTTCTTAATTATTAGTGTTGAAGGAGATCGAGATTTATCTGCCAGTGGGTTGAACTCGAGACTTTGTTCGAATTTATCAACCATGAGCTTTTTGCCGACTCGACCACGCCTCCAACACAATTAAGCGTTACGTGTCAACTGGTTATGCGCCATTGAGGCCATTGACTCCGATTTCAGCCTGCTTTTCTTGTTGGATTTGCTTCCATAGCCTTTGTCCAACCAAGAACAAACTACAAGGCAGCAGTTGTTTAATTTTGGAGTTGTCTCTCCTAGAAGAGTGGCTGTCCCCAGCAAACGAGCCTCATCTGCCCGAGGGTTCGAACTCGAGACTTTTCGGCTTAGCAACCATGAGCTTTGCCGACTCGACAACGCCGATCAATTTATTAATGAGATATCCATCCTCATTTTAAATTTTTATGTCAGTTCAATGGACAAAACACAAAGTGATTTAATTTAACTATTGAAAAAAAATCATATCAATACCCATTTTATCCTGCACCCATTTTCACTAGGAGCAGGTCAAAGTGTACTTCATATACTAAACAATCACATTTGTACAAAAAAATATTTAAAAAAATACAAAAAAAAAACGTTTTAATAATTATTGCTCTTGAAAATCATCATTATAATCAAGCAATGGCAGTAAAAGTATAAAAAAAAATGTATAATATAAAAAGCATTGTATAATATATAAAAATTAAATACTCTTTATATAAGCATTAAATTAAGTCATTTTAGTGCCAATTGTAACAGCGTACCAAGTTCAGGGTAAAATGTAAACAAATAAAAATCACATTTATCTTCAAACAGGTTTAAATTAAGTAACACAACATATTGATAATGAGCTTTAGTGAATCACCACTAAAGCTGTTAATAAAATTTAGAAAAACATGCACTAAATAAAAAGTAGAAAAATATATACAAGTATAAATGTGCTAGATGAAAGACAACTGTACATAAAGTAATCCCTGATATGGACTATTAACAAGAAGTTTTCTGTCATCTATTCTTGTGGATAAGCTAACTGGTATAGCTGATTGCCAACATCTTCAAGTCTTTGTCTAAATTCAACATGCTGTAGATAAATAACATTTGTATTGAATCAAGTTCATAACAGGAAAAAAAATTGTCTTAGACATTAACAATTTCTACTGAGTTACATGGTGTATTCAACTAACCATAAGATTGGCAGATATATGTATTGCATCTTATTTGATTCAATGATTTACATAATGAGTTATGTGGTGTATTCAACTAACCATATGATTGGCAGATGTAAATGTATGTATTGCATCTTATTTAATTCAATCATTCACATAATGAGTTATTTGACGTATTCAACTAACCATATGATTGGCAGATGGCACATTTTTGAACCCGTACAGTGCTCCAAAACAACAGGCAGCAATGACCCCAGTACTGTCACTGTCCCCTCCATGAAACATTGACCTGAAAATTCAGATAAAAAAATCCAGTGCCAAAATAACCTAACAAACACGTTCACTTTTAAGTTGGCCTACCATATAAAGTACATCTCTTTGTCAGAGACAGTTTTTTTTTCATAAATATCGCTGTATAACACCTGCTTTTAATAAACCTAAATGTAAGAGACCTAACAGTAATAAACTTACTATTAAAAGCCTTACTTTTAAAATAATTTACCTATACCAGAGACTCAGCTAGTAACAAGCCTACCTGTAACAGAGTTCTTTCCAGTTGTCCCCTGCTCCAAGTAGTGCATCATATCTGGTAAGATGGGATAATCAAGATTATGCATATATATGGGAGTAGTAAACACCCTCCTCCCCCCCCCCCCCCAGCCCAGTTTGAGTTAGAGAGTCAGGTTAGGGCTAGTGTTGGAGTCAGGGTTAGATGTAGATTTAGAGTTGGTGTTATGATTGAAATATGGGTTATAGCTATAGATTTGTGTTTATAATTTGGGATAGGGTTGGGGGGTTATGTCCTAGACCCTTAAATTATATACCTTATTTAATACCAGTCATCAAACCCAATAAATTAAGAATAAGTGAACAATTGTGTATATACTATACAATCCACACTATTAGATAAACATACAAATCTAAATATCTATTTATTTTACTCCAGAAACAAAACAAAAAATTACGCTATCATTGGTGCGTCATGTCCACTGGCACCTCCAAAACCATCATAGCTGACTTTCTTGACAAACTTATCCCTTTCTTTGAACCCATAAGTTTGTGGGAAAACAACATCTGACTTTCCATCTGCAATACCCCGAGATTTCAGGTAATTTTCCCAAGCAGTAACAAAGTAACTCCTGGAATGGGAGAGTTTATTGCTTAGTTAAAAAACTATGTGCTCTTGCCACCTCAGAAATATGCCGGAAAGAAACACTTCTAATAGCCATATTAAGAGTAAATGTTTTACTTCAGTTATTCTAAAATTTCTCTACTATAAAAACTTTAGAGTCAATGGATATCTTCTTCTTCGTTCTTAATTTTTAGTGTTAGAAGGGATCTAGCCTTATCTGCCAGAGGGTTCGAACTCGAGACTTTTTTCGAATTTATCAACCATGAGCTTTTGCCGACTCGACCACGCCTCCATCACAATTAAGTATACATGTCAACTGGTTATACGGCATTTAGGCCATTGACTCTGATTTCAGCCTGCTTTTCTTTTTGGATTTGCTTCCAAATAAGAACAAACTACAAGGCAGCAGTTGTTTGATTTTGGAGTTGTCTCTCCAAGAAGAGTAGCTGTCCCCTGCTAACGAGCCTCATCTGCCCGAGGGTTCGAACTCGAGACTTTTCGGTTAAACAACCATGAGCTTTACCGACTCGACCACGCCGACCCCTCAATGGATATGACATTTAACAAATTAGGTGTTTACAAATAAATGAAATGATAAAAAAAAAATACTTTATTTCTGAGGTAATATTAGTGGGGAGATATATATTCATATATTCAAACTTAGTACTTCTCTAACAATCAAAAGTGCTGTAATTTAGCATTACACTAAACAGATGATGTAATGAAAATGATTACCAAGTATCTTTGCTCTCCTGAACACAGTGATTGGTAGACTCAATATACTTCATGGCCAAAGGTAGACAATCCAGTAAACCACGTCCCCAAGAATTGAGTGGCCTTTCTTAAATTGAAATTTCATTAGCAGTTTAAGTCTTTTGTAGCAAAAAGTTTATGGAAGCTAAATTAAGTTTACATAAGCTGTAAGCTTTATCATAAAAATATGAATGTGTTAAGATTATAATATAATAACTAGTAAACAAGCAAGCATTTAAACTTGTAGATAAAAAAAAATTAAACAAATCATATTTTAACATTTTAACAAGAGAATTACTAAAAATTATTAACATAAAGAATTACTACAACTGTGTTTTTTTTCCAATCGAAAGTGTTATTTAAGATAAAATAAAAGACCTATTAAATAAAGCGTTATAAAAAATATTTCATTGTGTCATGTATCCTGACCTTGTATGGCGTATGATGTAAACAAAGCAGAAGCCAGACTGCCCAGGTAGCCTACAGGATTATTATGTGTCATACGTCCAGACTCAATGCTGACTGCAATCAAATCTTCTAAGTTTTCAGGCCTGTTAGATAAATAAATTTAAAAAAAAAATCAATGATTTAATTTATATTAATATGCTTGTAAGGTTTTTTTTTGTTAAAACATTTTCTGGACACAAAAATTACCCATTAATTTCTTTTAAAAAAAAACTTACCTTGGATATCTGAGGCCAATACACATAGATCTCATTGCTCCCCCACATCCACCACCTCTGCCAATTTTTAAAAAGTTGATTGGAAATTATCAGCAGATGTAAAACTAAATATCAAAACTAATGCATTAGAAGAAGTGAATCAAAATAAAATATATTGCATTAGCAAAACTTTAAAAAGCCAAAATATTTATACTTTGACATAAATGTAACATTAGCCTACTTTGAAAAAGCAATGAAATTATTTATAACATAAGCGTTATTGGGAATGATGCTAAATAATGGAAAGATATACATAAATTAGATAGTTTTATAAATTATATCAAGAAAGTTGAGCCAACCTTGGGTTAAAAGGTATTCTGTAGCCATCTTTTCTGAGTGGTTTCAATTGATGGGCTCCATTTATGCATGTTATGCCTTGCAATCAATCAGCATGAAGTTAACAAAAAACTGCTAAGTAATCAATCACCAAGGGAATTAACTAAGCAGTAAGGGAGTTAACCAAAACAAGACTTTTACATCCAGAATTTTAATCTATTGTTTTTATAGCATGTGGCCTGAAGGGACTGTGAATGTGTAATGCACAGAATAATAAACTCACCTGGTGCTCGTCCAGCCATTTCCCTCATACACAACTTGTAGCTGGTTGCTATGGATACAAATATGTCTTCCCTGACATTATCTTTGCTACTGTTAACCAAAGCTACATGGAAAGAGAAAATAGTGTATGTGTAAAACATGAATAACATTGTATGATATAATTTTTGACAAACAAACACTGGACAAGTTGGCTTGCAATGTTAATCGCACACAACTTCCATTACTTTAAAAAAAAATTAACATGCATATTTATATGTGAATACTCTGTTTACTTTCATTGGTATCTAAATTTATCTGTCTAAACTATCTACTCACAAGAACAAATATATTTGATATTGTGAGTTGTAATTTTAAACACTGATGTATAAAATGCATTGTATTTTGTTCACTAATATATTTAGAAAGTTTGATTTTTACCTTCTCCAGTGGCCAAATGCATGACTGTATCATCACTCACCATCCACCCTGGCACTGTCAATAAAAAATGAATTTTAACATTTGTTATTTTTTAAACTAATTAGGCCTATTATAATACCATATATATAATTCTATTCTTGGATACCATAGAAAACAACAGGCTGTAAGCGCGCCTAGCAAGCCCCTCTCTTCCTCTTTAGGCATATCCCTACCACCCCCACCCCCCACATGGTCTGGTGAGCTGTGGTTCACGCTAAATGTTTACAATCAAGGAGCCGGGTTTAGTGACGGCTATTAGGGGCAGATAATTTAGTTTGAAACCATTTTAAACTTAGGGGAGGTAACTAAGAGGAGGCTGCTTTCAAGGGGGTAGTGTAGGGTAGGTTTTGGGGGAAAAGAGAGTGGGGGGGGGGGGGGGAGGGGTTATCGTCCTTAACGACCTACTGATAGTATTTTAAAGCAAATATTTTCAGTGGCAGCATTGGTACTGTCGAATTCACAAATTATGAATTACTGAAAAGTAGAAAATAAAACAACTAAATAGCGGCATATGATACACAGTGGATTTCCCTATATTTTAAAGGTATATTAATAATGAAATTAACAATTATACAGAATAAAGACAAAAAAAGTTACAGTTTGCTATAAACAAACAAAAATATAGGTCTACAATTTAGGAGTGTAAAACAAATTCAAACAACGACTTACATTTTACTTGAATGTTTTCCACATCATTTAGCTTTAGAACTTCTGCATAAATTGTTTCTCCACTGTGACAGAATTCCCATTCACCATTTTTATAACCCAGTGCATCCCCAACACCACTTAGCACCATTGCAGCAACATATCTCTCACATACAGAAGATGTCATTGCAAAATTTGTTTAAAATTAGCAATACAATTCTCACTGGTGTCTGGAAAAAAAAAACCAATCTACATAAATAAATCATACTTAGAGATAAATATTATAAAAAGGACTTTTAGTTTAGCAATACCATTATGATTAGTCAATAATCATAACCCTAAACAAACCAAAAAACTAGAGCAGTTGATATAGTAATTACTACCTTTAGTTCAGTTTAATCCCATTCCTAAGCTAAGATTTCTGATTGCAAACATGTAAGTCCTAATGATTGTTCCCTTTACTTCATTATTCTACATGGGCATCGGGCAATGTGAATAACACTCAGAGGCGTCGTGAAGCAGGGGCAGGAGGAGGGGACAGCACCTGGTGACGCCATTTAGGGGGGTGACACCAAGACAAAAAAAGTGCAAAATATATAGAATAAATATACTTTTTGCCAGTTGTACAAAAAGTATTTAGTACAAATTGACGATCCCGACAAGGTGTGATGGGGGGGGGGGGGGGGGGGAGGTTGACGTAAACATCCTAACTATAGAGAAAACAATGATAAACCCAGAAGTATTAACAATCGACTATAGATAAAATCTTTAGTAATAAGTGTGAACACACTTTATGGCTATTACAAAGGGGGGGGGGGGTGACACCAATTGCAAATTTATAGGCGGAGTAAAATAAAGTGCAAACAAATTGATGTCATTTGGCAAAATATATTATATAGATATGTAAATTATATATAAATAGCCTACAATTTTTGTGTGGTGGTAAGGGGGGGGGGGAGGTGACACCAAGAGGTGCTGCATCGGGTGATACCCGACTTAGCGACGCCACTGATAAAACTAATTGTTTAATTGTGTTTCATTAATATTAATTATTTAGTAATATTTTAAATTTAGAATATATTTTATTATAGGAGCCTATGGATCTAAAAAAAATGTTTATTAGGCCTATAGGCCTAATAATTTTAAAATTTAAAGGGCCCTGGTTTATAACTTTAAACTTTTACTTAGATTACCATAGCCTATTAGAACTTAGCCTGGCCTAGTTTAAGTTTTAGTAGAAGTACTACTGTACTAGTACAAGTACTTAGTAATTAATAACAAAAATTAACTATTACTTAGGCTATTACTTACTTTATACTTATTAATACTACTACTTATTACTACTTACTACATATGCTACTTACTACTTACTTACTACTTTACAACTTTACTACTTACTTAATTATAATACTTATACTTAACTTACAGTACAGTGACTTACTTAAATTAAAATTGACTTCACTTGACTTAGTCTATCTGACGAAGTTTAAGAATTTAAGTTATCTAGGATCTAGTTTGTTTTGATCCATTTGTATTAAGAAGTAACTAATAATTAATAATAATTAATAATAGATATAAATCTATTATTTATTTTTAACTTAAATTAAAAAAACCCAAACCACGTGATACCTATTTATAGCTTTCTCGCTTATCTCCCCCTCCCCCTTCCAATATCGATTTAAATTCATTAATGTTTACATTTATTACATTATTTTGCTGAACACTTGTTTATCATTAAAAAGCAATGATACATACGTTTCAAAGTATCAAACCATACAACCACTAGCCTATTGATATAATTAAAGCTGTATTTGGTTAGCATACATGGGGGGGGGGGGGGGGTCCATAAATGACGTCACACTAGTAGGGGAGGGGAATCCATAAGTTTGTGACGATGTGTGATTGGGGAGAGGGGGTGGGGGTTCAGATAGTATAACGTCAAACTTTGCATTTTTAAAAAGTAATGCTAGAAACTGAATTTTAGCCGTTATTCCGTGTTTTAGAAAACTGTTTTAATAAAGTGTAATAGATCTAGATCTAGAAACTGATTAAAATACTCTATGTTGACCGAGTTCAGTTAATGTTTTTTAAAAAAAATCGAAAGAGTAATAATATTTCATCTGCAATTTTGAGCGGACCTTTAGTCGTAGGCTGAGGTGTGACATTATTTTAAGGGATGACCTCATACATACAGTTTTAAATCATAGAATTTAGAAAGATTACTAGATCTAGATCTAGACTATTAGTATAGTATAGTAGTATAGTATAACACAACATGCTTCACAGTCGACACACACACACAACCTAAAATGCATATCAGTCGAGGTGTGCCTATTTCAAAAGTGAGGACCCACCCCTCCCAATATAATATAACTGTAACCGATTCCTTCACGCACGTACCAGATATCTAGATTTTAGATTCTACAATTTAGCATGCCAAAGCACACACGTTATCTTCCTAACAGCATTGCGTATTTAAGTTGTTAAAGAAACGACAAGAGATACAGATGGGTTAGAGATGGTAAAATATATAGATCCAGAGTCTAGTCTAAAACAAACTAAACAAACGTTATCAGTTTAAAATGTTGCCTCACTGAACTCTTTGTTACAGTTAATGCTGCTGACGTAACGATGAATCAGGAAAACCAGCCACTGTGTCGGCCTACTTCCAGATCTAGAATCCAGTAATAGTTGAACGGATTTATGACAAGCTATTTTAAGAACTTCCCATTAGACTTAGGCTGCGGTTACACTATACGTCGGCAGTCCGAATTTCTGTTTCTGACAACACGGCCGAACAACTGGAAAGCAAACAAAAAGTATAACCCAGTTCTATTGGTTACACTAGATCCGAACTGATCGTCCGAGTCGTCAGACTACGTCAGGCGCCTGATGAGGAACTTAAAATTTTGTTTCTGTTCTGACGGAAAACACATTCTGATGAAAATTTATCTGGCAGGGATAAACAAAATATAAAATGGAGGACTTCAGTTTGAACAGAAAGTTGTAGTATTTGACACAGAGAAGCTGATTTTTACTTATTCAAGAGAGAAAAGTAAAGGTCTGAAATAGCCGATTAACTCGGATGTACAAGTTAAGTAATTTATTTCACTTATTCACTTCATTGATTAATTTTTATCATTCATTCACATTTTTTTTTGGTTATCGACTCTCACTCAACTCGTAGATCTCTCAGAATGTCTCAGATCTAGATCTAGATTTTCTAGATCTAGATTATTTCTAATTCTAGACTAATCTAGACTCTAGATCTAGATTCTGAGCTAGATCTAGAAAACTAGATCTATACTATTAGATTTAGATCTATATCTCTCTAGATCTAATTCTTTTTTCTAGATCTAGATCTAGATCTAGAGTGAGTCTAGATCTAGATCTAGACTAGAATCTAGGAAATCTAGAATCTAGATCTTGCTTAGATTAGAATAGTACTGAAGAAGTAGAATTCAGATCTAGATTCTAGATCTAGATCTAGACTATTCTAGACTCTAGATCTAATCCAGAATCTAGATCTAGTCTAGATCTAGATCTCGTCATCGTTCTAAATTCTAAGATTAGGCTATAAGGTAAGGGTTAGTTATTAGATCTAGTTAGGGCTAAGACTAAGTATAGAAAAGTAAGTAACCTCAAAATAGATTCTAGATCTAAATTCTAGTAATAACTAGTAAAATAATTAGTTAGGCCTATTAAATAATAGGATCTAGATCTACTCATTGAATTTAATTTTCTCTAGTCTCTCTAGTAGTAGACTCTCTACTCTTGGTTCTAAAATTGAATCTTTCATTCTCGGCTAGGCCTATCCGATAGTCTATCTAAATTCTAATATCTAGAATCTATGACATAGATCTATTTTTCTAGTATTCTATGATTCTTTCTAGATTTAGATCTAGATCTCTATGTATATTATTATCTATAGGACTATTGGTAGATCTATAATAATATGTATGAAGTATAATAGTATAGGCCTATATTTAAAATTATTCTATTTCCATTGAATCTATTTTGAGATTAATAATTAAATTTATATTTATAGGCCTAAATCTAATCTAAATTAAGAGTATAGATCTAGATTCCTGTTCTGTAATGTTACTATATATTACTAGATCTATATAACTGTCTAAGGAATCAAGATCAGGCTTAGGCCCAGACAATTATGATAGAAAAGTCTGGATCTAGGACTAGACTACTAGATGTAGTAGTAATTAATTAATGAGCTGATATACTTAAGTCACTACAGTCCTAACTATTTTTTATCCGCCCTTTTCTATCTAGAGTCCTATTTCATTTATAGCCTGTAGGCATATATATAAATTATATGTATCCAACACATTAAAGTTACAACGAGTCTAAACTGATGTTAATATTTAATTCATTTCAGGTGCACAAGCAAAACCCAAGTGGAAAAACCTGCTTGATACATTTAGAAAGGAGCATATCAAGATTAGCAACAAAAGAGTAACTGGCAGTATAGCTCCAAACAAACCATGGACATTATAATCAATTATCCTTTATGAATGATTGTTTCGCTTCCAAGCAAACGATAAGCAGCATACAGATACCTTCAACTTCAATTCAGTATCGAGTGAAACCATTGTTTAAAAGATATTTTATTTTTGATGACACTGATTCAAATTGTATTCAAGTTGTGGAAGAAGCAATTGCTAAAGATCCTGACCCAGGATTAATTAATTTTGTGTTATGCCTGAATAAAAAAATTAATTGAAAAGTGTATGTTGTTTACTGTTTTATTATTTTTAAGAGGTCTTCAAATGCAGGCCTAAACTGTAATGGAGAATTACCTATACCAGTAGTTAAAATAATAATTCAATGAGGCCTGTGTCTTATGAGATGTATTTCTAATGATCATGCTATTTAAACATGTTTTACAGATTTGCTTAATAAATTAAAACAATGAATAACGCTTTTTAAATGATCAAAAACCAATACCATTTTAGTTTGTAACAATCTAACATGTAACTGACATTGAGTTAGAAAATTAAGTCTAACTAGTAGGCCTAACTGGTGGAAATGGTGGAGGCCCTATGTTCTATAAGGAGCAAGTAGGACTAAGTCAAAGTTAGTCAAGTAGGCCTAACTAGTAGGAATTATTGATATTGATCAGGTGATTCGGCCAATGATTATATTCTTATCTATGAATAATATAAATAAAACAAACATAACAACAAAAAAAGAAGTTTATTTCAATTAAATATCAAATTCAACATGTTTCATAATACTTCAGATGGTGTCTTCAGTCTTCAAAAGCCTTGGCACATTGCTGCTGTTGGTAATGGTACATGCTTTTTAGTGTGGCATCTCCACATAATATCACATGTCTCATAGATAATTGTGGTGATAGGTGAATGGACAGTTCGATATTAGTAGGCCAATACAGTTGTAGTGAGGGGCCTATCTGTAAATGAAATTATTTTAATTTAGCACTAAAAGCAGGCCAGAACATAGAATCAAGACCTTATAGTTATAGATTAGATCTACTCCCCACTACTGAGGTATTGCAACCAAATTTATAGCTTAGATTTTACTTGTTTTAAATGTATAGATTACATAGAACACATAATTGTAATAATTAATGGTATTTAGAATAGGCCTTACTCAACTAACTGTAACAAAATATCTTATTTAATAAGAATTAACTGTACAAAGACACTTGCCTCAATGTCAAAGCCAAGCGTTTCTTTGGAGAAATACATTTCCGATATGATTTTTTCTTTCCTTTTCATTAAGCAAAATAATCTTAGAAGCATCATTGTTTTCTGCTAAAATATGAATCTGCATTTGTTCGTCGATTTTTTGTATTGAAACCAATGCCTGCCGGTAGTCAGACATACGTTCTGACGGGCTACAGTGTAACCGCTGGGGCGCACCCCTCTTCGGCAGATTGGACAACACCTGACGTCAGATGAAAAAATTCGGTCTGCCGACGGATAGTGTAACCGCAGCCTTAGGTTTGTCGTTTTACACACTTATTTGCATATGTCAACACAGTGACTTATCATTTAATTCTGCTGGTACTTCGCACCCGAGTAGTAGACTACAACTCTATAATAATCACTATAACTAATACCACTGTATACTGTATAACTGTATAGATAAATGATACATTGTTAAATCACTATAGATCTAGATTCTATACTATTAATATACTTAAGGCAAGGTATTAAGTATAATTGACTATTAATTGTTGAGGTTACTGTCTTTTAAGTTAAAACATTATGTAGTAGTAACAGTAGTAGTAGGCCTATAGTAAAAAAATAGTTGACTATTTGATTTCTAATGACAAATGGCACAGATTATTAATAATAATAATATGTGCCATTTAATATTTGACATTTAATAATATTATTATATTAATAAATCATTTATTTTTTTATATACATAATAGGCCTAATATTTCGTCTGTGTTTGCGTGTTGTGTTTCTGTTTTCATTTGTGTTTGTTTGAGTTTGCATTTGTGTTTGTGTTTTTCTTTGTGTTTTCCTTTGTGTTTTTCTTTTGTGTTTGTGTTTAGTTTTGTTCTGTTCCCAAGTTGGTACATTTAAAAAAGATTCACCATGGCGGAGCACGGGTATGCAGCTAATAATTATATATGCCTCCATATATCATGATAATATGCCTATATATATTATATTTATTTAGGCATAAATATATATAGGCCCCTTTATGATATATATATATATATATATATATATATATATATATATATATATATACCTATATATATATATACCTATATATATATATACATATATATATATATATATATATATATATATATATATATATATATATATATATATATATATATATATATATATATATATATATATATATATATATATATATATATATATATATATATATATATAAATATATATATATAAAGGGCTTTATATATTATAAATAATAAATAAATATCAATATTTGATATAATCTATTTATTTATGATTTATTTTTGCAGGCTTAATAACTTGAAACAAAATGGATTATCAATATATTAGAAGTGGATAAGCTGTATTCTATTAATATCAGTGTAAGTCACTGTACTACCCATTCACCTGAAGGCTACCTCCACACCCTCAGCCATGCTAAGAGCGGAGGAAGACGAAGAGGCACCTTTACTCAAAAATAAACTCTGGAGATCACTGACTATCAGCGATGAGGATGAGCAATACAAACAGAAAGATACTGGCAGAGTGCATGTAAAATATGAACCTAAGGTTAGACATTGGCGATGGATTGTTCTGAATTTTTCTAAAAATTAGGCAGTAGACCCACATACAATTGTAAAACTCTTTCTCTCTATTGTATAACATATCTAGAGTACATTTCATTTGCTTTCATTTTTGATGAAGTATAGTGCTTTTTCATTTTAAGATGGAGTATGTAATGGCATTGACATAGTAAACAATTTTATTTTTAAGTTAAATAATTATCAGTTTTAGGCCTATTATTAATTATGTAATGTCTTATACAATATACTCAGTTTCTTTTAGGAATCTCTCCAGACCCCCCCCCCCCCCCCCCCCCTCCCAGCAGTTTTGAATCTCTCAGTTCCTTCACCCCCTTAGAAACCCTGATTATACTGAAGCTCATAAAATATTTACTTCTTTTTCAGTTGACTGTCTTCAGCCCTTACAAGCTGTTCATAGTTCTGTCCATTTTGTTGGTGGAGATGTGTGAAAGAATGGCCTACTACGGTGTAGTTGCTAATCTTGTCTTGTTTTGTACCAGTGTGTTAGACTACACTAGTAATGAGGCTACAAACATCAGTCTAATTTTTACAGGTAATTTCTAACCGCTGAAGACTGCATATAAAATTGAATTCATTGTATACACAGGGGGTTGGTGTGATCAAGTTGGTAAAGCTCATGGTTGCTAAACCAAAAAAGTCTCTAGTTGACACGTAATACTTAGTTCTGTTGAAAGGCATCCCCTCAAACATTAAAAATTAAGAATGAAGAAGAAGATTATATATATATATATATATATATATATATATATATATATATATATATATATATATATATATATATATATATATATATATATATATATATATATATGTATGTATATATGTATAGTCAACACATTTTGTTTCATTATACTAAATTTATCCTGCATTATTGAATCAAACTTGTTGAATGCTTTTACACAACAACACACTTTTATAGTTATACATAAAAGGAAACAAGTAGCCAAATGTCAAATAAAAACTAATTAAAAACAATAAATTTATCTCTATTTAACTAAAACAACTTCATTTTTTTTAAAGCATGTATTTTTCTTCCCTTCAAGGCTCAGTTTATCTAATCCCTATCATTGGAGGCTTAATAGCAGACTCATGGTCTAATAGATTCAATGTTATATTTGGATCAGGACTCATCTATCTGTGTGGTGGGTATTGATTCTTGAGACTATTTAATTTTAATTAAGTAAAAAGCTGAGTTGTAAAGATTCATAAAAATAAATTGTTTATATGGTTTTGTTATTTTTAATGGACAAAAGGCAATGGTATTTAAAAAATATGTTAATTGCATCTATGTTATTTGTTAAAAATTTATTAGATAGAAGTTATTTAACAATTTAATTTTTCTTATAAACAAGTTATTTTTTTAAAGAAAAAAAAAAGTAATGTTACAGTGCTTTTATTATATTGAATGTTGTAGTGTAAAAGTTTTGTTTTGTAAATAACTCATGGTTTTGGTTTGACTTTTTATAAGGTTTGTTTCTGGTTGTCTGTGCTGCTATAAACTACCAAAATCTTTTCAATGATCCTGCCCAAGTACTCAGTAGTGTGAGTACCTTTTTTACATGTGCACCCTTACAAAAATTTAATTGCTCACACATATTTTTTTATATAAATTTGAAAAGAGCAAAAAATTAAAAAAACACAATATTAATAATGTTGAAAACAGATTAGATATTCTTCATTATATAGGGTCTATAGGTTTTTGCTTCATTAGATTGTATTCACAGTGGTGAGAACTTTTGTCTCAGATAATTGTTTACATTAGGTCAATGGTTTTAGATGGCATACTCAGTTGATATTGAGAGTTGTACACATACTAATATAAGACAAACTATTTAAAACATTGATGTCACACATTTGCAATAGATTTTTAAAACTTCCACTGATTAATAGTATAATGATGCATTATTTTTCATGTTTGGTTTAGGAAAATCGAAGAATATTTTACATTGTTGGATTGGTTTTGGTAGCTATTGGTACAGGTGGAATAAAAGCAAACGTTGGTCTTTTTGGAGCTCAGCAGGTTCAGGATTTAGGCCCAGAGGCTGTTCAGACTTTCTTTAACTGGTAAAGCTTTTTTTTTTTTTTGTGAACTAAGGGAATCAAGACATATGCTAATACAGAGAAACAATTCAATAATTTTTAAAAATATAAAGACACTTAATACTATTAATTTTTTAAACTCATAAGTAGTTAGATATGAATAATAAATAGAATGCAGTGTAGAAGGGAAGTAACCTTGATTATACAATTATCTCCCTTATTCAGATAATTACAATGAGAGTAGCTGATATAAATAGTTCTGTTATCATTTTAATCATTAGAGTATTCCAAGTAATTTAGAAGTAATATACTAAAAATAGACTAAATACTGTAAAAAAAACCTTTATTAACACTTCTGCTGTTAATTTGATTCAAGTCACCAAAATATTACTATCTTTTCAGGTTTTACTGGTTTGTCAATGCTGGAGGGCTGATAGCTTTTTCTGCCATAGCACACGTACAGCAGAACATCAGCTTCACTTGGGGTTTTTTCATCCCTCTAGTTTCCATGCTCCTGTCTCTTATAATCCTCAACGTTGCCAGAAAACACTACATCTATAAGTCTGGACAGGGTAGGCTAGAAATTTTAACTGGGCAATAGTTTTACATTATTAATTTATCCAAGAAAAATGGAATAAAGTTAATTTATTTTTTTAAAAAATGAAGTATAGCGTTTAAATTTTAAATAATAAATTTTTGTTCCATAATATAAGACAAGAGTAGTTTTATAATGGCCTCTTTTCATTTTACAGTTGGTAAACATGGTAATAATCACATATATTATCACATAATTTATTAAATTATTTACAGGAAGTGTATTGATCACCACCTTTAAAATCTGTGGTCAGGCGTGTTGCAGAAAATCCCCAGTGATAGATGGCAAGAGTCGTTTGTTTGACTCTGCACGCAAAGGGTATGGTGGTGATTTTGACAGCTTCACTGTTGATGGTGTCATAGCTGTGTTACGGCTTTTACCCATCTTCTTCTTCGTCATCATGTTCTGGGCCATATACTCTCAGGTAAATTAACTATTATATGTGCTCCCTACCTTTTTTTTCTTGTAAATTTTAAAAACTTACTTTAGAAATTAAACATTTCATTTTTTAAAAAAACATTCAACATTAGCTTAGGGGAAATGAGAACACGTTATTCTATGTTTAAGTCTTTAATTCTTCTTTTGTGTAAAAAATTAATTATCTCTTTAGTAATAAAAATAAATATAAGCCATAGTTTAAATTTGGTATTGAATTCTTGAACATTCAAAAGAAATATATACGTACTTAGTTGTACTGTTGTAAGTTTGATTTTATGGTTGTGAACATTCTACATTTATTGCAGCTTCCTTAACTGTCATTTTTTTTTTAGATGCAGTCAACTTATTTCCTTCAAGGGGAGAGAATGGATCTGAGTTTAGGGACAATTCAGATTCCAGTGGCTTTGCTCAATGTATTCAACACTATTGCAGTTTTGTTGTCAATTCCTATTTTAGACAGAGTTGTATATCCATGTTTTCAGCGTATTGGTCGACCAATGAGGTACATGCATAGAATAGGTAAGTGACATTTATTTTTCTGTGGATACTGTTTTAATATATTAGCCTATTTTAAATTATCTACCAGTGTTGGTTAGATGCAGTGTAAATTTCAGACACTAAAGAGTAAAATATACCAGCTTTTGATAAATTAGATGCCTCAAATTGTCCATCCTCAGCACATTTAGAATAAAAAGGAATAAGAAACAAAAACTGCTTGCCAGTTGATGAAACTTTATTTTCCAAGTCTATCTGTTAGTTAAGAAATGTAGTTTATCTAAGAAGAAAACAAATCATTGTGCATATTTTTATTTTTCTAATAGTAATAGGCCTACTTATTGTTAAAAACATTAATTTAAACTTAGGTTCTGTTACGGACTTGTGGAACTTTATAGTTATATGACTTTGTTTTTCAGGCTTTGGTCTGGTGTTGTAAAAAAAACAACCATTGTGCATATTTTATTTTATCTACTACTTGTTTTAAAATATAAACATAAACTTTAGGTTCAGTTAAGGACTTGTAAAACCAAAGGGGCTTTTGTTTTTCAGGCATTGGTCTAATACTTATTGTTAAAATATAAACATAAACTTTAAGTTCAGTTAAAGGACTTGTAAAACCTAAAGGGGCTTTTGTTTTTCAGGCATTAGTTTAATACTTATTGTTAAAATATAAACATAAACTTTAAGTTCAGTTAAAGGACTTGTAAAACCTAAAGGGGCTTTTGTTTTTCAGGCATTAGTCTAATAGTAATACTTATTGTTAAAATATAAACATAAACTTTAAGTTCAGTTAAAGGACTTGTAAAACCAAAGGGGCTTTTGTTTTTCAGGCATTGGTCTGGTGTTGTCTGCATGTTCAGTGTTTGTAGCTGGGTGGGTAGAAATTGAGAGGAAACAGGAGTTGGGTTTCAACCAAGTCGTTGGGGAGGAGACGTTTTATGCTTCCAATTTGACAGTCTTCCTGCAAGTGCCTCAATTTATGTTGGTGGGGGCTGGAGAGGCATTTACAAACATCGCAGGTAAAACTAATAATAAAATGTGTGTCCATTTTCATTTACCTGTAAGCTATTATTACATACAAACTGGCCTTTAACTACAGGTAAAATAAAACTTTTATATTATTTAAAGTAAAACAAAAACTTTAGTTTATTGCATACAAATAGGCCTATAACCTAAAAAAAATAAAATAAAACTTTTATAATATTTAAAGTAAATCAAAAACTTTAGTTTATTGCATATAAATAGACCTATAATGTAATAAAGTAAAATAAAACTTATAATATTTATAACTAAACAAAAAACTTAGTATTAAATCTGATTTTTCAATTTGTTGGCCAGGTCTAGAGTTTGCTTATACGCAAGCACCCAAGAACCTTCAGGGACTGATCATGGGTGTGTATCTAGCAACAAACGGTGTTGGGAACTATGTTAGCACAGCTATCATTGCTATTATTGAGGCTTCAACTACGAGCGGTGAGAACTTTGTTGTTCTTTATTGAATTTATTTAAAGCATATGTTTACTTTTAAGTTTAAGTAAAGCATTTTAAAATTAAGGCTTATATTCTTTTTTTATAATTGTAATGGCTTTTGGAACACATAATTTCTTATTATAAAGATCAGCTTTTAACTTAGGAGAAGTAGTAATTCACTGCAGGTATTTTTTTTTGGCCTTTTGTTAAAAATAAAATGCACTATTTAACATACTATTCAAATTTTAAAAAATTGCAAGGAGTTAAAATTATAAAAATAAAGCGAACATTGACTAAAAGATTTTTACATTTTTAATTTCTAGATCCATGGTTTCCAGATGATATCAATAATGGCAAGGCGGAATATGTATTTTTTGTATTTGGAGGTCTGATGGTTTTATTTTTCTTGGGTTATCTCCCTGCCGCCTATACTTATAAATACCAGGAGTTTCTCACAGATGAAGAAGCTGAGAAGAGAACAAATGTTACCAAATCAAAATGGGACAAACAACACAAGATGTTCGACCAAAGCAGTATTACTATATTGTGATACAAACATAATTACACTATCCTATTTTGTGTTTGTATTAGAAACATTTATAGTGATTAAGTGACTCCAATTATAAGATTTAACTCATTTCTTTAATTGATAATGACTATGGACTTGCTTATGTTTAGTATGTTTTCTAATGCTTTATTTATTCCAGTTGCAGTGATCCAGTTTTCATCTACTAATTTATTGTACATGTTATTTCCATGCTTGTTATTTTTTTAATGAATGAAAACTGTTAGTTTTCTTCATTGAAAATAAGCCATCCCTGTGACTTGTTTGAATGTATTTTATGTGCAAAAAGTGAAAAAGAGCCAGGTTATATGCTGGTTACCTTTATGTATTATTGATGAAAGCACAAGGTGCAAAATTGAGGGAACTAATACCCTGTTGGGGGTGATTTATATATTAGTGAGTGGATAAAGTGCATGAGAAGTGGATTGTTGAAATAAAGAGCTGTGGTATGTATCATTATATCAAGATGTTTCATTGTTTATAATATTAAATACTATACTAATATGTTTTTGAACAGTATATATAATATTTATATTATAAATATTTATGCTGATCTATTTTTGGAAAACTCACATTTTTTTATACTTTTGTACCTGTTGGGTTGTTATTCATATAAATAAAAGCTTAAATTGCTTGCTATTCAGTATACACTGCAATGATTTTTTGATATTTCTGTGTTATGTCAAAAATGTATTCAACAACAACAACTGGTCAAGCGGGAGAACCCTCCATTACTAATCTGAAGTGGGTAGCCATATAAATAAATATAACGCATCACTTGACAACTATACCTACCATTTACACTTACATAGGCTACTGTCTTGCTGAGTGGCTTAGGCAGGATTTTGTTATGGGGGAAGGTTGGTTCAAAAAATAAATATTCCACAGCATTTTTGAGAAGTTCTTACAATTTTACCTTTTTTTATCAAATCCAAAAATATAGAATACGACACCTGTTACTGAAAAATGACACCGTTAATTTGTCATGGGGGGGGGGGGGTGCTGTAACCCGGCTGTCACGCATCTGCTTTTTACTATTTGTTTAAAATAAACTAAACCAATAGTTAGGTTTGGAGACATCCCATTTGCAGAGTTTCTTCCAGGCATCTCTTCAGAAGGTGGTCCTCCCGCCCCACCCCCGCCGAAGAAAGTCTACCGCCCCCTGAACGAAATGGAATTTATATAGAAAATATATACTTTATGAGTGTCCGCTACCCCTGAAAATTTAGTCCCCCCCCAGAGGAAAAAGTCTGAAAGAAACGCTGCCCATTTGGTATCATAACACAGTTAAATACATCACAACCTGTCCCCCCCCCCCCCTGCTGTGGTATGGACCACCAACCAAAGACTTCTGTCTGTCAGGGAACATTTTTAAAAAAAATTTGGTTCAACTAGTCTCCCATCTTTGTGGTCTCATGGTCGAGTTGCCAGGTGTTTCTTGGTCAACCGCTTTAGCGCATTCCTTAAGGGTTCTACTTTGCTAACTGCTTCGTGACACTGGTCAGGGGCGTAGCGAGCGGGGGGTGCGGACCGCACCGGGTGACACCATTTAGGGGGGTGACACCAAGGTAAAAAATAGCAAAATATATAGAGAAAAACTCGAGGGGGGGGGTGCAAATCGAAAGTTTGAGGGGGGGGGGTGCAAATCGAAAATTTGAAAGTTTGTCCCCGGGAAGGGTCTCTATGCCTCTGGGGGGGGGGGGGGGGTGACACCATTAAGTGCCGCACCGGGTGACACCCGACCTCGCTACGCCACTGATACTGGTTATGGTGTTCTCCATCCAACCCTGTCTTCTCTTCCAGACTTCCTTGTCAAATTAAAGTTGCCCAGTCTTGCTAAAGGTTTGTGTTGCTGATTGTTGGCCTATGGGAACGACGGATCTTGAGTATACGTCTAAGGCAACTGTTAATGAAGGTTTGGATTTTATAAATGGTGGTCTTTGTTTCCTCTCCAAGCCTGTGCTCCATACAGCACCACTGATTCCACGTTCTTGTTGAACAGTCGCGTCTTGATGGGCATAGACAGCTCTCTGGAAGCACGTTTGTTCTTTAGCTGTGCGACTGTGGTTCTTGCTTTGTAGATCCTTGATTTAACATGCGCAGCTGTTCCGTCATGTTGGTCTATGACTCTATGATATTACCAATTGGGGGTAAGGCTGCGTTTCCTCCAAGGGGCTACCATTTAGTGTGACTTACTTCAATATAGGTGGAGTTGAATTTCAGTATTACAGCCTTGTCCTTGTCTGCTATAATTTTTGTCTGTTCTCCGGGGTTTTTTTTAAAAAGAGTTTTGTCTTACATACAGGTCCGTGTTAACACAGAGCCCTAGCCGTTTGCTGACGTAGGCCGAAATCACAGTAAAATAAAAATCCGTTTTTCTCAACGCATGGCGATTTAAAAAAAAAAAAAAGATAGGCCTTAGTCTAGCTATCTATCTACCTGTTTTAAGAGATTAGATTGAGTTGCTTTATTTATAGCCTGCAAGTGCCTGGAATTCTGTACACTTCCCGAGTTAGAAATGATAAGATTTTAAAGGAAAATCGCAATAACGTAATTTTTTTTCATTGTTAGGTCCGGCTTCTATCATGCTCTAAATACTTCAAGAATTTAATCGTACAACTGTGAAGCGCTCATTGCCTATTCATTTACAACAGGCCTTCTTTATATTTAGGCCTTGTATACGCCTACTCATAGGCCTACAGACTTATAGACTAAGTTAAGCGTGTGCAATCACAGCGCTTTCAATCAAAATAAATTTTCCTATTAGTTCTCTATTTGAAAAGGATCAATGGTCTGGTGCTGCTCAAATGACAGTAACAGATAAGCACGCAAGCTAAAGTGCGGCTTCTTTTATGGCAAAATCAATAACTCGAATCGATTTTCTTTTCTATGATAAGCGCACGCTGCAGCGTATGGCCAATGCCGACGACAAATATTCGAAAGTCGCTCTTCTAGCTTCCCACAAATCCTTGCACATCGCTTGGCGACAAACTATGCCATCATGGCGGCGCTTGTTGTGTAAAGTGCTAGCGGAGTGTGTGGTTAGCAATTTAATAACAATTTATCTACTATTATTTTTCAGTGTTGTAGATTCTATATTCTGAAACTAAACATTGAATAACACATCGGACTAGATCTATATTTTACTATATCGTAGGGTCTACTTTTAAAAAGCTATCTAGATCTAGATTTTTTTCTAGATCTACTTACTTAACTTACTTTCTACAATTTTGGCATTTTGGTATTTATTTTTCACTTTTTTTTCCTCATTAAAAAAAAAAAAAAGAAAAAAGACTCGAGTAATTCGTAACTCAGTTAACTCATTAACTGACATTAACTGTGTACTGTAGTTTGTACAGTTACTTGGTTAAACCGAGCAACTGTACATTCACGTACAGATGAGTAGGCTGTACTGTAGTGTAGTCTGTAGAAATTAGATAAAGATTTAAGATAGAATCTAGATCTACTAAGAAGGAAGAGTCGAAAGACACTGTGACTTTATTAAGATTTAATAGATTTAAGACAGTCACCAACATGAACACAAACAAGAATTAATAATTTATAATATATTTGTGTTAATAATTGTATGTTCTATGTTTAGCATGTTGATCTAAATAAAAAAAATGTCCTTTAGATTAGAATCTAGAATCTATATCTAGATCTATATCCAGTTAAGTTGTTGGATAGTGTAAAACAGTGTAAGTGTAGTTGACTGAGTGTGTCAACACAGAAAAAAAGTAATATTTTTATTGTGATATCAGTCTTATCGAATATTTTATAATACAAGGCAAAGTAATAAATATTGAAGTAGGCTTGTTTATAATATTTAATGTCTCAATGTGTTACCTTTCATTCTGTCAGAAACTAGAATATGATGCTCATAAAAGTATATTATTATGTTATCAAAAGATTCGTATGTAATAATATTACAAACCTTGACATTTTACGGCTTACATTTATATCACTATCAATATTTTTTAAAAAAATGTGTTCTTATTTTTACATTTCAGATCAACATTAAACATGTAGTACATTCACTGTGATTGGTTTGCTGCCATGTATTTGCAGAAGATAAATAAAAAATGACAGATTCAAAATCTACATCGAAGCTGGGGGGTGGGGAGAAGAATTTAATTGTAAGTATCATCTTATGATTAGGGTATTTTATGAGTTGGAATCTGAAAGCAAGTATTTTACAACTTGAATGTCCTTGTTTGGTTTTTTTTTTATAGGTAGCTTTAAGGATACGACCTATGGCAGAAGATGAAATTATCCAAGGGGCTAATCCTGCTGCATATAAAGTTGAAAATAATGTGAGTTGTATTCTAATCTGGATTGTTAAATAAAATATTACAAGTTTTTTTTTACTCCTAACTTTGAAAGCTATTTCTTTTAAACCACACACGTAGTGTTACTAATTTTGCATTCGTCAAAGTTTGCAACTGTAATTTATTTAAAATCCTAACATTGGATATCAACAAGGGGTGACAGTAAATGTAAAAGTTGCACCTGTATATTGTGATATATTTAAAACACTTGCTCTACAGATGATATTACATTGTGATAGGTGCACACGTTAATGATAGTCAATAAGACACTAATTATTTGTTGACATTTCTGTAGATGACAGTCAATAAGACACTAATTATTTGTTGACATTTCTGTAGATGGTCGTGTTGTTGGACCCAGCAGATGACCCTGACGATGTGCTCAGGGTCAACAGGTCCAGAGAGAAACAGTTTGTCTTTGATTGTATTTTTGATGGCAGCTGTTCTCAGGTGAGGTTTGACGCAGTATCTTTCCTTCATTCACGTAGTGGCTGGGTTTGAGGGAAAGGGTGGGGGGGGGGGGGGGGGGGAAGAGTACAAGCAAGACAGCTGATGAACAAAAGTTTTTCATGTTTATATTTACATTCAATTGAAAATATTCAGTAAGGATGGACTTAAAGATTTATCATTTTTAATTTTAGGAGCATGTGTATGAAGAGACAACAAAGTTTCTTATTCCAAATGTGACAAACGGGTACAATGCCACAGTTTTTGCTTATGGGCCAACAGGTAAGTCATCAATTTTATTGACATGGGGAAGGTTAGGAGGAGTCCTTTATTAGAAGTAATATTAATAGTTAGCATTTTCTTGTGATCATACCTACATCATATGATATCCCTATAGAAATTGAGTTGATCAGTTTTGATTTTGATTTTTCTGCAAGTGATTTACAAAACATGGGAATTTCCTTATTAAAAAAAAACATTCAGGTTTATAAAATCAATCAGATAAATATTATAAATGAAAACAAACTTAATCCAGATTTCTGAGCTACAGGTCGAAAACATTTTAATTAATTTAATGCTACAGATTATGGTTTTCTTCTTATAATGTTTATATAAAATGTGTAATACTTGGCCAGGTGCTGGTAAAACCTACACAATGTTGGGAAAGGATGGGGAGCCAGGAATTATGGTCCAAGCTTTAAATGACTTGTTCTTAGAGATGCGACAAAATACAGACAAAACATTTAAAGTCACTATGTCGTACCTAGAGGTGAGCCAAATCCACTGAGTTGAGTTTATTTTATTTGGGGTGTAAAACTCTCTTATCATTTTTTATGTTTTTTTTGTTGTTTATGTCATAAGGGCAATCCATGCTGAGATTTAGTTCAGTTTAGCATTGGCTTCTAACTTATTCCATGTAAGTTTCTGAAGTATTTTTTAAAAATTTCAGATCTACAATGAAATGATTCGAGATCTTTTGAACCCTGACTCTGGGTTTTTAGAGTTGCGAGAAGATGCCAAGGGCAGTGTTCAGGTCGCAGGGATATCTGAGGTCACGGCCAGGTCAACAGAGGAGGTCAGTCGGTACAAATATTCATTGATTGATTTTATTTTTTATGTATTTTACTACGTTAATTTATATAACATCATTGTGGTAGTATATTTTGTTTAAATGAGTAGGTTGAAGATGCCCTGGCATAACAGTAGAGGGCTAAGCTGCTAACCCGAAAGTCTTGAGTTTAAATCCGGGTTTAAATCAGTAGAATGTCCCTGAGTCCACTCAAAACTCTGATGGGTACCTAACTCACTTTAGGAAAAGTAAAGGTAGCTGGGCAAAGTGCTGACTACATTATCCTATCATACGCAGAGGTCGCAGAAACAGGCAAACTTCACTTCACTTGCCCATGGAAAGGGAACTTTACTTACTTTACTTTAAATGAGCAGGTTATGAACATGCTGGTGAAAGGGAACTTAGAGAGGACCCAGGAGCCAACAGCAGCAAACGCCACTTCCTCCAGGTCACATGCCATCCTGCAGGTCACGGTCAAGCAGAGAAATCGTGTGCGGAACGTCATGCAGGAGGTGCGGACAGGCCGTCTGTTTTTGGTGGATTTGGCAGGTTCGGAAAGGGCAGCTAACACACATAACAGGGGGAAGAGAATGGTGGAGGGAGCCCATATCAACCGCTCTCTTTTGGCCCTTGGCAACTGTATCAATGCTTTAAGTGAGTTTGTTTTACCATATATATTTCAGATAATTTAACTCAAATTTTTTTTTAGCTTTGATTTATACAACTTTTATAGATATTTTACTATGTGTAATTATTTCAGTGCTTAAGATTGAGCAACAGCACTGAATGATGATTAAATAATTTGATTAGCAGACTAAAAGTATGTTAGTTTTATGGGTCTATTAAGGTTTCCCAACTTGTTTTTTTTATATAAAAGACAATTTTTCATATTTCACTAATGCAAGATACAGTAATTAAAATTCAATTCAAACAGGTGATAAAAATGGACCAAAGTACATTAATTATCGAGACAGTAAATTGACACGGCTGCTTAAAGATGCACTTGGTGGCAATTGTCGAACAGTCATGATAGCACACATCAGCCCAGCCAGCACACAGTTTGAGGAGTCGCGCAACACACTTGTGTACGCTGACAGGGCGAAACACATCAAAACAAAGGTAACACTGGCAGGGGTAGCTACATCAAAACAAAGGTAACACTAACAGGGGTAGGCACATCAAAACAAAGGTAACACTGGCAGGGGTAGGCACATCAAAACAAAGGTAACACTGGCAGGGGTAGGCACATTGAATCAAAGTAACACTGGCAGGGGTAGGCACATCAAATCAAAGGTAACACTGGCAGGGGTAGGCACATTTAAACAAAGGTAACACTGGCAGGGGTAGTCACATCAGAACAAAGGTAACATAGACAGGGGTAGGCACATCAAAACAAAGGTAACACTGGCAGGGTAGGCACATCAAAACAAAGGTAACACTGGAAGGGGTAGGTACATCAAAGGTAACACTGGCAGGGGTAGGTACATCAAAGGTAACACTGGCAGGGATAGGTACATCAGAACAAAGGTAACACTGGCAGGGGGTAGGCACTTCAAAACAAAGGTAACACTGGCAGGCAATACAAATTAAAACAAAAGTAACAACCACAGACAATACAAATTAAAACAAAGGTAACACTGACAGGGGTAGGTACATTAAAACAAAAGTTACACTAGGTAACACTGACTGGCGATACAAAGAGCTAAGCACTTTAAAACAATGGTACCAAGCATGACACAATTCAGTCCCAAAATGAGTTTATAACTAGATAATTATTATCTGATAAGTTCAGGGTCCATCTATAATGCTATATTGAATTGGCTTGTTAGTACAATGACCATCAAGCTCCACACACAATATAACTTATCTGGCAGGTCATGCTAGTAGTTTCCCTTTGATATAATATAAGAGTGTTCTCCCTTTGAAAGAGTTTTGTAATGAGAGTGAAACGTTTTTCAGGTGAGGAGAAACGTGACAGATGTGGCCTACCACATTGCCCAGTACTCCAACATCATCTCAGAGTTGAGGGACGAGATCATGCGACTCAGGAGCAAGTTGACTGAACAGACCCAGTACAAGCACTCAGTGGCCAACATTCAGGCCGTCCAATGTAAGTACAGTAGGTGGCCAACATTAGGTGGCCAACATTCAGGCTGTCCAGTGTAAGTACATTCTGTGGCCAACTTTAAGTGGCTAACAGTCAGGCCATCAGGTGTAAGTAATTTCAATGGCCAACATTAGGAGGCCAAAATTTAGGCTGTCCAGTGTAAGTGCATTTAGTGGCAAACATTCATTGGCCAACACTCAGTGGCCAACATTTAGGCTGTCCAGTGGAAGTCTTGTTAATGTGGTGCTACTCTTTAAAAAAACCCTCACTTTTATTCAAATTAATGAAAACAAGAACCATAATTAACTAAAATATAGCTATAAAACATTTTCTTCTAACTAACAATTTTTACATAGTGCTAGCACTAGAGATAGATAACTACTGTCATCCTTTAGTAAACAAAATTATTACAAGCTTTTATTTAACTCACTTCCTCTGTCGTCAGTCGTCAGTCTAGACGGAAACGCAGGAGTGAAAATTCGGACAGTTCTACTTGACCGACACGATTCACAGTTGGCACGTGGGTCAAGACATGAAGACAATGCAATCTGAAACTAAATTTGACTTAATTGGATGCCTAATTGATTTTTTATGAATTAATTAAAATTTGGACCGAATTAGTAGGCATGTCTAGCCAACCACACCACACGCGTCATCAATAGCTGCGCCATCAAGACCACGTAATGGCTGCGTTCAAAAACCATTGCGCGCCTACTGAACGTGATATTCAGTAGGCGCGCAATGGTTTTTAGTCATGTAACTCTATTGTAGATAAAACATGTAAAGTACTGAAAAAAAAATTCATAAAAAACGTTTTAATAACAAGCTTTTATGTAATGATGCACTAAAAAGTAGAAAATAAATTATAGACTACTATTTAAATAACTATAAAGAAAAGCGTGGGTGTCTTCCTTAACATTAGTAAAGGTATCCAATAGATACTAAAGTGACCCACGCTTTTCTTTATAGTTATTTAAATAGTAGTCTATAATTTATTTTCTACTTTTTAGTGCATCATTACATAAAAGCTTGTTATTAAAACGTTTTTTATGAATTTTTTTTTTTTTTCTCTACTCACTCTAAAAATTAGTGGTACTTTCTTACAACATTTTCATACTTTCTCTACTCCACTAGCCTATGTGTTCAACACTTTCCTGTAAATGTTTTATGAATGATTTATTCCCAGCTGAGGTTGTTGAGTCCCAAAGAAAAACTGACAAATCTGAGCTGACACACTTTAAAGAGCAGTTGTTGACAAGTTTTAAGGACCAAATGGAACTCAGGTAAAATATCATACAGTTAGCGCTTTTTGACAAAGCTGAGCTGACACACTTTAAAGAGCAGCTTTTGACAAGTTTTAAAGGTAAAACATCATACAGTTAGAGCTTTTAGTTTGGTCGGGTTTCTAGAACATTTCTCAAACTCTGATCAGTTACATCACACTTTAACTGTTTGAAGCAGACATTTTTAAACTTCTTTTTGAGCATGGAACACCAATCAAACATCGCTTGCATTATAACAGCAGTTGTCTACACAGTTAGATTAGTATTAAACTAAGATAAAATACACAAGACTTTAAATTTCATGACCAACTTCTGCAGGCGTACGCTCATGGAACTGAACAACGCTTCGATGGAGATCAGTTTAGAAACCAACAGGAACCAGCTGGTCATCAGCGAGTAAGTTACCATAAATACCCTGCTTTATTTTTTAATTGTGTTATGGCTGTTAAAATAGTCACTGAATAAACTAATTTGATGTGAATTTAAGATGGGTAACTCTGGTCATTTTATTTTTGTATGATAGGTATCAAGTGGAAAAGGGGAGACAACTAAGAAATAGAGAAAATACTGGGTTGACAGACAACAAATTTACAGGTAAAATGTGTTCCTGTGTGTATAGAACATGTGCCAGTATGTGTAGAACATGTGCCAGTATGTGTAGAACACGTACCAGTATGTTTAAAATATGTGCCAATATGTGTAGAACAAATGCCAGTATGTGTAGAACATGTGCCAGTATGTTTAAAACATGTGCCAGTATGTTTAAAACATGTGCCAGTATGTGTAGATCATGTGCCAGTATGTGTAGAACATGTGCCAGTATGTGTAGAACATGTGCCAGTATGTGTAGAGCATGTGCCAGTATGTGTAGAACATGTGCCAGTATGTTTAAAACATGTGCCAGTATGTTTAAAACATGTGCCAGTATGTGTAGAACATGTGCCAGTATGTGTAGAACATGTGCCAGTATGTTTAGAACATGTGCCAGTATGTTTAAAACATGTGCCAGTATGTTTAAAACATGTGCCAGTATGTGTAGAACATGTGCCAGTATGTGTAGAACATGTGCCAGTATGTTTGAAATATGTCCCAGTATGTGTAGAACATGTGCCTGTATGTGTAGAACATGTGCCAGTATGTGTAGAACATGTGCCAATATGTTTGAAATATGTGCCAGTATGTGTAGAACATGTGCCAGTTTGTGTAGATCATGTGTCATTAATTTTTGAAAATCTGGTAGTGTGTGGAACATGTGCCAGTATGTTTGAAATGTGTGCCAGTATGTTTGAAATGTGTGCCAGTATGTGTAGAACATGTGCCAGTATGTGTAGAACATGTGCCAGTATGTGTGGAACATGTGCCAGTATGTGTAGAACATCTGCCAGTATGTGTAGAACATGTGCCAGTATGTGTGGAACATGTGCCAGTATGTGTAGAACATGTGCCAGTATGTGTAGAACATGTGCCAGTATGTTTGAAATGTGTGCCAGTATGTGTAGAACATGTGCCAGTATGTGTAGAACATGTGCCAGTATGTGTAGAACATGTGCCAGTATGTGTAGAACATGTGCCAGTATGTGTAGAACATGTGCCAGTATGTGTAGAACACGTACCAGTATGTTTGAAATATGTGCCAGTATGTTTGAAATATGTGCCAGTATGTTTGAAATACGTGCCAGTTTGTTTAGAACATGTGCCAGTTTGTTTAGAACATGTGCCAGTATGTTTAGAAAATGTTTCAATATGTGTAGAACATGTGCCAGTGTGTTTGAAATATGTGCCAGTATGTGTAGAACATGTGCCAGTTAGTGTAAAACATGTGTCAGTATGTAAGAACATGTGCCAGTATGTGTAGAACATGTGCCAGTATGTATAGAATATCTGTTAGTGTATACAGAAAATTACCCAGCATGTTCTAAGCACTGACCCTCTCCCAGCAGAAGACAAAGAGAACGAGGCACCAGACAGTGACGGGGAGCCTGTGGAGGTGCAGGTGGCCAGGGACGAGCTCAAGGTTCTACACGAGGAGAAACACAAGACAGAGAGGGTTAAGACCACCATACAGAGGGAGCTGGAGACAGCCAGAGCTAAGACGAACAAGCTACAGGAGGTGAGGGGACACATTCATCTGGTTAAGGGTGTCATAGGGAGCTTAAGATGGGCCAGAGCTAAGACGAACAAGCTACAGGAGGTGAGGGGAGACATTTGTGTGGTAAAGGGTGTCATAGGGAGCTTAAGATGGGCCAGAGCTAAGACGAACAAGCTACAGGAGGTGAGGGGATACAGTTGTGTGGTAAAGGGTGTCATAGGGAGCTTAAGATGGGCCAGAGCTAAGACGAACAAGCTACAGGAGGTGAGGGGAGACATTTGTGTGGTAAAGGGTGTCATAGGGAGCTTAAGATGGGCCAGAGCTAAGACGAACAAGCTACAGGAGGTGAGGGGAGACATTTGTGTGGTAAAGGGTGTCATAGGGAGCTTAAGATGGGCCAGAGCTAAGACGAACAAGCTACAGGAGGTGAGGGGAGACATTTGTGTGGTAAAGGGTGTCATAGGGAGCTTAAGATGGGCCAGAGCTAAGACGAACAAGCTACAGGAGGTGAGGGGAGACATTTGTGTGGTAAAGGGTGTCATAGGGAGCTTAAGATGGGCCAGAGCTAAGACGAACAAGCTACAGGAGGTGAGGGGGGAAGACATTTGTATGGTTAAGGGTGTCATAGGGAGCTTAAGATGGGCCAGAGCTAAGACGAACAAGCTACAGGAGGTGAGGGGGGAGACATTTGTATGGTTAAGGGTGTCATAGGGAGCTTAAGATGGGCCAGAGCTAAGACGAACAAGCTACAGGAGGTGAGGGGGGAGACATTTGTATGGTTAAGGGTGTCATAGGGAGCTTAAGATGGGCCAGAGCTAAGACGAACAAGCTACAGGAGGTGAGGGGGGAGACATTTGTATGGTTAAGGGTGTCATAGGGAGCTTAAGATGGGCCAGAGCTAAGACGAACAAGCTACAGGAGGTGAGGGGGGAGACATTTGTATGGTTAAGGGTGTCATAGGGAGCTTAAGATGGGCCAGAGCTAAGACGAACAAGCTACAGGAGGTGAGGGGGGAGACATTTGTGTGGTTAAGGGTGTCATAGGGAGCTTAAGATGGGCCAGAGCTAAGACAAACAAGCTACAGGAGGTGAGGGGACACATTGGTCTGGTTAAGCTCTCTGGTTAATGGTGTCATAGGGAGCTTAAGATGGGCGATGGGCCAGGGCTAACCTAAACAAGCTACAGGATGTTTGAGGGGACACATTCACCTGGTTAAGCTCTCTGGTAAAGGGTGTCATAGAGAGAACAAAATATTAACGCTGCTATTTCTGCTGAAGATGTCCATTATAAATAGCTGTCTAATCCAATTATTTTATTTCTGTCATTAACTGACCCTATACATAACTTTTTGTTTTTTTTAGTTGATTCAAAATACATCACATCTGTAGCTGACCTCTTTACATTTATTTTCCTTTTTAAGCTGATCCCAATCCGCATCAGCAACGCTGACCTCTGTACATGTATTTACCTTTTTTAGCTGATCCCAATCCGCATCAGCAATGCTGACCAGCAGGAAATCTTGAAGCTGCTGTGCCGCGTCCACCAGCTGGAGATTGAGTCCCTGGAGGGTCAGTCGGCCAGACTGCTGGGAGACTTTCAGATCCGCCACAAAGACATGGTCATCACCAAGTTACATCATTACCGCAACTTGTCCGATGACATCATCAAACGACAAAAACAGATAATTGAAGGTTGGTGCAGAGCTTTTTATTGGAATAATTAATTTCACTGACCAGGTTTCACATTTTAAATGTTTTTGTATACTTGAATAAATTTAAAATATTTAATAACTCTAGATCCTGTTTATAACTGTTTTGCCCAATCACTCAACACATTTTTTTTGGTAACATTTGATCAAAATATTCTCTGACACAGTGTTCCTTACAGGCATCTCTTCAGGGGGGGGGGGGGGGGGGCAAAGTGTGTCGTCTTTGTCTCCCCCCCCCCCCCTCCCCAAGAAACTAACTCTACTAACCCCCAAACGAAATGAAATTTATATAGAAAACATATACTTTTACCAGTGTCCGCCCCCGGAAAATTTATTCCCCCCCTCCCCCGGAGAAAAAAGTCAGGGCGAAACACTGCTCTGACATCCAAAATAAAATTTCCCTACTTATTGCTCAAAAAACATTTTTAATATGAAATGATACCTAACATATTTTGTTTACTTTTGTTCACTAGTAATTTCCTTTGTTTTGTGAGTTAACTAATCCTATTGGCTACTAGTAATTTCCTATATTTTGTGAGTTGACTAACCCTATTGGTCACTAGTAATTTCCTTTGTTTTGTGAGTTAACTAATCCTATTGGCTACTAGTAATTTCCTATATTTTGTGAGTTGCCTAACCCTATTGGCCATTGGTCACCAGAGCACAAACTGTACTGCCCACCTGAGCTCCAGCAGCTCTATGAGCTGTACTCAACAGAACAAAACCACAGGCTCTTAAAGGGAGACGACATCAGCTCATTTTCTTCTATAGACAAGGTTAGGATATTTTCTCACAAACTTGGTCAAATATTAAAATTTGTTCCTGTTAATGTAAGATAATGTTAGATAAGCTCATTCAAATATTGAATTTTTTATCACCAGAATAAAACTAAAATGTCCTATCATTTATTTAAAATTTTACTGTTAATTCTTTTTTTATTATTGTATTTGAATGAAGAGTTATAACGTTAGTCATTTTACATGTTGGACACAACACTTTATTACTTTCTTTCATGCTCTATGTGAACAGGTTGCCTCTGTTAGCAATCTTAATGTGCCATCTACACCAAAAATAAGAGAGTAAGTTCTTTACATCATCTACTTGGACAATATAAATTAGTCGTAAACATTTAGTTTTGAGTGCTATTTAATGAATCATTTATTTTGTAAATGTAGTGTTAATGCTTATTCTAAAACATTTTCCAGTGAGGATGAAGACAGCAACAAAGTTTTTACCCAGAGTGCCAAAACCAAGCAGATCCTAAAAGCGAACAGGGTCAGTGATATCGGCTACCTTCAAAATGACATTGACATTCAGGACCACATACCTACCCCGACGGCCCCGTCGCGTATATCGTACGAAGATCGGACAGTGATAAACGCAAACACCCGCAGCATAGCAGCTTTGGCAGCAAAGAAGAGAAACCAGGCCAGCATCGCGAGTGGGGCCACGGATAAGTTTGGTGTCCGGCCCTTATACCGGCCGCAGGTGCAAGTGGACGATGATGATTTTGATGACTTCGGCACCAAGCTGACGCCCAGCCGTTTGGCTCAACACAACAGGAACATGGGGGACGGGGTGTACAATTTTTCTGGGGGCGAGGAGCTAGGGGAGAGAATCAGTGTCATCACAGACCCTAATTTACCTCCCCTGCGCACCATTGGGTCAGTGGGCAGCAGACAAATACAGGAACAGGAAGAGGCCAGACGCAGGGCAGTCCGCTATACAGGAAACAATAATGGCAGTTACCTTGAGGTAACAATTTAATCATCAAACTTTTCTGTTAGATTTATGAACTTAAGAATGATGATTTATTGGATTAATGAAGTAGATTAGTTTTGTGCAAATTTGACATAAGAAAATATTCCAGAGTGGATGCAGTTTTAATGCAGGTACGACAGACATAAAACACAATGACATTGTAGGTACTACAGACATAATACACAGTGACATTGTAGGTACTACAACCAGAGCCGGCGTTAGGAATACGCGGGGCCTAGGGCCAACCATCCGCGCGGGGCCTGCTTTTTTCCATTATATATATATATATATATATATATACATATATATATATATATATATATATATATATATATATGTGTGTGTGTGTGTGTGTGTGTGTGTGTATAATCCTATATAATATGCATACACACATAATAACACATACATGTTTTGTAGTCTATAAGACTTAAATAACAGATGTTTACCTCTCCCACGTTTTAACCCAATGTTCTTAGTTTTTTTTCCTTGCTAGGATATTAAATTTTGACAGTTATGTAATTCATACCAAATCACTTAAGAAAATTCAATCACGTGCCAAATAATTAGGAAAAATCAAGTTGTTTAAGTTGTTTGTTAATGACTAATTGTTAATTAATATAAAAGCAGGGGCGTAGCGAGGGGGGTGCAGACCGCACCGGGTGACACCATTTAGGGGGGGGGGAATGACACCAAGGCAAAAAAAATAGCAAAACATATACAAAAATGATAGTTCCACTTTTAAAAAGTGGTTAATTAGAGTGTTCAAGTCAGTAGACCGTCCCTGAGTCCACCCAACTCTGATGGGTACCTAACTCATGTTAGGTAAAGTAAAGGCGGCTGGGCATATTATAGTGCTGACCACACTATCTCTTCATATGCCGAGGTCACAGAAACAAGTGAACTCTACTTCACTTGCCCCATAGACCGTCAGGCTTGAAAGGGAACTTTACTTTTTTTTAAAAATTAGAGTGTTAAATAGTCTTTTAAGAGCAAATTTAATAAATCCCGACAAGGGTGGAGGGGGGGGGTGGTGACACCATGACGTAAACCTGCTAATGATAGAGAAAACATGCTACATCAACACTTTTAACTTTCTTCCAAAAAATAATAAATCACTCTGTCTAATGCCCCTTGATAAAGATCCTAAGGGCCCCCCCCTCGTCGCCCTCTTCCCACCCTGTGCACGCAACGGAATGTTAATTTTGTTATACCAAGACAAGTAGGCCTACATATACAACATCTACAACAAGAAAGTTATGACTAGCGTTCATCAGGTCACTAACTGTCTACTACAAGCATCCCGTCTGCTCACTAAAAGGACGTCTTCATCTGTATCACTTTACGTGTTTCCCAAATTTACATCCCATGTCAGGTCGGGGGCTGATTCGCACCCAACAATCTCCAGTCAGCTCAGGTCAAAAGCGAGGCGACCGTACGCTACACAAAGGGGAGGTCTGACACTGTTTTTGTATCGAATTACGGCCTGTCCCAGTTCAGGTTGGTGATAACTCACTAACATCAACCGTGGTCTCAGTTATAACAATCAACATCGTCGGCATTCGACCATTTAGTTTTCCCCATTGAATTCAGCAACAATTTATTTAAGTTTACAAACTAATTCAGATAACAATGACAGTGCTGAAGCGCGGGGCCCCTTCAAGCGCGGGGCCTAGGGCGACCGCCCCGTTTGCCACCCCCTAACGCCGGCTCTGACTACAACCATAATTTTTCCATATATTTTTATGGGCTTTGCTTTTACTTATCTGTTTGCCTTAAAACCCATCTTGGCTAATTGACTTGCACTTGACAATAATATAATAAAAAAACCTTGTCTGTCAGAAATCTCGGCACCAGTCGAGGAAGTTGTCTGAACAGAGGAACAGGAACCTGCAGAGGAGGAACAACAACAACAACCACAACAACCACAACAACAACATCAATTATTACAACGGCTCAAACAGACGTGAGTTTTTCTGTTGTTTTATTTGTTCATCTTTTGACTTACTTTCAACAGGGGTACTGGTAGTTTCACATTCAGTCCAGCAAATACAAATTATAGTCTAGAAGGCTTGGATCATTGTAGGAGAGCTCTTGTTTCTATAGCAGTGTACCCTGCTTCTTAACTTTAAATCATGAAGAGTTCCATTAATGCTTGATGAATACAGGATTTCCTCCAGTTGTTACTTGAGGCTCCTATTGATAACTGTATTGCAACTTGTTGAGTTCACTAGCTAGACTTCATAGAGGTCTACCCAGCTCTGATGGGTACCTGACTTAAGTTGGGGAAATAAAAAGGTAGCTGGTTGGGGAAATAAAATTTAGCTGAACATGGAACTGACCCCACTGGGCTCTGGTCAGAGAAACATGAAATCTACTTCGTCTGCTTCATGGACCACCTGTTCTGAATGGATAATTTATTTACTTACCTGATGACCTCCTCCACCTCCGTTCTGAAAAGTCATAAAGATATGTAAATAATTGTTTGGTATGAGAAATTAGACTTAATATAAATAATAATTCACAATGAGAAAATGAAATACAATTTCTAATATAAATTAAGATAGTGAAGAAGATACCTTAGTATGCGACTCAGCCTAAGATCAGATGGGCCTAAATTTTTGCTTCAGATATTTAAAAAAAAATGTCTAGTCTGTCTTTGATGTAAAAATTGTTAAATATTTTAAGCAACTGTAGTTAAAAAAAAACTGCAGAAAAACAAGTAAGGAAGCTAATGAAGTGTCCACTCATGTTTTTATTATTTTGCTAAATTTTATTGTTAATGTTGACAAGCACCTGTAAAATAATTTTGTTTGTTTGTGTCACTTATTTTTACACTGTCCTCCATGAGTTCTATTTTTTTAATAGCACAGTAATTTGTAGCTCAATTTTATCACACTTTGTGTTCCTTTGGTTTGACATGTGTGTTGATTTGTTGTGTAAACCGTGTGCAGTAATGGCAGGAATGTGTTGCAGTGTTTCTAGATGACACGTCCACAGTGAGGTCCAGCACACCTAACACTGTGACCTCTGACCTGAATAGACGGACCAGTCAAAACACAAACACCGTGACCTCTGACCCGAACAGACGGACCAGTCACAACACAAACATACTGAAGAAGAATAAAAAAAGTAAATTTGTTAAGGATTTGTAGTGTAGACAGTAGAGCCAGTCGCTAGAGGTTTAGAAAAAATATAGAATTAACCCATTAGGTCAAAACACAAACATACTGAAGAAGAATAAAAAAAGTAAATTTGTTAAGATTTGTAGTGTAGACAGTAGAGCCAGTCGCTAGAGGAGGTTTAGAAAAAAATATAGAATTAACCCATTAGGTAGAGTTATATGCTTTTTTTCTGACTGGAACTTTTTGTTATGTTTTGTTGTTGTTTATTTTGGTTTATTCATCATCGTGTATAAAGTCCACACAAAGGCTGATTTTCTATCAGCTGATGACTTGTTCATAAGCTAACTGGAAAGCTTGAAAAATGTATGTGCAAGCTCATGTGCAATCTTCAATATTGTAGCATGTTACTAAGGCAACCATGTCAGTTGAGGTAATTAAGCTTAATAGCACTAATGAGAAGGATGCCTAACCCACTCGCCATGACTGACTTTCTTTTAGTCTTATACACATGTTTTGGTGTAGCTATGTTTTATAAAAATGCTTCCTAAACTGCAATATGTAATTGGCAAATTCATCATGGGTGTGCCCACTTTAAACAATATTTTAGTGACTGGACAAACTATTAAAAAATCTCAAAAATCCTTTTCATAAACTGACACCATGCACTAAACATTTCCCCAAAAGGTATATATTTAAGAACAAATACATACTACATAAAATCAAACTAACATAAAAACACCAATACATTTTTCAGAGTTTGCCACTTAATAAAACAAATAGACATGATATAAAACGAAACTAAAAGAAACACACTAAATAATTTTTTTCAGAGCTCCCAACTTCCAGCCAATCAGAATCCTCCAATGGTGGCACCAATCAACCAGAGAGAAGAATACCTCAGGTCCTTCCCACAATCCCTCAGTACAGGAAAGGGGACATAACTGTCACAGGAACTGCCACCAATGCTGCCAGGTACTGAAGCAAATCCTGTACACTTTAATATTGGAACATGAATGTTATACTGGTGGGCTGTCCACCTTTGTTTTGTACCACTGTGACAATCCACTTGTATTTGTATTTCGGTGGATAAGAAAAAAATAAAACTTAAATTTATAGGTTCATTATGCTAATTATCCATCTTATTATTATGTCCACTGTTTGTCTATGTAGATGATTATTTATAATTATAATATAATCAACAATGGGACTCCATTATAACTTTTTCTTATCAAAGTAAAATAATATATTGCACGACTAAGCTGTGCAACTTTTACATAGCAATAAAAAAAACAGTTGATATATTAAAGAGCAGTAAAAAAACATTATTTACTAAACAACTGTTGCCCTAAATTAATGTTTAACAACTAAACCAGTTTGTTATAAAGGAGTCCCCAAGCATTTTAAAATCTGTCTCAGTCACCAACTCATGGATCTTTTTTTGTCTTGACCTTTCACCTTTTTACTATTGAATCAAAACCACTACAATATATTTTACTTACAAATGTTTTATTTCAGCCTAGCTTGACTGTCATAAGAAAATAATTGTTTCAAATATTTATTTGATCCAAACTTTTCCAAATGTTTTACCTGTTGCTTACAACTGCGACTCATAAAGCTTTGTTAATCTCATCTACCATTTTTCAATTTGCCAATCAATGCTTTATTTGCCAGATGCCCACATCTCATTACTTGTGTGCTAATTCCTATCCCCAAAACCCCACAAACATATATGGATGTTCCCATGTCCATCCAACAGCTCCCCCATTATCCATTTCCCCATCCACCAGTTCCCCCATAATCCATTTCCCCATCCACCAGTTCCCCCATAATCCATTTCCCCATCCACCAGTTCCCCCATAATCCATTTCCCCATCCACCAGTTCCCCCATAATCCATTTCCCCATCCACCAGTTCCCCCATAATCCATTTCCCCATCCACCAGTTCCCCCATAATCCATTTCCCCATCCACCAGTTCCCCCATAATCCATTTCCCCATCCACCAGTTCCCCCATAATCCATTTCCCCATCCACCAGTTCCCCCATAATCCATTTCCCCATCCACCAGTTCCCCCATAATCCATTTCCCCATCCACCAGTTCCCCCATAATCCATTTCCCCATCCACCAGTTCCCCCATAATCCATTTCCCCATCCACCAGTTCCCCCATAATCCATTTCCCCATCCACCAGTTCCCCCCATAATCCATTTCCCCATCCACCAGTTCCCCCATAATCCATTTCCCCATCCACCAGTTCCCCCATAATCCATTTCCCCATCCACCAGTTCCCCCATAATCCATTTCCCCATCCACCAGTTCCCCCATAATCCATTTCCCCATCCACCAGTTCCCCCATAATCCATTTCCCCATCCACCAGTTCCCCCATAATCCATTTCCCCATCCACCAGTTCCCCCATAATCCATTTCCCCATCCACCAGTTCCCCCATAATCCATTTCCCCATCCACCAGTTCCCCCATAATCCATTTCCCCATCCACCAGTTCCCCCATAATCCATTTCCCCATCCACCAGTTCCCCCATAATCCATTTCCCCATCCACCAGTTCCCCCATAATCCATTTCCCCATCCACCAGTTCCCCCATAATCCATTTCCCCATCCACCAGTTCCCCCATAATCCATTTCCCCATCCACCAGTTCCCCCATAATCCATTTCCCCATCCACCAGTTCCCCCATAATCCATTTCCCCATCCACCAGTTCCCCCATAATCCATTTCCCCATCCACCAGTTCCCCCCATAATCCATTTCCCCATCCACCAGTTCCCCCATAATCCATTTCCCCATCCACCAGTTCCCCCATAATCCATTTCCCCATCCAACACTTCCCCCATAATCCATTTCCCCATCCACCAGTTCCCCCATAATCCATTTCCCCATCCACCAGTTCCCCCATAATCCATTTCCCCATCCACCAGTTCCCCCCATAATCCATTTCCCTATCCACCAGTTCCCCCATAATCCATTTCCCCATCCACCAGTTCCCCCATAATCCATTTCCCCATCCAACACTTCCCCCATAATCCATTTCCCCATCCACCAGTTCCCCCATAATCCATTTCCCCATCCAACACTTCCCCCATAATCCATTTCCCCATCCACCAGTTCCCCCATAATCCATTTCCCCATCCACCAGTTCCCCCATAATCCATTTCCCCATCCACCAGTTCCCCATTGCCCTGGCATTCATCTAACAGCTCCAATCTGTCATTCCCCCATGAACCAACAATCCTTCTGCCAACTATCCTCCATCATGCTACAATATCTTAACAGTGTTTCTCTCAGACATTTTTCCTTAGGGGGTGGACTAAATTTTTTGGGGAGTGGACATTAGTAAAAGTATATATTTTCTATATAAATTCTATTTCGTTCTTGGTGGTGGAGGGGGGTGGGGGTGTGGTGCTCTCCTCCCCCCCCCCCCCCATAATTCATCATCTTATTAGGTCTAGTACAAAGAGGAGGAAAGTCGTTTTACTTTCTTTAAGGTTTGATGTTACATGGAAAGAATATGAGTGATGCAAAAATCAAACCACAAACACCTAGATGGGGAGATAAACATTCTCCTTGCTCTAGCTCTCTTCTGTCGTAGAAGTGAGCAAATGGTTCCCTTTTCGCTGAAATAAAACCACAAGACAATTTGATAACAATGAGTCAACAGTTCACCCCAACAAATAAAACCACAAGACAATTTGATAACAATGAGTCAACAGTTCACCCCCCCCCCCAACAAATAAAACCACAAGACAATATGATAACAATGAGTCAACAGTTCACCCCCCCCCCCCCCCCCCCAACAAATAAAACCACAAGACAATTTGATAACAATGAGTCAACAGTTCACCCCAACAAATAAAACCACAAGACAATCTAACGAGTCAACAATTCTCCTTCACCCTAGCTAAAAAAAACCACTAGCAGAAACTGATGTTATACCTTTTTATAACACATTGAGCTCAATTCACTGCTTTTTAAAGTTTATTTAATAAAGGACAAGATACTAAGGAGAAAGGTGAAGCCGGGAGAGAAAATGTTAACAATCATTGGTTACCTGTTATTTAAAATAATCACGGTGCTGTTTATTATATTTACTGGTTTTCTTTCTGATCTGTAGAATAAGTGTATAGCAGTCCTTGTATCATATCATTTTTGTTATTAATCTTTCCTGCACCCCGCGTTGGGTTGTAATTAATTAAACAATATAAATATCGTAAACTTTTTGTATGAGTTGATTTCTTTTTTGGTGTGTATGACTACATTTTCTGGGACAGAGTGGTCGAATGGTAGAGCATATGATTGTTAACTCGAAAGTGTTAAGTTCAAATCCGGGTTCAAGTTCACCAGGCTCTGATGGGTACCTGACTTAGATTAGGGAAAGCTAACGAGGCTGACCACACTATACCTTCATATGCAGAGTTCACAGAAGCAGCCAAACTGTACTTTACTAGCCTCCACTGAACATCAGGTTCAAAAGAGAACTTTATTTTTATTTGACTAAATTATTAGGTGCTGAATCATCTGGGATGAGAACTCTTCAGATGAAGGAGTTCTAAAAGTTGTAATAATTTGTACAATCAGATTTCCAGGCATAAGTTCTCTTGACTCAAGTCGACATTTGAAAAATAGTTGAAATAAACAAAAATGGATTCAACATGAAGACTGTACAGATGCGACACATTTATTTGGGTTTCTGGTGTACAAGGATTGTTGACGTGTGTAAAGATAAAATTGGTACAGCGGTGAAAAATAATTTCCACTCATTAAACTCACCCAGTCTTATAGTGAGGTGTCCACTTGCAGAACCTGCTAATTCAGAATGACTTTGCTAAAAATGCTGTTTTCAAAATCTTCTTAGGATTTTGGCTTGTTTTTACTGTTAAAAGAGTAGCTTTAATATATATATATATTTTTTACCACTATTTGTAAAATACTGAAACTGACTTTATTAAATAAGAGTTTCAGTAGATTTTTAAATATAAGGTTGATCTAGCAAGTTGTGCATGTTGACGCCTCGTGTCATCATACAACAAATATCCATTCTTATATCCATTTATAAACCATTACTTACTGGCAAATTATCTCATTATATTCACACAAGATTAATTTATCACACAGCAAAATATTGACATTACAAATTACAATGTAGAGTAGTTGTTCAAATTCTTTGTATACAAGAAAAAAGTATAAGTATTTAAAAAAAAAACTGTATTCACTTGAAAAAACAAAATTTAGAAATACAAATTTTTGAAAACATTACAGTTTTCAAAGTAATTGTTTTTATCAAGACATAGAAGCCTACAGATGGAATGTTTTATTTTGGTTCTTATGAAAATGTATGCACGATAAAATAATGTGTTGAGATTTTTTCTACTTTTTACTACTAGGAATTTATTTTAAAAGCACTACACCTACTTTCAATTTCTTTCAAAAGAGAATTTTTTTTTCTGGACCTCAATATTTTAACTTTAATTGTTTTAAAAATGTGGAGTTAGTTTGCTAAAACTTAAATTGATTTCAGTTTAAGTAAATAACTATTTTGGACCACATATCTAGAAATGTCTGAAAAAAAAAAACCAACAACAAGATTTGAAAGAATCTTAGATTCTACCATTTCATTCCACGTAACAACACGAACCAGTTAAAAATATCAGTTAAATTAAATATCACTCAAGTATCACAACTCAAACCCATATTTAAAAATCATTTTTTTCTCCCATCAGACAAAAAATTCAGCTTACAATATCTTTTTCAGCAGGTGGGTGATAAATAACAAGCACAAAGACATAAGGGAATATGTATTTACCAAAATTGAAACGTTTTTAACACTAGGTTATTCAGTTCATTCACACTTCTTCGTAGTATTAAGCTGTTAGTAAATAAACATTTATATGCTGTGATGAATATGCTATCTTTCGATTTATAAAATAACAGCTTTATAACTAAAAACTGCTATTTGTGGAGATACAAATAGGGGAATATTAGTAGCCACATGCTGGTGGGGGGGGGGGGGGGGGCGGGGAGAAGTTGCATACATGAAACCATGAATTAAATTAAACCTCTGGATCTGGTACTTTTAATTTCACTTAACAAGAAACAGTCACATTTATTCAGTCACAGTATTAAAGTATTAGTATTAAAGGTGGTCTTCAACAATTGTTCCGCAACCCAATTTGAAAAAAGGTGACGAGCAAGTCTTTTGACTTTTGCTATCCCAACCTAGCAATAAATTACAGAACTCCACAAACATTTGAAATTTTTAACTACATAAATATTAAACAAAATTGTAGTCCCAGACTTCATAAGTTACAGCCAGACAAATAGTTGCGTGCAACTTAAGTTTACCCCTCGCAAGGCAAAGAAAAAAATTGACACAAATCGGCGGAGTAAAAGATGTACAGGGGTCAAGGCAACAAAAAGAGTGTAGCATGCCAGTCAGTAACAAATACTTAAAAACCAAAACAAAATGTTTGTTGCATTAAGATGCGTTGGAACATTTAATACATGGATGAATTTTCCAATGAGTCTTTCTGTATTACAAATTACATATATATAATAATGACGCTTGGCATGTGTACTGAAGGTCAATATACTGAAGTTTAATTATGTTAACAAATCTATTGCAGAAAGTGCTCTTGCTTTTGTGTGCAGATAACTGTGTTTACAACGTCAAGTTACGGCTGTCTGTTACTAACAGCTTGAGTACATTTTTTTTGTAGCAGCATGGATCAATCACCAGCACATGTTGGTAGCTTTTTAAAAGTTCATACAGGACAAACATTTAATAAGAAAAAAGTGTTGTTTCGTAGGATATATTTTATACATTGAAATACAAAAGGTGCATAACAAAATTTAAGGTTCATATAAAATACAATGGACTAACTGTAACTCTTCTAATTTCTCTAGAAATCACTTGAAGTGACTTCCCTTGGGTTTAATTTCTAGATGTTATATCTAAATGACTTGTGATCATCAACTTCAGAAAATTATTTACATGGCATTTGCTCTTACAATATCTGCACTAATACACTTCATATATATATATATATATATATATATATATATATATATATATATATATATATATATACTCACAGTTAAAAAACAATATAATGTCTTGCACACAACTCTTTGATGAGTATTTTTAGAAAAACCAGTATCTTAAATTAATATACGCAATAATTCTCCCAAAAATAGCTTATTTATATCACAATTTAAGCTTTTCTAGAAAAATATTTGTGTGAATTATTAGGTGTTTCATTTAATTTTGCTAAATTGTATTCACAATTTTAATACAATATTGGCTTTCATTCATTTACAAAAAAAAACAACACAATCATTAGTTCAATTATTGATTCAAATTGGAATTGTAGTTCATAAATTCAGTCATATTTTGAGCTTCATTTTGAATTATGGAAATCATAAAGACAACAGCATCGAGGATTATTTTGCCTGTTGCTCTATGAGGCTGCGTTTCTTGATAAATTCCTGTGCAACACTGTCCCATGTCCTTCTTCTCAACACATTCAAGGCACCATGGTCTGCAAGTCAAATATAAATTTAATTTGGTATAGAAAGGTTGAGTTAAAGAAATGAAATAATATTTTCATATGTTTTGTTTAGCTAAAACTAATTGAAAATATGAAACTTCTTAAAGTGATTAAAAAGCTTTAGATTTGTATCCATGGCATCATCTTATGGTGAACTATGAAAATTGTAAACTATGAAAATTGTAAACTATGAAAATTGTAAACTATGAAAATTGTAAACTATGAAAATTGTAAACTATGAAAATGGTAAACTATGAAAATGTTAAACTATGTAAATGGTAAACTATGAAAATGGTAAACTATTAAAATGGTAAACTATTAAAATGGTAAACTATTAAACCTGTCAATCATTAAAAAAGCATTTGTTGGCCTTGACTTCCTATGTGTTTCAAGTTCCATAAAGTGATAATGGCCTACGCTATTTACTAAAAATATTAATTTACAAATGCTTTTATCTTAAAATGGTTTAGGTCAGTGGTTCTTAAACTGGGTTTGATTAAACCCTAGTGGTTCGGTGATCAGTCTCATGGATTTGGTTGAGGTCAAAACATACACAAGACTCAGATTTTGTAAGCGTGGATAATAAAAGTATTGAGAAGGGTTAGGTGAATGCGCATATGAGAATGGTGGAGTTTGGTACCTCTAAAAAGGTTAAGAACCACTGGTTTAGAACCAGCTGATTGGGTAATACTAAATACCCAGATCATCAATATCACTGCAACAAGCAAACCACCTCAGCTATACATAGTTTCCTTCTATACAGCTCCCTCAATAAAACAATAGTTAAAAAAACATTAACACAGCCCCTTGACTTTACCTGAAGCTTTAGGGTGGATGAGGGGGAGAGAAATGATGTTGAGAACATCATAGCCAGAGATTTCCTCCCCTCCCACGCCATGCACATCTGACAAAGGAAGAAAAGCTTCGCCCCCAAAGTCATTTTGGAATAAGAGGTCATGGTCCATTACAGTGAAGGTCAAGGATGCTCCATGCTGAGCACATTGGGATGGCAGGATATGGCTGGAATACAACAAAAGTAATTAAAGCAATCAAATGCATTAGACAAATATTTTTTTTATTGTTGTTGTTTACAGGGCTAGATATTTTAATAGCTGGACTAATATAAGGATTTGCACTACATAAGGTAAGGAATAACTATAATAATCGTTTTAAACCCATCTCCTGATAATGAGAACACAAAGTGCCATCTCCTCTCTATAACATCTTTAACTCTATAAAACATGAACAAGTTTTACATCACTTTTTAAAAAAAAAATAATAATAAAGAAATACAAATATTTGCTACATCAGATTCCTCACAGCCCCCTCCGCTTGAGCTCATTTTTATAAAATCTAAGGCTCACCACTTTAGTGGGTGATGTAATTTATGAATCCCCAGGGAAAAAGGAGGGTAGGCCGGCCAAGGAAGACATGGAGAAGAACGGTTGAAGCAGAGGCGAAAACTGCTGGGCACACATGGGCACAGATTAAGGGGGCAGCCCAAAACCGAGTCCGATGAAGATGTGTGGTTGCAGCCTTTTGCTCCCCAGGGGCCACAAAGGAATGATGATGATGATGATGATGTAATTTATGAATGATCCCTATGATCCAGTATGATTATGTCTAAAAGATTGTACAAAATACTTCCCTTCTCACACCTGATTGTCCATGGGGCAAGCGAAGTAGAGTTCACCTATTTCTGTGACCTCAGCATATAAAGGGATAGTGTGGTCAGCACCATTCCCAGCCACCTTTACTTTCCTTAAAATGAGTTACGTACTCTTCAGAGCTGGGCGGACTCAAGGATATTCTACTGACTTACACCCTAATTTGAGCTCGAGACTTTCAGGTTAGCAGTCTAGGGCTCTACTGCTAGGCCATGCCATCCCCAATAATTATTAGGTCAGTATGAAAATAACCATAAGATTTAAGTTTTTTAAAAGAATCCACTTACAATTCAAATGACTCTTCAAACACAGGGTTCAATGTTTTCTTAATGATCTTGGTGCTGTGTGTTCCCATCCCAGGGAAAATGTGTTCTGGTGCCAGTGAGACCAGCACATACGGATCACTCAGGCCTGGTTACATAATTATAATATCAATTTGAATGTTTGTTGATGCAAATCATATCCAAATTTTTAAAATTCGTGCAATTAGAATAATTTTTTTTTTCAAATTTAAAATTTCACAACAAAAGTTGTGATAATAAAACAATTACAGCAACCAACCATTAGCATCAAGTGGTATTAAGTCCCTTGCACTAATAACTGAAAGAAAAAAAATATTTTTGAACATTCTTATTCTTATTAATTTTCATTCTGACTTGCATTAGACTAAGTCAGTAACAATTATGTCTGAACAAAATATGATGTTTTGATAATGTGTATAGTTGAATTACATCTGAACAAAAAATTAAGTTTGAATAATTTGTGTAATTGAATTATATCTAAACAAAATATGATGTTTTAATAATGTGTGTAGTGAGGAGAAAGTTGAATTATATCTGAATAAAAAATGATGTTTAAATAATGTGTGAGGTGAAAGTTCAAGGCTTCTCACCTTCGACAAAAAGTATTTGCAAATCAAACTTGTAGACCGCTCTAATACTGAGCACACCAAACTCTGTGTTCTCTGTGTGAGCCTAGGGAAACACAAAACAACATTTTAGCAGATGTCTCACTGTATTCATATACAGCAGACTTAAAAACAGACAGTGTTCATTAGAATATCTACAAAAGTTCACTACTGACCTGTAACTCATTTTTTTCCATGTAGAAAGTTTCAATGAGAGAAAGTGTATCCATTTTGTGCATGGTCAGTTCTTTACGTAGATTCTAAAATATAAAAACATCAGGATTTAAATTACCAACCCTATGACAGGTGTCAATAAAATTATCTTATTCAAACTTGAAACATGTTTGTAATATATTTCTTTTTACAACACAGCAATCATCTATTAAAAAAAAACTAAGAAGGTATTGTAAGGACTTTGGTGAAATTTTTATTTAAAATTTGATATTTTGATAACTACAATTACCATGGGTTCAACATTACTATAGAATAAGTTTACAGAAAAAAAGTTATAAGATTTTTGACAAACTATACATATATTAGTTAAATAAAAGATAAAAGATAAACTTCATATTAAAAAAAAAAGCTGTTCCCTGGCGAGTAAAAACGTTAATGATTAGATTAAATAAAATAAATTTCATTTTTAAATTTTGTGTGTATGATTACCTCAAATGGCTCTATAAGAATAGCTTCCATCTCTAAACCATTTCCATTGGCATAAAAGAAATCAACGAGAAGACTTAATGCTTGAAACATCCTCTGGTAGAACACAGGGGGGCGCTGAGAGACAGGCATGTGATATTATAAATTTAAAATAATTCAGAGACATGAATCAGGAATGGAAATGACTTGTTAAGTAGTGGAGATGGAAAATTGAGAAGTATGTTTTTTTTCCAATATTAGCAGCTACTTTTGGTGAAGTGTAGATGAGATATGAGACCTGGCCAAAATTTGCATACATAGTAAGTTTGGATATGTTGTGAATCCATCAACAATTAGAAAAAATTATAGATATAACTTGTGGGTGGTGGGTAACCTTAATGCTGGTGCATGAATTAATTTGTAAATGTAACGTTTGACACATGTGGATCTACCACTAAAATGGGTATCTGATTAATTTGAAGTAATCCCCATGATTAGATTTAATTTATTGTTGACAGCACTAATACATGACTGATGTTTAATAACATCATTATTGTAGGCCAAAATATAAATATTTTTTAAAACCATAAATGTTTTATTCAATTAGAAGTAATCCTTTTGATTAGGTTTAATTTATTATTGACAGTTCAAACACATGACTGACATCTACATACATCACCAATTTAGGCCAATGTATAAATGATAATTATTATATTTATGAGATATCCAGAGAAGAGAGAATAAAAAGAAGTTGATACCCACTATTTGACTGACATTGTAGGCCAATGTGTAAATGATTATTATTATATTTAATTAGATATCCAGAGGAGAATGAAGAGAAGTTGGTACCCACCATTTGACTGACATCTACATACATCATCATTGTAGACCAATGTATAAATGATTATTATGAAGAATGAAGAGAAGTTGGTACCCACCATTTCCTCCGTGTCCAAAACTTCTCTGAACTCCTCCAGCAGCTCCACCCAGATGGAGGAGAGAATTCTGTCAAAGTTTGTCTTCAGGAGGTTGCTGTTGAGGGTCAGCAAATTACTGTCCAGGTACTCCAGCAAGTCACCAACAGCCTGAAATTTTATGCCACATGGGTTATTTAGAATTTGTCATGAGAATATTTTTAAATAATATACTGTCCAAGGATTCTGTTTTTACTTTTCACTCAGGCATTGACTCTCTTTACAGCAAATTACTGTCCAGGTATTCCAGCAAGTCACCAACAGCCTAGAGGTTAATGCCAAATTGGTTACTCAGATTTTTCTCATGAAAATAATTTAAAAAAATTTACTGTCCATGGATTTTATTTTTCTTTTCACTCAGGCATACCCTCTCTTTACAGCAAATTAGTGTCCAGGTACTCCAGCAAGTTACCAACAGCGTGAATTTTTATGTCAGTTTGGTTATTCAGAATTTCTAAAAAAAAGTTTTTACTGTCTAAAGATTCTGTTAATTTTTTGTTCAGGTATTTTTTTTTATTAATCCCTCTTTATTATACTCCAAAGAGTAGTAAGTCATACAAAGTTTTCATTACTTAATTAGGGCAGAAAAACTATCACCCACACACTGAGATAGATAATTGCATCATTTCTTCCTTGAGTGACTTCTACTTATTTTAAGGTCCCTTTACAAACAAACTACAGTGGGAAAAATGTAGTGCACTTTTCAGCTTGTTTGCTCTAACATGTTTATCTTGGTTGTAATGCATTTACAAATTAAATATAAACAAAACTGACACTTTTTTTCCCAGTGCTAATTGTGTCTTAAAGTTCAGCCATTTTTTCATTAGGATATTTGCATAATTAGTACATGATTAGCAACAATATGTGAATGTGTGTCAGTTAATTAGGCTGGGAGTGAGATAATTAGTGGTCGTGTCAACCAAGTGTAGGCACAATTGTGGCAAATGTTTTTTTTCAAACACAGGTTTAACTCAGTATGGTGGGCAAGTCGCCATGTTTGATACATAGCCATTTAAGGTGCACTTTAAAGGAACATGTTGTTGTGTTAAAGTTAATGAAGACTAATTAACATTATCAAATTTTAGTGAAATAAACTGTTGTAAAGTTTCCCTTTCAAACCTGACGGTCTATGAGGCAAGTGAAGTACAGTTTACTTGTTTCTGTGACCTCGGCATATGAAGAGATAATGTGGTCAGCACTATGCCCAGCCGCCTTTACTCTCCCTAAAGTGAGTTAGGTACCCATCAGAGTTGGGTGGACTCAGGAACGGTCTACTGACTTGAACCCGGATTCAAACTCGAGACTAACGGGTTAGTAGCACAGCTCTCTACCGCTAGACCACTCCGTCCCATAAACTGTTGTAAAGTACAATAATAATGTTTTTCATAGAATTTTTAGATTTTACTTAAAAATTATTTTATGCCACCTCTTTAATATAACAAAAATAAAAGTTGTGTAACCTGTGAATAAACTTTATGGAATAAATAAAAACACAATATTGAACCAATGTTGTTCAACATAATGTATCCTTTTAAACCTGGGATCTGAACTCAAGACTTTCAGGTTAGAAGTTGTATGCTCTGCCATCTGATACTTTATAACTGTATTTAAAAATTATAACAAAATTTAGTAAAGAAAAGACAAACCTCTTCAGCTGGTAAGGATTCTGGAGCCCAATTTAAATGGAAAACATCTTTTTTAATGTCAGGTCTCATCTGAAATTAATCAGATTTTGATTGAAACTGACGCAATATATCCTCTCTTTAGGTTATCAAATACATATCTCCCTTTTATTCTTCATTTGACTAAAAGCCTTTTCAGAGTATCAAATGCTTATCTCCCTTCGTTATTAGATTTTAAACCATTTCAGATTATAAAATGTTTACCTCCCTTCTTTATTAGATACATTTACAAGATAATCAAATTCTTATCTATCTTCTTCATCAGTCACCATTAGACTATACCCCAGATAGTTGACCAGGTCAAAAAACAAAACCTCACCTTATCAGCCACACGGTCCACCACCTGTCTGATTTTTCTGACCATATCCTCATCGGCCTGTTTGATGATGCCTTGAAGTGATGCCTTGCCCAGCAGACCAGTTGTAGCCTCTTTGGGTGGATGTGGGTCATCTCTTGCCAGCTCCAGAGCCTGCTGAATCTCACTGAAGTCCAGCAGAGTTGGCAAAGGTTTCAAGGCTCTGCGCACTTGTTCTATATTGTTTATTGTGATGCAAAGCTGAAGAGAACAATTTAAAAAAAAAATTACCTTAATGCCATAAGTTTTTAATTATTTAACAAATTACATAAATTGTATCTTTTTTTGTTGGAGAGTTCCTACCTCTTCTGTGACATCAAATTGACCCTCATCATCATAATAGCCCATGTCTGTCAACTTAGCATGCACTAAGTCTGCATACAACTTGGCTGTATTGCAAATATCCTGGAATGTAAAAAAAACAACAAATTTGCCTTAAATCTGAAACTATTAATTTCTTACGTAAACCAGACTAAGCTATTTCAAATATTATTAAAATTCATCAAACATACACAAATCTTCAAAATATAAAAATATAGGAACTAGTTCTAGTAACTAGCTGTTATGCTGATTAGCATTTAGAATTCATTCTTTCTTTTCTATCATGATAACATCATTGACACATTTCAGCTAAAATTTACTGAAGTTTATAATAGATTTTGTACTAATATTTGATACTGACATAAAAAAAGAGTTCAACAAGCATAAAGTAAATATAAATTTTAATAATAATAAAAAAATGCCCTTTGACCTCTGTTAGTTTGTAAACAAATGGATACGCTCCCACACGGTCAGGCCAGGCCAGCTGTTTCCAAAACTCTGTGATCTGAAGGTGGATGGATTGGTTTAAAATTTTTGCAAATTATACATTTCTAACATTTATATTGCAGGTGTAATTTAAAAAAAAATTTAAATTTAAAAAAAAAACTACTCTTGGCAATGCAATCATTTATAAAAGTTTTAGAAATAGAAAAAGTTTCTTTTACAGCATGCCTCACAATACAACATACTGTCTTTGTAGAGTTTTAAAAATAGCAACCAATGGCTGTATGACTTGTTGTATTGACGGAAATACTATATGCCTTGCTAAAGCCCTGAATACAAATTGTGTTTGCAAAAGTTTAAAAAGTGTAACAATCAATGGCTGTATGACCTTTGGTATTGACAGAGACACTGACCTGTGTGAAGCAGCAGCAGACATCAACAGCAGACGTGCTGTACTTTACAGCCACATCCACCTGGGCTACCTGCACAACAAAATCTCTCTTAAAACATCCAGTCACAACAGTATAAAACTTGTACATGTGTCTGAAATATTATTGCTAAAGGTTGTTTTTTGTATAACTAATTATAAAAGAACATGGTTGTGACAGATTAATAAGGGGAAATTACCAGAGTTTAAATACATTCTTTTGGCTACCAACTTCCATTAGAAGCCTTAACTACATATTTTATAAATCTCCTAAGAGCTTTATATATATATATATATATATATATATATATATATATATATATATATATATATATATATATATATATATATATATATATATATATCCCCTCATTTTATAAGGCCATTCAGTTTTTATCCTTCTTCTTTTTCTGTGTTCTTAAATGTAATGTTGGAAGGCATTTCCACAAACGCAATTATGTATTACGTGTCAACCTATTATGCACCATATATGCCATTGATTATGATTTCAGCCTGATTATCTTCCTGGATTTGCCTCCATAGCCTTTGTTCAACCAAGAAAAAAACTACAAAGAAGAAGTTTGATTTTAGATTTTTCTCTCCTAGATGGGTTATTTTTCCCAGCTATCGAGCCTCATCTGCAGTGAGGTTCGAACTCATGACTAGTTTTTATCTACCTTTTCAAGCTCCACAGCTTTTTTTATTCTTCTCTCTGCTCTGTGCTGGGCAATGGTCAGCCATTTACTGACCGCACACTTGAACCAGTGATAATAGGCTGGGATAGTGAACTGTTTGATGTCACTGATGAGGGGAGAGTAAATCTATTTAGGTATTTTATATTATTTATTTAGACAAATGTATGAAAATAATCACACTAGGTTTTCAAAACAGTAATAAAGAATTATAATTTGCATAAGCAAAAAGGGGGAAAAAGAGATTTCTAGAATAGAGTTTTTGAAAATAATTTTCTTATATAAATTAGTGAGCTAGATGAAGTAGATCATATTGGATATAAGAAAAAAAGAAAACTTAAAGTAGAAATGAGGCATAGCTTTTTTTTTTAAATAAAACTCCCAAACTGTGATTTGAAATAATGAGAGACATGAATGAACAGTTAGTGTGACACCTGGCTGAGAGGTGTGTGACATTTACCTGGCTGAGAGGTGTGGGACATTTACCTGGCTGAGAGGTGTGGGACATTTACCTGGCTGAGAGGTGTGTGACATTTACTTGGCTGAGAGGTGTGGGACATTTACCTGGCTGAGAGGTGTGTGACATTTACTTGGCTGAGAGGTGTGGGACATTTACCTGGCTGAGAGGTGTGGGACATTTACCTGGCTGAGAGGTGTGGGACATTTACCTGGCTGAGAGGTGTGTGACATTTACTTGGCTGAGAGGTGTGGCATTTACCTGGATGAGAGGTGAGTGACATTTTCCTGGCTGAGAGGTGTGTGACATTTAGAGGTGTGTGACATTTACCTGGCTGAAAGGTGTGTGGCATTTACCTGGCTGAGAGGTGTGGGACATTTACCTGGCTGAGAGGTGTGTGACATTTACTTGGCTGAGAGGTGTGGCATTTACCTGGCTGAGAGGTGTGTGACATTTTCCTGGCTGAGAGGTGTGTGACATCTGGCTGAGAGGTGTGTGACATTTAGAGGTGTGTGAGATTTACCTGGCTGAGAGGTGTGTGACATTTACCTGGCTGAGAGGTGTGTGACATTTAGAGGTGTGTGAGATTTACCTGGCTGAGAGGTGACATTTACCTGGCTGAGAGGTGTGTGACATTAAGAGGTGTGTGACATTTACCTGGCTGAGAGGTGTATGACAATTTACCTGGCTGAGATGTGTATGACAATTTACCTGGCTGAGATGTGTATGACAATTTACCTGGCTGAGATGTGTGACATTTAGAGGTGTGTGACATTTACCAGGCTGAGAGGTGTGTGACATTAAATTAGCTGAGAGGTGTGTGACATTTAGAGGTGTGTGACATTTACCTGACTGAGAGGTGTGTGACATTTACCTGGCTGAGAGGTGTGTGACATTTACCTGGCTGAGAAGTGTGTTACATTTAGAGGTGTGACGTTTACCTGGCTGAGAGGTGTGTGACATTTAGAGGTTTGTGACATTTACCTGGCTGAGAGGTGTGTGACATTTACCTGGCTGAGAAGTGTGTTACATTTAGAGGTGTGACGTTTACCTGGCTGAGAGGTGTGTGACATTTACCTGGCTAAGAGGTGTGTGACATTTAGAGGTTTGTGACATTTACCTGGCTGAGAGGTGTGTGACGTTTACCTAGCTGAGAGGTGTGTGACATTTACCTGGCTGAGAGGTGTGTGACATTTACCTAGCTGAGAGGTGTCTGCTGTAACGTGAGAACTCCTGCAGGTTCATGTACAACTCAAACAGTCCAGTGTTCAGGGTCAGGGAAGGTGTACCCAGGCCTGATGGCTCATGGTGGACATCGTTAGCCTTGAGGATTTTCTCTATGTCCTTGTTCATAGCCTCTCCCAGCTGTGCACCAGTCAAAGAAAAAAAAAATATTTTCATTTTAATTGGAAAATTTTCAGTACCCTTTGCGAAAAAAAAAAATTAGTTCTAATAATTAAAAAATTGTTTTATCTTCTTAGATATAAAATTGCAGCACTCACCAATTTCTCAAACTGCTTGTAAGTCACTTGAAAATAGTGCACATTGCAAAGCCTGTTATATTAAAGTTTAAGAGGCTATCAGTGGCTTTTTGAATGGCAAAGAGGCAACACTATTATTTATTTATACTAATATTTATGTTATGAACAGCTTAAAAACTGAACAAACATTCTACAGCACTAGTTAATGGCTTGTAGATGTTTAATTTTCTTAACATTTGTTTAATTCTAATAACTTTGCAAAGTTAATAATTCAAGGGAGAAAACTAGGAATCTTTGTTTAATACTCTTTGTCTATTAATTATTCAAACCAATTTTGGTTATTAAGTATGCTGAAAATAGCTTTAACAAGCAACAGTGATAGTTTAAAGATTTTTAATTTTCTAAGCATTCTGAAATTCTAACAATTGCAAAAAGTATTCATCTTTCTCCCTTGAATATGTTCAAAGTTGATAAATCAAGGGAGAATACTGTTTAAATTTTCTTAGTGAAGGTTTCTTGACAGTGAACTTACTCTACAAATAGAGGATTGTAGTTATGATAAGCTTTATAAATATCCGTGTTCAACAAATTGCAGAGCTCAATCAGTCCACGGAGTGTGTCTTCATCACCCTGTGGATAAATTGCATTAGTACAGATCATGAAATTCTAGAAAACCAAAAAGTATTTTATAAAAATGTTATATTTAACAATAAAACTGTAGGCCTATCTGGAAATAGTACAGGTTCAATAGAGAACATAGACAATCTAACAGTTTCAGTTTTCAACACTAAAGACAAATCATAAAATAATTTAGCAAATAAATTACCTTTATATGCCCCATGCATGAACTATGAACTCTGTCATACCACTCCAGGGTGCTTTTCTGGAAGTAAAAAAAAAAAAAAAACAATGCTTGAACTTGAAAGATTTTTTTTCCACACAAGTAACTCAAGTTATCATTTATTGAATGCTGTTCTACCAGCCACAATGATAATTAAAAAAACACAACTTGATGCAAATTGTTATAAAATCATGAATTGTTTACTTTTATTTACATTATTATCTCTAGAAAATGTAAGATTTTGATATTTTGAACAAATTAATGAAAGTCAACAAAAATACCACAGACAATGAAAGTAAAAAAGAACACATCTTGGACAGTGAAAGCAAAAACTAAATACAATTTGGCCATGAAATAGAAAAAATGTACCTTAAAACAACGAAAGAGAAAAAAAATACCTTGGACAAGATTAGCAAAAACAAAAGATGGTACAGACAATGAAAGGGAAAAAACATACCTTAAAAATGAAAGTAAAAAAATAGATACCTTGGACAATGAAAGTAAAAAAAAATACCTTGGACAATGAAAGTAAAAAAAAAAATACCTTGGACAATGAAAGTATTTCTGAGTGCAGCTCACTGTGAAATGGGCAACATTTTTTGAATACTTTGAGGCTATGGATTGTTGAGAGGCACCTGCATGATAAAGTTAGTTCGTCTTTTTAAAATTGAACAAAAGTCTGGGAGTTGTATTTTTTTTTGCATGGTTTATAAAAAAAAAAATGTGGATATGGTTGGAGTTTAGTTTCTTAAATAATTGCTGTATTAGTAATGATAAATATGTATTAATGGAGATGAAAAATAGTGTCTCTAATTACTTGAGCATAACTTTTAGTCTTGAGAAAGCAGTTTTATTGGTGGGAGGGAAAACATCTCTCATTTTCTTGAGGAGACTTTTGCTGTATTCTATGAAGTTTGTGAATGATTCGGCTAGTGCTTCTTCCTGATGAGAACAGTACATTCAAATTTTGATAGAACTTTTTTACAATGTTTTTATTTCATTGTAAACATTTTAGATTTGTAAAAAAACTATAATATTGAACAAAGTGATAATAACAGAAGAGACTATTATAATAATTACTTAAAAGGTTTTTTTTACCTCTTCTCTGGAGAGAGCTCCATCATGGTACAATCTGTCCAGGTCCTCTAACAAACCATGTAACAGATCATAGCTCAAAGGATGCTCCATGTGTTTTTTACTGTATGCTTGCCAGCGACTAAATAAAAAAGAAAAATCATGTGATTCTCATTACTCTGCTTAAAACTACAAAAACAATTGAAACAGTAGTTTAATTTTGACAAATATTATTGGAGCAACAAAACTATTGAGAGGTAAAAAAAACAAGTTAATAAATGTTTTAGCAAGAACCAGTAGGGTTTAAAGTTCATCTGTCATTAGTAAGGCCTATAGTTCTAAAATATCTAAAATTAAATGAAAATATCAACCAATTTTGGAGGAAGGGACTAATTTTCTAGGTAGAATAAAATCAGTGTAGGTCCTACTTGTTTGACATTTCTTTTTTCAAATGGCCTTAGGTTACACAATTATAAACCTTTTAAAATAATTTTTATTTTTAAATCTACTCAGCCATTAAATTGCAGATACCTACCAAACTGCTTGCTGAACTTCAGTCACATCTCCTTGTATGGCATGTTGATGTAAAATGGTCCTGGCAACTTGTGGCAAGTCACCTGTCCATTTGTAGGATGCTTCCTGTCCAAAGAGATTACTTTCAACAGACTATTTTAAGAAGAAAAGATTTTCATCAGAAGCAGTTTTAGATCCAAACAAAAAATAATCATTTCCATATATAAAAAGAATGTGTAAGCCCTACTTACAGGGGCGTAGCGAGGGGGGGGGGGGTGCGGGGGTGCGGACCGCAACGGGTGACACCATTTAGGGAGGTGACACCAAGGCAAAAAATAGCAAAATATAGAGAGAAAAACTTGAGGGGGGGTGCAAATCGAAAATTTTAAAGTTTGTCCCCGGGAAGGGTCACATCGCCTCTGGGGGGGGGGGGGGGTGAAACCATTAAGTGCCGCATCGGGTGACACCCGACCTCGCTACGCCACTGCCTACTTATTAAACTAATCTAGGTAAATGAACTTTACACTTTATGATGGGTTGCAGGCCTTTTTTCTTTAACCTTCTGGCTTCAAGTTCATTAAACTGAGTAAATCATAACTTATATAATAATTTATAGACCTAGAGCCATAGGCCCAGTATTTGAAAAAAAAGTGATATCGAAGTATAGTTACTATGTGCTATTAATAGTAAGTGAAAATGAAATTAAAAAAGGCTTAACTAACACTATATTTTCTGAGTTCATATTCGATAAAAATGGACATCAAATCTTCGTGTTGTTTGACGTCTGTCCAGTTGTGGTCTTCCGGAATTCCCCGGTCTTCGCGTGTGGCCAGATTTAGCTTCAGGTGGATCTCCCCTTGGATGTTGGACTTGGCTGACCGCCCTTCCAACTTGTACCACTGACTTTTACCTGTAGAGGGTAGGTCCTGGAAACAGGAAAGAAGAACCCGTTTATAACGATTTTAGACTAAGGCTAGTATGCTGATTGTCTGTATTTAGACTAACATTGATGGGACGGCGTGGCCTATTTGTAGAGATCTAGACTGCTAACCTGAAAGTCTAGAGTTCGAATCCGGGTTAAGTCTTAGGGAAAACAAAGGCGGTTGGGCATAGTGCTGACCACACTATTCCTTCATATACCGAAGTATCCGAAATTAAATAACTCTACTTCATCTGCACAGCTTGGGCAAAAATGATGAAATAAACGACATAGAAGAGTTGTGAAGGCAATGCCTGGCGAACCAATACTAATAATTGAGCACTTTAGATTAGGCCTACTAGAAACGTAAAACTTCATTGGCATAGCAAGTCCCTTATAACTAATTTTTCAAACGCTGAGAAACGCGTCAACTGCTATTTTTCAACTGCTGCGCTTGCCAGACAAATTGCAGGCCTAATAAATTGTTTGAAAAAGTTTTGTGAACGTTCGAAAATTGAAGTTTTTTTTTAAACATAACATTATTGGGAAGTGAGCATCCATCATTTGAAAGACATTGGCTGCAACTTTCTTGACTTGACATTGATTATAGCAATTTTATTAAAGAGAATTTATAGCTTGAAGATAATTACAGGATATTAAAAATGGCTTCCCTCTAAGCAATTATAAAATGTTTGCATTTTTTTAAAAAATATTCGCTGAGAATAAGATATTTAGAAAATATTTTTTAATGATTTGTGTTGAACTTCATGAATGTGTTATAAATTAAAAAAACAAAAACAACAAAATATGAGGCCGGTAACAAAAATGGCAGAGCGTATTTCCTGTCGTTTGGTAGCCCCGGGCATGAAGCGGCTCTGCTCAGGAGCTCTTCAGTCTAAAGTATCATCTGCCAGTCCCGAATTAGTTGATTAGAGTTTGGTCCCCTCTATCCCCAGAAGGCAGCCTTCACATAACAAAACACGAATGTCTCCAAATTGGATGCCCAGCACGTCATTTTCAACATTTTTAAAGCAAAATTGCCGTATTGACAGTGTGTGTGACTGTTCAGAATTGATAATAAAAATACACTAATTGTAAACAGTCAAAAAAAAAAGGAATGCCTTATATTAAAAATCACCAACAAATGCAGCGTTGTGATATTTATAGTGAGAATATGAAAGTTTACGAACTAACGCTTATGGGTCGTCCATAAATGACATCACGTCACATTTGAAGGGGGATCTGTAATTTTGTGACGGTGTATGATGAAAGGGAGGGGGGGGGGGGGTCAGATGGTGTGACGTCATAATTTTTGCATTATAAAAAAAGCAATGTTAAGAAACGATTTTTAGCTTTTTTGCTGATGTGTGACGTCATTTTATGGGGGAGGGGATAGGGGGCTGGCGTTTTGTGACGATGTGTGACGGAGGGGAGGGAGGGGGGGGAGGTAAAAATCGTCAAAAAAAAAAAGCTTGACGTCATTTATGGATGACCCCTTATCGCTTGATTACTTCCTTTTATGTTTTTTTAATATTATACTTAACCTTCATCCAAGCTTAAAATAATTAGTTCAAAAAGTTGTGCCGGCTTTGTAATCCCTTGACGCAATTAGTGGAGGTAAAACTTCCTAGCCAGAGATTTTTCGGCGGAAGCTTTGCCAGGGTCTATTTTTATATCCACCGAAATGAACTTGTCGGAAAAAAAAGTCGCGTAAATAGCGACCTGTTAATGTTTTTTCCGGGAAGGGACATTCACGAGGTCGAAGGCAATTTTGGATGGAAGACAAGAAAATTCTGATGAAATTTAAGATTAATAATAGGAAACAAAGGGACGACGTGGTGGGGTGGTAGAGAGAACGGTTGCTAGCCCGAAAAAAAAGTCTCGATTTCGGATCTTTAAGTCCACCATCTCTGAAGGGTATCTGACTCACGTTATCCAAAGTAAAGGGATCTGATTATAATTATATTTATTCGTTCAATTTATTCAATTACGGTAACAACAGTAGGCGCGGAGGCCTTATAGTGCTGACAACACTATCCTTTCATGTGCGGTCACAGAAACAGGTGAACTCTACTTCATCTGGGCATAACAGGGGAACTTTACTTTTAGGGAACCACGCTGGATGTGTCACTCTAGTTTCTATACAGCATACATTAGGTACCTGCACAAACTGCAATTTTTTAAAAAGCTGTGTGTAGCACTTTTCTTTACTGCTATCTCAATGACGCGCTTTCTATAGCATACAACGTATAGTATAAATCGAGTAATATCTAAACCATATGACACCATTTAGGGGGGACACCAAATAATAAAAATCTTACAATTTACTGCCAGAGCAATTTTTCCCCGTCAAAAATGAGATAGTAAGGAGAAGGGGGGGGGGGGGGGGTGACACCGAACTGAAAATGCAAAATTGCTGAATGGGGTCGGGGTGACATCCTTTAGTTTCCGCACCAGATGACACCCGAGCTAGTGACGTCACTGCGGCGGGATCCTTTTTAACGAATGGCCAGTACGCCAGGGTACAAACATTTTTTATTTATTGTATGTGATTGATGGCATTTGTTATCAACATTCATACGACGACAAGTGCATTCAAAATGTCAAACAGGGTTGAAGGAAAAGCATGATAAAAACTTTCCTCCTAACTACAAAAACTCCCCCCCCCCCACCCCCCTTTGCCCGCCTAATAATTAATGCTTACACGGCTTTACAAAACGCTATTTTTAGCCACGGTCGTGTCTCCCATGAGAAATGTTTGCCCATATCCCATGTTTATTGTGTTAGTCCGGAGCAGGCGAGCTCTGAATGTATAGAATAGCGGGAGAAGAAGCCTCGATATTGTTGTTGTGGAAGGGGGTACTAAATTAGATTTACACCGTGCGCGGTAGAATATGAGACAGCGTCTGATATCTGAGTGACTCGGCGTCATAAATATGACAGGATAGGAGTGAAGGGCGGCGCTGCTGATTTAAGTAGCTTGCTGTCACAAATCTTACTGACTTAGCGTCACCAGTAATTCTGACTGAGTCCTCGGAGATCGGAAGGTAGCGTTAAAATTGGAGTTATTTGGCGTCTCAAATCTCGCTAAATTGGCGTCATAAATATGACTCTATAAGTATAAGGGGGAATGAAATATAGTGTCACACATCATAGACGCTCATTCTTACATAAGAATAAGTAACGAGCACAAATTTAAGCAACACGGCGTCACAAATACCAATGACTCCGAGTCTTGAATCTAGAAAAGTACCCGGTAAAAAAAAGACCGAATCTCGAATTTCCAAATGACTCAGATTGCAGGAGGAAAAAAATCAGCCAAAAAATTGAAACTCGTATAACAAGCTAAAAAAATAATCCTGCAGCAAATTTCGTATTTTTAGAGAGTTTAAAAACAACCACACAAAAAAAGTACAAAGAAAAAAAAAAGAAAAAAAAGGAAAAAAATAGAAAGAAGAAAACAAAAACAACCAAAACAAAAAACAAAACAACAAAAGCCAACCAACAGCAGTGAAAAGATGCCCACCAGCTAGCCTGTTGGCCACCTCCTTTAATTGATTTCCCCCGAGACAAGTTTTATTTCACCGACTCAGAGACACAGAGTGGGAGGCGGCTAATGATCAAAGTTCGTTTAGCTCAGGCTGTTTAGCTGAGGCCTCAGTTGTCACCGGAAATTTTGAACTCACTGTTTAAAAATCTCAACCGTCATGTACCGTATGTAGATAAGGGGTCATCCATAAATGACGTCACGCTTTTTTTGGACGATTTTTACCTCCCCCCTCCCCTTCGTCACACGTCGTCACAAAAAGCCAGACCCCCCCCCCTAAAATGACGTCACACATCAACCTACAACCCCAATCAAAATTGCAGTTGAATTTTTTTTAAAATCGATATTTTTCTAAAATCTTGTCTAAACTATTACAATTTATTAAAACAGGTCGGGCAGGAAAGCTTGTGGTTGCTTTCTTTAGAAGTCCCGTGTTCGAACCCCCGTGCAGTTAGCTGGGGACAGCAACCTAAGTGAGAAAACTCCAAAATCAAACAGCCGCTGCCTTGTTATTTATTCTTGGGTGGATAAAGGCTGTAGAAGAAATTCTAGAAAAAAAAGTCGGAGTCCATGGCATGTAAGGTGCATAACAAGTTGACCACCAATACCTAGCTGGGTTGGGGGAAATCCCGCTCAGTATTATAACTGAGAATGAAGAAAAAAATGAGACGGGATAAATGACAGAGGGGTAGGGAGGGGTGTAATTGACAGAGGGTGGGTAATTGACTCGGGTAATTAACGGAGAGGGGGTAGTGCCCTGCTCCTATTGATCATTTAACTTCATTAGCACACTTGCGGAAACAAAAAATAAACAAAAATATTGTAAGCTATATGTTATCGATCTGTACTGTATTTGTAAAACCTATTCTCAAATCCATGCAGACGACAGACGGTCACGTGACTTACGTCCAGCGGGATGTTGACGCAGCCGAGAAAGTCGTCGATGCTGCTGTCGTCCTTGGAGCGCGCCGACTGCGCCACCTGCTTGAAGAACCGGCCCAGTCCCTTCAGGCCGGAGACTTCGTTCAGCTTCTTGGCGGCCTCTACAACAGAGAACTCGTCGTCGTGGTCCCTGGGGGGAGAGAGAGGGTAACGTGAGGGGTTAGAGGTCAAGGTTCATGGGGGGGGGGGGGAGGAGAGGGGGTTAGAGGTCAAGGTCCCTGGGAGAGGGTAACATGAGGGGTTAGAGGTCAAGGTCACTGAGAGAGAGGGTAACGTGGGGGGGGGGGTTACAGGTTAGGGTTCATGGGGTGGGGGGTATGAGGGGTTAGAGGTCAAGGTTCATGGGAGAGAGAGGGTAACGTGAGGGGTTAGAGGTCAAGGTTCATGGGAGAGAGAGGGTAACGTGAGGGGTTAGAGGTCAAGGCTCATGGGGGTATGAGGGGTTAGAGGTCAAGGTCCCTGGGGAGAGAGAGAGTAACGTGAGGGGTTAGAGGTCAAGGTTCATGAGGGGAAGGCTGAGTATGAGGGGTTAGAGGTCAAGGTTCATGGGGGGGGGACGAGGGTAACATGAAGGGTTAGAGGTCAAGGTCCCTGGGGGAGTATGGGGGGTAAGAGGTCAAGGTTCATGTGGAGGGGTGAAGGGAAACATGAGGAGTTAGTCAAGGGAGAGAGGGAAGTATGAGGTCAAGGTTCATAGGGGAGAGAGAGGGTAACGTGAGGGGTTAGAGGTTTAGGTCCCTGGGGGAGAGTTAGGGTAACGTTAGGGGTTAGAGGTCAAGGTTCATGGGGCGAGAGAGAGAGGGTAACGTTAGGGTTAGAGGTCATGGTTCATAGGGAGAGAGAGGGTAATATGAAGGGTTAGAGGTCAAGGTTCATGGGGGGGGGGGGAGAGGGAAAGATTAGGGTTCATGGGGGAGAGTTGTAATTTGTTGGGGCTAGAGGTCAAGGAAATCGTCGCCATGTCCCTGGGGGAGAGAGGGAAACATAAGGAGTTAGAGGTCAAGGTTCATGGGGTGGAATGAAATATGTATGAGTTAGAGGTCAAAGTTTATGGGAGAAATACGGGGGGGGGGGGGAATATGAGGGGCTAGAGATCAACTTTCTTTGGGGAGAGAAGGAATATGCAAAGGTTAGAGGTCATGGAAGTAATCGTCCCTAGAGGAGGAAATACGTGTGGGCTAGGGGTCAAGTATACATTGATTTCTGGTATTGTAAACAACCATTGGGTTAAAATTTCTCCAGGTGTATGTGTATGCTGTTTTTGTAATACACTGATGTCTAAATCAGGCAAAGTCTTCAGTCACTAGAATCTCACAATGCCACTTTTGTGACACCAGCAGACACCATTTGTAATGTCACCTCTGTGACACCAACAGACACCATTTATAATGTCACCTTTGTGACACCAGCCACACCATT